CCCCCCTCCCTCCCCAAATGCTTTCAGCTACGAGATATTGTTTTGAGCATGAGGTGGTGTGGTAGACGATAGCAACTGGATCAATCTCTCGTTTGCCGAGAACTACACCATCTGGAAAGACATCCTCGAGGTCTTCCGCGACGCGGCCGCAACGCAAGTCACTGACAAAGTGAGTGAAACCGAAAAGCAACCTTGTAGAGATCTCACTGATGTTCCCACCAGGGTCTCAACTAGCCTCATGGATGCTGGGGTGAAGCACGGCGCCGTCCTCTCTTCCACCACCGCCGTTTTGCCGTGAAGGTATATGTTGTAGGGGCGTTTGCTAACCGCCGGCCAGGCGCCTATGAGGTCTTCATCAACATCCACACCAGCATCGTCCCGATTCCGGTGGGCGTCGGCAGCCTTGACGGGTCCTTGGCGAGTGCATGATCCCCACGCTGGAAAAGAGGCTTCGAGACGCGCCTGTCCCTGTCACAGCCGTGGTGGTGATGAACCCGCACAATCCGCTGGGCCGTTGCTATAGTAAGGAAATCTGACTGAGCCGATGCACTTCTGCCAACATCATAACCTCCATCTCATCGCCGACGAGGTGTTCGCTCTGAGCGAGCATGGATGCAGCGACCTGCGGCAGCCCAGAAAATTCACGTCGACCTTAGCCATGGATGCTGCCGCCAGCGGATGTGATGCCACCAAAACCCACGTCATCTGGAGCATGAGCAGGATCTTGGTGCCACTGGAGCACGCTTGGTTAGTTTTGTCTTCAAATAAATTTCTTTGTTCGCCGGTGTGGATCAACCCCTTTCTTTCTCGCTTGACGGTGCTTACGAGTATCGCTTGTCTAGGGATGCGTCGTGACGCGTAGCAAAGATACGCGGGACTCGATCGCTCTCGTGGCGCATATCGGCGTCTCGAGTCTCTCAATCCCGTTAATTTTAATAGCTACATGCGTGTGTGACGGGGGTGTCCTTCGTGGAGCTGGAGAGATTTGATATCGCCATGGACCGGCTGAAAGCGGCCTACCAGATATATATATCCCGCGGACTGTCAATGTAGAAATCGATAGTATAAAATAAGCTTGATAAAAAGAATCTTAATGAAAATAAGCTCTAAAACTTTAAAACTTTAAAGATGGAGCGGCAAGTCAGCATGCGGAAACCGCGACCACCGCATCGGGCCGCGTGCACGGGCCAGCCGCCGCGTACCCGGAATCCGGAATATAAGAACCGCGTTGCGCGCGCTGCTTTTCTCCTTCCTACCAGGACTTGGAATCCTACCGAACTTGGTTCTTCAGCTGCCGTTTCTATACTCGGCGTCCTAGACGAAAATGAGGCCCTTCCCTTCTACCGAATAGCTAGAGCGATATCTTTGATGAGGAGACACAACCTCTGCGGGATGCGGGCCGCACGCCAGGGCGCACAATCCTAGCAACGATACAGCGCGAACCTGGCTCTGGCGTAGCAGAGCAGGCCGAACTGCTACGGAGAGATAGAGTACGGCTGGAATCAGCGACGATGGTAGTCTGAGCGACAGCGATCCCGATTCCAGCAGCGACGATGGCGGATGTCGCAATGAGGATGGGCAACATTGTCCAAGCTCGAGGAAGAATACCCCATGGGATGAGATCGAGGAGTAGCGCTTACGGGTGTACAAGGATGAGCGGAAGCCTTGAAAGGGGATCTTCAAGAAGTTCCCAACCAGAACTGAACTCGCAATTCGTAATTCGCACGCGCTGGACTATGATCCAGAAGCGAAATATATTGACTTCTTTCCAAGTTCTTTTATGTCGAAAACAGCTACTTGTTGAAATATTTATTCAGTATATCTAGTTCACATAATATTAGTGTATTATATGCATGTTTTCCTTACGTGCTTGGTAATAGACAAATTTATATTGCAGCGGAATGATAGCAGTGCGGCTTTCATAGTGATTTCAGTCTCAGATCTTTGCCATTTCTGTGTACCTGCACTGCCGCCTCGGTAGGAGTTAGTGCCAGAGCGTCTTGTCGATCATGCAAGCCGTCGGAGGAGCCACCAGCTCTCGTTGGGTAAGGCCCTCGAACCTAGCGCCACAAGCATGGCTCCTGGTTAGATTTGGGTACTAATGTACTTCGTAAGATACGGATCTATTAAGCCGCTTTGTTATTGCGCACAGCCTTGACAGCCAAGGCTTGTGTCGCCAGTACGAAGGTATAAAAGAATTGATCACCTTCAACCAAGCCATGGAATATGCTTCGCGATGTTGATACGAGAAATAGAGTTGGAATCAACTCAACACGATACCCAGCTTTCTGCACTAGCCAAGCCCCTCCCCAATTGCACCGCCGACGCGGAGAAGGGCCAGCCCGGAAAAGTAGAAGTTACTGAGCACAAGAGCAGATTCGGCAGGTTCAAAGACCGATATAAAGGCTGGAGGCATGGACTCCTGCTTGGATTTATCGCGAGCGTTGTTGTCTTCTTTGTCAACCTGGGGTTTGCTCTATGGGCTGTCCAGCATCATCGTCTTCAGGACAGCCAAGGGGTCCTCTATGAAGGCGATTGCAAGAAGGTCGAACGTTCTGGTGTCGGGCTTCATTTCGTGATTAATATTTTTGGCACCACTCTCCTAGGTGCTAGCAACTATTGCATGGTAAGTCCTAGCTACAATGAAAATGAGTATCTCTGCAATACGCAGTTGTGGTTCGTGCTGACTTGTCATGAAGCAATGCCTCTCAGCGCCCACGAGAAGCGACATTGATCGTGAACACCAGAGAGGAAAATGGATGGATATCGGCGTGCCAAGTCTACACAATCTGTTCCGGGTATCTAAGATGAAATCCTGGCTGTGGGTGGGCTTAGCGTGCTCGTCCGTCCCGCTCCATCTGATGTGAGTGTCGCCGCTCCCCACGTCTATTGCTCGATACCTTAGCTAAAGCGTCCTATGTGCAGATACAATTCCACCATATTTACAACTATATCTGCCGATGCATATAATATCTTTGCAGGCAGCGGGTCTTTTACAGAGATGGATCTGTCAAGCCTCGCCTTGGGCACAGGCGATGGTAATATCAAACAAGCATTCGAGCGGCTCCATCAAAAGGCACAGAACGGCACGCTATATCGACTTGATAATTCTGCTTGCATAGACGCCTATGCCACTGCCTACCAGTCGGCTTATGGCAGCGTGCTTGTGGTGACTACCGATATCACCCAGTCAAGTAAATACATAGTCGTAGACCAGCAGGAAGTCTATAACCCCTCGTTAGAGAACAACCCCGGAGCAAATCCCTATAGATGGCTATGCGCAGATCTGCAGACTACGAGATATTCCTACGCACAGTGTCTCACGCTCTTGCCACAAGTCCGTTCTCTGGCAGCAGATAACAAGTGGACGGTGAGTGGTCACCACGTCGACTACTGCCTTGTTGAAACGGTCCCTTCGCACTGCAAATTACAATACAGCTTGCCACTAGTGGTGACGGTTATCAGTCTCAATCTTCTCAAGGCTATACTCATGGGTTATATGGCGTTCTGGTTTGTTGACACCCCAATTCTCACCATGGGGGATGCTGTCGCCTCCTTCCTGAGGACACCCAACCAGTTCTCGGAAAGCAAGTGTCTATTGATTATGGATAGCGCTCGAAACCCTAAAAAGTGTGGTAATGGTGATCTAATTTTCGATGGGAGTCTAAGACGATGGCGATCAGCTATCCCTCGATCGAGATGGATTCTAGGTATCGGATTGTAAGTCGTGATCCCCCTATGGGTGTCGGTGTCCATAACTTGACGACTAACAAACAATGAAATAGCTACGTCGTGGCCATTCTTGCATGTGTTGCTGTCCTTGCCGTAGGGCTAATCTTACCTTTCAATAATAGTGGCATCTGGAAGATTGGACTTGGGGAGGTTAGTGCGCAATCACTGCTCTCCTCGGGGCAGGCGTGGATAACATCATTGGTGGTTAACGCCATCCTCGCAAATCTGCCCCAGTTGATACTCTCCATGCTTTACTTTACGTCCAATAGCCTCCTTACCAGTATGCTCATGGCCGACGAGTGGAGTAGATACGCGCTACGCCACAAAGGCCTTCGAGTCTCCTCTCATCCAAGAGGATCACAAAGAAGTAAATACTTCCTCTCGCTCCCATACCGATACGCTATTCCCCTTATGATCTCATTGACCCTCCTCCACTGGCTCATATCTCAGAGCCTGTTTCTCGTCATGATCCAGGCATATTCTGCCACCCTGCAGCGAGATCCTGCGAACGACATTACCACCTGCGGGTACTCGCCAACTGCCATTGTTAGCACCACGGCAGTCGGGGTTGTCATGTTTTGCTGCCTTATTTTTCTGAGTAGGAAACGATTCAAGACGGGCATGCCGGTTGCGGGGAGTTGTAGCATTTCCATTGCCGCTGCATGCCATCCCCACCCTCAACTAGAGAATAGAGAGACTACTGGGCTTCAAGAAGATGAAGGGTGCTTGCCTGTAAGGTGGGGAAGTATCCAAGTGCCAGATGGAGAGATTGGGCATTGTTCTTTCTCGAGTGGCGAGGTAGAGCTTCCTGAGCAGGGGAAGGCATATCGATAATTAATGTGATGCTAGTTAATAATTGGTATTTTTCCTACCCCTTGCGCGCCCGTCTTGTGTATCTTCGTCACTGCTACCTATCTCACATTGGTTTCTACGTTGATATTTTATATCCAGTGATATAGAGTAGCCCAATCTCTCTAACTTATATACTTATCTGCCTATATATAGGAGGCTTTACACAATAGTCTTAGGCTATTTAATTAATATAATCACCTTAATTCTATAACCTGTTTTGACTAATTCTCTGCGTTGTATTATATGTGCTAATTTGGTCTCAATTATCAACATAATGGCCCTAATGAATCGCGCAGGCTCTATATGCCAGTAAATATCGAATCCCTCAGAGTTATACGGGCGAGATCTGTTCCAGAGCCGAAAGTAACACTCTTAAAAAAAAGCTATACTGCCATTACCTAAGCTACTAGTACTGTCAAAGTATACAAGGCTCCGTGAGGAAATAGGGTGACAACATGACGATTAGAAACAGAGAAGCTTGTGAATTAGCCCTTGATTACTATTCCTCTCATATTATACTACTAATAGCGAAATTAGTCACCTAAAAAGTGACAAGGGCATAGTCTGCAACACCCAACTTCAGCAGTTGCAACTCCAAGTTACGAGAAATTTCCTGAGTCTATTTAGATATCAATCCTCCTTTAATTCCGTCCACCAGCAATAGTAATGGAGCAAGACCAGACTCCTAGCGAGAAGCCAGGCCATCCGCCCGCTCAAGCGATCCTCCACGAGTTGCAGACTGCCAAAAACAGCGCTGCCCATTTACTACCCAAGTTGCAGTCTATAAAGGAATCCAATCCCCGTTTGATGCTCTTAGACGTCGGCGCCGGCTCAGGCACCATCTCTGTGAGTTTCGCCAAGCTCATTCCCAGCGGCCACGTTACCAGCATCAACCTCAGTCCCAACATCTTGCCACGGGCACGAGCTGTTGCTGAAATGGCCGGCGTCAAAAACATCGAGTTTCAGCCGGTCAGTGTCTACAAGCTCCCCTTTGCCGACGAGACATTCGACATCACCTTTTGTCATCAGGTGCTGGTCCACATTGGCACCCCGTGGGATGCGCTGCGTGAAATGCTCCGAGTAACAAAGCGAGGCGGCATCGTCGCGGCCCGCGAGGGCGACTATGAGACGGAGTGCGTCTGGCCCAAACTTCCCGAGCTGTGCAATTTCCATAAGCTCATGGCAGGCTTTATGAGTGCCGGTGGTGGCACTCCAACTGCAGGCCGACAGCTCCTTTCTTGGGCACTCAAGGTTGGTGTCGAGCGGAGTCAGATTACGCTCGGCTATAGTACATCATCATACAATACACCGAGCGATAGGAAAACCTGCTGTAGGTTTCAGTTTTCCACTCTGCTTCTTGTGGCTGCGATTATGGCCCTAATGGCTGTGTTTTCTCTAGCCCAGGGGTTATGTGATCAACTCAGAGGGGGTTCTTTGCGCGAGAAAGCCTTAAAGTTCGGCCTAGGTACTAAGAATGATTTTGAAGAAATGGCCAAGGCTTGGGAGGAGTGGGCGAAGAGAGATGATGCAAGCTTGGCCATGCTGCATGGAGAAATTCTTGTCCAAAAGTAATTTCAAGACTTCAAGTGACACTTTATAGCTGGTCCATGTGTACCGAAGATGCAAAGAAAATATATGATAACTGAATACGAGCTCGTGCTTTTCTCTAGCTGTTGAGCGGATTTCCTGAAGGCAATTGAGTGCATCTTGGACATCTTGAAATCTCCAGTTGCTCATCACGGGCCGGAAGAGGTGGAATTCAGTTGAGAGGCATGACTAAAGATCCTTAGGAAGGCGTCACTTTACCTCTTGTCCATGAGATTACTATGGTCCCAAAATGCGGACACCTATGCGACGATACGCTTTTGAGCCGGCGTACGGCATTTCACTATTGGCGGGAATACGGACGATCAAAACGAAAGGAAATGAAAGGAAAAGGGGAAAGAGAGGAAGGATTGGGGCATAAAGTATTTATTAAGGAAAGTTGACTTTGAGATCAAGCCAAGTGCTACCTGAAGTTTTTGGAATGAGTGACAAAGTGGGTCCTGGAACAAAGCCTCTGGTGAGAGAATGTGGCGGATTATGTGAGGGGATTGGAGGAATTAGAAATCGGCATACGCGACATCGACACAGAAATTTCAAGCTTGCGATCAGCTTCCGAGCCCCTCAACACTTTGTTCGCTGACGTGTAGCATTTGTGGCCAAATCTACTTAGGACGGTATCCTGGAACTTCATGAACCACTCGAAAAAGGGTCCTTGAACTATAGGTTCTAGCCACCCGCTCTAGCGCGCCCGTCGGCAAGATGATTATAGAAGCATGGTACTTTACTGCAGAAGCACCAAGAAAGCAATACCTAAGAACGGTGTTTGGAGAGGAGACAATGTTTGATTACGTATCTGAAGTCCTGTGTAGACGACCTCAAGGCGCTAATCTGCAGACACCCTTACGACCAATTTCTTTCCGTCATTTTTGCGAGTCTTGAAAGCCCCTAGACCTTTCAATACCTCCTCAACTCCAATATCTCCTACTTGCTCATACTCATTCGGTTTCACAACCCCGCTCTCTAGAAACTGTTCTAGTTTTGGGATATAGGTCTCGATGTCCTTGTTCACGGTTTCCTCGCTTACACCTCCTGATTTTCCGATGAGCCCCAAGGTTATGAGGTGTATTTCCACTCCCTTTCTAGGCTCCACAGGAGCCCTGAATACAGAGTGTTAGCTATTTTTAGCACTCGTAGGAATATGCGTAGCATCAACTTACCAATCATTCGTTGTGGTAAAATATTTGGCGGAATCTGAGATGCTGCTTTGGTCGGCAAGTGCTTGCATGCCTGTATCCCCTGCCATTGCACTCGCGTCAAAGACACGAGAGAATTTACCGCCGGTGATGGTTGCTATCCCTTGTAGCTGTTCCGCAACTGGGATTCTGTGGCTCAAAGTAGCATCTGCACCTAAGCCTTCAACCAGCTGTGATGGCATTAGTCCCTTGATGTTCGTTATCATTGGGGTTTAGATGTCACCTTATTGTTCGACGGGGAGCAAAAGGCGAGGACCTTATACCCACAAAGCTTTGCGAGCTGCGTTTGTGTCAGTGTACACTTGGGTTGTCTTATTGAGTCAATATTACCTGCACACCGTATTGGCCAACGGAGCCAGCTGCTCCAAAAATAACGACCCATTCAGAGTCTTCAGCACTCTTCTGGGGTTGAGCCTCCAAGGGCATCTTCGTTCCACTGACAAGACCCATGGAAGCCGTCTCCATAGGCAACATATTAGCAAACTTGACAGCTTTCACTTCACTACTCTACGCACCAATAGTCCAACACCGATCGTGGCAGCTTGCACGGAGGTTATATTGGCCGGCGTCTTGAACGTAATATGTTCATCCATCAAGAACTGCCAACTATGTTAGGATTTTCCAGCGGACCGAGGAAGAAATGGTCGACTTACATATTCCTGAAATGTGCCATAGCCAGGCTCACCAAGCCTCGTGCAACCGAACACGCCATCACCCTGCTTGAATTTCTTCACATCCTCTCCAACGGCCACAACAATGCCAGAGGCATCGCATCCGAGGACAATCGGCCAGGCTGTCACCAACATCCCTTGTTGCTGGATGCCTTCACTATTTTCGGTTCTTAGCAGCCATAGTGGTCATTTAGGGGGACCAGCTTACACTGGATTCAGTCCTGTAACTAGGGACTTGACGAGGATTTGGTTCTTGCCGGGGGTTGGTTTGGCAACAGAGTCGGAGAGTAAGTACTCCCCGCCTGGCTTTTCGAGAATGATGCCCTTCATGGTGTGTGGTGGTGATTGATGCAGGGCAGAGAGAAGTCGGGTTGTTGAAATCAACTGAAAAGTTATACAACAAAAATGACCCAAGAGCGAATTTCAACTTGATTCAAGCAAGAAATAAAAAACAGCAACCTCGCCGCATTTTATGGCGGAGTAATCGTCTTGCACGTGAATGTATTTGCACCCAATTTCTACCCCTCCCATTGCGACGCCTCATTCGGAGTTAACCAGGGGAATTGCAGAGCAGAAAATGTTTCCGCCCGCTCTGGCGTCAAATAAAAGCGAACTCATCATATGCATCTAGCCCCGTGGATGACTCTTCTCTAGCGCCACTAAAAGCCAACCTGCGCTCGTAATACGAAGTACCACCTGATTGGCGATGGGCATTTATATGTGACGTGATTGGAGATGCGGGGAAATGGCAAGGCTGAATGTTTCCCGTCGTCCTGCTTGGAGCCTTCTCTTGAATCTCGATGCTTGATTTTCATTCCCTGATATAAAATGGGCTGGTTACCGTGGGGGTTTCCCGTACCAGCTCTGCAAGCCCTCGGGGTTGGCTCCATATATTATCTTTCGGCCTCAGAATACTCGTAGGTCTTGGGGTCCCAAGTTCCCAACCCGTACTTCGCCCTGCGATGAAACCTCCTCGGTGGAAATCTAGGGTTTGCTTACTACTTAAAGATGGTTAGCGTCCAAGCTGGAGCTTTAAAAAAGAATAGGTCGTTGTATTAAAATTGGAGCGGCGCACCCTAGGGACGGTACATCTGCCTTATCGTAGCAGAATTTAGAAGCCTCAAACCTCGATGTATACTGCGTACACGAGCTTTAGAAAGGGACTACATTATGCATCTCCACCTAGTCTACTATGACGTTCCTAAATGAGCTTTACAGTTTCAACATCAATCTGTGCATAAGGTGTATATAACTGTCTCCTTGAAGAGTCCACTCTGCATTGTCAAGGGGTCTAACACAGCATTACTAGTCTAGTCCTATTTCGATAGGCCGGCCTCAGGGCCAGAGCACCTGTTCATTTCGCGTATCGCAGCAGTGTCATGTGATGTGAACATCGCCTAGTGTGGAGGCGTTTTTGGCGCTAGTGCTGTACTCGGTGAGCCAATTACAAAGGCAGTGGACGCGGGTGATTCCGCCTTACTAGATAGACTACATGAATTCGAAACTCAATACCAACAAACCACCAACCTTTAGCATAATATCAACTCCTTCCAAGCATTTCAATCAATCTCATTAAGTCTCTAACCTGCACGACGGTCCGTCTTCTAATATTATTCACTTTTCAACTACTTAGCCCGGACCAACTGATTCCATATCTGTTCCTTTATTTTCCAGGGCCTTCACGGAATCATGCCCCTGCTAGCTCTCCCAGTAGAGTTGCTCGACAAAATCTTCATTGAATCTATTCGAGTACGCTCATTTCAGCGTGCCATGAGACTCAGGCTCGTAAGCAGTAAGTGAAATGTAATTGTCACCAAGAAATTATACTAACATCTACCTTATTAGGAGGTTTTATGTATTATACGAACCGAGCCATCTTTTATTCTCGCATCCTTGATACAGAGTATAACAAGTGGCTCCATCCTCTCAACTGTTTTTGCAACACTGCAGAAGTTTCATTTATGCAGAAATACCTGGCTTATCGAATTCCTCTCGAGGACGATCCTAGATTGCTGGGAGTCCGGGTTCGTCGTGTTGCGGAGCGTATCTGCGAGTTAACAGGCAATACAGGCGATGGCGGTTTGAACTCCTGTATCCAGAGCCTTTGTGGGCTTTACTTCTGGGGCGACACGTATAAAACCGGAGACTTGATCGAGTCAAAACTAGGAAGCGAGCCTACCGAAGAACATTTAAAGTTAGACCTTGTTACTGCTGCAGTCTATCTAAACCTTCCTACCCTAGCCAGTCAACTCCACTCTGAGAAAGAGGACGACTATTCGATTTCTTTGATTGAGTTAGATAATATGCGCTGGGCTCGCTACGGGATCGCTTCATTTTACGGAAATTTAGATATGATCAAAATTCTACTCGCTACCGATCCAACAAAGGAAGCGAAAGTAGGCCGCCTGGTTCCGATGGATTATGTTGTGGAAATGATTAAATGGTCCGCTCTCGGGGGTCATAGTGAAATATTCAACTTTGCTCTGGATAACAGCGAGGAGTTCAAGTTATCACACAGACGCGACGTGGATTACCGAGATCTTCGAGACGCAATGAACTGGACTGCTTTCCCTAAAGATTATCAGCGAGTGGCCGCCATCTTTGGGTCAGAAAGTGAAGTCTTTTCTGCAAAACAGGACGGAGACTTGGACTCTCGACTATGTGAGAGCGCTGACAATGGGCGTGTCGAAATGGTGCGATACTTCTTAGATCAGGGAGCCTGTCTAAATAACCCTCTAGCAAAGCGGGGTTGTATTCACGAAAGCGAATCTGGGATAACACGGCGTACCACTACACCGCTGTTATCTGCTCTTCGAAGATGCCCATTGGGGAGCGAAGCTGTCGTCAAGTTAATGCTCGAACGCGGCGCTGACCCAAATTGGTATCCTCCCGAGAAGACCCCCCTCATGGCCGCCGTCCATAACAATCGATTTGAGATAACTCGTATGTTGGTAGATTATGGGGCAGACGTTAATGATGGAAGCCCGGCCCCAATCGTCTTGGCCGCTCGCAATGAAAACACGGAAATCTTTCAGTATCTGCGGGAAAGAGGGGCTACGATTGACACCCCAGAGACAGGGTCCTGGGCAATGGCTTATGCGAAATTCTATGGTTTGGACTCCATGGTTGCCCTCTTGGTGCATGAAGGGGTTGACGAAACAGCCGCGCTTCAACGCGCTTCATCCAGGAAGGAAACCTGGACAGACTGGACCTGTGTCTATAAACACCAGCCGGAGCTACATTTAAAGTATAGTTTCTGATAGAAGTACTCCCGCGGCAGTTGGCGGGGCTATACATCTATTTCGTTGATCGATCTCCATCCTTTTTTCGGTAGCGAAAGAATTCACCCTTCAAACCAACCACCCCTCTCCTTTCTATAAAGGATTTTGTTATTTCTCTACACTTACAGATCTTTCATCCCTTATAATAAATAAGCTAGGCTGATCGTTTACTTGACGTGTTAGCTTTCATCACAATATGCTTTATAAATCCTGAAATGCCAATCGAAAATGAACCGCAATCTTCCCACCAGAGGATGTTATATCGGTATTTTATATGCAATCCGCGGACAAGAGACTAACTAACGACTGGACAACGGTAAAAAGCCTGCAAAAGACAATAAAAAATAAATACAAGCTAAACGAGTGGACGTGGAAATCTGTAGGTTACCCCCAACAACCAAAAACCTATTGCTGAAACCCATTGCTAACAGAACAACAGTCATATGTAACCAGATTTCGAAAATTCGAATCGTAAGACCACAACCCCAACAGCCACTCATCTCCTAGGTATATACAATTGTTGTAATCAGATGGAGATCTGGGCTATCTTTCCCCTCAGCGACAATAGTAAACTTCTGAATGCTGACCGTTTTTCCGCCATCAGAAAGGCTGGGCAACATCTTCATTTGACCTTCCGTGAATGCATTGTTTGTCATGATCTCTGTCCATCCACGCGATGTCGGAGTAAATTCGAGAGGTGCACCGTCGATATTGTTTACATCCTTTCCCTGTGCCCTGATTGCCGCCTCTAGGGAAGCTCTAGCGGCAGGCTGCTGGATGTCTTCTGTTCCAATGACCTTCGGGTTGGTATGGCCATTGGTTGCTGACTTGTAGTTGTCGACCACGATGTCTCGGTACTTCATGTTGATGTTTTCTGTCTTAACAAATTGGGTGATGTAGGCTTGATTTTCAGGGTGGACCAAATAGTCAGCCACAACGGCACCTCGTCGAGCCCCTTGTTTGATATGGAACACCTTCCATCCATTTTTAACGTCGCCGGCATAGCCCTCCATCCAACCCGGAGTATTAACTTCCTTGTTTTCAACGCTTCTGACCAACCCTTCCTGTTCGATAGTCCGGAGTTCGGTGCTTGGCCTAACCAAAGTTCCCCCTACCACACGACTGCCGTCCCCAGCAGCGCTACCAGAACCACCGGGTGCCACAGGACCACCAGGTGCGTCGCCCCCCTTGCCCCCCTTTCCAGCTCCACCTGTAGCTCCTACCTTTGGTGGTGCGGTGACCCCCCGAAGAGTGAAGGCCTTGGAAGAAAGACTTCCATCAAGAACAGCAGCGGCATTGGTAAAAACGGTGATGCCCCAGAGAAAGGTAAGGAGTGCCACAAATGCATGTCCATACTTCGTGATGATCTAAAAGGAGACAGGAATGAAAGTAAAATAGTATCGGAGACCACAGTTTTGTTAGAAAGTAGGAGTATCAAGAAAAGAGGTTCGATGATTGATCTGGATGTTTGCTGAGTTTGGGAGACTTGATGGACTGAGACTCAAGCTGAGGGGAATCTACACTACCTTTATAGCCCACTTTAGATGCGTATGATTTATTCTTTGCACCAGAAGGTGGTAATCGTAACTCGAGTGACCCCGCTCTCGATGTGGAGCATTGATTAACGACACATGTCGTTGCTTCTTTACTCGTCTATGTTATGATTCCTTCAGAGTCCAAGACATCTAGATCCCGGACAACTAAACTTCTAGAGCGTGTGCCTCTCATGGGTGAAATACCAATATTTAACTTCGCCACCATGTACGCAAGATTTCCACAGCGATAACACGATCCACTTCTCTGTAGCATATACCATGCACATGGATATCTCTCACCAACACTCCGCCTCCCAACAGCACGACTGTCATTCGAGTTGTGTGATCAATCATTAGAAATATGTGTTAGTTTCACTCGCCACCTCTATCAAAGCGCATAGCTGTCTTCATCTAAATGTAGGCATAGCACCATACGCCACCAGAAAATGGGTGATTCTTTTGAAACACCAACTTAGAGTTCTAGATCTCATCTTAATCCTTCAGGATGATCACATGAATGTTTGTGCTAGGCGCCCTATGCCACATCCCCCTGACCTCTGTTCTGCAAGAGTTTCTCTGTGATGGAAACTATGCTCACTTATAACCCTCCAACCAACAGGATTGCGCGAACGGATAGGGCCATCCAGATGAACAGAAGGTTGATTCTCTCCATGATTTCAAATATACCAACGAGACGAAACAAGGAGTTTGCGGCGTAAAGAACAGATGTAGCACAAGGACTGAGAAAATTTCAAAGGATTTGTCAGTTTCTTTACGAATGCGGACCCGAGATCGATGACATAGCCTCAGCTTTTCCAACAGATAAATTCGACGTGGGGTCCTAAGCATTTCTCTATACTCATTACGAAATTTCATGCTATACGGGCGGGGTTGGCCGCGATTAGAACAAGGCACGTGTTCAGGCACTTAGGGTGCGACAAAATGTATAAGAGGAGCAGTGAAAAATGCCAGGTCAACTTTGAATCTAAACAGCATCTGTGGTCTTTCATCCTTCAATTTCTTGCAATCATCAATTTCCTGCAATCATCAAGCGTACACAACCGTTGTTTATTATCAAAAGTGAGCAACATGGCAGTGGCGAATGCTATCGGGGGAGTCTTCCTCGCCCTCTCCATTTACCCACTTGCCTTGACGTATTTACCTCCTAAAGCAAAGACCGCCACAGCCGTTCGAATTAAGCTTGGCCTTCCCCAATTTCAAGACAAGGTAGCTAGTCTTGCGGGCGATAAGCCGGCTGTTTCATTGTTCAATTCCAATGGGGAGCGTATCGGCTTCACTCTGGGAGGGGGTCATATCGAAGAAGACAGCGATACGAAACCCACCGGGGATATTCAAGTCATGCACATCAACCAGGAGCAAAACTCATTCGCCGAATATATCTCGATCTCTGCTACTGGATCCGACGCAATTTGTATTTCATCAATTACAATCACCATGGCAGCCGATGACCAGCCAAACTTTGCACTCTTCGGAGACATTCCAATCTCTTCGCGGGGCCAAGATGTATCTCTCCAACGATGTAACCATGCAATCCAAGGACTCCTATCACTCAAGGTGCTTCTGGCTTGATGGCCCAGATAAAACGACGGGGAAAACGACCAACGATATAAAGCAAGGCATTAGTTGGCACGTTACCGATTTCCTTGGGCATGAGAATCGAATCGAGCAATACAACACCCACCCGGATACTATGTGCAAGAGTATTCCTCGCCTTCAGATGTGGGACTATATGGATCCACTCCACTGTGTCCCAATATTTTGGCCACCACTTCCAGACTCCAAAGGAGGGCTAGACCAAGACACCGCGCAAGTCCTTAGCGACACCGGTTCACTGCACTGCGATATGGAGAAAGGCCAACAGTTGCTTTATCCATCAAACAAGCCGAATCCACGAGTTGTTCCTAGCTCAACTTCGATAAGGAGACTAAGAAAAGCATTTATTACTTCGGGACGGAACTCGAGGACAGTATTCCGTTACCCCCCTGGAAGTGACAAGCGTCGATCCATCGACGTCGAGGATTGGGAGCTATCTGCCAACATTTTGGATTCGCGGGTACCCGAGCTGAATCAGAAAACGGATTCGGATTGCCCATCTGTTCACGCGAACAGAATCGTAATCAGTGAGAAGGAGACTCATAATGGCGGGGCGAAGGAATTGTGTGAAGCACCAAATTCCTGGGGGCCTGATTTTGTCTCGACCCTTGAAGGAAAGTTCTGCGATATGTGCACTCGACACTTGTGGGATATCTGTTCTGACAAGATCACGACGGCATGTTTTGATATGACTACCAGCACTGTGCGACCTGGGAATGGGATACGTGGGCGTGATTTTTTTGGTAGAGCCATCCCCGTGAAGAATTATACGACGGTGTTGGAATGGAAATAACTAGAGCAATCACAAAGTGTGAATCTCAAGAAATGAGGCGGGGTTGAGAGTTTTCGAGAGGGGGTACGAGAAAGGGGAAGTGTACTTTAGAAAATAGGGGTGATCGGTATTTCACCAATACTCGCCCTAGCTAGCCGCAGAATAGAGTTTCGAAAACTAGGGTCCCCACCTAGAGCACCTAGGTACATAGTGACCGGCCTGGATAATGAATTGCTTATAGTGTGGAGGCAAGCATTGCCGACGCCTTGATTTCATTGCACGAGGTAATCAAATTCTGAGTCGATGTAGTATAACTCAGTCCTTGGCCGTTGGTCATCTGATTCCAAGGCAGCGTTACATATTTAGTTGCACTACGACCGTTCACCACTTTTGGTTCTGCCATGCGGTCTCTGCCAGGCGGCGTAGTTTCGTTGCTTTACGATCTCTCGCCACTATTTTATTTTGCCTCTGGTTCTGCCTCTAGTTCTGCCGGCATAGATTTCGTTGCGTTACGACCGCTCACCACTTCTGGTTCTGCCAAGTGGTTCTGCCAGGCGGCATATTCGTTGCATTTCGATAATACTGGCAGAATACTTTATGACTTTGTTCACCACTTCAGGAACCCAAGTACCTCGTGCTTCACCCTCTGTTAACCTTTCCTACAGTAACAAAATTTAAATATCAAAGATAGTTCGCATACGTATCATACTAGTATGTGTCATGAACATGATTTATTTCTTCTCTTATTCTGGTTGCTCACCAGTCACTGATCATGATGACCAAAATAATGGCAATCCATTGCTGCAACTAACGTCAGGAACATAGAAACCGAATCAAATGTAGAGATGAACATAACATTGTCACGCTGTCAAGCAAACTGCAGCCTTTGATGCAAGGTTGCCAAAGTTTCATTTACTAATTATAATTCCGATTTCATTTTGATGTTCAATTTGTTCACCTTGCTACATTTCGGCCTCTCTTTGAATTCCTCAACTCAAGATGGTAGATTTACTTAACAGAGTAGAACAAGTCGCACTTGACGGCAGGTGGGTAGATTAGATAATATACAAATATAATACTATTACTATACTAGACTAAATCGTACTATATAATCAAATAGCTCTAATTGATTAATTTACTTACGTAGCAGCTAATTTGATGCGATCCGCGTGTATACTATTAAACTTGGTGTAATTCGCCGACACGCCGCAAATTCGATGCGGATTTGCACCAGAGGCTGCAAAAATGAGAGACATGAGCCAAAAGAGCGATTCGTCAATATGATGCCTTACAAAAACGCGGATCAATAGAGGTATATTTTCTATTACGTTGCAATTGCAAGCGACAGATTATTCTGTTCGAAGTGATAATAGCTAGTTGTTTAATATGAATGTACCGTTATTGATAATGGCACAGAGATAGCCGTAATAGTTTGGTTAGCCCCGCCTGCTTCCTCATTGTCCCTACAGCAATGAACTGCTGCCTCGCGGCTGTCAAAGCAACCACTGCATATTCTCACGCCTGCAAGGCAGGTGCATTTGCCTTTGCACATATTTTGTGTGAACTGCGAGCGTTAATTCCAAGGCATCTCCAATCGCACTTGGGACAGGGCCTCGTGATTTGTCCTACACTGTAGGGAATCTCCGACTCCTTACACTTTGTGCACAGGCCAGTCGCCCTTCGCATAACATCGTAGGCATAGCCATGTGCCTTACAATGGTCACACCTCTAAAAACTTGTGAGAGGTATACGGTGGTGAGCGTTAAGAATTCACTTGGTAGACGGGCCTGTTGCGACCCCTCAGCTGCAGCTGCTATTGCTGGCTAAAATTAGAAGTTGGGTGACAGTCGTCGCTGTTTCCCAAGGCTCAAACGAAGATTCCAAAAACGGAGAAGTTCTGAAATCGCGAGATCCACTTATTACCATGCTACTCTGAAACAACCCCCCAGCCACCATTTGGAATCAATCCTTCATCCAAAGTCTGATTCGATAGCTGTACTTCGACTTATCCGATCCTCTAGACTTTGACACTCCTTGGCAAAATAATCAGATAAAGTTAACCCTAATCTAAACTCTGAGACTCGAGCGAACTGCAGATGCGCTAGATTCCAGATCTTACAACCAAATGAAGTCAAGGCTGAAAGGTATGTGGAATCAAATATTCAGAAATCAACTCTCAGGAATAACGTCTCTGCTCAATGTTTAGTATCATGATATTGCAAGTATAAGATGGCAGTGCTCCTGCAATATATTCTCTCGTTAGCAGCGCTCAATTCCATTCTGTTAATTCATCACACTCAAGACTTCTCTACAGCCAATTATTCATATCCCATTTACAATTCACGATGGCTCGATTATCATCTTTCTTGGCTGGTCTTGCTATTGCCATTACCATTTCAGCTGCACCTCTTACAGTTCCTTTGGGGACAAGCGGCCAATCGTTAACCATCAGCGATGATGGCCAAAGTATTTCCATTAGTGGCCAAACGATGAGCCTGACTCAAGTCATGGCTAGCTCCAAGTCTTGCATAGGTAGAAAGAAGGATGCCGACCGCAAGGGCGCCGCATTCGGGGCTGTGAAGGGGGCAGGAAGGGGGGTAGCTGCCACCACAAAGAATGCTAAAGCAATTTACTTTATAACCAATGTCGTAAACAACTCGGTTGTGGCATTGAAAGTAGCTGCTGATGGGACTCTCTCTGATGGCTCTATCACTGCCACGGGAGGAGCAGGTATGAGCGGTGTCGACTCAACTGGAGCCCCAGCAGCACCGGATGCTCTCTTCAGCCAAGGAGCGGTGAAAGTAGCAGGAAGTGTAAGTGCCGCCCTCGCCAATATCATCAACTTCATGCTGATTCACGTAGAGCCTGGTTGCAGTCAACCCGGGTTCAAATACACTCTCGATGTTCGCTATCGACTCCACAGATCCCACCAAACTTACTATGGTCGGCCAACCAGTGGACACCCTTGGCGAATTTCCAATGAGTGTTGCCCTGTCCACAACCTTGAATCAGGCCTGCGTCGCCAACTCTGGTGCCAAAGCCGGAATAGCATGCTTTTCCATGTCAGCCACTAAAGGTCTCACAGCACTAGACACCTCCCTACGAACTTTCAACATTAGTCAGAAGACCCCTCCAGTGGGCCCCACCAACACTGTCTCTCAGACATTCTTCAACGCCGACTCTACTGCCCTCATGACTACCGTCAAAGGAGACCCAACAGTCAACAACACTGGTTTCCTCTCTATCTTCCCCGTAGTCAACAACCAAGTCGCTACCCAAGACGTACGCTCTTCACCAGCGGGAACAGCAGTCCTTTTTGGCACTGCCTTGATCCCCAAATCGAACAACGTCTTCATCACAGACGCCTCCTTCGGGTCTGCAACCCTCACCCTCTCTTCAGACAATATCGCCACCATCGCTGCATCTACCAAGATCAATGACCAATCAGCTACATGCTGGGCCACTATCTCTGATGCCACGGGTAGTGCATTCGTCACTGATGTCGCGGTCAACCATCTTGTGGAAGTGGACACCACTAGTGGGAGGTTAATCAAGGAGTTGAATGTTACGAATGGGAATCCAGGCATGGTTGATTTGGTGAGCGCGGGGAACTTTATTTATGCGTTGAGTCCGGGGAATGCAACGGCGAAGGCGGCGATTACGGTTTTCGATGTCAGTGGTGGACAGGGCAGTAAGTTGGTACCTGCGCTTGGATCAATGAATCTAGCTAATGTGACCTATAGCTGCGAAGGAGATCCAGAACTTCAGCCCGGCTGGCGTCGCGGATAGTGCTCAGGGTATGACGTTTGTTTGAGGAAATATGGATTATTGTGCGTATGATAGGGTTTTATTCTTGATGTGCTTACCCCGGGTTGGAACAACATAACTTTCAAATACGTCTAAAGCTTCTATCATCACTTTTTTTTCTTTCCTTAAGAGCCAGACGATGAACCCACCACAAAGTCCTGTATTTTAATGTTTGACCTAGGGATCCGATTGTGTGAAGGCGATGGTGGCGCGATGGCTGTTCTGCCAGCCTCGTGGCTGCTCTGTATGCAGGCACCAAACTGAGCTCTAGATAGGAAAGAAAGGTCGAAGTGCAATTCCATGAAAATTTTCCCCAAGGACGCCATGGCCCATATGCTCTACATCTTTTGATTATTTCCCAAATGGGTTTGAGATGCCCAAAAACGGCCCTTGTGTATTTCTGATTCTAGCAGTAGATAATAGAAGTAGATTAGGATTACTTAAGAAATAAATTATAAAGCGTGTCCTAACTAGTCTTATAATTGACAAAGAAGTCGAAGTATCAGTTATAAGTAGGTAATATATAGTAACCTAATAGATTGGGGTGATTCATCTAATTACAGTTGTATAGGTTCAATAGGGGTTTCTATAGGCGGCGCTTACGCCAAGCCCCCTGCAACACTAATCTACCTACCTACCTAGGTAGGTTATAACCACGATTCCAATCTCCTCAAGATTTGACGTGCTTACTTATGCTTACTCGTACTGAACACGTCGCAATAAGCTACAAAATATTACTTTTCGCGATGCTGCAACATTAGCTACAAAGGTCTATTATTAACACCCTTTCCTTCTCTTCACAATGAGTCATCAGGTTCGGGAGAAAGCCATAGGCTTAGCAACTGGCGGTCAAGGGGAAGATGATGCTATTTCATCCTCAGCCATCGAGCTATCGTTGCTTCCATCTACCTCAGTCCCACCCATTGAAACAACATCATTCAAAAATCGCCAAGCATTTGATGGACAAGATGGAATAATAACCTCATCATCGCCACCGCTATCACCACCAACATCAGGAGCACTGAGCATATCCAAAGCCAAAGGCGTGACGGTCATTGCTACCCTTGCGGGAATGAGTTTTCTGAACTCAATGGGCTCCGGAATTCTCATTGCGGCCCTGCCACGGATTGCCAAGGACGTTGGACTCCCCCAAGGCCTCATTTTATGGCCAGCCGTTGTCTATGCCCTTGCTGCAGGCTGTCTGCTTCTCATTTTTGGCGCTATAGCTGACGTTGTCGGAGCCAAGTTAATGTGGGTAGTGGGGAGCTTTCTCTTTGCCATCTTCACTATAGCTATCGGGTTAGCAAGGACGAGTATTCAAATCATTCTCTTCCGGACGTTACTCGGCGCTGCTATATCCATGTGTTTACCCACGGCGGTCAGTCTCATCACCAACACGTTTCCGAAGGGCACATGGCGTAACATTGCCTTCGCCATGAACGGGATGGGCCAGCCCCTCGGCTTCGCCCTTGGATTGGTCCTGGGAGGCATTTTCACCGACACAATCGGTTGGAGATGGTCTTACTACATGATGGCTATCATCAACTTGTGCATTTCAATAGCATCGATCTGGTCCCTGCCCTCTATTCATCATCACTCGGAGAAGAGATGGACCCGCCGCCTCCTCGAAGATATTGACTGGCTGGGCACTGTTATTCTTAGTGTCGCGCTTGGTGTGCTATTGTATGTCCTCGCCGTGACAACTTCTTCCTACCGAAACATTGGTGATACTCAGAACATTGTCCTACTTATTGTATCTGGCGTTCTGCTTGGTGCATTCCCCTGTTGGATGCATTACCAGTGCAAGAAATCGAGACCAGCACTCATTCCTAACAGACTCTGGGGAAACGCTTCCTTCACTTCTATTTGTATCTCCGTCTTCCTATGCTGGGGATCTCTTAATGGGATCCAGTATTTTACTACGCTCTAGTAAGTGTGCTGCCCCATATATTTCTCCATCGAGGGAGCCGGAATCGTTGATGTTAACGAGATAACTGTATAGTTTCCAGCAGATACAAGGGCTTTCTGCTCTGCAAAGCTCGATAAGATTCATTCCCCATGTTATCATGGGCACGGTGACCAACATTGTAACTGCCTACCTCATATCCCGCGTTCGGGTCCAAACGCTTGCCGTTATTTCGGCCTTGGTTACCATGATTTGCCCTATACTCATGGCCACGATCAAAGTAAATGAAAACTACTGGTTTGCCCCTTTTTGGGCATTGTTACTCTCGCCTATGAATCCGGACGGTATGATCCGCCCATAACTTTGTTCCGTTCCCTATCTCAGCTGTCAAGGAGGATGCATACTGACTATTTAATCTATAGTGCTATTCACGGTATCTAATTTAGTTATTTCTGATGCGTTCCCAGCCGATGTCCAATCCCTAGCTGGAGGAGTTTTCAATGAGGTCTCACAATTCGGTAATTCCGTAGGTCTGGCTGTAACTGCTGCTATTGCTGCATCTGTCACAGAGCACACAGGCATCCGAGATCCTAAAGAAGCACTTATGGAGGGTTATCGAGCTGCCTTCTGGATTAGCTTCGCCAGCCATGCCCTTGTTGTCATTGTCGTCTTCTTTGGCCTGAAGAAAGGCGGGACCGTAGGGAAGAAAGATCAATAAGGGGGATCCTGCTATGTACAGGTTACTTATATCTTACAGCTTAGGGTGGTCGGTTGAGGATTATTTTGTTAGGATGTTGACGATTATGGCAGCCTAACTACTTAGGTGATGATCTTCTCCTCAACAATCCCGATTAGTTCGCATAGTGTTATAAGCACAGTTAAAAAGTTTTATTTAGCAATATAGGATCTACTCACCTGGGTTGTATTTAACGGTTATCAATAAATAATATGTCCAATTAATAAGCGATTTTGGTGACTCGCCGATGATCGCGAGGTTTCAGCTCGACGATCCACCCAGGAGGTCACGGCCCACCTACTTATGGCGCAGCATATGGAAACTTATGGCAAAACAACCTCTAAAGAAAGTACAATCCCGTAGAGCTTGGAGCGATAGCCATGTTACTAGTAATATGCGGCGATGTTCGGATTTTATGTCATAAAGTGCGTCACACATCGGTGGAGGATCAGTGGATTAGTCAATCCATGAAACTAGGGAAGGGGCAAAACTAGAAAACGGTCAATTTCATCGCCTATAAATTGCGATGAGAGTCTATGGGATAGATAATTTCCCTATTTAGAAACATTATCACAACGGTTATCAGAACTCATTTCCCGAAGTGTGTAGCCATAGATGTGAGCTGGGAAGAACTCAAGGGCATGGCGAATGCGGCCACAGCAGCCGATGCGTTGAAATCAGAAGCGATGCTGACCGAAGAAGAAATCGTGAGTACCTTTATGTAAGGTATCTCCTCACCATTTAAGCGAACGTGGGGTACGGAAGATCAAGCGAAGACCGGGTGAAAAGGCACAAAAAGAAGGGGGAAAATGGGGAAAAAAGAAAAAAAAAATATTGCACAGAAACCTCATTATTTGAGGTTCATATAGGAATCGAACCAATATCTCCGGAATCAGAATCCGACGTGCTGACCATTACACCAATGAACCAGTTGCCTAGGTGGCTACTAATCAAGTTTTCTACAAAATCTCTTATTTCAATCTATCCGAGTCCTACTATAATAGCGCGGGAAGCTCGGCTAAATTCGGTATGCCCCTCAACCCCTAACCACCCAAGTGTAAATATCGCATAACTTACCAGGCAGGATTAGGAGCAGGCAGAGCCGTAATAGCGAACACACGTCGAGGCGTAGGTAACAACCTGCATCGGCGTTTTGGTAAAAGTATCATTTTGATCAAATTAACGAATCGCTATTTTGGCCTATGACCCTCATTTTCGCAGCCCCCCGCGCGAAGCTGCATCAAATTTGCAGCGTGTCAGCGAATTATATCGATTTAATAGTATATACGTAGATCGCATTAAATTTACTACTACGTAAGTAAATTGATCAAATTGATCAAATCGCAGAGGACCTTTTATTTGATGCCTACGAAAACACAGATGCTAGCTTCCACTTCTCTGATTTCTACTTTAACCTACTAATATGCGTCTCTAAGCAGCGAGTGCTTTTGCCTCCCAATATTATTATCGCATCGCGACCACCAGCGCCCATACTCTAAAGGCCTGACCTTTACAACCATCCCTGTACTTAAACAGGCGTCCAAAGGCCTCTGACTATGATTTCGCACCCAGTTATTCATGACACCTTTAGAACTGTTTGCCTTGGTCATGAACTGATGCAAGTACTGGTTTTGGCGGTGGCTTAAGCAAGTAAGGTTAAGGTGACTCACATATTGATATTTGGCCTATCTAGGTAGCTCGCACAGTGAGCCACCTATACAAATTACCTTGTGCGATGTTGAGAATAAAACAGTGTCGCTTCTTCTTCCTTCCTTCCACTTCATATAATAACAGCGACTATAGAAGAACCAACTTCCTTAAAGCGCACCTTGGCTTTATAATGGAAAACCTTTCCTGACAATACCAAGTACCAAGCATATACACGTTATCATGCCTGCTCCATTCATATACCTTAACAGCTGGCCTAGGCTGGTAAACATACCATAGCCAAAGAAATCCAGAAACAACTATCCGGACAAGGTCGTATTATAAGTTCTTTGTTAATCTCGGAAGCTTTTTGTGACGTTCTATCATTTCCTTAAGCACTTATACTGACTCAACTTTAGATCCACAGCCACCAACATATCGACCTAGCAGGAACCGTACTCCCACGATCTAGTCCACAATATCAGCAGTTACGCTTTCAGCTTCGACAAGTGCTTTTCCAAACCCTAGCAGCAGCCTCGGATACTTTCGAATTCATGTATGTTCTCCTAGCTTTTTGTATAAATGCAAACTTACACTAAAGTAGGTATATCTTTACCAACTTTCAGTCCGATAACGAGCTTGGGCGCAAAGTCGTAGGGCACTATGCAGAAGCAGCAAAGGCTCGGGGCTGTACTTTTATCCCAGTCGTCTTGACTTGCGACATCGCCATGAACACCCAGAGAATACGCTCTCAGGAGAGACTGAGGCTGCTTGCTGAAAGAAAGGGAATGTTGCTTGACACGGTTCTGTTGTCTGAGATGAGAGAAAAGGGAGGGATGCTAAAGTAAGATACTCCCAATGTACGAGAGCTGGACGTTACAGATCTGCAGCCCGCTGAAGCAGCTTCAATAATTATAGCGCATATGGTTTCACTGAGAAAGGTTGAAAGGGAGACAACGGAGATTCTGAGCGATGGTTAAATATCCTCAAGTATTCACTATCTTCCCTTCGGGCCAAGCTCCCCACACTGTATATATCTTCGCCTTCGCATATGCCCAGAGAGCTTACCTCTAGAGAATGCCCAATACAGATCTCTGTCCCCATAGCCTTGCCCCTCTAATAAGTTATGGCTCCTCTTTTACTTCCGCATAGTCCTTAATTCAATAATCAATCTATCCACTCGTTAAATAAATTAATTATCGACTCAAACCCAATTTACCGCGTCGCATCACCTTTCAATATTGCCGCCGATGATAGTATCTATATATCTACTAGATTTTAAAGTACCTTATATATAGTATTAAGATATCTCTTATACTTATTTATATTGGCAGAGAAGAATGGACGCACGACAAGGAGTATTTGGTGCCCTTAGACTAAGTATACGAGGAGAGGAGAGGAGATTTGTTATAATATAAATATTAAACATTATTCGACGATTCAGGTAATATCTTCATTTCACGTTTTACTTCTAATACTGTAAATCTCGAAATCCCGAAAAGTAGCCCTGCTGAACCGAATATACATAGACACGGTGGTGCTGTCTATTCCATTACTCCCGGCCGGAAGCACTTGGTCTTATCAGGGCCCATTGAGGTCGTCTCACGCGCACCCAGATCGGCGACGAGCAATGGTCTTTGGTGCAACCAGAGTGCAATGCAGCTGGCCATGATCGGGAAACATATGAGCTTTCACAGCAGCTCGGTCAGCTCTTGAGCTCTCAGTGTGGCGTTATCCTGAGTACCGATGGGAAGCCCGCCGACGTATTCAAGATGCGAAGCACTGTATTCCGCTGAGAAAACCCTGGGGATCCTTACGGGCGGGTCGGGAGATCTCTTAAGGGTTGTCAGTGGCTCGAGCGAGACGCGGCAATCAAAGTTCTGCCTCCTTTCCGAGGATGATAAACGAAAGATTGAGACGTGGCTAGTCCAGGCCCGCGCAATTGATAAGTACAACTGGTAGTTGAGAGGTAAATGGGTTCACTCGTCTATGATAGGACATCATGGAGCGTGGTTGGGTTGTAAGCTGGGAATGACGGAGCGAATAGATTCCTACCAAATACAGCAAAGCTGTGATGCAGTCTAGGGGTTTAGCTATCCCAAAACCTTTGTAGTCTTCATGATATGATATACTTTGGAGGCCACTATAGAATACAAACGCATAACCTAACTAGTACAAACGCCGCCCAAAAGTCTATAACCTCTTCCAACCCAGCATTATTATAATTTTAACGCATGATACAAGGATATTACAGCTTGGAAGCCTTCCGAAAAGCCGAATCGCAGAAGGCTATAGAAACAAGCAGTGTTCAAAATTCTCCTGCGCCCACAGCTGTATTTTCCATTTCTAGCAAAATATTCAAAACTCTTTCATACGTCCACATTGTGACCGCACTCGCCGGAGCGGCTTTGATAAGGCTTGGAATTGTTAGCTGCGCCAAAGAGAAACCCTAGTCACTTACCTGACTGTTAGTCCGCGATAGAGTCCTCTGGGTCCCTCACTCTTAATGATATGCCGAAAGGTTTTGAAGACGCCTTGGTAGACTGGGATGTTCTTGTGGACATATTTCGACCTCGTGGGCCCTTGAATCTGCAATCGCTTCTTTATCAGATCCAATGGAAACACACCAGTCTTGGAGATAACCGAAGCGATAACGCCAGCAGTAGCATCTCCCGATCCAAGTGGCAGGTCTAAAGTCCCCAAAGGAAGTCGGAGGGCCTCATAGGTAGCAAAAAAGATACCCATATATGGAATGATCTGCCCAATGCCAGCTCGAACACCTTGAAAGAATCCCCGGGGGCCTTCTTGACGGGCAATATCACGGATCGACTGAAATAACGAGCTATACACCTTGTCGGTCCCTTGGGCAGCAAAGCGAGTTCGTAGAACATCAAGCGGATACGTCGCAGTGGTCGCAATTGCACCGGCACCGGCACCGGCAATGAAGCTTTCTGCAGATGTTGGCAGCCGATGCTCGCCAAAACCGGACTGCAATGCCAGAGTAATGGTTCGATACGCCGTGAATTGTATTGCACCGTACGCAACATACATCAGCTCCGCCGGGATATTTCCCTTCCATAGCCCAGTGAGTCCTTCCTCCCGAAGGATATGTTTGATTGTAGGTAGCGTGCCCTTGTAAATCGGCGAACCGCGTAAATCCAGCTGCGACAGTGGATCGGACAGCGAGTGTGTTTGCAATTGGAGGCGGATCTTCACGACATCAAGAGGAGCAATGACAAATCTAACTTCACGAGTCAGTAACGGAGCGCCTTCGTCTGGGGCACATCTACTCGCCTTGCAATGAGACCTGCCGTAGCTCCAGCAATGACGACTTGGGTTTTGGAGCCCTAGAAACTGTCTGTCAATAACAGATTTCGATATTTATAGGAGAGGAAGCAATGAACAATACACACCTCATCCTTAAGATGTTCTCCGCTTCCCGACATGCATTTGGTGATCTCCGAGGCAAGGCGAGCGCTAAGGGTGTCGTTGATGGAGGGCTGGTCAACTTTTATTGTTTGTCGGGGATGCGGGAACGACATGGGTTGTGTTGGAGGCGCCAGCCATGAGGAAGAAGCCGGAAGAAACAGGCCCAAGCACTCGGGTAATAAATTGAACGTCCTCCGTGTAGCAACGTGAAGCAAACATATATCAACCGCACATTCTCCTTCTCAAACGCGCTGCTCGGAAGGTTGGTCCAACGATACATAACGATATCGAAGCTGTTGCTATTCCCCTTCGTTTTGGCTATCACCAGCACTCTCACGTGACCAACTTTCAACTTCTGGCAATTCCAAGCAACCTCACCACGAGTCAAGTCCAATATCAATATGCAGCCGTTACGCTCCAGCCAAAGGCTGGCCCAACGCATGTTGTCATGTTCCCAGGGAAGAATATCTGCCTATCGGTCTCAATATCGGCAATATACTCAACTCTCCAACAGCCCACTGGATAACCCTGCGGCCAAAGCCTCCGCCATTGAGGGCGCTGCCTCCGATACCCCTTCCGCACAGGAAACTAGTCCATCTAACGGTGCTACTCACAAGGTCATGACCATTCGTCGCCCCTTGGGCGCTCGCAAAGCATATTATATGCTTACTGGCGGGGTGAGAATTGGGACTAGGTTATTTGAACCGGTACTACTCCGAGATGCGTGCACCTGCTCCATGTGTGTGGATCCTTCTTCGACGCAGAAGAACTTCCAAACCACAGATATTCCACCCAATATCGATATAAAATCTCAGAAAACTCTGAGTAACGGCGATGTTCGGATTAAGTGGAAGAATGATCTTCCCGGATTTGGCGCAGACCATGTCTCAGTCTTTTCGGGAGAATTTCTGCATCCAAGCTCTGACTATACATCGGTAGATATCCCTAAGCCTTTGCTTAAAGCCCGAGCCTGGAACGCCGAGATGATAAAAGAAGATATTCATTTCCTCAATTACGAGGACTATATGGCATCTGATGAAACTTTTAATAGGGCTCTTTCAGAGTTGGTTAAGAATGGTATCTTGATCGTCCAGGGAGTGCCTAACTCGGAGCAATCCGTCGAGGACGTAGCTGGTCGATTTGGAAATATACGCGATACATTTTACGGAAAGACATGGGATGTCAGGTCCGTCCCAGATGCCACAAATGTGGCCTACACATCTCGATATCTAGGTCTGCATATGGATCTTCTGTACATGGCCAACCCTCCAGGATTCCAACTGTTGCACTGTCTCAAGAACTCGGCCCAAGGGGGCTCATCACTCTTCGCGGATGCACTCTTCGCCGCCCGCGGCCTTAGCCCGGAAGATATCCACACGCTATCTCAAGCGACTATAGCCTACCAATATAAAAATGCCGGAGAGCACTACTACTACCAACATCCCGTAATTGAATCGGCCAAGAGATCGACTTTCGGACTACCATCCATCCTCAACATAAACTATTCGCCCCCGTTCCAAGCGCCATATCTGAAACATTCCGCTCAAGCTGTCTCACTGCTCAAGAGGAATTCGGCACTTCGGAACTTTGCCGAGCGGGTAGAGAATCCGGCCAATGTTTTTGAGTATAAAATGCAAGAGGGTGACTGTGTAATTTTCAATAATCGGAGACTGTTGCATGGGAGGACGGCGTTTTCTGCTGTGGGTGGGGAGCGGTGGTTGAAAGGCACCTATGTTGATTCAGATGTTGTGGAAAGTCGCGTTCGAGTTTTTCGGGAGCGATTTGGGACTGAAAAGTTGCAGCGCGATGAGCGCGACAAGAGCGAAGAGGTGTCTTCGACTGCATAAGGGAGCTTGAAGCTGTGGAGGATGCCAGGAAGGAATCCGGTTGTGCAAAGGTATAAGAAGCTTTTGAAATCGCTCTGCTCTATGTCAAATTGGAATCTGATAATACCCAGTTTAGAGGCGCGCGTAAACAAGCAAGTAGAAGTGCTCTACAATCATATTTGTCGCATAATCTTAGCTGCTTACAACATCTACCTCCCAAAGAAGGAACATGTGATGCGCTTAGATCATGCGGAGCCACCGACCTGTAGAGTCTGAAAGTTAGATTGGTGTGCTGGTTGTTGGGATATTTGCACTCCCCACCCCACTTAACACACAAACCAAGCCTCTACACCATCCCAGGTGAAAGAAGCAGTCTGCCTAGCAAGTGTCGCGGCAGTTTGAAGGTAGGTCATTGTGAATAGCTAGGGAAGGAGGCCAGCATCACATATTAAAAGTTAGGTACCGTGCTATATTATTTTTGCCATTTTGGTGCTTCCAGAACAAAAGCACCAATCCACTATCAGTCCTTCCGCAATTGCATCATTTAACCTGCTTTCTTTAGTAAAGAAGGGCTACAATACCACCAATATCGAAGTCGAGGGTCCTTAAACCAAAAATGGCATGGTTCAGTGGTCTAATAGGTTGGAAAAGTTGTGCACTTAACCTTCAATCGTAGGCATAGTTGACCTGGACTTAGTGAAAGCGAAATCCATGATCTATTACAGGGTGTTTCGGTGAGAGTCAGTATCTATGACGAATAACTGGGCAGTGTAGAAAGCAGCGCGCAAGTATCCTTCAGTGGCCGGCAGGTGGCCCTATTTCTTTTTTCAAAAAGTCGACTGGCTTTTTTATATCGCGTGTTGTGGTCGCAACGTGGTAGCCTTACTTCTTTTATATTATTTTTAACCTATTCACGTTTTACATTGCGTATTGTCCTCCAAATTTGTTTTATGAATCTTTTAACTTGCTCAATATGGTTGGAGAATTCGTTTCTATGGGTTTTCGTTCCTTTCTTGCTTCCAGAGCGCTTGCGAATTTGTTGATATTGACTTTGCGTTCGCTAGCGACTTCTCGGCCCCTTATTGCTAAGCGAAGCGACCCAACTCCCCCGCCGTAGATGCAGGTGTAGACACCAGCACGACGTATTTACTAAGACGACGCAAGTGCGAACACGGCGTAGGCTTAGATCTGTGACAGTTAAATATGCACAGCTGACAGGTGTACAGGTTTGTAGGGCGAAACCATGTGGAATCCTAACTTATAGCTCATAGCTGACGGGACCCCTTACTTTCATTAGTTGTGTAGCATTGTTTGGCTCTAACAGCTTGCCATTGCTAAGACGTCTCAAGAAGAGTTCAATAGCACGGTTCCCCTAGCTGCCCTGATTCGAAGACTGATGTCTCAACCCGGGCCGTCTGGTAGTCTCTTGCTACATCAATCTCATCCACCTCTGTCGGAATATTTTTTCCTACAAGCTAGTTCAGATGTCCGTAGCTTCTATCAAAATATATGCGATATATCTCGAACGCCGAAACACATTACATGTCTCAGCTGGGGAATGAATAGATTATAATTTTCATTTATAATGCTTCGTCTTTGAAAATTTGACCCTATCCACCAGACTTGCTTGCGAAGAGCAAGGGTTCAGCCTATAATAGAACTACACTCGTAAGGCACCCCCCTATCCCAACTGAACAGGGCCCATTCACCCGCGAACGGCGAACGGCGAACACCGACATATTTCAGCCTTGGTTAACTGGTGTTTATTTTGTTGTTTTCGGTACAAATGCCCCGAATGGTAGCCGTTCTCAACCTTCGTGATGCTAGTGCTCATATTTATTCAAGCTGAACCGCAAACTCAACATTGATTCGAATATAATGACAGCTGCCATGAATGTGCAGACCGGAGATAATGCCAGTACCCACGCTCCGCCTGTAAAAATAGCGTCTAGCAATGCAATCGCAGAAAAGGCCGTTACTGACACTGAGATAGAGAAAGGCAGGCCTGAGGAGAAATGTAAGCCCAAGGGGAAAGGTAAGCCCGAGGAGAACGCTCAACCTACTGCCCCGAAGGCATTCGGATTTTACGCAATCATCGTGGCGCTCTGCTTGACAGGACTTTTGACAGCGTTGGAAGCAACAATCACGTCTACCGCACTGCCAACCATCACTGCCGTTCTTGGCGGCGGTGAGCTTTTTATATAGGTCATCAATGGTTACTACCTGACCATGTTAGTACTAGCCAAACCCTCCTCCGATCACCAGACGTTCTGTATTTCTTCTAACGGGTATTTTCAAGGACTGCATTTCAACCATTATTCGGACAGATAGCAAATATTTACGGGCGACGATGGCCTATGATCTCTGCGACTGCAATATTCACCCTAGGTAGTGGCCTCTGTGGTGGTGCTGTTAACATTGAGATGCTGGTTGCCGGCCGATTGGTGCAAGGCATTGGCGCCGGTGCAATCAATGTGCTTATTGAGATCATTGTTTGCGATTTACTGTCACTTCGGGAGCGAGGAAGGTACTTGGGTTTAATGTTCGGCATGATTGCTGTGGGCACGGTATTGGGCCCTCTGTTTGGTGGACTCATCGTTCAACATAGCTCATGGCGCTGGGTGTTTTATCTGAATGTTCCTATCGGAGGGTTGGCATTGGTTGCCCTGGTACTATTCCTCAAGGTCAAATCTGACAATACGTCAAACTTCACTTCGCGACTTAAGCGCATCGACTGGTTTGGAAACCTCATCTTCGTTCTCTCGATGGTCGCCGTTCTCACAGCATTGTCTTGGTGAGGATTCCAAGCCTATCCCTAAGCACGTTTTGAGAGCCATAAACGGGAGATCTGACCGAGGGCTGAGGCACAAATCTGGACGAAATGCCCCATTCCTCTGTGCTGTCAACTTCGGACTCTTTCATCTTAATCACGCCGGGCGCTAACAACTTTACAGGGCAGGAAGCAAATATCCATGGTCATCATTCCACATCATTGTACCGCTCATAATGGCTCTTGCAGGTGGTGTTCTCTTTATGTTCTTCGAGGCATCCCGCTTTTGCGCAAATCCGACTATGCCTCTTCACCTGTTCTCGAACCGTACGTCAGGAACGGGTTTTGCTTTGACCTTCCTCAGCAGCATCTCCGGGATCTCTCCTATCTACTTCCTTCCTGTATACTTTCAAGCTGTGCTTTCCTCGACTCCTGCCCGTGCAGGCGTTCAACTCCTTCCAACCATACTGGGTATTATATCTGGCGCAATCGTGGCTGGGGTCTTATTTTCAAAGTTTGGCCGCTATCGTCCCCTCCAACACGCCGGATTCACACTCATGGTAATTGGATTTGGGCTTTTGAGCTTGCTAAAGGCCAATTCAACAATGGGGCAGTGGGTTGGATTCCAAATCGTCGGTGCTGTTGGCACAGGCCTCGTCCTCCCAGTACTCCTTCCATCTATCCAAGCACCCCTCAACGAGGCCGATACAGCCCTCTCAACCTCAACCTGGGCCTTCATTAGGAGCTTTGGCTTGATTTGGGGAGCAACTATCCTAACGGTTGCTTTTAACAATCGTTTCAATTCACTTGCGCACCGGATTACCGACCCGGTTGTTGTAGCAGAACTCTTAGGCGGAAGGGCGTACGAACACGCTACAAAGGTTTACATGCAGACAATCACGGATCCTGCCACACATGCAGAGGTCGTCGGAGTATTTATCGACTCGCTGAAGCTGGCATGGTATGTTTCAATTGCATTTGCTGGCCTCGGCTTTGTACTTGTAGTTTTGATGAAAGTGGTCCCTTTGAGGAAAGAGCTCGACACTCAGTTTGGCATAGAGGAGAGCGACAAGTCTACGAAGACCGAGCAGCCTATCTCCGAGCAGCTGACACTAGCAACTAATAAATAATGGCTGCGCTTTATGGTTTTTTGCGTGGCGGTCTGGGGCAAGGGAAACGCCTCAAAATGGCCCAATAAAAATGCAATTTTTGCAATAGAGAAATGTTGTGATTGAGACTGGTGTCTTCGATCAAAAGGCTTATCTTTATCTCCAGTTCGATACATTCTGTCCCACCCATTTTTGATAGCGAGCGGCGAAGCTTGATAAGCTTTAACAAACAGATGTGGAGTAAAGTGGTCTAGTTGTGATTCTTTCTGCCTCGAATCTTAGCAAACTCCGGTCCAAATTTGTTGGAGATCCTTTCCATAGCGCATTCTTGGGCGAATTTGGTGCAAAGCTGTTTTCGCTAGTATTACATAGCCTAACAGCTATTACTCAAATATGAATCTAATATCGCGCTCTTACTAGAATACTCTTTTATACATAATTTAGATAGTCGGCGTATAGTACTATAATTATTATTCGAATATCTAGCTAACTATAAAGTAGGATTATTCCTAAAGCTAGGTTCTTATACCTACCTAGAGACCCCTCTATATCTGACCGAAATTGAGATATTCAAGTAGTGTAAATATCTCAATTCCAGTCAGATATTCGTAGCCGTTGGGCCTTACTCGAGTATAATATGGCGAAAAGAGTTTTGCAACAAATTCGCCTAAGAATGCGCCATACCTTCTATCCTCGACTCAGCCACCCAACGAAAATCCCTCGGTGTTTCATGTTCCAAACACAGAGAACCAACATTGAAAAAGAAAGGATGTGCAAGGTATAAGATCTGTTAGAATTTGTTCAAGAAAACGCCGTAGGAGGAGGTGATGCTCGGTTCGCGAATTGAAGGGGCGGCGGCCAGGGGTCGATTCAAGGTACCAATGTACGAAGTACCGCTTGGGTACAATAATAAAACACAGCGAGGTGGTACTTGAGCACGAGGTACAACATATAACCTGTAGTGCAATCACGGTCTATTGCCTCATGGAGGTATTTGTACACGGGTGTGCGACCGGCGGGCGCTAAATTCGATTTCGAGCTCTCCAGATCTGGCATTTCCGAGTCCTCGAGGGGACAAAAAAGGGAACAAACAGGATGAAATTGGGGGTTCATGCGGTGACCTCTTATTGCTGCCAAGTAGCACTGAAAGCTTGAGCTAGTTGGTACAAAAGTATCCCGAGCTTGTCGGTTGGCCGGGTTTCCGCGCTGGCTGGTGGTTGGTGGTTGGCAACAGCTGGCATCGAGTGGCGGGCGCAGACTGGCGGTGGTTGGATAATACAACCAAGCAATGCGGGTGCTGGCATTCAACCCTGCCAACAACATCGTCACGGCTTGTTATGACGACGTCAATAATCCAACGTCCAACGTCCATCGGTCCAACACGCAAGGCTTTCTTGGAGATCTCCCCCCAACCCAAGTGGCTGGAGGGCGGGAATCGCAGGTAATTTGTAAAGCATACCTGCCGAGCCCATATAAACCGGGAAGACGGATAAATATGCGCGCCCACAGATGGCCAAATCCTGATTTTGAGGGTATTTCATTGCGTCTGTGTGTTCCTCTTGTGCCCCTCCCCCCCTGGTAAGGAAGCATTCCAAGGAAGCATTCCAAGGAAGCATTCCAAGGAATCAATAGATGCAGTGGTCTGAAACCTTCCACATAGTGGCGGGGAGGGCGGTGTGAAGGCGATTCAAAGGCTGGCGATATCGATATCTGTATGGAGAATGGTATGTCTTAGACTCTTATCAGCTGTTTTCCATCAGGCTGGGCTGGTGTCTGTCTGTGTACTCGCTTGGAGAGGCGTTTGTTCCTGCAGTAGGGAAGCAGAGCGCCAATCGATCTCCCTGCGCGCAACTTGGCGCATGCATGTTGTGGTAAGGCTGCTCGTTGGCTGGTGAGCTGTTTGATCTTTGACGTTGATATATTGCTTGACTAGGTAGAGTGCCTGCTTGTGGCAGTGGTGACGTCGAGTCAAGCGTCTCCCCCACCACTTGCAGTGGCTGTCGGAACTCCTCTTAGAGCTTCTACCAGTAACTTTATGCTCTTATGAACTTGTAATTAGATGTTATAATGTGGCCAAGATAGAGGGTGTATTAAAATTTGAATGTTCCCACAAATTCTGACGCTCTCACTCCTGCTCTAGAGCTTGATGCTTCGCTGTTGAAGCTTGAAGCTCGACGCTTGGAAGTTTCGAGCTTGAAAGGCTGGAGCTTGACATTCCGGAACAATCCAAGGCCTTCGACGAGGCTCGGGGATTCTTTCTTCCCAGCTTGCAAATATACAGACCATCAAATCCGCGTACGCAGGCGAGGCAGGGGCGTTGCACCAACAACCGACTATTTATACTGACCGCCAACCTCAACGCTCTCTCTCTTCTCTCCCCAAACAAACACAACTCCACACCGATCTCTTCCATCCACAACTCCATCTCCTGTTCCACTCGTTTGGACCTTGCTCTCTACATACCACAATCGTTCACTTCACTTCTCAATCCAACTCTCAACTCCAAACACTGAACCTCGATCTTTGACGCGTCTTCCGTGACAATGCGTTCCTCAACTCTGCTCACTGGCCTCAGCGCCTTCTTCTTCATGGCGATGGTCATGGCTGAGGCCACCGTCACCGTCACCGTCGCTCAGGCCACCGTCACCGTCACCGAGTGTGGCATTGCTCCCTCTTCTCCAGTCGCCACCGGCCCTGCTGGTTCTAAGACCTCTGAAGTTGTTGTCCCGTCTGCTAGCCCATCCCCATCTCATGCCAGCGAGACTCCCGGAGGTCCTATCATCGTTCCATCTGCTTCCACTAAGGCCCCGGTTCCTTCTCCTACTGAATCAGTCACCTTGACCAGCAACGATGGTATCCCCACCAGCTTGATCGTCAGCTCCGGCTCTGGTACTTCGTCCGCTGCTCCCACCGCATCTGGCACCGGTTCGTCTACCGCTTCCATCACCTCGAAGGCCTCCGCCACCTCGGGATCTACTGCTGGATCTCCTACCTCCCACCCTACCCCCTCAGCTTCGGCCCCGGCCAATCCTGGCAACCATGTTATGGTCCCTAGCGTTCTGCTGGGTCTACTTGCTCTGGCCGCCTTGGTCCTCGGTTAATCTTCCTTGACAAGCAGGTAAGTTCACCTTTTCTCGAGCCCAACTGCCAACGCGACTAACATACGCGACAGAATGGCGTTTGCACTGGCGTCTTGTGCCTCTGCACGACTTAATGACTTTATGGGATATGACTGATAATGGCATGAGTGAATTGTGGATCTTGCAACAACAGTACATGGGAACGATAATTATGCATCGAGGGTTTTTCGTTGCATCTTTGCTACTTTGCTACACGTCCTTGATATTTCCTTTCTCTTTCCATTCCATTTCTTCTTTCGTGTAGTATGCTCTGAAGGCTGATACATATGGGATGGACCTGAGATGATACGGAGCATGGACAACGAGGTTGGCAGCATATGAATTACGATACATGGGGGGTGTTTGTAATCATAGAAACCAGCCAAAAACAAAATAATTCAAACTAAACTGAGACTGAAAGTGAAGAGAAAATAACTGTGACGCAACCGATGAAGCCATTGATAAAATCAAAACAGTAAGAATACTCCATCCCATATCAAGTTTACTTCTCTCTGTTTAGCCCCAGCCCCAGCTGACCGAAGCACAAATTAATACGAGCCTCTCCTCCCACCAGCGCAAGGACAATATATCGAATCTCTCTTCCTACCAATATCCTCTCCCTATCTCCCCTCATCTCCTTTCAGTATCCGCGCCTCCGCGGATCCCTCAGCTCCCACCACCTATCCCCGCTATCGGTCTCCAACCAGCCTCCCTTCTCCGGCACCAGCCTGGTTACATAGGGTCGCTTGCCCAAGCCATTCTCCATCTCACGCATATGGTGCAAATCGATAGCGTTTATTGCTCCGCCACTAGATGGTGAGAATCCTCCACCGCCACCTCCCCCATTACCACCTCCACCCCCATTACCACCACCACCTGGCAAAATGACATCTCGTACAAACCTAGAACCGCCGCCACCTCCACCACCACCGAGCGTCCTACCTAGTTCCGCGAGAGATGGGAGGTCGACGGTATGTATATGCGTCACATACTCCTGCTTCACTTCCCGGTCGCGATTCTTCCTCCTTCTCGGCGCAGTAGCTCGCACAGATTCAGCACTATCTTCACTGCCAACCTCCCAATCGGAGTAGTCCCTCTGTGGGGTAGTTCTTCGTTGAGATCCCCGCTCGAGTATCCGACGCTCACGCTCGCGGGCAACTTCATAATGGTGCTCGAACTCCTTCCTGATCCGCTCCTGTGTATGGCGTTCATGTTCCCTTGTACTCTCACGTTGTTGCTCAATTTGCTTCCTAATCCTCTCTTCCTCTTGCTGTTCACGCTCGCGCTGCTGCTCAATTTCCTTCTTCAGCCGCGCTTCGGCTTGTGTTGCGCCTTCAGCTCGGGCTTTATTCAGTTGCTCAAGAAGATCCTTGTTATCGGCGCGAACGCGCAGCTTGGTAACTTCTTCCTCGAGTTCAGTGATTTTCTGCTGGGCTTTTTTATCATCGGAGCTTGGTACGGTAGGGCGGCTTACTACCGCTTTAAGTGTTTCGATTTCGTGGGGGATGGTTGTGGCATGTTGTTCTTTGATCTCGACGAAGTCGTACTTGTAGGGCGGAACAGCGTAGGAAGACCTCATTACTGATGGGGGGAGGAGACTGGGAGGAGGGACTAGCGAGGACCGAGCCTCATATTGATATCCTCCATAGTAAGCAAATGTTGAATGATCGAGCTGCGCGTACGGGGAGGCCTGGAAAGGAGGGACATTTGCGGAGACGTGGTAATAGTCATCGGTGGTGATCACCGGTGATGTCCTGCGAGACCGGGAAGATGAGGATGGGGCTGCAACAGGGTATTTGATGCGAGAGTACGGATCTTGGACGTATTTGGATGATCTTGAAGACGACACCGAGGCGTTGGAGATGTTGCTCCCCCAGGCGGAGGGAGGCTTTTTGATATTGTCCCTCTTGCAGTTAAAGAACCCCATTGTGTGTATGATCGTATGTCGAAATTTGAGGTTATTCAATGAAAGTGCTTTGGAGTGAGTTGTGGAAAAGAATGGAAGGAAGAAGTGGAAAAGGGAGGTATATATTAACTATGCTCTTGCTCTGGCCGAGCGCTGCTAGGATTGAACTGCCTAATGCGGATTTGGCTAAGCCGGCAACATATTTTCAGCTTCTAGAAAGATGAAAGAACATGTCGTGGGGAGTTACGTGTACGGGTCGGCAGCTTGCACGAACTGTACTTCCCCTAAGTTTGGCATTCGCAGTACTGCAAAGAGCCAATCTGAGCGTGCTATATGCCTGGGAATCTCATTCCTTATCCGTCCTGGCAGATAAGTTTCCAATTCTGGCATTCAAGCGTGGATGTATGAGGGAGTATGCATGTAGCGTTTGGCCTAGCATGAGGAGCTACGCATAGGCAAACGGGCGTAGTGCGCTCATTGGTTCCATACACTGGGATTTCTGGCATAGACATTTCACAGCTTAGCCTCCTCCTTTGTCTTCTTCGAATTGTTCTGCCAGGCAAATTCCTTAGCCAATATTAGCAAGCAAGCCGGAGAGATAGAGATCGGCTAATGGCCTGGTTTCTTTGATGATAGGGGATGACACCACTCACCAATTTCTTCCCCTGCCCAGCTTCAATGATGACATTCACAATTACCGGAACAGTCGCCTTGAACCCGGCTTCCGTAGCTTTTGCAAGCTCCGCAGGAGTGCGGACCAGATATCCTTTCCCACCACACATCTCTACAATTTTCTCATACCCTACTTCCCACCCTAAGCTTGTGCTCCTCAGCCCATCCTTCTCTTTACCATCGATAGTATTTTGCTGCATTTGTAACCATTTATCTGAATCTTCACTATCTCCATGATACACACCACCATTATTAATCACAAAAATCAATATATCCATCCCATATCTCGCCATCGTCTCAACTTCTGCCAATGAGAAGCCAAATGCGGAGTCCCCTTCCAGACAGACTATCTTTTTGCGAGACATATTGGGTCCCGAGACTGCTTCGGGGGAAGGAAGATTGTAGGCACAATGTGCTGCAATGGCGTATCCTAAGCCTACGCCCATCGTTGCATAGGTGCCTGCATCAAGTCGTAATCGGGGATGTTCCACTGGGAAGACACTGCGCGAGATATCCATGGTGTTGGCGCCCTCTGATACATAGACAATACCACCCTCGTCTACCCGCGAGAAGCGATCAAGAGTCTCTTTAATTATGTTAAAAGTTCTTGCATATGTCATCGGGACTTTGTCCAGAATAGCTGCCTCTGCAGCTTTAGCCTCATTTTTGGCCGCGCTCGCTTTAAGAGCTTTGATATAGTTGGAAGACGTATCGTACTTCCACCCTTGAAGGGCTGTAGCAAGTTGAAGAGTAACCAGTTTTATATCTCCAACAATAGATAGAGATGAATCACCATTATTTTTGCCCAGTTCCTCTGCTGAGATATCCACTTGACATATCTTGGCCGCCGAACTCCACTTCGGTTCTTCCCCAAAATGTAAAATCCAGTTAAGTCTTGCACCAAGTACCAAGACAACATCTGCGCCCTTGAGAGCTGCGGATCGGGCCGAAGATGTATTCGACGGGTGTGAGTCAGGAAGAACTCCTTTGCCCATAGGTGTAGGCAGAAATGGGATTTTCGTCTGATCGATCAGCTGTCGAATGGTGGACTCAGCTTGAGCATATGCTGCCCCCTTTCCAACAACGACAAGTGGCGCCTTGGCTGATTTTAGCAGCTCCGCAACCGTTATTATCTTGGCTGGGTCCGAAGCAGCTTTAGGTGGAGCAGGTATGAGATGTGTTGTTGTCTCTTCTCCTTCGCCTTGTATGACATCTGCGGGCAGATCCACAAAACTTGGCCCTGCTCTCCCATACCACGAGGTTCGATATGCATTTGTAAGACTTTGAGGAACTGAATCGAGGCCGCATCGTATGGCAATCTTCGTATGAGGGGTAAGGAGAGATATCGCATCCATCTCTTGAAAAGCTCCTTTGGTAACCTGGTGTGTCTCGCTGGAGCCACCTAATAATAGCAAAGGGAACGCATTGGCCGATGCATTGCCAATCCCAGCCATAGCATGGAGAACTCCAGGCCCTCCGACAACTAAACACACACCTGGTTTACCTGTTAGATAGCCATAGGCGGTTGCTGCATAGCTCGCCGCTTGTTCGTTCCTGAACGCGATAAACCGGATTCCCAGCGCGATAGCTTCCTCTGCAATCTGAACGACCGGTATTCCCACGAGGCCAAAAATAACCTCGACTCCTAGCCCATGAAGGGCTCGCGCAATAATCGCTGCCCCAGTCTGATGCGCCATGGTGATGATTGTGAAACAAGTAGAGAAGTCAAACGCTGATGAAAAGCTATCAAGGTCCCAGCTAAACGGGGCGATGACCTCAGTGTTATTTTCGGCCCGCAGCTCTGGTACCTTGGGGTAGAGAGCAGCTCCCGTCGGTTGCCTCCCCACGGACCGCAGCCGCCAGCCTGAGAAGGCCAAGTTGCCGTAAACAAACCAGCAACTTGACCTTTTCAGACTAGCGGGCACCAACGAGAAGGGCTCAAGGACATCGCTCTCCGTCCCATAATCAGGGCGAGGGTGAAGGAGATCGCAAAAACACCAACAAGCCATCAACTTTGACCTCAGATAGTCTTTTTTTCAAAGTCAGCTACCCTTCCATATAGACAAAGTAGTTCCAACTTCTCCTCAAAATTCACTCTGCAAAGTACTGCATAGGTAAATCCATAAATTTGCTCATTCATTTTCCCTACCCAGCCATTCGCCAACTTGCTCAAGGTATCATGAAGGAAAGAGTTATTTCAGCGGCTGAACTTGGAAAGGCGGAGCGGTTGAGACCGTTTGGGGCCGTTCTGCGCAGTTTACAAAGTTGATGCGACGACCATCATCAAGAGCAGTGATAGAGTACGTCTATCAGAAGCTGCGACTATGAAGTTTGTTCAGACCCACACCACTATACCTGTTCCTGAGGTCTACAACACCTATCGAGATCCGGAGACGGGGCATGTTCAGATTGTTATGGAGCTTGTTGAGGGAGACTGCCTTGAGGATGTATAGGACAAGTTTGACGAGTCTCAAAAACAAAGCATCATTGATCAGCTCCGAGGTTTCTTCTCCCAAATGCGGAAGATCAGCGGCCCGTTTGCTGGCTGTATTGACGGCAAATCTTGCGAAGACATTATATTCACCGACCTAAGTTACGGGCCATACGATAATGAGGATCAATTTAATGAAGGAATTATTAGAGCCATTAGAGGGTCCGGATAAGACCCCTGGGTTGATCTAGTTTGCGAAATGATCCGCAGTTTCAAAAGCCACGATATTGTTTTTACGCACGGTGATTCTGCTCCGAGGAATATCATTGTGCAGGGTGCGAAATTCGCTGCAGTTTCGGATTGGGAGATGTCTGGGTTTTATCCGGAGTATTGGGAATATGTTAAAGCTCTCTGGCGACCAAATTGGGAGAGTGGATGGGTCAAGGAGAAAGCCACTGATCAGATACTAAAACCTTACCTCACGGAATTGGCAGTTATTTGGCACACCAGGGAGATAATTTGGTGAGGTACTCAATATAAACTACAAGTTCTGAATCCTGAATTTTTGCTAAGCATAGAGCTCGAGGGACTTGAAATAGTAGTTTACTTGACTCTCCCTCCGTAACCGACCACTTTAGCCGCATTCCCCTTGTTGATTATTATGCCTCATACGCGTTCGGTGCCATCGCTTGCACATTTCACTAACCTAGGTTGAAGAAATTCAAGAATATCATCAATGCCCTCCGGAATTTTGTACCAATGACCCTAGCCTGGATAGCATTTCCAAGTAGTTTGAATACCAAGCGATGAGAGCGTCTGGGCCGCTTCCTGTCCTAACCTAACCTTAACCTTCTCATCGTCTTCACCATGAGCAAGAGAGACGGGAGTTGTTAACGATGTTTGGCTATTTTTCGATGTTGAGATATTCAGCGCATCCATCGACAAGAGATCTCGAACATAGTTTATTGTTGCAACAGATGGCTCAAGAACATCATATTCCTCGTTACCACCAAAAGAAAAGGTATCTTCATTTCCCTCATCATCCGGTGTTCTGTCTGAATTTATCATGTCATCGATGTCATCACGAAATGGAAGCCATCCGCTCATACCCACGAATCCCCCGAGCGGAAACTCCAGCGTTAACAGAATAGAAAGCGACATCGCACATCCTTGACTGAAGCCCCCGAGGATGATATTCCTGCTCGGTATAGTCACCAGCTCTTGAGCTAAAATTTCTCGGATTTCTAATGCAGATTCGGCCAACCCTTGCAACTGCACCTCTCGACGATAAGCAGGGTCATCTAGGGATGCTATGTTAAACCACTGGTTTAATCTTGCTCGGTGGAATGCACTGGATCGACGCTTTTTGGCGGTTGGGAAAACGAATTTTGCGCCAGGATATATTTCAGTGAGTTTCATTCCAGCGGACGAGACCCCAGATTCGATGAGTTCAGATCCAAATTTTTGGCCATTACTTCCAAGGCCGTGAAGAAGGATGATTGTGTGAGTGTGTGCGGATGTTGACTGAATAACAAAGGTGCCTGCCTGGAGAGCTGGAGCAGCTTTTTGTGATTTCTCCATTGTAAGGTTGATAACCGCTTTTCTAAAAAATATCAGAAGACATATATAAACGGAACATCCTTTCCACCTACTCACCAATGTATTGAATTGATTCCGCAACTACAACGCACTGGGATAGAGGTAAGCCAAGTCCTAAGACTGAAGTAGAAGTTGTCTTTAAACCTTTTTGTCTAGGCTTTGTTCTTGGTTACTAGCCCGCCTATTCCCCCAACTAGCAATATGGATAGGAAAAGGTGGCAATTGACCCATGTATTAATTTATCTTAACCTAAATACTTCTCATCCAACATCGAGTGGGTGAAGGTCGTTATATGTCTGCGCGATTGCTTTGCGGCTTGGGCGAAGGGTGGCTGGATCTCTGGTATCTGCGATGCCTTCTAGTGAATTGGTTATAGTAATTTGGTACATAACTGCCATATGATAACATACTAGAAAATATCGCTTTCGTTCCAAATATGGGGTCTGTTTACTTTGGTGACGAGGTTGGTTCGATTACAGGTAGTGGTGGGCATTACCCCTGATTACATGTACTAAGTCACTATGGTCACAAGTAGGGATACCCGAAATCATCGTTGATTTATTAGGATAAAATAGGAATAAAAAATAATATGCATTCAAGCTATAAAAGGAATAGTATTCTAGCTATAACATTATAGCCGAAAAGCAGGTATTCAGCAACGCAGATGGTAGTACGAAGTAGCATGAGTAGCGTTTGGGTAGGTGGAATTAATATTACCTTCACTTTGTCTTGACTAGCAAATTGAGTGTGGAGGGGCAATTAACCCAAGCATCATCGTAGAGCTCTTACGATAAGCATCCTAGGCACCGATACCGCTAGGTACATGGACTTGTACCTTGGTAGTGCAGGAGCACTCATGCGCCGAAAGGCCCAACAGCCCAAAGGGTTATCCTAAAGGGTTTCTAGACGTGTCTGCAAACGTGGTGCTAATTGTATCGCATCGCATGGCTAGTCCAATACTCCGACTGTTTGTTCAAAGGGCCATGGCATATTCGTTCAATTGTGAAACGAGGTATTGATCAACCTCCGCTACTGCTGTTCGCTCCCCACATTACACCGTCCCCACGATCCTCGTAACGATAACACCAAGCATCTCAAAAATGGCCGACTCTGCACCCAAATCGTACTCTACGGACCCTGCGCTTTACCTATACACTTCCTTGACGGCTGGATCGTCGCACATAGTTACTGCTACTTCCCGGCTCGAAACGATACTGAGAGCAAACAGGATCCCCTTCAAGGCTATCGACCTTGCGACGGACGAGAAAGCCCGCATGCTATGGGGTCGAAGAGCAGGAAAGGATGAATCGGGTCGTGCTAGGAAGATTCCAGGGCTGGTGCAGGAGGGGATGGTAGTTGGGGTATGCTGGTCAGGAGAATCAACCAGGCGAACAACAGGCTGACCAACACAGGATCTTGTAGAAATCGAAGATTGGAATGAGTATGGCGAGTTGAAGCAGCATGTCAAGATTGTCGGCGTGTCGTCGACACCAGCACGGCCAATAACGACGACTTCCAGCGCACCCTCCAAACCTCCTGTCCCACAAGAGGATAAAAAGTCCGAGCCAGCTCCGGCAGCAGAAGCTCCAAAGGCTCCCGAACCTTCGAAAGCTTCCGAGTCCTCAGATTCCCCTCCAAGCAGCTCAGCGGCACCAATATCTTTAGCGTTGCGACAACTGGGTCAAGAAGCAGCAGAGAAAGCTAAGGATATCAAGAAGAAAGCCGCAGAGACACGAAGTGGAGTTGGCAAGGCAGAGCCGGCGAAGGAGGCAGAGAAATCTGCCACCCCAGCTCCAGTTACCGCTGCTGTCTCTGATCCCTCAACGGAGAAAGGTCCCGTCAATGCAGATACCATCCTACAATCTCCAACTTCGAGTGCTTGGCGGCGAGCACCAGAGTCGCTTTCAAGGCCTACCACACCCCGATATTTGAGCGATAAATTGGAGTCACTACAATCACCAACCTCTACTGCATGGAAGCCTACTGATATCGACCGGCCGATTTTGTCCCATAGAGGATCTTCGATTTCTCTAGCTTCCGCTGAGGAGATTAAACAAGTCGAGCAGGATCAGGCTATCCCCGAAGAAGACGAGGAGGAGGATGAGGAGGATGAGGAGGAGGATGAGGAGGACAGCGACGAGGAGGAAGATAGCGAAGAAGACGCTAAGGATAAAAAGAACTGATTGAGATATATGGAGGCGTGACCAGTCAAATATCAAGTCTTCAATTGCATCATCACTCCAGAAATCCTGCAAAAACAATTACGTTCCTCATCGAACGATGCCCAATCAACTTCGGTATATTTGCCTTCTTAACCAAGTGGAACTCTCAATTTCTCAATCCTTCGTTGATCAGTCCCTTCGAGTCTCCTTCACTGGCCGTCCTCTTCAACGACGCCCTTTTTTCCTTTTGTGCCCAGTGGTGCAGGTCTGATATGCGTCATTTAATTGCGTTCAGCCCTGGATGTTCCAGCGTCCTCAGCCATGTCACGGCCGTTTTATCATGGTACACGACGCTTGCAGTAATATTCTATCTCCCTATAATCTCAGCTCTATGAAACAAAGAATCGCTAGAGTAGTACTCATACTCAATCTACGCCACAGCATAATCTTCGTTCTTCAACTTATCATCCAATTTCATTTTATTTGGCAATCTTCGAGTCTGGCTATTCATCTGGACATTGCTGTACCTCCTGGAATTCACTCCAAAGGGATTCCCCTCGGCAATACGCAGAAAATTCTGTCGTGATCCCGATTTCATGCATTAGTAGGCCCTTATTTTGGCCATTTTCTTAAATCGCGTGCTTTTTCATAACTAATTGAATCTCGCCTGGTTGCCCCCACTCTGCCTTCTGGGCGAAAGTGTTGACGCATATGGATGTGGCAGGCTGATAACCGAACGTGACTTTGATGCGCGAGCATATGACAATAGGTTGCAGAAGTGCTTGCAGATAGGGGTTTGTCAGGTCCCCTTTCCATCCGAAGTACATTAATTACAATGTGTATGTGTATTTCAAATGTCACACAGTGCAAAATGTCTCTATAGCTTTAGATTGGTACAATACCACTTTACCTTCTTTCGTGCGAGCCGGATGCACTCGTTCTAAACCCGAGGTGGGTTGAACCTGCAATGAACATTCCTGGTCATTGGGGAGCTCCACCTGCTTTTGGCCATTAGTTTCCTTATCTGCTCAATTTATGAGATGGATACTCGATGGGTTTTCTTTATTGCGCTGATTGGTGAGTTTATTATTAGGGAGAATGAAAGTTTTCTTTGTTAGGGGAGTTGTGCAAGTCCGTCCCCGCAACGCCTTTTGTCCTTGATGTGCCGTTTCCGGCGCCAACATATCAGTGATAGTTTTTCAGGAGGGATACAATGAATATGGGATCCCATATAGGACTATGGCCACTCAGGTCATGAAATCAAACCTCATTATCAACTTTTCCCACTTCGTATTTTGGTTTCTTCCCCAGTCATGCCAGTGCCCAATAACCCATGGATTGGTCGGATTTCTGCCTTCCTTTCAGTCTATGTCCCTTTTGGTATTATTATTTTATGGGACTCTCGAAGTTTGGACAATTCATGTGTTCTTTGGACCACCCCAAGGGTTCTTGCAATCTTGTTTGCTGCGAGTGTCCTACGTAGAATACTAGAGCCAGAGCCCGAACCAGAGCCCGAACCAGAGCCCGAATCAGGTTTCGAACAAGAGACAGAAACAGAGACAGAGCCTCAACCAGGTCCCGAACCAGAGCCAGAACTCGAACCGAATCCTGTGCCACAGCTCGAACCAGGCCCTGATCTAGAGCCAGAGCCAGAGCTCGAACCAAATCCTGAACCACAGCCCGAACCAAGCCCTGAACCAAGCCCAGAACCAAGCCCTGAACCCGGCCGCGAACCAAAGCGAGAGGCAGAGCAAGATCTCGACCCAAAGCCGGAGCCGGAATCAAGTCAAAAGCCAGAGCAACTACCAGAGTCACAAATTCAGCCGCCACCCTTCCCGAAACTATACATAGCGCCTGTTAACTATGGCGTGGAGTTCGAATTCGTGTTTGCTTTCGCTGAGCCCGAGTTAGACCTTGGGCCCAACGTCATCCAAAAGCATATCCCGTATGTCATGAGAGAAACAGCGCTCACTCGCGCCATCGCAAGACTACCAGACCACCCGTATAACAGCTGGGGCGTACAAGTCCATAGTACTAGTGAGTTAAAACCTGTAAGTATTCCACCAGGTCATAGCTAAGCTAGGCCATGTTAAGAAGCCTGTTCTATGTTTCCATCCATTAAGTTGGTGCTGACCATGTACTAGTATGATGGGCAGCCGCAGGAGATTTTGAAGAGGAAACTTCGCGCTCAATGCCCAGAAGTCCCCACCAAGGTCTATGGCACAATTGAAGGTGCCCAGAAAACACCGGAATACCTAGGTCAGTACAAGAAATGGATCATCACTGTCGATCACACCGTCTGTGGAGTAGGATCGGAGAATATCCCTTTGCGACTACCACACCGGCCACGATTCGATTCGGGTGATTGGGATTCTTATGGGATTGAGCTAGTGACGCCCGTTTTTAATGGTGCCGTGCCGGACAATATGCGCCAAATCGGGAAGATTGTCAAATCTGTTGGTGGCCCTGAAAAGCTTGGGTACGACGCTTTTATAACCAATCAATGTGGCCTCCATGTCCATGTAGAACCACCGAAAGATCTGAAGGTTCTAATAGAGCTTGCAATTATTTTGCTTGTATACGAAGAAGAGATCAGCCGGCTTCATCCTCCATGTCGGCGACCGGGACATCCTGCGTCAAAGCGCCAACTCGACAGCAATCGTCTGTGGTTTTTGAAAAGTGATGATTCTGTGTTTATAGATGGCGACGCAAGTCGCGAAAGCAGTTGGATTGACACGGATTGCTCGACTCATGCACTTAGCCAGAAGTTTTCAATCCTGCAAATTCGCAACCGCATGCGTCTAAACCGGACAAAGGAGCAATTGGCCGAGAAGATGTGTGCACCTAAAAATCGCCTGAATCCTCATGGGAATAGAAATCGCTTGGTCAACTTTGTCAACTTAACCCGAGGAGAAGGGTATTCTGAGACTATTGAGTTCCGCCAAGCTCGCGGCTCGCTCTCCCGTACAGAAATCTTCCACTGGACAAGCTTGTGCATCGGCCTTGTGAAACTTGCAGAGTTCTATGTGGAGAATCCCGATCGGTTTCCTGCTAAGACCTGGGAAGATATCCAGATACAGCCGGGGACAAGAGTCAAGGAGTTGCCTATATTTAGGCTCATGCAGGATATGAAGCTCCATGAGAAAGCTCCCAAATTCTGGGCTAAGAAGATTGTCAGATATGATCTATCTAAGCCAGGGGATCAAGATAACAGGACTGATAATGAAGCCCCTCCAGTGGATGACCCATCGGCAACAGAGAATGGGAACACCGACAGCAGCAGAAAATCTAACAGTCAGGAGTCTTTCCAGTCTGTACCAAGTCAGAGAGGCTCAATTCCAGAGCTACAAGGCGATTTAGGGACACAAGGCATTTCGGCGGCAGAGGGGCCGGAACTAGAGTCAACTCAAGAGCCACTAGAAGAGCCGAAGGGAGTACTCAAACCAGACGACCCGCAATTACACTTATTGGATACCGATCCCTCGGCAGGACAACAGGGTGCTGACTTGACAACGGTGCTTCAGAGGGCACCACCTGGTAAATTAGCTATCGAGCCCATGGCGCAGGACGGGGTATCATGGTATGTGGATGGTTTCAAAAGTCAAGAATGGAAGGGGATCCTGCCAACGGCTTCCAGTGCAGAGCCGAGGTTCAAGACTTGTGGCATTTACGCCATTATGGACTCCTTCCGAGCCCAATATCCACGGAGCCCTTTTGCTAGTATTTTTCCAGCACGACTTTTAGAACTTTTTGATGAATATTTTGGCGAACTGAAGTTGGATACTGCATCAGATGAGCAAATGCACGCCCTCATATCCGACGCTACACAGGGGGAGTTTGTACTGGTAATAAACCACGCTTCATGTAGCAAGGCTTCTAGCGCTCGACGAGTTGGGGCGCTTGAGCAGCAGGAGGTCTACGCGAAGAATCTCTATATGAAACGTTTGTGTGGGGACCATAAGCACTGGGAAGGTATGAGGAGGTTTGAGTCACCTACCACGCCTACGACAGAACCACCAAGTCTACTACCCAGCGCTATGGAAGAAAGTCCAAATAGACAGTCTACCCCCATACGAGAAAAGCTTGCTGAATCGACTATTATTATGCAAGATAACCCCGCCGAAATAACTACTCCTTCAAGCGCTATGGAAGAAAGTCCAAATAGGCAGTCTACCCCGATACGAGAAAATCTGGCTAAATCGACTATCGTTATACAAGATAATCCCGCCCAACCAACTTTACCCACAAGAAAGAAGCTAGCTAGACCATCTATCTCTCTTCAAAACGCCCCCACCCGGCCCTCTGCCCCTACAGGAGGGAATCCAATCGAACCATCTAGCTCTTTAGGACAGAATCCAGTTGAACCACTTACTCCTGTACAAGAGAATCCAGTGGAACCATCTACACCTACACCTGAACATTCAGCCGAACTATCTGAGCCTCAACAATACCATTCAACTCAACCGGCTACACCAACAGGAGAACCCCCAGTTGTATCTAACCCTCTACAAGAAAATTCACCTGGGCCGGCTACCCCTGCAGGAGGAAATCCAATCGAACCTCCTAAGCCGATACAAGAGAGCCCGGTTGAGCCATCTAGCCCTATACCCGAACATTTAGCTGAGCTATCTAGCCCCCAACAAGAAATTTCATCTGGGCCCACTACCCCTACAGGAGAAAGTTCAGCTAGAGCGCCTACCCCTAAACGCGGGAACTCAGCTCGACGGCGTAGATCTCGGCGAAAAAGATGATCTCGGCAGTCTAGCCCTTCATCAAGTCGGCAACCTACCCATATACGAGGAATTTCACTTGACCATCATTATACAAGAAGAATATCTACGAGTTCTTGAGAATTGCAATGACATCTCTAAGTAATCTAAAATGCATCATTATGTTGGAAACACCACGTTTTACAAATATTTATTTTAGCGTTTGGCATGCTTAAAATAGTATTTTAGATATGCTTGGTTACAGTATCATTTAGTTTTTGGTTTTTTAGTTTAGAATTGTACAAGCTTTTGAAATATATTATCCTAAATTTTAAAACTTGTAGAACAGATAGTGTGGTTTGAAATCGATTGTGTTTGAATATATGACATTGCTGGTTGCACTACTCGTAATCTAGTTTGCTTTCCAGAGCGGAAAACATCTTTCTTAGCTTGGGGTATGGCACGCTGAACGATATCTTGGGTACGGGTGACTGCAATAAACTGCAAAGAACCTTCCGGCACTCAAATACACAACCATACATCCCATGTTTTCCCTTGGAAAATTAACGTAGACTTGGTATATTTGATCTAACGACCCAACAAAATTAACTTGTAGACCAGTCGCGGTTCGGATTCTAACTCTTATTGTTAGACGCTCCATCATTACCGATCTAACAAAATAGATATTGAACTCTAAGCTTTCGGCCACAAAGTATATGGATTGAACCAACTCCCGATTCGAATGGCCGAGGGACTGTCGGCGTCCTTTTGATATTTTAGATTGGGGTTCACCACAGGGGCTTCCGCACTTGGATGCCACATATCAGCAACCTCCCTAATGCCTACCCAGAACAATGACCTTCGCCTTCTGTAGAATCACCTTCCAATTGGGCTCCTCGGGTACAAGATAGTTGCCGAGGTGGCGCGGAGTGCAATGATGCGTAATAGATATTGGGTTTTGTGGCAGTGCTTTGATTCGATCGTCCCTTTCTCCCCAACGGGCGAGTTCCTCATTTAAATTTCCTCTTCCCTCTGCTTGCTTGTTGGATGAAGCCTTAACTTCAACCCGGCGGGAGGCAGCCTTTTCTCGTCGTCGGGAAGCAGCCAATTCCACAGCCTGCGCAGCCCGCCTCTCCTGTTCAGCTTTAACAGCCTTCCGCTCAACTGTTTGTCGGAATAAAGCGGCTTCCATACCCTCTCCAGGTAGCCTCCTTTTCGCAGCCTTAGCCGCCTGCCGATCGAGATTTAAAACGTAAGGTTCTATTATGCCCATCAAATGGTCTCTGTTATCCCGTAAACGCTGTTCCTCCGACGCAAGGGACATATTCACCAGGTGAGTGCCCTCGGCGAAGTTATCTGGGGTTTCAGCCCTATTCCAGCGGCTGGGATCAAACCGTCTCATGTATGATCTGACCGGTTGCCAAGTGATGCAAGGTTCATAGCCCTCAAACGTATCTCTACTTAATTTTCCATTAATCATAGTGCGTCGTATAGCTTGCGACAGGATCCATATATGTATATTGGCGGACAACCCATCTTTCAGACCACCCGTAAACTCGACCGTGTGGTGGGATGAGGCATGGGGATTGTAGAAGACGAGATGATTGTCCGCTTTGGGTTTGAGGCCGTCGTATAGTATCATTTTTGACATGAGAGCCGCGACATTCAGTAATGTCGTGTCCATAAAATCAGCTCCACGTCGCAAATTTCTCTCCTTTCCAGCCTCGAGCTGTTGCTGTAGTTTTTGCAAGACCCTCTTGGAAGCTGGGATATATATTTCTGCATATTCCCTTTTCGATTGGCGAGCAAGAGCAAGTCGCTCTTCAGGAGTCCCGGTAGTTGGTGTGTGTTGACTATTCTGAGTGGCATCTCTTTGGCGCTTGTGGTTCCTATGAGGAGAAGGCAAATATTCCAGATAAAACTGGCTTCTCAATCCAGCCTCTACTTCCGCCTGTTCCAACTCCTTAACGATAGAATTTCCATCACAGATGCTGCTATCCCTTTTCTTTAACTCGTGCGCCATCTTTTTATCAAAACGTGGTTTCAATTTCATCGCCTGCTGTCTCTCGTCATCACGGCTCTTTTTGCACGCGATTGCCATTGTAGCACCCCTGGCTTTGGCTGCAAGAAATTCTCCCCACTTTTTCATGGTATAGATCTGGTCCTGGGATTTCTTTTCCAGTCTACAGTGCTTCCACCCTGTAGCTTCGAATAGAAAATAGACCTGGACAGTTCGCTCTAGGAAGCGCATATATGCCCCGGAGGTGTTGAGGCTTGGGCATATTTGTTTATCTGTGTGGTCTTCGATTTTCGTATGAGGAGCATGGGCGCCTCTAAGTATTTTTAGATGCGCCGCTGGTTCTTGTCGTTTGATATGCAAGAAAACGGAGTCCTTGGACATGGTCAATCTGTTGGGCAAGGTCGATTTGAAGGCGAAAGTTGGAGATGCCTGTGTCCGGGTCTACGTCGAGAACGCTGTCGGTGGCTGAGATCTGTAGCTAGAATCTGCTAAAACCCGAGATATATAAGTGTATGCCGATGGAAGGAAATCCGATGCAAGACAAAGCAGAATTATGACGGTCATTTCCTAGGGTGACATCCTTAAGGTTGAAGTTGAGGTTGCCGGTTTTGGGGCAGTTGTTTTGGGGCAGTTGTTTTGAGTGAATAATAGATTGTCCCGAGTAACAGACAGAGAACAGACAGAGAACAACAAGAGCTTGAACGATGAGTACAGGCCTACGAGAGCGGCTGGGCGAATGTTGGCAGGTCGTACTCGTGTGTTAACAAGGCGCAAATCCGGCCCTATCAATATTATTGCTTCGCTAACACAACTTGCGAGAAGATATCAGCTTGGAACTAGCTTTACATAGCCCAACTTTTGCAACGCGTTTTTCTCAGCCTCTTGGATTACACGCTTTAAGAAGGGTACTGTGGCATATTGAATAAAGCCGTAGGCCAAATACTTTATGGTTTAACAAAGAAATTTTGATTTCACTTGGTACTTTTTAAACCTGTGACTCAGAAAGTGAGATGGAAAAGAAGCGTAGATTTAGGATGTGGCTGCTAGACTTAGCTAGAAATATATATCGAGACTCGACAGGCCTTCGCATTACGCACGTTATAGTGGCAAGATAGGAGGGACATCTGCTGACGGAAATGGTTTAAAATACTAGGCGATTTGCCAATGATAACCTAAGATCCTTTCCTTTTCAGTTTCACCTGCCAGTGGACCTCAGGCTGCAACCCTCCATATTCTTGCAGAATCCTTGGCTGGATATAGCTACATGAGTGAGGGCTCGATCAGGTCGATTAGATGCCTCTGAATGAGGTGGTAATCGGAACTATTTCCAGTCCCGATGCATCCTCTATCGGTGTCCATGTGTACATTTTGGTGTTTTTGTCTTCTTAGTTGCCTCGTTCTTCCCCGGCACCAAAGTGCCTGTGGTCTATTTCGGAGGCTCATGACGCGGCTTGCAAACATCTGTAATATCGATTAGCAGCTGTTAACACACGGCTTCCAGGCCAACTCACCCGAGATAGTCCTCCTTGATACTAGCAATGGCGTACATGCCTCCTACTTCTGCTCTAGTGCCAATCAGCTTCACGCGCACATGAGTTCCGACCTCGATAACAGAGTCCTCGTTGTTCGTCCATTGAGGCGGCGTCGCGTTGGTATCAAATCTGATATCGGGAGGGATTAACTAGTCTACATGTTAGGCCTAATTGCGCAGTCCATATCACATATACTAACATGAGATGAAACGAAGAGTGGGAGAGGACCAGCATCTGCGAAGAAGCCGACCTGGTTGACAGAGGTTACAATGGCATCAACCTGCAAGAATAAATAAGCCATATGTCTCCAGAATTTCCAGCTGCCGATTCTTACAGTCTCGCCTTTGAACGGCCTCCACACCACTGCGCGATAGCTAACGGTGAACTCGGCCAATCCATTTCCAGGCAGAATCCGTCCTTCGGAGATATTGACCGTGTCCATTATTGTGATAATAAAGTAGCGACCTGTGCATGTACCCTCAACGTCCTTCAACAGCTTCCCTGTAACCAACTCGTGCATATTTCGGCCGAAGTATGAAGGGTGCAGGGTGACCTGGTGGGTCAGGTTCAGGACGAAGAACATGATGGGCGGTACCCGATAATCCAAGTTGTTGAACCAAGGGCAAGAAGGAAGTTCACGGAGAAAGAGTTTCGACGTGGCGCGATGGAGATGGAGGAAAGGCAAAGGCTCGAAGGTGAGGTGAGGTGAGTTACCCGCGCCACCGTCCGCAAGTGCGCCCTTCCACTCCTTTATTTCAAGATAGCCTCCTCGGTCCCGGTCGCGCGAAGCTCTCAAAGCTCGCAGATATATTGCACTTTACTTGGCCGCTGACGAAATCTGCAGCCATCATATCAGTCCAGAACGCAGTGAGCGCTGGGTTAGCAATACAACGTACAGTACACTGGTCAAAAGAATGGCTTCGCAAAGACGGAACGCTCTGGCGCTGCTCTGGGGCCGTTACAGAGCGCGCGCAAAGGTTGTCGATGCTGGATCGAGCTCTGGACAAAGGACTGAAGATGTGGCCGGCGAATACACAAAGAGAGGGATGCTGATGCTTTGTGGTTCCGCCATAAGCTTAACTGGGAATTTGATAGCCGATTTATTAGTGCCAAGCTAAACGCGTTCAAGCCGTAGATTCCATCCCTAGCGCATAACGAGCGGCATCCGGCGGCCGAGGAGCTGTCGTTCGATTCCCATCAACAGCTTCAAACTTCAATTCTGGCGCTCTTTTTGATACCATTCAAGCTTGTCTCGCTAGAGTGATGGTCCTCCTGCAACTACGATCGCGTTGAATAATTCTCCCAACATCAACATCACCATCATCATTACTTCGTTCTTGTCTGCTATATCCCCAAGCTTTAAATACTCGAAAGAAGCCGCTTTCGCCCTCCTTCCACTCAAGTTCTCAAGTTTCCGGGGCAGTTCAACATGTCGTTGAATCTGGAAAAACAGCTTTGCTTCGTGAGTTTCCTATGGCTCTTCAACATGCCTTGAACAGAACAGGCTCTGATTTATTTACAGTATGGCGCCTACCACCACAATCCAGTCAATATCGCCATACATATGACCTGTGTCCCGCTGATTCTAGCTGCCAGCATACTTCTTGTACGCCCCGAGACTTGCCGCAACATTTCGCAGTAGACACTGACAACAACCCAGGGAACGAATAGTCCAATATTAATCCCACTACCCACCTGGCTGACTGTTCCCAATCTTCCTCTCAATTTCGGGACCATCGGAGCAATATTCTATAGCGGCTTTTATATCCTCCTCGAACCTGTCGCGGGTTCGGTCCTTCTGCCGGTCATCATGGGCTGGACGGCATATTCGAACCACCTTACCTCGGCATACGGCTCGAGCGCCAATACTGCTGGGATCGTCGTCGAAATAGTCGCTTGGATCGCCCAGTTCGTTGGACACGGTGTATATGAAGGCCGTGCTCCCGCTTTGCTGGACAATTTAGTTCAAGCCCTCGTTCTCGCTCCCTTTTTTGTGTTCATGGAATTCCTGTTCATGCTCGGGTACAGGCCCGAATTGCAGAAAAGGGTTAACGAAGGCGTCGATAAGGAAATTAAGAAATTCAAGTCACAGAAGGAGAATGGGAAAGTGAATAATGGCAAGGCAAATTGAAGAAACGGCTAAGATATGACAACATCGAGGGATCGGGCGTGGTTAAGGCGGTCAGCAAATGATACGTGACGGATCGGGTTGGCAACCCGAGAGCTAGGAACTTTGTTGATGGTGGAAAGTTTCCCCATGGCGCAGCAGGAAGTTGCTGAAGGAGTTAGGCGGGTTAACGAAATACCAAAGAGCGGTGCGGTTACTTGGCGGACAGGAAGATGAGCAGCGAAAGGTTTGAGCTGCCCTCGTTCTGTTTGTATTTCCACAAATGGGCAGCATGGAGTTCTTAGGCGCTATTGGACTTATGTTAGTTTCGAATCCACACTTCCGGGCTTCTAGGCAACTTGCTTGCAGACTGATTTTACTCGTTATTTCTAGTTTATATTTGGTTTTGTTTGAGGTTCAAGGCTTGAGTTTTCAACTTTCTTTTTATACCAAGTTTATACGAAATTTAAAATAGCTTCAGATTATACATATGCTATGTGTGCTTTGCGACTAGCGAAGGTCCTATAGTCCCTGGCCGCAGCATTTTCTAGGACCGACATTCCTGCAAACTGCTTCGGCTGACGGCCAGACTCGTCGGCCCTTGGTGATGAGGGAAGGATGAGGGCGAAACAGTATGATTCAACATCAGCGATGGTGGCAAATTGGGCAACGAGACCTCCCATTTATCAACACGGGCGAGCCCTTCCACCCTACACTAACCGGAAACCCGACTCTAGCCCCTCCATTCCGTCGAACTTGATGTAAAGCCACGTTATGACTACTTTTGAGAGGCACGTTTACATCTCAGCCTTAGCGGTATAATAGGAAGAGGGTCATCTGGAGGCGGGGGCGAAGGATATGGATAGCTACCATGGGGCGTCCTTGGGAAATTCTCCCACCTCGCTCTATCAATCCCGAGTTCCTCATAGAGTGGTTCTGTGCGGTCTATCATTGTTCGTCCGGGCGGTTCCTTCCGTTGTGCTTCATCCTTGAGATGGCCATGCCCAAGAAGTCGAGAGGTATGTCCCTCCTTGTTAACCCTGAGAATTGGAGACATGGGTTGTTTTTGACTGCTTTGTGGAAAACGAGTAGTAAAGTTCTCTTCGTTACGCTCGAGTTTTTGATGGGGGGGATGTTTCGTTTTCGCTTCGTGTTCCTTTATGTCGGACCATTCTGTAAAGGATCTCAATATCTGAGCACCTGGTTGCTGTTGAAATGATTCCGCTGCCCGCATCCTTGCGGGCTCTGATGATTGTAGTTGCTCGGCCATAGTACGGAGGTGCGATCCTAGAGAAATACGAGGGAGGTGCATATTGGGGTTTTGCAACCATTTCGATCCTTAGTTGACTAGGTTAGCACTGGCCCTACCTGAATTGGCTATCATAGGTTACATACTAATACCCCGATCTTGATCTGTAGCTTCCTGTTCTATCAATGCGATGAATTCGGGTTTTCCGTAATTACAGCAGCACTGTCCGGCCACCACTCTCTCTTCCTCCGTAGGATATCGCTTTCTAGCGATACACCTGGAGCATCGCCACACTCGTCTCGCGATTATTTCATCTTGCGTTATCCAGGACTCTTGACTGTCAGACATGGAATCTGTGTCCGGGACCGGCTCATTTATGTTATGACCGGCCTCCTGATCCTCTCGTTCCTGCATTTCATACTCTACCGCCTCTGTGGCCTGCACCATAGCCGTCACTTGACCAAATGCCGGTTTCAATTTTCCGCAGCAGTCTGGGCACAATCCTTCTTTCTCCCAATCGTATTCTTCTACCTGGGGTACGATTCTGGGCTGCGGTTTCTTGAGTTTTTCAACTAGCCGACGCAGAAACGGCCTCTTTAGTTTTTCAAGTAACCGATGCAGAGCCGGTTTCTTCGTGTCAATTTTCTCTTCTCCTCTGGAAATGCTAAAGGAACGTTTAGATGACGTATCCCAATGTCCACAATATGTATATCTACAAAATGTCAGTGTACTCATCTTTGAGGAATTTCGCTGGGGACTTTACTCCGTGATAGTGGTCTTACCAAGTATTCTTTCTTTGCTAAATCAGGAGTCTTCGCAGAGACGATGCGAGGAGGGAGGAGAATTCTAAAGGTAATGGTGGATTTCAATCCTTATATAGACGTTCACAGTTCTCTGTACTATTTCTTTCTCCTTTGTTTGCATCCCCCTCTTGACAATATTTCTCTGCTGTTCTATTCATTATATTCCTTTCATATACTACATTACTATTTTTGATAAGCTACTATCTCAGCGTTAGTTAATCTTGATCATTCTATGATCCGAGATGTTTAATATCCTGCAGTCAACTAGATTCTAGGTATACGATGTCCGGCCCGAGAGCGCCAGTGAGTGCTCTCTTGACTTAAAAGATGAATACACTGGGTGGCAATTCCTTGTGAGCATTGTTTCAGAAATCAAACGCCGAAAGCTTTGTAGTTTCTAACAAAAGCAATGGTACTTTTACTGGAGCACTTCTCGCCATTTCTTTCAATTTCCGTTTCGAGCCAGACATTAACCCAGTCTTCTATGTGAATGACTTAAGGTGTGGTAAGACAAATAGTGGATATGATATGAAATATTCGGAATCTGTAAATTCTAAAGGATATCTTACAACTGTTTTAAGGGAAGGAAAAGAGCTAGTATTCCACGCCGACTCAGACTTGAGCATAGCTACACACATATAACCAAAGTCAAAAGACCAAATAACCACACGCATTGGCAACGGCAGCAATAGATTATCAGTTCTATACCCCATCTCTTTGACAGGCCAGAGGGGGTTTGCTGTTAATGAAGTTTAGATTTGTAGGTGTATTGGGAGGGTTTCTGTTAAGCCCTCCATGAGAGAAAGTTTCTCGTGGTATTCATCTCTCTCAACACACCTGCCTGCTCTATTTACCCATTACGTTATGGCATGGGACTGTTTCCATTGGAATTACTACTTGTTAGGGGAATAGATAGGATGATTAGAGTGAGATCGCTGGCTATGAAGAATAAAATGGGCGTTGAAGATTGAGAGTGTGTTACTGAGAGTGACGTAGGAGTAGCAAAAAAGGACTGAAGAGTGAGTTTGTAGATCCAAATAATTTTGGACCTGGTGTATAGATGCTGAGAAGAACTAACTTTTTAATTTTCATGTTTTCCCACCTAGATATCTGAAGGGTTAAATTCAACAATTCACAGGAAGGACAGTATTATAACGAACAATATAGATAGGGATGGTATTATAGTCGTCACAGAATCAAACTAGGTCAAATGAAATAATGGGGGTATATATTAGGGAAGCTTGGATATTAAAGTTTATTTATTAACACTTGCCTTGCAAGATCTTATATTTGAGCAATTAAAACGGGAAGACAGTGCCTGGTAGTGATTAGGAACAAGGACTTTAGACATTTTACGCCGAGCTACGAGCAAACGCCCATCAATGCTAAAGAACGATGAGCTCTGTCCGCAGACAACTGCTTTTTCTCGGGCGATAGCCAATCCTTTGCTCTGCGATGGAAGGCATTGTTTTGACACTAACCAGGTATGACCTTGTGGTGTCTACGAAGCTAGGAGAGGCTGGAATGATTGGGCTACAGTAGGCAACATTGGCCAATTCATCGCCAGTTGCTCGTTCTTGCACCATGAAGCTGTCTCTATAGGCTTCTCGGTGGCCTTTCCAGGTTTGGACATGCACTAACACGGCCGCTAAACGAGTGTCGTCTTCGTCATCGCTTTCTGAGATGTATGAACCACTGCTAGTCGAAGGACTATACCCATTCTCTTCCATGTTTATTGGCCCTTTCTCTTCCATATTTACCGGCCAATTGATATGGGTAGAGGCTATGATCATCATGTCCCTCAGATCGAGCCAAGGAGTGCTCCCTTTCAGCCAATAGTTTTCTATACCCCATTCCGGAGGACTCCGAAGGTAGTCACTAGCATCTTCAACGATCAAAGGTCTCTTGTCAAAAAATCTTTTCATATCCGTAGTTTGGAAATCTACAGGTAAGCAAAAGTACTCCCGGAGTCTCTCAAGAATGTTTGCACCTACCGAGCTAAAGGGTGACACGGTGTCTTGGGACTTGCAGGCTGGGTTGAAAAAGCGGCTCTTAGTCCTTGGGATTTCCTCTGTCAAAGGTTGCCTTTTGGCTTCCTTGTGGGATCGGACTGGGGAAATGTTCCAAGAACCACTGGAGTCCTGGACCCATGCTTCATTGTCGGGGAAAATATCCTCGACTTGAGGTTCACTTTGAGAGAGTTGCATGCAGCTAAGTAAATCATTCCCCACCCAAAGAGGGTATGGGCTTGGGATGGTATAACCGTCTTGCGAGGTTGGAATCTCGGCGTAGGCATCTTGGCTATATTCTGGACGCTGAGATTCTTCAGCCTGGTGAGAACTTTTTAACTCGTCGGGTCCAGTTGCAGATTCATCTTGTGACCTACCCTTGATTCTGTCTTCAGAGTGGTCTCGTTCCATACCCTTTTGTATGGTTTCAGCGCAGACATCCACTGCGCAGTTCTGCCTAGAAGTGCTGCCGCCTGTTTGGTATATTTCCGAGCTTCGGGCATTAGAACCCAATGATTTATCATTGCAAGGTGTCTTAGCCCGGTATTCGGGGTTGGTGAGGATTTCGCCCATCTCACTACACCTTGCACAGTTTCTATTCGTTGAAATAGCGCCATCGGCATGCCCTTGATGAAATTCCTCCCAGAACTTAAAAGCCCCATCAAGGTCACCCTGTGCCTGCATCTGCTTGGCTATTTGTTCTCCCATAAACTGTGTCTGTTTCAGGCTCTGCTTTTGCTGAGCAACAATGTTCTGTTGCACCTTCTTCAACTTTTCGACTGCAAAAGAAGCTCCACCCAAGGCAATAACCGAAATGGTTTCTTCGTGTCCCAAAGCAGGTGGTGCATGTCTAGCAGGCCTTGACACTGATAACTTAGCACTGTCATTTTCGCATGCGTGGCAGACTTGCTCACTGGCTTCGTGTACCATAGGCGAGCTATTGAAAAGACGCTTAGCGATGCCGAAGAAGGTTCCGACTGGGGTGGTCTCTTTTCTGAGGAATGTGTGTCCACATGAGTAGACTGTTGAAACAGTTCTATAAGCCATGGTGACTAATTTCTTATAGGTTGGATATTGAAAACACTTTCGGAAAACTTCGTCGGTCGGGGGAGGCCCTCGTTGCCACGTTGCCCAACAATTTATAAACAGACCATAGTCTTGTTCATGCAAGTGACTAGAGAGACAAAGCCTATGTATGCGGCAATTGAGGGACAAGAGACTTCCATGATCCGGGTGAGAATTTCTTTATCGCAAAGACGGACATTTGACTATTATACTGGGAACAAAGCATTTGCGGAGAACAATGGATCCAGTCATCCGAAATCACCTATATCCAGGCCATGACTGATACCTCAGAGTCCTTTATTTCTTTCGTTAATTAATTTAGATTACTTTGGTTGAAGTTGGGCTGAGGTATGGAGCTGCTAGTTGGTCTGTTTGGACGGTATTGGGCGAGTTCTTTTACGTAGAACAACGAATGGACTCTAGTATAGTGGTCAAAAGGTTTTGAGCACGCCCATGTTCATCACGTGGTGATAGGAGGATCAGCCTCTTAATTTCGTAGGAAGGGTATATTTAAATGCATAAATGATCAGACGGAATCCTTTCAAATTAATTGTATTCCTTGCTCTACCACCCCTTAAAGCTTAAGTACTAGTAGTGTTGACTGTTAGAATAAGGGCACCCGTTGCTGGGGGTACGGGTAGACTTGGCATAAACGTCGCATACCTAGCCATAGGTACCTAAGGTAGGTAGGTAGGTAGTAACACACTGACCGAATACCTAATTAAGCAACCGTCCTGTTTTCTTACCTATTACATTACCTATTTATTATCATTTTTGGTCATTGTGGTGCTATTGCATACTTTGGCTCATTCTGTGGCTTATAATATATCGCGACCTACCTAAGGAAGCACAATACAATTTGCTCCTTTGTGTTGGAACCACTCTTGCGAAAATATTTTATTACCGCGATGGATTTTATTATTACTCCCCAATATTTCCATTCCCACACATAGGATAGAAGTATTCTAGATTGCCGCTATGATGCCACAAGAGTAGGGTCTCCAAAATAGTGTTCACCCCTAGGGTCTCATTTACCATGTCCAGGCTTCCAATCCTTGAACGTCCTCAACCACTTTTGCACCGTCTTAATCTCCCACAGATGCGCCTGTTGAATGAATAGCGGCTCAGCAGGGATATTCTTAATACCAGAAGAGTCCCAATGATGGCCTGCCCCGGCGATCAAATACTCAGGATTGAGATCGGATGATTCTCTGACTGGGGTTCCAGGGGCGTGGTAGCAGAGTCCAAGCCACGGGTCAATTGCTATATTTGGTGTCAATTTGGATATTTACTGGAGGGGGAAGTGGGGAATGTAACAACGTGCCTCCATCGATAAACGCAAGTCTATCAGCTTGGATATTGAAGCCGCCGTATTTGTTGGTTGTTCCGAGATCTGGAGTTCGAGGGATGGTGTTGTACTTTCCGCGTGGGAAGGCCCAAGTACACCATTGTTGCCTAGATTCCAATTCAGTTTCAGAGAGTCGGAAACTATGGAAAATTTGCTTACGTATAGTCCACTTGCAACACATTCATTATTAATGATGGGCCTCGAGAAGGGGCAACTTGATATGCACCCAGTTCGGTACATGCTGTTTGGCACCAACTTAGCTCTGTGTATTGAAGTATAGAAGAATAAGCATACTTGTATACAGGTACGAGCGGCCCGGTCCATTTGATTCATCCGCCCAGAACGAAGCTACACGACAATCAGCCAAAAGTTAGAACAGCTCATACCTAGGTATGTATAACGAACCGTTTTGAGTCCCGAAGCATGATGTGCTATCGTAGTCACCACTTGGGCACAACGGTAGGAATGCTTTCTTGAAGAAATCGGCGTAGTTTCCCAGGTTGACCCAAGGTTTCCCATGAGTGTATTTTGCCAAAGCATTATCAAATGCGGTAACACTCGCAGGTGCGTTAATGTTCGTAACGTTTGAACAGAAGTCGAAAAAGTCCGGAGCGCTATAAGCAGGATACCAGTTGAGTTCTTGCCATGTATCTTTTGGGTAATTCATTGGGCCTCCAACTACATGGGGCAAATCTGTCAGATCCTTGGAAAATAATATTTAATCGTTAATAAACCTACTTGGAAACGCAATAGTCATCGCAAAATCTCTAATATCCTTGAGCTTTTCAAGTCCAAAGATAGCTTTCAGCTCATTTATAGCCTCTTCTTTATGAGAGTCCACAAGGTAATCTATCTTTTCAACAATGGCATTGACGCTCGAAATACAATCTTGAGGGCCATATTTCTGAATCGGATCATACCTGAGGAGATTCAGATTAATATTGTACTCATAAAATATAGCATGCCTGAATTTTACCATTCTGGATATGGTAAAACTGTTTTCACCGGAGCACTGGATGCGATACCACCAAAGAGAATATCTCCATACTCCTTGAGTGAAAATGCGGTTTCACCACCAGCCAAGCTTCCACCGTAGAGAATCCACGGCGTGCCAGGCGCAGTCAGATTACCTTCAACGCCAGGAAATGTTGCATGCTGAGCAAAATAAGCATTATCAGCAATAGCTAGAGCATGTTAAAAATATATAAAACACTAGGATGGGCGCGACAAACTTTGCTCTGTGGTTAGATACCGCAAGTTGTCGGTCGTACTATTGGCGAACGGGTAGCTCTTGCCATAATATCGGTCTTCAATAATCACCCCGAGACCATTGGTAGCCTCCATCAAAATCTGAATAACTAGATTGTCGCATCAGCACGCTGAAATATTTTGAGAGAGTGAGATCCCTACTTCCAGTTTGGAGATTCGAAAACCGATTCGTGCCAGAGGTTTCACCGCTAATGTAGAGGTAGACGGGTCCTCCAGGCTTGTAGTACGAGGAGTCAAAAAAGTACCTCTGCTTGAATGTCCCAGTGACATGAGGAGCATATCGAGGATTATGGGGAAAATGATCGATCTGGATCTGAGTTAGAATACGAAGAATGGGAAAAGATAATATTACAAACAGGCATATCGATCGTATTCGCCGGATACGCAGCAGATTCTCTCCGATTGAGCGGATCAGACTGCTGGTCCAACCCGCGGTGCTTAACCTTGAGCATGGCGCTTGCCAGGCCAACAAAGCCAGCCAGAACACTGAGAAACCTCATCTTGCACTTCAATTAGGGGTGAGTTAAAGCGTAGGAAGATGAGGAAATTCACGGGCAGAAGAGAGCTGACGGCTCGGAAGGAAATCAATGAAGACGACATATTGAATTCCATGGACGGTAAGCCGGCTAATCTATATGAGGAAGTTGAAGTTACCTGCAGCTGGTCGCGCAGATTGACTGGTTAACACTCCTTGCAGATACTCATTTTGTATACGACCCGATATCCTCTGCGAGTAAGCAGAAGGGCAGGCCGCTGTTGCAACTACCCGGTTCCGGGGTCCCAAGTCACAGCGTTCCATTCTGTTGGATCATTATTGACTGCTTGTTCTGACGTGCTGGAGAGATATACTCAATATCCTATTCGAGTTAGATTCTGCGGCACGTTCAAGCTTCCGGCTGCTGTACTTGGCACATAAATGTGGGGAAGGCTAAATTCATGATCACATGATGCACGCTTCACCCAGCGTAATTGCAGACAGCTTTGGATAATATACCAATGGCAATTAAGATCTACAGAAGTGGAAATCAGCAAGTACAATATCTACGTACAGTTTCGTAGTTCCAGCCTCACTTTGCATCACCTCATTTCAGAAACCATCATGCAAAGTCACGTGGCGTATGGTCCGGGTAGTCATGCGTAGAGCAGTGGAGACTTCTAAATACTCAAATAGGCCCTAGGTGGAAAAGCTATAATATTCAAGCATACCCACCTTGTATCCATTTATATCTAGCAGTTAGATAGCATAATTATCTAGTAAGGTATCACCAACTAACAATCTTAGGTAGTCCCTAGAAGAAGTAGCACAATCTAGCATCCAACAGATCAAATTAGTATAACATTCTAGTCTACAAAGTTAATTCATGGCTTCGTTACCATATTTTAATCCCCCAAAGCTCCACCCACGCTGTTCGCCATGCTAAAAGTGATTATGCGAAAGAATTTTGTACCAAGATCTCGTTCTCATACTTTCGGATCAGCTGTCAAGACCAGTGATGTCCTCTCCAGATAACCGCTTCAACCAATCCTCCGGACAGGGATTATGTCTTCATTTCTTTATGTATCGTCATTGTCGCTGTCTGGCACAAAGACTTTATCGCTATCCCGATTCGCGAGTCTAGTCTCCGCAAACATTTCCTGCAACAGTCGCGACTTATCCGTGACCTGTTTCATAGGCGGCACTGCCCGACGCGCAGGTAACATAAGTTTAGAAATCCGGCCTCCAGCTTTCCGTGCCGATGGCAGAGTCTCGGCTCCCAATAACTCGGCAATGCTAACCTCCAACTCGATATCCTCTTGAGATGGGAGAAGGTGGGCTGGCCGGACACCGTTCCTAGCGTATCCCACCATTATACCCCATCTGTCATCGCTGCTAAATCGATGATCGTCGGACTTCTGAAGAGCATCCATGGCAGAATCTACATCACTGAATCGGACGAAGCATTCCTGCTCATTCCGTTTCATGCGCAACCCCTCGTACCCAGGCATTTCAGAAAAGTACTCTCGCAGATCATCCTCAGAGGGTTCCAGCGGGAGATTCCTGACATAGAGATTATTACAAGGCGGGTTTCCGTATCCGGAATCGATGGACTGAAGCGTCGAGGCTGTGGAATATGGCCGGTAGATTTGGTGAGATGGCGTCCAGGATCCAGATGCCAAAGAGCCAGTAGTGTTTGCTCTGGTTGGTAGTCCGGCTGCATGTAGACGATCGTTTGTTGAGCTTACAGACAAGCGCTCGCTGTAAGCTAGACTCGGTAGTAACTTTTGAATATTCTCCGTAGTAAAATTAGAGTGCAATGATCTTGTATCAAATACAGTGCTCTGTATCGAATTCTCGCTCCAGGATCGTCGTCTTCTAAATGACATGTCGTCGCCGACGGAGATTCGTACGGAATTCCGCTCTGTTCCCTTCTCGGTCTTTGAAGAGTCCGATCGGCGAAGCATAGAAACCACGGGTGCCAACAATCCCACGGGGGCCATGGGGGCCACGGATTTGTTCTTTGAGGCGAGTCTGGCTCTTGAAGCCCATAACTCAGGTGTTGACAATTGAACTTGCTTTGAAAGATGGCTTTGCATACTGTGGAATATATGGGAAGCTGGGATGATGTACGCCGTTTCGGTCCCAGGAAGTCCTAGCGCTATAATGCCATATAGATCGCCGGTCTCGTAATCCACAACCCATGACCCACAGTCTCCGTCAACTACATCGGTCAGAATAGGGGTAAAGCATAATCATGGGTGGGCTTACAAAAGTTCCCATTCGTGCATCTCACCACCCACAGCTCCTGGAAGGTAATACTCCACGGTGCTTTTTGGAAAGACGGAGTCGCTGATAACCTCCCTTCCAAGGCAGTGTCCCTATTGCCTGTGCTGATTAAGACGTCTGCGTCTGCAGGGCACTGTGCTACGCCTTTGGGATGGATAGCTTCTGTATGAAAGCTTTGGTTCCGCCAGTAAATACTATTTGTCATGAACCCTAAAAACGAGTCAGCAGGATGTGATATAATTGGTCTGAATAATACTAACGGCGGTTATTAAGAGATATGTTTTCGAGCATTAATTCGGAGTTTTCAATTTCCACAAGGGCCCAATCAAGGCTTCGCTCAGGAGCAGATACAAAGATATTACCGAGCTCAGGGGAGATGTTGTCATCGGAATCCTCTAGGGTTGCGAGGAATTTTAGTTGTTCCTCGAGGCTCCTTTCTGGAGTTGGCGAAGCAGTTCGTTCCGAGTCGGGGGTCTCTCCTTTGAGGATATCAGCATTTGATACTGTTTAGAAAGACAGACTGTGCAACTAGCAATAATCGTTTGACTGCAAAATTAAAGAGTGATGGCTTCTGTTCGAGCATCAAAGTTGCTCATGCAACGATAATGATAGTCTAGCTCCGGCCACACGGGGAGGGGGGAGGGGGGGGGCCATAATAGATTCTATCATCAATAAGAATATGTGGTTTATCTCACCTCGGTTTTGAGCGCTGCTTAACCGCGGAATCCTTTTCGATGCCCACGCATGCAAGCTAGGTTCAAATGGTTCATTTCTAGAGTCCACAGCAGATGCAAGGGAATCCGGACGGACACCGTCTAGAAAGTGTTAGTAAGATGTCATGTTCCCTGATTTCCATCCATTTTACCTAGGCTTAGGCTCGCGCCCGAATCATGTTTGACGTCCGAAGAGTCGTCAAGCTTCTCAAGACCATAGAAGGCGAATTGGGGGTCCGCATCCGAACGAGAAGCCGTGCTAGAAATCTGCTTGCAGGCGTAGAGGGTGATAATTCCGTAAAATAGGCCGGCTATAAAAACAATGCCTCCGAGAGTAGCTTTCCGCGGGGACCCAGGATGTTCTCCCGAAATTAGGACAGAGACGCCGCAATGCCTCAAGGGTTCCGTGGCATAGACACCTGGGGGTAATGCTGTTACTTCGGAGGTCTCTTCCATCGATAACGGTCGACGTTGCCAGGAGCATTCAGCCATCAAAACTTGAGGGTGGCTGTCTAGAATTCCAAGCTCGATCACGAGCGCCATCGCCCGTTGGCGAACAGGCTTGTTGTAACAGCTGAAGAGAAGCGTTGGACTTGCACGCTCTGCCTCGTCCCCGATCATGAACATCTCGACCATAAGATCCGTCTCTCTTGGATCCAGGCGCTCCAATTCCTCCTGTAGGAGCTGGACGACGGGTCGTGAGATGGCCTCCCACGCGTGGTGCGCGGGGCTCTCCTCCTTGATCGCCCAACACTTGAACCTCCCGAGGGCATCCACAGATCCACAACTCTCGCCGATCGAGAGTTCTGGATCCGGCCATTGAGAACCAGACATGTTGAGGTAGCGCACCGGGGCATGGGCGGGGATCGCAGCTGAAGCCGGTGATATTAGGGAAGTCAGCGTGTTTGGTCCGCTCTCTGGATCGAGCTTTCATCCTCTCCGCATCATACTTGAGTATTATGAGAGTGGCGCAAGCAGTTCCAGGTGTCCCAGCCGGAGTGCAGCGCTTCACAAGATCGACATATTGAACGAGGAAGCTGACGGTACCAATCTGACACAAGGGTTGAAGTACTGCTCCGTAAGGCTGTATTTAGCCAATATGCGCCAGTGAGCGCCGCAGGTGCGCATCGCGACTGTGGCGCCAATAGTGTTGGCTTTCCGAAATGGATTATTGATTCTGTGCAACGTTCCAAGGCTACGCCTGCGGAGCTGAAGCCACACAGAGCCGTCTCGCCGGCCTTGGGGCCTTGAGTCCTTAGATCCTTCAAGGGCCGGCGGCTACAGGTGCTTCTTCACATGTCCAAGGCGCTTACATCGTTGAATCGCGATTGAAACCGGAAACGGAGGAGGGGAACACCAAAAGCTGAAACTGCCTACGATTACTGTATTGTAAGCGTCGCGCGGCACTACAAAGGGGTACAAGGCTTAGTACTCGAGTAAGAGTAAAGTGATTCTAGTAACTTTACAAATAAATACTCTTTACTGTATCATTATTCCAAGACTATCAAATATTCGCTAACTCCACCCATCCATCCTTCTCAGATTCCAGCTTACTCTTTCTCCGCTGGCACAGTCGCTGATTCTACGCAAGGAGTCACCTCATGAGTTGCCTTCTCGGAATCCACCGTTGCATCCTTGCCCGAATTGGCGGCACGCACAAAAACGGCCTCTCCTTTAGTCTTCCTGTCAATCACAGCTTGGATTTCGGCATCCAACCTCGATCCACCAGGCTTAGTCTTCCAAGGTCTCGGTCCATCGTCGCTAAACAGGATCTCGATTTCCTCCAATGTCTTGCCACATGTTTCAGGGTATGTGAAGTATGCCTGGACGGCCGCAGCGAAGCAAAGAATACCAAAGATGATAAAGGTCTTGTAGGTGATGTTACGGAAAGCTGGAGGAACAAACAGGCCGAGGGCGAAACTGCGGTGCGTTAGCAAACAGGACAGCTCTGCATGAATTGGAGTGACATAGGTGAATTTATAAGAAGGGGAAATAAGGGGAAACTAACTTGAAGAGCCAGTTTGCAACTGCGGCAAGAGACATTCCAGTTGCGCGAGTCTCGAGAGACCAGACTTCAGCTGCGTAAACCCAAGCCACAGGTGCAAGAGTTAAAGCGTAAACGATGATCAAAAGATAGCAGAATGCGATGATGGTATGTGCTGGTGCACCATGAACTTGAATGACGACATTTTTGTTAGGAGGGTCACCAACACCGCCGGGGACAAGAACGCCGTATGACCCCATGAGCCCCCCGACGACGAATTGGCAAATTCCCATTCCTATCGCGCCGTAAATGAGGAGGGGTCGCCGGCCAGTTTTGTCGATGAAGAAAAAGACAACGGTAGTGAAGATAATGAATAGCGCATACTGAACGCCGGAGCTGATGAGGTTGATATTGCCGTTTAGACCAGCCATTTGGAAGACGTAAACGACATAGTAGGTCATTACGTTCGCCCCAGACATCTGTTGCCAAGCCCTATAAGAGGTAAGTATATAATTTCAAGGGGGGATGAGAAGCGGCGTACTGAACACTCATTCCAGCCAATGTACGGCGCCACATGCCCTTGTAGACGAATTTTCTCCAACTGTGAGGAGCTTCTCGCTCTGCCGTTAATACGGTGTAGATTTCCTCCCACTCCGCAATGACCAGAGGATCATCGCGATTTCCGTTAGCTTGGATGTTGGCCAGGGTCTGGATAGCCTCTTCCTCCCTTCCAACTTTTGCAAGCCCTGAATAAGATTGACAAGTTAGCAAATGCTGTTTGCATAGATGAGACTGACTGGTCTAAAGAATCGGCTGCCTTCAAAACATCGAGGGCACTTTATATAAGGGTCAACTTACAGCGCGGCGAGCGAGGCAAGAATGGCAATCCAATCATGAGAATCACCGCAGGGACGAACTGAACCCCCCAAGCGGTGCGGAAAGATGCAGTTCCTGCAATGAAGGAACAGCCATAACCGGTGAAGAACATGATGAAGATACCCCATTCAATAGCAAGTTGTTGAATAACGATAATACTTCCACGCTTGTCCTTTTTGGCAATCTCGGCGAGGTAGACCGGGACCTGGGAAGAAGTAATTCCAACGCAGACGCCATTCAGGATACGGCCCGCAATGAGCTGCCCAAAGTCCTTGCAGGCAACTTGAACTGCGGTGCCAATAAGCCACCAAAGACAGGCAAAGAAGATGGAGTCACGGCGTCCCCATTTGTCGGATATAGGACCTGCCATCAAAGAGCCAACCACGGAGCCCGCAGCAAGGGCTGATCCAATGGCGCCTTGAATGATCCCATGGGGATTGTCAAAGTAGTCAAGATACTGCTTCGTGCCAACAATGGCACTCATAGATGATATGTCGAAACCGAAGCTGCGACCCTATTAGCCTGGGCCTTCCAAACATACGAGGTTGAGGCAGGTTAGGAGGTACTTACAGCATGCCACCTACCGTGGCAATAATAGCCACGAAATAGGTGTTATAAATCTTAGGTAAATGCATCTTTACTTCCAGGCGATGGCCTCAGTGCGGTGGAAGACAAGAGGAATTTGAATTTTGGACGACGATCCTGAGAAAAGCCGGAGGGAGGGTTTGGCATGGTATTTGTACCCTGTGGAACTGGCCATGATAAAATACTCCAGGACCAAGGGTGCTTTCCTTGTCCGTGATAATCAAGATTTCATGAAGCTGCAGCAGTCCATCGTTCGTCGACCCGTAGCACCTGTCGGACCCAACTCCCGCGAAACGGCCGACAGGGAGATGGATCTGCCTGTATGCATGGTTTTGGAGTCTTGGGCGCGCTGCCTCTCCGCATCGCAGCCTCCGCCGAACATGCTTCTAAAGCCTGAGGTTCGGGGAGCGGGGCCCCGCAGGCGCTGGCTGTAGGTGAACTTATGGGGTTGGTGCCGGGCAAAGTCAACACTAGCGAACCTCCCTCGGCGCCTCCAAGGCAAACTCTAACTGCCTAGGGTGGCACTAACTACTTCTCTCTCGTGAGCCTCCGTTTGGCTATTATCCGGATCGCAGGTGAATCAGGGGGAGGGAAGGGCCCGGAGAAACTAGAAACATCGAGGATCCATGCCGAGGGGGGCATAGCGACGGCGATGATGAGACAGGGAGACGTTGTGCTTGGCGGAGGAAATAGATAAACAATTGAGGAGAAGCTCCCCTGCGGGAGTCGGAGACTTGCGAGACTTGCGTCGGTCTGATTCGCGCGCATATAACAGTGACAGACAATGACCAATTTCCCCAACCCCCAGACTTGACGACCCACAGGCTCTGGTCGGGAGGGTTCACCTTGTTATGGTTGACGATTGCTCGGGAATTGACAATTGCATATGGAGTCCTTCGTACTCTGTACGTACTTCGTAGTGTGCGCCGAGTGCGTTCAGGACTGGGCAATAATAATAATAATAATACTAAACAACGAAAAGTCGATATCAAGACGAATGCTCGCACTCCGGAATATGAGTACCGTATAAGGTAAAGTACCTAGGAAGTACCTGGGTCCTTGGAGGTTGCATAGGGAGATATCGATCTCCACCAGTCGCGTTCACTTTACTCTAGGACCCCTACCTGCAAATGCAATTGTGTTGTAAACTCTCAATAAATGGTGCGACTATCGTTATTGTTGTATGATGCGGTGTAACCATGTAGCTTGTCAATTATCTGCCAAGTCTCCAATGCTTCATGTATGAATGCCCTTATCTTCAGTGCAATATATCGTTATGCGGTCCGATTAGGCTGTCGCTGGTAGAGAGCTTGGGGGAGGGAGAGCTTCTGGGCCAAAGGACAATGGAAGTAGCTGCAAAGCATAAGAGTTAATTACGCTGAATACATAAGGATGTTCAGCGGCCGCTGCTTACCTGGCTGAGCTTCATCACGATAAAAGCTCCATCCTTATCAAACATCAATACAGGTGTGTCCAGCTCGCAGAACTCGCGGATACTGATCAGTGCAAACGTCAGCCTCTTGGTACCCAGCAACCATTCCCGGCATTTAGAAGCTCACTCACAATTGCCTACACATCCCACAGGGACTGGCGGGAGGGGTGATATCTGTGGCGACAGCAACCGCCTTGAACTTCTTATGCCCCTCCGTCACCGCTTTTCCAAACGCTACCCGCTCGGCGCATGTCCCCACGGGGTACGATGCATTTTCTACGTTCGCTCCGTCGATATACCCGCCGTCATCTGTGAGGATCGTTGCTCCCACGCGGAATCGGGAGTATGGGCAGTACGCAGTGGCTTTGGCGGAGGAGCATCGCGAATGCAGCGTTTTGACCTCGGCCGGAGTCAGAGAGTATTCTTCGCATACTTTGGAGACATGAGCTTCGTTGCTGGATTGGAGCAGTGTGGTCGCCATTTTGGAGAGGGACAGAAAGAAGCAAAAGAGTTTGGGGGAATGCGAATAATACTGCTGTACAAGTAGCACCGCTACGCCAGCTCCCTTTCTGGGCGACGGCCGATTCCGAAGGCTGCTGACAGCAACTCCCACGACTAACTGTACAACAAACACCAATGGATTTTCTTTATAGTCAAATGTCATATCATTTGCGATGTTAATTCGATATATTTATCGGCATGTATCAGACTCAAAGAAGAAATTGTCAACGGGACGCGATGATTCTCATGTGAGCGAACTGCAAATCAGCTCCGTAGAGACAGACAAAGGCCAGCTCACACCCCGCCCTATCAGAAGTTAGGTTGTAGGTGGCTATAACAATACAAATAAAGACTGTCGTTACTCCGTCTCGACTATCACCAATATGCCAACTGTCCATCTACACCCACACGATAAGGATTCAAATGTACTATGTCCATATCCACCAAGTTCGACGGAAGGTAAGCTGAAGAGAACTTGAAAGGGTGTTGTAGTCTGTCCTCCTGGAGAAAGTCGGGGAATAGATAGAATGAGGAAAGATAAGTTTATGTAAACACATGGGGATATTCAGTAAATGAGTCTCAGGTATGATTGCTCATTGGGCGGGCATCTGTATTCCATCACATAACTCAAAATACATTGTCTGTCCAATCGAGATTTAAGATTCGCCCATTCGCGATAACGAGGTAGCCAGGGTATTGATTCTGGCTCCTATGGGACGAAGTATCGTGAGGAGCTACCAGATAAGGTCCTTATGTACCTCATCGCGACAAATGGGACTTCCTGCTAGGTACAACATTTGCCTCGAGAAACTAAAAGCGTTTTAAGGAATTGAATTATTTCATTGTACTTCGTACGAAGCAAAGGCCAAAGGCAAACGACAAACCGAGGAGATATCTCCGAGGGGATGGTCTCAGCCTCATCTCCGGTCTCGGCTTTTTCTCGACGTCATTGCCCGAATTTTTGTGACCAGTCATCACGATAACTCCGTCGAAGCCGCGACAGCTCTGGTTATATTATAAACCACAACCCTTCAAACGATCTCCGTTCAAAATCTGGATATATTATTTGTTTATTTTGCATCCTCCGAGATACCCCAACGTTTGTCTGTGCTCATTATGCGATCCTCAATATTGCGGCAAAGGCAGCAGGTCCTCCAAACTTGCAAAACATCAACTCGACGCAGCTTTGCGACCAGCTCCTCACGAAACCCCAATTCCCTACCATCAATCTGCCAATCGTGCAGTAAAAGACCTACACACACTACCAGCCAAACACCCCTTCGGCGGCGCTGGCAAAGCTCGACCGCAAGCCCTCACTCGGCCACCGACACCGTCAGCGCCCACCCGGTACCGCCAACATACTATGAGTTATTTCCCGAGACACTGCCGCAAGGCCCCCCGCCCTCAGGGCCCTTCCATATTGACGTCCGCGAATTACGAAGAGAATTTCTGCAGCTGCAGGCAGTAGCACATCCGGACCGGCACCCATCTCACCTTAAAGCCCGGGCAGAAGGGACATCGGCGCGGATCAACGAGGCATATAAGACGCTGCAAAACCCCCTACTACGGGCGCAATACTTGTTAAGTCTGAAAGGAATTGATGTTGCAGAAGATGAGACTGCGAGGGTCGAGGATCCGGAACTTCTAATGGAGGTGTTGGATACCAGGGAGGAGATCGAGAGTGCGGAGGAGGGAGATCTAGATGAGTTGAGGAGGATGAATGAAGAGAGGATTGCGGCGAGTGAGAAGGTGCTGGATAGGTCATTTAAGGAGGACGATTTAGACCTTGCGAAGGCGGAGGCTGTTAGGATGAGATATTGGATTAATATCAAAGAGAGTTTGGATGCCTGGGAGAGGGGGCAGCCGGTTGTGCTTGTTCACTAAGGAGGGTTGGGATGGGTGGGCATTTAAATAGTCGCTGGTGAAGGGCATTTTAGGAGCGTCCGCGATGCATGATATCCAGGCATACGCTCAAGGAGTGAAATGTTCACGGCTATAGTATTGTAAAGATACCCATATTCAGGTTTTTTATTCTTTTGTATTCAGCAACGCATGCTCGAGATCAGTCGTCGAAATACGTTCCATGGGGCTAGATTCGGAGTGCTGAGCGCCTACCCTTTGGGTTTAGGGCTCTTCTATTCTTCGTTAGGGGAATCAACCCAAACAAGAAGTATACGAGGGATGCACAAGACTGAGAAATAATTACCGGTTTATCTATTACAACAAAGAGATCATCCACCTTATTCAACTAAAGCTATCCTTGACGGATAATGGAAACTGCTACGAGATGATATAGAATAGGATTCTATCCGTTCCGCTCTGCGGGCGATTCGTCACTGGCACTCGCGATAGTGATGCCCACCCGACTTTCACAAAAGCTAGAGCAAGACTCGCCGCGTCTTCCAACAAAATCGACACTCGACACTCGACACTCGTATAAGTACTATCAATTTCCTTAGAGAGGGAAGGGGACAGACGAATAGTCTCCTCATTCTATGCTTCATGTCTAAAAATACCTTGCCAAGGAAAATGATTTCGTCAAATCGGGGTAAAAGAGTGTTTGGGAGTTAATCGAGGGTTAATTGAGTATTGTAACAGAGGTGGTAGGTAGTGCCTCACTGCCTCTACATAGACAGGGATATGCCAAGGCCCATTGGTATTTAATGTGAAGTTTCACACCCTTTCACTTCAGCTCTTCTTACTCTGTTGTTCATAACTAAATATGTCAATCATCGATTCAGATCTTGCTATTTCGCCGAAGTCAGGCAAAGAAATAACCGAGTATGCCATCGATATGGGCAAAGAGTCTCCCACTCACGCCGCAGCCGACCAGCACGGCGAAGATGAGCAGCCAAGCATCGATTACAATCCAACTATCAATATAGATTCCAAGCTTTCACTTGGGTTGATAACGCTAGCGTTGATGTCCACGATACTCCTAGCAGCTTTAGATGTCAACATAGTTTGTAGGTTTACATCATAAATGATTGCTTATTGAGTCTCTAAAAGCAGAGTCGGCAAGAGTACTTGTGATTGATACCTGGCTGGCATAACACAAATATCGGCATATTCCATTCATTTAGTACATTTGATTTATTACCTTATTTTCCTAGGTGCATTAGGTACCTTAGGTATATATATAGGCTTTCCACTCATTAGATTAGAGAAAAATCAATCACTTCCATCCGTCCATCCCGAGCCCCATAAGCCAACATATTGCATCCCTAGATGTAAAACAAGATGCCTAGCGTGGAGTCGAGGCTAGCTTGTAGGCTTTGTGTCAAGGAGGCTATCACCAGAACCACTCTACGCATATGTCTAGCCGTCGGTAATGATGAACTCGTTGCATGCCAAGCCGTAAGAAAATACATACTTGATACCAACACACAATGAATATCCAATTGAACAACAGGAGCATTAAATGCCAAATTCGCAGACTTCACAAATAGCTTCTGAGGCCTTGAGTATAGTTACTATAAAATTGAAGCACCCAATTCTACGCGATATAGCCTTGGCCCTTGTCACGCTTCAAATGGAGACACAGACATCAGATTAAGGAGTGTACGCATGCCTTGTCCATAGAACTTGCGGACGACGCTTTGTGTACATGGGGAGCCTGTATGGAAAACTAGGCGTCTATAGCAGAATCAAGGGTCATCCCAGGCCGTCATATCGGGAAAGGGATGCTAGCAAAGTCTCTTTCATTGCAGTGGACAAGTCGTGGGACACTACCTCCTTTATTCGCCTAGCCAGATATCCCGCAATTTCCTTACTTCAGTAAATTCTCATTCTCCTGCAGAAACTTCTCTACTGATGTCAGATTAAACTCCTTACTAGCTTCCGCAGCGTCGTCACTCGGTACTTCACAAGTCCAAATTTGCGCATCCGCCATGATGGTGCTCGGCATGGCCGCAATCTCTTCATCTGTATAGTAATGAACTTTAATCGTCATGCTCATAAAGTCCCCAATCTTATTAGCATACTCCTGAATAGTCAGGGACTCGGCAGCTAGGTCAATGTGGCGCCCCGTGTATTTCTGAGGTTGGGAAACTGCTGCTGCGGCCACGACTCCAACGTCTCGAGCGTCAATCCACGCAATCTTAGCCTCGGGCGTGAAAGCCACCCTGAAGGTGCTGTCTTTCTCGAAGCCCGGGTAGTAGATATTCCTGTTAGGTGGCAAAAAGTTCTGCAGAAAGCGAGCGGGCCGCACAATGGTCCAATATTTGAAGCCGGCGTTGCGAACGTACTTTTCCACATCATCCTTCGTCAACCAGTAGTTGTACATCGACCACTCTGGGCCCCAGCGGGGAAAAGTCTCGTGCTGGCCGGCCCTCACCACAGAGGAGGCAATCATCACTGACACGGTGGGGGATGCTCGAGCGGCTGTGATTACGTTCTTTGCAGCTTGGGCGCCAGCTTGGGCAGGCAAATTCAGGAAGACGGCGTTCATGCCCCGCATTGCTACCTCCAGGGATTCGGGGTCATCCAAGTCCCCTTTGATGAGCGTGGCGCCTTGCTGTTGTAGACCTTTGGCTTTTTCGGACGAAGTATCACGGACCAAGGCGTAAACCTCGTGGCCAGCTTGAAGGCAGTGATGGACTGTGCCTGTGCCTTGAGCGCCTGTTGCGGCGGTGACGAGGATTTTCTTTGGCGAAGACATGACTCTGGTATCTTTGAGTAAATGCAATGATAATTCTGTTAGTAAGAAACCCCAATTGAAGACACGAGCCTGCTATATATAGATAGCGACTATTTAGTAAGGCATAAACGGAGATAAGTTGCGCCGGCCCGCTAAGCGAGCTAGTTAAAACAGGGTTACCTCATCCTCCCGCTCTAGCTGCTTAGTAAGAGACCGACTAATAAAAGTATTAGTATAGTCGGCTAGCTCCGCCTAGTAAGCGTTCACGTGCTTCTTCATCGAGTGAATCAGAAAGCTCTACTACTTCAAAAAAGCGAGCCCGAATCGAGTCTAGCCCTTTTACTCCCAAGTAGCAATAATATCTATAGTTGGATCAGTGATGTTATCTGTTGTCTCGTCAAAAGCGGATATATAACTCGCTGCTTGATCTCGGCCAACGACAGTATCCTGCTCGTGTTCAGCCTCCGGGACTGTGTTTGCAGTGCTACGATGTCTAATACACAAGTGCTCCATACGAGTTACGCAACCTGCGGGCAATAAAACATCACGTAAATCTGCGCACAGACAGCGTCGGTGGGTATTAATTCGCGGGGAAAAACAACGAGGGCAAAAATCAATTCCGCTACATTTGCTACTCCTCTGATGTCGAGTCAGCTTTCTCACTACTGACGCGGCTCTGCCTCTCCTGCGACACCACCTTGCCGTCTTCCAGCTTCACCAACACATTGCATTGGCTCAGGACCGTATTACGATGCGTAACGACTACTCGAGTACAGCTTGCAAACTTGGTCTCCATCACGCGATGCATAATCGAGTCCGTCTGATAGTCCATGTTGCTCGTCGCCTCGTCCATAATCACAATCTTGCTTCCCGTCTTTGCGTTATGCATCAGCGCCCTGGCCAGGCTCAGGAGCTGTCGCTGGCCCGCTGATAGCCCTATCTTTGTAAGAGGCTCATGCAGTCCACCGTGACGAGAGATGTGGTGCCATAAACCAACGGTTTTCAATGTCTCAGTCAAGACGGCATCATCTTGTTTCTTGTCTTCATCATCATTCATAATTTCCAGGGGCAGGAGATTATCACGGACAGTGCCAGGAATATCAACATGATCCTGCGGAATTGTTGTGATACTTTGACGAAGCTGCTCGCGAGGGATATTCGAGATGTCAACGCCATCAATGGTGATGGTACCTGTATGGTGTAAAAAGTTGAGGAGCGTCAAAATGATGCTGCTCTTTCCGCTCCCCGTACGTCCCACAACTGCTACCGATTCTCCCGATTTGATCTGGAAAGAAACATCATTGATTGCGCATCTAGCATCAGGTTCCGGGCTATATGAGGCTGAAACGTTCTTGAATTCAATTTCGCCACGACTCGGCCATGTCACAGCTTGCTCTGTGACGCCATCTTTGTCCTTTTCGGTAGGCGTATCCTTCATAAACGACTGCAGACGCGCCACAGCTCCCAATGAAGTCTCCAGAGTAGTCCACTCTGTAATAAGAAAGTTTAGATCTGCTTGGAGGTAGATCACAGACATCAATGCCAAGCCTAATCCGCCTTGCGACGAGGCGTTGACGACGAGAAGAGCGATGCTGACCAACCCACTCACTATTGCAGTGGTAATCGCGTTCAAGATAATCACAAGCCATCGTTGGACTGCATACATGTAGTAAAACGACTTTTGCGACCGGTCCAGCATCTCATACGTCTGCAAAAGTAGCGGACCTTGCCAACCATAGGCGCGAATGTGCTCGACGCCAGCAGCCGTCTCGCTAATTGTGGCAAATAGAGGCGTTTTGGTCTCCAAGTCTAGAATTCGTATTTGTCTAGACGTCTGCAGGTAAAGGCTCTGTAACACCCAGAGAATAGCGAAGAGAAATGGAATAAAGGCCACCATATAATATGATCCAGAGATAAGATACACGCACTGGATGATGACAATGGTCAAGCTGAGGAACACCCTGAAAACGCCATGCGGCAGCTTGAATGCAAAGAGTGTCATATCTTGACTGAATCGGTTGAGCAGCGCTCCGCTCCGTGATCCCGAGAGAAAGGGCAGCGTGGCTGTCATGACAGCATCAAGGAACAACTTGTGCATCCTGTTGGCAATCTTGGGCATCGTGACAATTTGCCATATCCAAACCATGAATGCCGAGTTGACAACGTGTACAAAGACGCCGATGAGCAGAGGAATAACCAACAGCTTGTTCATTGGGCCTATCGCCAGCCAGACTCGAGCCCATAGCTCATTCCAGGTGCTGAGAACTTGCCAAGCAAGAGCAGACGTTGCAATAATAATTAATAGATATCGCGGTACCGTTCCAAAAAGTAGTCTGTAGAGACTTTTGTCAGTGGCCAACAGCGTGTCAATTTTCTCTTCGTCCCCATTGCTCTCTTCGTCAAGCTTCAGGACGACTTCTTCCTCAAAGTCTTGGTCCTTGTCTCGGTTTTGTGACGCTAGTGCTGCTGTTCGCACAGCGACGATGTCGTTTTTATCGACATGCGAAGAAACGTGTCCAGAAGAATCGAGGACAAGGACTTGGTCGGCGTCGCTGAGCCATTCGACTGAGACACCATGTTAGCCTTAGAATAAGAGCTCATAAGACGAGCGAAATGACAGTACCGGCGTGCGTAGCTAGAACAACAGTTCTTCCTTGACGCTTCAAGAGACCATCGGGGGCAAGCAGCCGGGAGAAAATGATTTTGGCAGTCGATCGATCGAGGGCGCTCAGAATATCGTCGAGAATTAGAATCGGAGCTCGAGAATAGATGGCTCGAGCTAAGGCCTGTATTTCGGGAGTTCATTAGCATCGGGATAACTAACAGTTTCATTGGATGCTCCCAGTTACTCACGACTCTCTGCTTCTGGCCGCCGCTCAGCAAGCCTCCATTATCATTGCCAGTTTTGGCCTGATCGGTAATCTTGCCAACGTCATAGTCGAGAGCAGACGCTTTCAGTACTTCTTGATACCATTCGTGGTCATACTCGTTAGTGCCAATGACGGCTTGTCGAATGGTGCAGTTGGGAATCCAGGCACTCTGGTGACAGAAGGCCATATTGTCCGTTCTTATCTGGATCGTCCCCCTGGAGAGGGAACTTTCGCCTAAAAGGGTACGAAGCAAAGTAGACTTGCCACAACCGACCGGGCCAATAACGATGTTGAGTGACGCAGTAGCGATGTCAAAGCTCACTTTATCCAAGACGTTTACATGGTTTTCGGCTGCTAGTGCTGCTACTGAAAGATTGTTGACCGAGATTTGGACAGTTTCAGTTGCCAATGGCATCTTCTCTGATGTATCTGAGCTATTCGCAGCGGCTTCTTTTTCGTCCACATCAGGAGAAAGGGCGCTGATGCGATTGAAGGGCTGACGCGGGTCCTCGCGCTCACTCTGCAAGAGAAATTCTTGAATACGAACGAAGTTGGAAAAGCCACCGCCCAGCATTGGTGAGTTGAGAATGAGGGCGCGCAGCGGCCCTTGAAACAGAGCAGCCAATGACAAGTACGTGTAAAGCGACGAAGCATCGAGACCGTCTCTCCACGTGGTCCAAAAGACACCTCCAACAAAACCCGCGGTCATTGTCCACACCGTTTCGACGCTGTGATTTGCTTGAGAGATCATTCGAAGGTATCGAATCCGCAAGGACCGTTCAATTTCAGCTTCGCGGCTGCGCTGCATGAATGCCGTAATCGTAGATTGCAGACCAAGCATTTTAATACCTTTCAATTGTAGCAAAACAATGCTCATCTGGGCGACACGTTCCTGGATTCCTTCTACCCATTGTTTCTGAGCCTTTGCCGCCGGTTTGGTCATCAAAACAGCAATAAGACAGCCGGCTTTAAAAGATATGAGTAAATGTCCCCTTCTAACCTGGGGGCAATTTACCAAGAGCGATAGCAAAGGTGAGGACAAATGCAACCCCGACCATTCGATAGATGAAGTATAGACAACAGGCAACAGCAGGGATCGCAGTGGCAAATTCGTGCAATTCTATAATCAAATCGCAGATTTGTTCGACATCTGTGCTCATGAGAGTAACAGCCTCTGTCTTTTGGGCTGACACCAGCGTCAAGGCAAAGTTCTTCTTCGTGATTTGCGACACGAGGAGTCCACGAGTGAGTGTACTAGTCTTGTTGATATAGTACGTAGTCATGGAAATGGCTGTCTAGTAATGATATTAGCGATATGCTTCGATATACTCTTTTTGCCTGATTACCATCTTGATCAAGTATATGGCCACAGTTGCTAAAATGAGAGAAGTTGGTCGCCATCTCGGCTGAGCTTGTCCCATAGAAGCTACTGTCGTCTGGATGGAGAAAGCCTGAGCCCATTCGCACGCGGTCGTAAGCATGTGTGAGAAGACGGCGGGTCCTAAAGTCCAACGAAAAGCAACAACGCAGGTGTTGATGAGAGCCCATTGTGAGGTCTTGTCTTGCCTTGCCCAGATGCGATCAAACTCCGAGCTCAGCCTTTTCGATGAGTAGTCGGGACCGAGAGTAGAAAGGTCCTTCATGGCCAAAGCCTGCCTCCTACCTAAACGCATAGTTGGGTTCACCCATATAGCCAACGTCTGGTTCCAAAAGCCGCAAGTGGCTTCTTGAGAGATGATCTGGCCGGTGGAATCGCACAATGGCTTGGGAAACTCTTGCAACATGATTATCGCGAGTTTAGGTACCGCGGCAACGGCAGAAAGCGCCGCAACAGCGCTCAGACCATCCCTCATGAAGAAAGATCGAGTCTTGACAATGTCCACGCAAAATGCGACGCTCAACATGGCGCTACTTATGTAGGAAGAGTGAGGCGAGTGGCGGTATTCTAGTGTGTTCATAAGTAAGACGGCGGCAGCGCCAACCGCTGAGAGTGCTGTGGTCGCTTCGAAAATGGCATATGCACCACCAGGAGCCATGCTCCAGACCACTGCCTTGGCAACCTCTAAGCAAAAGAGAGCGATGGCCGCAATCTGAAATATCTAGTTAGTTCTTATTTAGTCTTAAGAAGAGCAAGATATGGGAGCCCTACCGTTAAGAGCCAAAAGTGCGTCCCAATCTTGGCAACAGCTGGTCTCTTCCTGTAATACCAGATGTGAAACGGGCAGGCAGTAATCAGAACGCCCAGAGGCGCGATGGTTAGGATTGCACTTTCAAACGTGAGGGAAAAATCAAACGAGTCGCCATATCCAGGACCGAGTTCGCGGTCAAGAGCGAACATACTGTTGATGGACATTTTGGATAGGGTGTGTAGGCAGCGGATGCCGCCAACTAGTTAGACGTGTATGTTTGACGCTTCGCGTCGCGTAGAAAGGACATCGAGGGTGACAAAAGTGAAGAAGCTAAGGATCTAGAAGACGGGGAAAGAAGAGCAACACGATAGATATTTAAACTAAGAAACTGAAGAAACCGACCAACATAAGGCGAGGTTGAAGAGGAGCGAATAAGGGTCTGTTCGTTCAGGTAATGGCAGTAGCATTACGCCAAGGCACCTTACCTATATAGGGGCACTTCTGTTGGACTCCGTATCAGAGGCTGCCACTGTGCATGTGAACGAACAGGTACGTACTTGTGGGACAAGTGGCCAGCCAAATTAGGTGGCCACTTGTCCCACAAGTACCTAATCCCTGCTTGGAGTTCATTTTGTATGGGAGAATCGTATAACTGCTCCAGAGCAATTATGCGCCGCCCAATTAGGCAGTCGAGTGTCTACCTGACCAATAGACACGCCACAGCGGGGTGTAAGGCCCTGAAGGGAGGCCCTGTAGCAGGATACGATAGTGTATTCTAGGCTCTAGCTATAGGGCACCAAGGCCTAGAGTGAAGCGTTAAAAGAAAACGCGATAGTAGATTACAAGTTCCAGCTATAGTATTCCTAAGTATTAAATATATTTATTTTTAAAATACTTTTATTTAAAGTTTTAATAATAATATCATATATAATAATTCAGCTTTATTTTCAGCTTTAAAATACTAAAGTATAAGTTTTATTATTTCTTAATTTAGTAAATAGTTAGTACTATACTACGGTAGCCAAAATCATAGATCCTACCGATTATACAGGGGTATAGGAGACGCGCCGCGCTTTACTGTTCGGTTATAAATGATTGAGCTACATCTTAGGTGGTATAGATATCCCTCCACCTGTGAATATTATGTAGCACAGTACCAATTCTGTTTTGAGGGAATTTCGACATATTCGACGGTTCATAGACTTCTGTCATATTGATAGGGCGTTGTCCTTAGCGTTGTCCTTGGTGTTGTCCTTAGCGTAGTCCTTAGCGGGATCCTTGGTGTCGTCCTTAGCGGGATTCTCTCCGGCAAACTTAGCGGCGGTATCTTTAGTAGAGTCCTTAGTAATATCCTTAGTAGTATTCTGAGTAGTATCTTAAGTTGTATTTCGTAGTATTATAAATAAGTATTTTGGAAGATCGGCTGAACTCCTGCATGCAGTACATGCACACCCATTTTCTTCCCCGCCCTTCTTGCTCTCTCAGGTGTCGCCAGAAGGTTGCCGAGCTACTAAAGGTGCGACCTTCGCAGCCATGTTTCCAACAACAGTATTGAGATTCGTACCCTTGCTTCTGTATGACCATGTCTGTGGGAATGATCATCGCTTGAAAGATCATCGCTTGCTCAAGTGGAGGTGGTGTATTAATAGGAACGACTTTCAAAGGGTTGATATCTGGCGAGAAGCTGGGGCTTGTGGTATTCCTTCTTTCTGCATAGTTGTTGTAATTCACGTCCATCATTTGTGCACCGCACCGTACTCCTCCGTTCCCCAATTGGGTCGCAGATTTAGGCTCAAAGATTTTATCGTCAAGTGAATTGCAAGATGTTGATACAGGTGCTCCATTGTAGCTGAGCAGGTCTTTATGCAACATTAATGGTGGTTTGTATGTCATCGAAAATCCAGAGTCTGTCGGTATAGAAAGATGGTTCAAAGGGTCTTCTGTCCAATGAGCCATTAAATCGCTAGAGGAACAACTAGGCTTATCCTCTAGTGGTTGACTCTCTCTGGAAGTGAAGTGAATTGATGTCGAGTCGTTGAACCACTCCTCCATCACGGAAGGTTTCTTGTGAACATAGAAATTGGCCGTGAAGAATGATCCGATGTGTTTTAGGAAGTTTGAAAGCTGGCAAAACTGAACCTGGGGGAAAAGGAGAGGCTGAACTGACAATCTCCTTATTGGTTTTCCCATTGTTGGTTTTCCCATTGTTGGTTTTCCCATTGTTGGTTTTCCCATTGTTGGTTTTCCCATTGTTGGTTTTCCCATTGTTGGTTTTTTACTGCTTTTTTATATGCAATGCGGTTGGTTTTCTCATTGTTGGTTTTCTAACTACGTTTTAATATATGGAAACTGAAACGGGACACAGTGGCGAGAAGCCCCGAAGGATCAATACCTTGTAAGTACGGAGAACCCCATAAAACCCTGTAAAGTGCCCAGTCATTGCTCTGCAGCGCCCTGTAGGGCCCTGTAGGTTGCTCGATCAACAGGGCCCGGCACCTGATATTATTTAGATAACCTACAGGCCCTTATAGGGCACTTTATCAAGCTCCCGTGGTTCTAACCACTAGAGAAAAAAGACCTTTTACCGGGTTCTCCGTACCTCAAACCAACAACAAGTTATCGTAGCGCGGTGGGTAAGGCTCGAGCTAGCGGCGGCTGACGTAGCTAACGTTCTCGGTGAAGATTGCCCATTTTCGTACTAGTAAGTGGAGGCCTTCTTCAACGGTCGCGATGTGGCCCTCCAGTAAGACCAGTAAGACCTAGAGTCAATGGGGGCTTCGTCTAGCCGGTTGATTCGCTGTAGGGTTGCGTGCTTGGGCTGCTGCTTAGCGGTAGGAGTGGCCGTGCGCTATCTACACCGTGCACTTATACGCGTCTTGAGCCACCGAACTAAACTTTACGGAGGTATACCTCCTTCCGAATTTCTATTGGCTTCCAATGCGCTCTGGTGAAGATGGAAAGCAGCAGGAGTTTTGGCAGGCCCGATGGAAGTCTTGGTACGCCTGAAGCAGAGCGGACCCACTAAACCCTTGGAACCGTCAGGTTCGCAACAGTCTTGGGGGGTTTCAACACTTCATATCTAAGAACCGTCTGCAGTAACTACAATGGTATTTCTGCTGATTCCCTTTTTCGGAAGAGATATTTAGTTTCTCACAAAAAATTGACTAATATCAAATTAATTACAAATTTATATTGCGTCATCTTCCGCCAGCCTTTACGAGGCTCTACTGGGTGGTGCCTATCTTTTTTTCTGCCAGCTTTCGAGTCGCCCAAGTGTGCGAGAGACGAAATTTGAAGGCTGGTATGAGCTCTGTGGTTTTTGGATTTCGAGGTGCGTATATTAGTAATAGTAAATGGGCAATGGCTCTGTGTTGCGTCTCTGTTGGCACGAGACTGTTTTTGGCTTCACTTTCTGCTCATAACTGCGCGTAGATCTGTATAAAATCAGACTCTGGTATATAATTGAAGGCGACTGGAGGGTCCATTCGCGAAACTGCCGCATGTGAAAGACACCTTGCTGCAGCTACGCTATGCTGAAAAGATAAGGATCGCAGAGGCTACTTGTACTATCACTTCCGTGAAGAGACAATGTCCAATCCAGAAAGAAGCTTCATGTAAACTGCCTTGGGGGAAGTTCCCATTGCGCAACGGTAGATCTTGTCCGCGATAGTTGATAGATTAAAGTAAAAGATTGGGCAGGTATTCTCAGGTGTGGTTTGCTTTGGCCGAGTCTTTTCGGCATGGTTTGAAGTAAAGAAGAAGTGTGTTTTTATGTTTTTCTGCTTTTCTGATAAAATGAAATGAACTTATAAATAACGGAAGTGAGATAAGGAAATGATTTATTTGTGTGAAACGAGTGTATTGGTCAGCTGTGTAAGTGAATGACTTGGTCTTTGACCAGAGCTTTACTAGGACGGTATTTGATGCTTGAGAGGGTTGGTAGGACATCTGATTAGACGTCCCCTGTTTCCCTTTGAGTATTCTACCCATCTTTTCGGGCCCGGACTGTCCCCAAAGTCTTCCGTGATTCCCTACCTTGCCTCGGCTTTTTTAGCGACTAAATAAAGTGCCTAGGATAGCCGGTATCCTAATTTGCAGTGTCCTTGAGGCGGGGAGACTCGATTCCTTCTTTCGGTTACTATATCCTAGGCCTGTGTTCGTAATCTTACAGCATCACGCGTGACCGTGCTGTTGCAAGGCTACCCACGTCTTACGGCCAGGGGTTCTTCACCTATTCCTCTGCAGGTCCTGCTCAAGCGATGTTTGATCAGGCGTCCAGAACCATCTTCTTATTTCAGGGATTGTTTCTTCGCTTGTCAGTGTTACAATAACCCATCCCTAGAAGCTGATCCTTTTGTGTTTTCTTTTTTCCAATTTTTGTTAATTATTATTTTAGCTAGATCTAATTTATACCCAAAATATAGAACTTAATCGAGCTTGATTTCTTAATATAACAACAAAAGGTCTTATAGAAACAAAATACAGCTTCTTTATTAGATGTTTAAGAAAAGAATTCCTGGCGATTGAAAGAAAGAGACCTATATTTGTAGAATTAATATCGGAAGAGCTGGACAATAGATAAAGTTAACAAATTTTGAGAAGGGACAATATTACCGAACGAGAATAGCTATTAAGAGATGGTGGACACAAGGTGCTAGATAAGAGAACCTATGCCCTTATACCCCAAAGCCGAAGAAAGAGAAGACTGGTGACAATGCTAGTAATTTGCCACCCAAGACGAAGAAGACACTCTTGAACAAGACATTTTGGATATGGTTGTGGTCGTCCTGCCAAGAATTAACTGAGTGTCCTAAAGACTCTGTTAGTTGCGAATAGCAATCATTAAGACATTAGGTCCGGTTACTTTCGCAACGACAGTTGATATACCTATATATCTATTAGATTTATAGGTCTTCTAAATAGGGTTGGTCTTGGTGTTACTATACTTCTTGTGTCTCCTGTTAAAGGGATCTTTTACTTACTATTTACTTCTTTGCGTTCTATGTATTGAATTCCTGTATTATCGCGACCCCACCTTATTATGTGTTTGCCTAATCTCTTTCTTGACGATATTGAAATTAAATAACAGGCTTGAACGATACTGTATCAAGTCAACCCTGGGTATAGATCGTATAAAGAGAATAGCTAAGAGGGTTGAATATTAAAGTGGATAATATCGACAATGGATTTTCTAGTGTATAACCAACCTCTTGGCCTTGACGATCTTCCGAGACCTCCGATTAATAGGATTCCGTACCTAGATACACCTGCAATATATTAAAATTCCCACTATTACTTATCTACTATTGATTATGATTTCAGGCTCAAAAAACATCGGTCCCCCTATCCTGTTCACAGTTGTTCACGTTGGCATTCGGGAGCCGGTAGCGGGAAGCTCACGATCACTACCCCCACCTTTGTTAAACCGTGAGTTGATCATCCTATTCCTCTTTATTTCACAATATCATGCTTGAATCTGACTTTCTATTCTTAATATAGACTATTCTAGTCAATTTGAATGTATGAATTCACTACTCAAAGAACTCCGTGAACTCATAAGAACTCAACCATTTGCAGTCAACCATCCCTCCTACAACTATCTAATCAAGAGTAGAAACACCTGCGTTGTGCTTCGCTTTCAGGCCCATACATTGTCTTGATCATTTAGATTATCTTTGAATCTTCTCCCAACTCTTTGGTATGCTTTGCGCGCTTCTTTCACCTTCAGCCAGGTCGAGACTCGAGAGCGCTCGGGGCTGGTTTAGCTCGTGTTTCGGCTAATATAACTTATGCAAGGCAGATCTGAGAAACTTGTTAACGTTATAGGGGGTCCACAGCATCGAAATTCGCGGGGACGATTGAAGGATCCTCAGCTGCGGCGTGGCCGATTAGGTGAACCACGAGCTAAGCAGAAAGAGCCCAAAACGAGGCGCGTACAGGAATGGAAAGTAAAGCCAAGTATCGCGGAGGGGGGTGTTGGGCTATTGGAAAGGTAAGGAAAAGGAAAAGCAATGAGCCATAGAACTACTGTTGATTAATGGGACCCAAATTGGTATACTTAATACAGGTAATTGATTGGTCAGAATGGGTCATGGAATGGGGTAATTGAATTGATTAAAAAGCCTAATACTATGGGGTGAAAGCCTCACATATATAGGCAAATGAATGTATGGGGTCAGGTGATCAATCAGGTGACTCAAGGAAATAATACCGATGGTATCCGAATGGCTTCCCAGGGCCTCCATCATCATGTGCCATACTAATTAGTATGGGATGCGATGATATCCGTGTATTCGGCTCATCGCGAGTACACATATCTCATTTCTCCTTTGTGGTGGAGAWGTGCCAAGTGGGGTGCCTAAGTGGCTTGACCAGCCGGCCAGGGGAACTCCCATAACTCCCATATTCTAACAACTACGAAGTATGCGTTGGTGATGGTCGCAAGCGAGGTTTATATACTTCATACTCGTACCCCGCGAAACCGGCGGTAGGCCCGTGCGTACTCGTACCCAGCGCTATGTGAACAGGCGAACAGGCTTATCGCTGGGTTGTATTTAGCTGTCATCGCACTCTTTACTCAATCCACGCCCCTTCTCTTCTCGTGTACAGTAATAAGGGAGGTCAGCCGAGGATGCAGGGGTGCAAATGAAAGGTGACGAAATGGACCCATAGGGAGCGTTTTCATCCCAGGATTTGAAGATCGATTGAAAACCAGTACATAACGACAGGATGAACCTTCGAGCATTTTTTACCTTCAAATTATTCGCAGGGCTGTATCTTAACACAAGAACAGTCCTGGTCCTATAGGATTTTCCCAATCCATCCCGCGGGCCTTCGGGCTGCGCTCTCTGCCGTCAGCTCAAAGGAGTTTGGAAATGGCATCTTCTCTGCGAAGCCTTGCTGTTACAGCATGTAGAACCAGTACCCCGCGGGTGACAATCGCCGGTTCTAGTTGTGCCTCTGGCGTCACGGTGGTTTCATTATCTAAACGCCAGTTATCCTTAGTCGCCGCTCCTCGCCAGCGCGGACCAAAATTCGTCCAGCGAACAACACGAGGATTCCACACATCAACCCCCTCACAGTCAATCCCCCCACAGTCGACACCGAAATTTACGTACGGAATTGCCGCTTCCTTCTCTGCGAAAGACCACAAATACAATCCCAACAGAAACATCTTCAACTTCGACCCATATAACCACATCCGCGCCAGACGAAAAAACAAGAAAACCCGGCCAGGCAGCGGGCAAGATGCCTTCTTCGTCAGCAGAGTTGGGGAAACCTCTGACGTTGCTTTTGGCGTGGCAGATGGTGTAGGAGGCTGGATGAATTCGGGGGTGGACCCCGCGGATTTCTCTCATGGATTATGCGATTACGCAGCTCATGCAGCATACACACATCGACCAGAAGAATGGGAAACTCCCCTCAATGCGCGGAGTCTAATGCAACGTGGCTACGAAGATATATGTAACGATGAGACGGTCCGGGCTGGGGGGAGTACGGCCTGTGTGGCTATTGCGAGGGGCACTGGACAGCTTGAGGTTGCCAACCTAGGGGACTCTGGTTTCGTACAGTTGAGGCTCAATGCAGTACATGATTACTCGGAGCCTCAGACCCACGCATTCAATACGCCATATCAACTATCCATCGTCCCCAAAAAGATTCTGGCTCAGGTAGCTGCATTCGGAGGCACCCAGCTTTGCGATTTCCCCAAAGATGCCAATGTTTCGCAGCATGCATTGCGGCATGGCGACGTATTGGTTTTCGCAACTGATGGAGTATGGGATAATTTGTCACGGCACGAGATCTTGAAGATTGTGTCCAAGATAATGATTGGGGCCAACGCATGGGTACATACGGAAAATGGTATAGGCGTGGGAACAGATCTACATAATTTCACCATGCCTGATGACGGCAAGGACGCCACGGAAGATATACCCAGCTTACAAAGCTTTCTGGCTGTGGGCATTACCAACGAGGCCAAGGCGGCAAGCATGAATACGAAACTTGATGGACCATTTGCGAGGGAGGTCCAACGGGAGTTCCCGTATGAAAAATGGCAGGGTGGGAAGGTCGACGATATTTGTGTTGTGGTGGCGATTGCTTGCGAAGAGAAGAAGTGAGTATTTATTACACCCCTTAATGTTTGTATTCTGGAGCTGTATGATTTGGACGAGAGACTGGTGGGGACATTATATGAGGAAGGATGTGCCATATTAGACGAAGAGCTCCAGCAGCAAATGATCTGTCATGCATTTAGAAGAATTTATTTATTAGTTTCCATGACACTTTATTACATCTTACATCCACAAGCTGTGGAATGGAACACGAAATCTGGCTTAAACAGTTTCAAACCAATGTCACATTCTCTACAGATAGGCAAAATTTTGCCTTCTTTGATGTGTCTTTGCTTTTTCATGTCATAGCAGCGTAGTTCCCTTCAAAACACTGCTTGTTGCCATTATCTCTACCAACAAACTTGTAGTAGGAATGCTGAATGATGCCTCATGCTAGTCCCCTTGGTCATTTGAGGGATATAGGGTGTATATCTAATTTTATTGACGAGTAGGGTAGATTGCAAGTCAAAGTCCACTATACGTATATCTCTTGCTCTGCCACGCATAACCATATCAGCTTGGTATTGCCATATTTGAACCTTCACGTGCATTTCTCATAGATTGAGTTGTATGCAGGTTCCGTTGCGTTACGACCGTTCACCACTTTTTATTCTGCCAGGCGGCGTCTAGATTCGTTGCGTTACGATCGTTCACCACCTTTTATTCTGCCTGTCGGTGGTATATTTCGTTGCATCTCGACCGCCTACCACTTTTAATTCTGCCATTGCTCTTCTAGGATTCTGCCAGGCGGCATAGTTTTGTTGCGTTACGACCGCTCACCACTCCTGGTTCTGCCATCTGATTCTACCAGGCGGTGCCAATTTCGTTGTATTACGATCGCTCACCACTTGCGGTTTCTGCCAGACAGACGGTTCTGCCAGGCGGCATGATTGCGTTGCGTTACGACCGTTCACCACCTTTGATTCTGCCATGTACAACCACATATGTGCCGAAGGTACATACCTAGGGTGCCTCATGTATAGTACCTTACATATGGTTGAAACCATGCATCACCTAGCACTCATTCATTCTGCTAAGCACATTCCAATATCTCCAGATGCCTTCTAGATTGACTATTCATGTGATATCGGTTTTCTTTTATAAGGGATTGTTTGCTTATGTTCAGAATAGCTGAAATAGCAAGGCAAGAACGTGCATAAACACAGACTGGTAGGGGTAAGATGATGCAGGGTTTTATTTAGGAAAGTTCCCTTGATATAGTATGTTGTCAGATATTATCAGGAGGTTCATGAAGTAGTTGGGCTTGGAAGATAATAAAGACAGTGCGGAATTTAAAAAAATGGCTCGATGTGTTTATTCTGTTTATCCTCGTTGAATCAATAGTTGGACCAATAGTTAGGACGGGTTTATCGGCTGGCGCTCTGATATAACGTTGGTCTGTAGGGAGTAGGGAGCATGATATCAGGTTTGCTGCTGTGATGTAAGCGATTTAGAAACTTGCACTTTTGCCACCAATAGACCAGATATAAGATTAGTGGCAGTACTCCGTAGGTCCCCAGAGTAAGTAGGTCCATCTTCAACCTAACTCTCACATCCCGCAAATTTTGCTTCGTTAGAACGAGCTTCAGACAGCTTTCGGGAGACTTCAGGAACCTCGGTTAACCCCGATATCCCGACGCCTAGGCCCGAGCCGGCAGAGCCCCGCCGAAACAATAAGGCTAAATCTGATTGGCGCACAACACCATACCATGATAATACTATGATACTACTCGAGTAAGGTAGAAATTCTCAGGGATCTCCTGAAACTACGTAATTAACCTTGAAGGCATATAACTGATATCAACCCAGCAGCAACAACTCCCAACTTCCTTTTCAATTTCCATCTATTCCTACTACCACCAATAGCAGACCCCCTCAAGTCTGTGCAAAAGCGGAGGGGTATTTATTATTCCAACATTCTCATGTGCATTCATCGGCGATCATAGTATCATACCGGAGCGCCACTGACTTACCAAGCCACCATCTCCGACACCGTCCACCGATCACGACACTATGCTCCCCACTCGCACTATGAAGGCTCGCTGTTGCTGTCGCCCAAGTAAAGCTATTCTCACTTCGTTAGCTAGCTAGGTGCGCGCTAACTGCATAATAGAAACCGTAGAATTGGCAGTGCCTTAATGGGTGAATACGAGGGGGGCCAGATAGTACCATATGCGTCTAGCACACCTACGGAGTATAAATATTATCGTCGCCTTCGTACCGCCCAGAGTCGGCCAAGGCCGGCTTTCCTGCCTCCGTATCCATAGGATCAGTTCGACAAGGCTTGGTAGAGGCGCCGTCCTCTGCTCCAGTCTCTAAAATGACAGTAGCCATGTCCATTTCGAGGCTAGCTACGCCGTATTCGATCCTGCCATGCCCTTTTTACGCTACCGTGAGGGCACATGGACAGTATGATCTCCCCAAAGCCGTTCCTGCGTTATGTCCGAGCGAGGAATTCGCTAAAGGCCATTTTGGGTCATCGTATGTCCCCAAGCCCGATATAAGAGGCGTACAGCAGGCTGACGGAAACCGTGTAGTAAGTTCGACGACAGACAGGAGGGCTGAACTTAAGGAGTCCGAATAGCTTCGCTTGGGCGACGGCACCAGCCTCACTCCATACCTTAAAATTGGGGGCTGAGGAGCATCGTGGCGCCCGGGGTGGACGGCGGCTTGGGGTGATGGGTGGCGCTCCGGCATGATAGCCGATGAATGCCAGTTGGCTTGGTTTGGAATGGCCAATAGTCAAAGTCCATGAAGAAGCGGCGATATGTCCACAACCCAACTCCCCTCTCAACAGAATAACGATGCGTCGCCAAATCCCCTTGACCAGCAGCTACCGGCGGCGATGGCAATGGCTGCTAAGAGCGGCCGGGAACCACTGGAAAACGCTACTCCTCCTTCTAGCCATACTCTGGCTCTATACCCACCATAGTGAGCAGAAACAAGCACACGCAGTAACCGACGCGTCTTTCGCCCTTGAACTCTCGATGCTCGTCGAATCGTCCAAAGCAAACCATGCTCTCCCTCTCCAGCAAGCCCAAGAATTATGCGCTCTGCATAACTTCGACGCGTATCCAGCACGTTCGGAAGGTCGAAAAATTTATGATCTGTTCATGTTGAATGACGAGTTGGATTGGCTCGAGATCCGTCTCAATACGATGGCCGCCTATGTCGATTATTTTGTCATCGTGGAGTCAGACTTAACCTTTACGGCGCGCCCGAAACCTCTCGCACTGAGGGATAATTGGCCACTCTTCGATAAGTTTCATGACAAGATCATATACCACCAGGTGGAAGACATCCCGCTAGATGCAACACGGTCATGGGATTTGGAAGACCACCAACGGAATGCGATGTACACACAGGTTATACCACGGCTGGAAGGGGAGAGAATGACACGGCCGGGAGATGTGTTAATTGTGAGCGACGTGGATGAGATCCTACGACCCGCTACGTTAACTCTGTTGCGGAACTGTGATTTTCCAAAACGGCTCACGCTGCGGAGCCAGTTCTACTACTACGGGTTCCAATGGCTGCATCGCGGGGAACAATGGAAGCATCCGCAAGCTACTATCTATGATGGGCCGGAGCGGACTATTCTTCCCGCGGATCTACGGAACGGCGAGGGCGGAAGTCGAATCGCTGCATGGTGGCATAAGGCAGACTTGTGGAATGCCGGGTGGCATTGTAGCACCTGCTTCCAAAATATCAGCGATGTTTTGACCAAGCTGGCTAGCTTCTCGCACATGAGTCTCAACCGGGAGGAGTTCAGAGATCCAGCGCGTATCGTAGATAGGGTGCGGAATGGCCTAGATTTGTGGGACCGAGAGGGGGAGGTATACGACAAAATTGAAGCGAACGAGGATATTCCTCCTTTTTTGCAGAAGAGTGGGGATAGATTCAGCTATTTGCTAGATAGGGATGGGCCAAATGCCGGGTTTTTGGATTATGGCGACATTCAGAGTGGCCCTTGAACAAGGAGGCTATGTCATAGAAGCCTTAGCTTGCTGCGACGAGCGATGATGTGCAAAACCTAGTAATCGTCTCCCAGGTGCTGGAACAAGCCCTGCGCCGCGATGATGGAAAGTGTCTCTGACTTTCTTGGGCTAAGACCAACCTCGCCGATGCATGGCTTAGTCGAAACCAGAACATCAGCGAAGACTACAGAGTTCAGACACAGGAGAAGTAAAAGGGCGGAAAGAAACAGTGTAAACATCTTTCGTGATTTCAGCGGCTGTCATTTCAAATGATGACTGTATGGGCACCTCAGTTGAATTAAGCTAGACATCGCCTTTGGACGGAATACTCCATACAATCTAGAGCTATGCCGACTTGCTGGTGGCATGGTTGGGCATGCCGAGCTAGTTGACGTAAGGGCGTGTCTAAAGTGGCTCACTCGGTACCAAAACCCCAGATCCATTCTGTTTCACTCCTGCTTTGGGCTCACTGAAGCCCAACTAGTATAAGGTAGTTTCGGCAATGGTCTTGCTCGGGCAAGGAATATCCACTATGTGCAAGCTCTCTTTAGGTGGCTATCTTCTCTAATCCGTGGAGCTGTCAGACGGTAGTCGAGTTTCGCAGCCAAGTTCGGCCAAGTTTGCGACCGGAAAACCTACCGATTGGGTTGCGCGCGACGAGGCACTAGAGTAGTGTTCAGGAAAAAGCAATATGAATCAACGCCTTCCAAGGCTTTCTGACAGCGGGTACCTCACTCAACTGAACCTCAACCATATCTCACCAGACCGGTCCGCCACGTCTCGAGTGTCGAGGAATCATGGGCAACAAGTGGGAGAGGCTCAAGCCGTCAAAGCCACAGAGCAGCACTTGCCGCAAATATTGTTACGCACCGCCGTCTTCTTCCCTAGAGTCATGGGAGCTCGGAGAAGGGATGATGCTATCTCCACAGTCGTGGCCCGTCTGAAATATTGAAATTCGGCTTTTGAACGGGACGAACGCGTAACCTTCGGGCCAGCCTTGCCGGTCATCCAGCAGCCATTGCGGCGGGTCAGATTGAGTGGGAGTGTCCCGGCGCTGATCTGAGACTCTTGACACTAATGTCCAGTTATTACGCCACATATCCATTATTACCGTCAGTGTCAGCTCTAAGGGTAGCCAGTCGCCTTCATCCCGGACATCAAAAGCAAATTCAGGAACGATGGCTCGCGAACTAGAGGGGATAGGTCGCCGTCCTCGATCGAGAGGTTCTCGCCTTTCTCGAGGGCCACATAGAGTTGAACCCGAATCGCACACATATCTGCCCTACGCTTAAGATTAGCGCAGTATGGCCAACGCCCGATGTATGGCAAACAAACCATGATTGCCGTGAAGAACGACCCACGCCATAGATCAACCAGCCTGAATGTTTATTATTATACTTGCTGTTGCGAGACATGCGTTCGTCTGCATGTACCGCATCCGATGCAAGGGAAGACATCTCCTGATTAGATTGCCTTCCTGTATGGTGTGGGGAAAGAAGGTCAAGAGGTGGAAAAGCGAGCAGTCCCCTTTTCTGATCATATCTCTGCGTAGGTAGGACACGCCACAACCTTTATGCTAGCTTCTATCGGCGAGCCTTGCTTGTTCTCTGATCTGTTTCGGGTTGTCAATTGAGTCAAGTCTTTGTTGATGCGTCCTCATACGGCAGGAAAATATTGTTGTTATCCAGTAATTTTTGTAGCAAGCTCTCCTTCCCCGATTCCTTAGTTCTACGCACCTTCCAGTTTCAGCTAGGTAGTCTATATACCTTCCCAGCGCTGATCACTTCCCTTCTCACGTCTTATCCCACGCTGCTCATAATGATAATGTGACTAAGCGTATGAGGATATAAACCGAAGGATTTTAAGCTAGCAGCTCCAAGAAGTCGAAGATTCTAGATCCCCACCTATCTCTTGACCCACTCGATGCACTTTCGTTGTTCCTGTGAACGCCTTTTTCTATCAGAAATAGCTTGAGTCCCCGGCGTCCCGATTGTTTCAACATTCCCACTACAGTTACGCCAGCCATCACTGTTACGAGGCCGGTATACAGCATACAATACGCAATTTACAATCTGCTGCTCCCAAGCGGCAGGTCCTGTGATAGGAACAGGTCTATTGGATTCGTCTACATCTCCCAGTTTGCCAGACGTTTAACAAGGAAGGACTCTCTTTATCATCGCGACACTCGTTCATCTGCTCTTCACCACCCTTGTGCCAACTACCTAGTAATATGCGACTCTTTGATACTCGACAAGTTCTGCGTCGTTCTAGCAGCTGTCAATGCGACTTTATTACCGGCCTCCTCACTCGTTAATATCGCAGCAACTCGCTATAGCTGCTAGCGTTTCTCCGTACTCAAGTGCTTCACGGGTTTTCTACTGCTAAACCCAAATCGGAACAGAGCTTCGCTATATAAAGTTCAAGTTATAAAGTTCACGTTATAGTTCTAAGAGGCAAGTTTGGCTTAAGGCGGATTTAAAATATTTTGGTGGTGTCAAGCACCCAGCTGTGCCAGCACTACCCATCTACCTTCTTCGGCTGTTGATATTCAAACGAGGTACGTCTATTTGCATTCACTCACTTGTCACCTTCCGAACTGTTCAGCTTTGGTCTACAACCCGCACGTTCTCTGTTGACCTCCCTCCTCGGCTAGCTGAGCGCCAGGCGCGTCGCTCTTCTTCAACCTCCCCAGGTGGTATCTTCTTCCTCACTCCAAGATCGGCGGACCGGCCACCCACCTTGCTCTTCATATACTTGAACGCCCATTACGGCGACACGCCGATCGCTTTGCAACCTGGTTATAAACTGCAGACACGTACAAACGGGTTATCTGACCCGTCGCACAGTAAGTTCCAGGAATCTTTCCAACTTCTGACCTCTGCGCTCGAATCCAAGTAGATAGTCAATATCAAAATCTTTGCTCAAGGCCATGAGTGATAGCCTTGATGGCGACCCAGTTGCCTCTTGCTCTCAGTTTCCTTGAGCCACAACAGCTATTTGATATAGCTTGGATATCAAAGCTCTCGAAAGCTTAGCTGCCTGCATCTCAAAACCTCACGAATGGAAGTGAAGATGAGTGCAAGGCCAGTGATCGGCAACTGCCCACCACCCTTCTAAGTTCACGTTTACTCTATATCATTAACAAAGAAATCTACTGCTTCTCAGCTCTAGTCAAACACTAACATCATGAAATTAGTTCTTCGTTTAGAGTTCGTGGGACAGTGCGCCTGGCCTGCCCAGCTGGACAGTCCGTCATTCCGAATTCCACTATGGCGGATCCGAAGAAGAAGCACGGTGGAACCGCTTTCCTATACCGTGTTTTCGGAAAACACCGGGGTGGGAAAGACTATGAGGATCAAGAGGATGCAGATCAGGAGAGAGTGGATCAGTATCCGTTTAGGCCGGAGACTCGGATCGATAGACTGACCTTTCCATGTCCCTATCTCAAACCACTGGAGTATAGGCTCGCACCACGATATGAGTCAATGGAACTTGCTGGTGGAGCTTCGGCCAGTGAACTCTTGGATCAGATAGTAGTGCCACAAGTGCCTTATAGGGTCCTCCCTTCTAATACCCCCGGATCCGAGATTTCGAACGGAGAATCAGCGGTCATACAAGAGGAAGTACACGAGGAAGAACAAGTCGACGCGGCACTGGTTTACTCGAACACTCTAAGCAATGAACACCGGGGTGAGTCGTTTGATGGTGAACGGGAGGATTCCGATAGCCAGCCAGCACCTGCTACACTTGACGGTAGGCCAGAAGGTCCACCGGAAGAATCAGGTTCAGGTCCCGAGTCTCAAGGTAACAGGGAAACTCGAAAGAGTATGGATGTACGAGTTGCACGACAGATCATGAGTGTTTCTAGAGCATCGGCTTTGAGCGCCGAAGATGTCATGCATTGGAAATACTACTTGGAATGCTATGCGCAGGTAAGTCACCTTTCTCCCATACCTCAGCTACCTTTCACATCGACGCATCATTTTGGTTTCCATACTCGGGTGATTTCCAATCGTTAAAGAATTCGAACCCTCGAAGAAGACCTCATGGCCATTCATTATTAGATCCCCTTTTGTTGGCCATTCAATCTCTGGAACCTGATCCTCAGCCGCTTGGGTAACTCAACTCACACCAAGAAATGCCAATGCGGCTACAGGATCATGATCCACTCAATCAGCTAGTCTCGGTTCTAATATCATATACTGACATTTCTCCAGGGCAAATTTAATCTCATGGATCCGCCAGAACCGGTCCCACACAAGGAAAGCTTCCAGTATCTACCTGCGATACTCCCATCAAATGAGGCAGAGCGATTATCTTCGAGTAGTGAATTTGAAACTGTCTGGCCTCACTGGGAGGAACAGAAAGCTACCGTGCTCATTCAGGCAGCACTTCAGAGATTTGGAACTCCCTATGCTGCTCTCAGCACCTTTGATGATGCCCATGAGCTGTTCAAGGCCGAATACGGCTACAGCATGTCACGGGTGGATCGCTCCATCAGTCTCGCGGCACATACACTTTATACAGCCGATGTACTTGTCATCCTGGACGCCAGCAAGGTGTGTAAATTCTGTTTTCATCGGGAGAAAATAATTGACGATGAATAGGATTGGCGTTTCCGACAAAATCCGCTTGTCAAGGGAGAGCCTAATATTAAGTTCTTTGCCGCGGCTCCCCTACTCAACACAAACGGAAATGTTGTTGGAGTCTTTGCGATATTCAGTAGAGAGCCCCGGGGCAGGTTCACACCATTTGAACGGCGAGAGCTCTCAGAGTTTGGCCACCTGGTCATGAAAGATCTGACTGAACAGGCTCAATGGCTGTCGGACACTGGTGTACGCTCAACTCCACTTCTGCAGCGGGACTCTGTCATCAACGGGGATATCCACCAAAGGTATGAGCGCCCCACCAGGCCTTTTGATGCTGCCGAAATGCATGAAGACCTCTTCCCGCCAGCATTGAAATTCCATAAAGCCAAGACACCACCCATGGCCTTGAAGAACTTTAGCAAGTCCTCCCCAGCGGAGGTTTTCGGCAGCGGTAACCAACACACACCACCCTCATCGGCTAATTCTGATTCTGAGGAGTGGGACTCAAAGCTTCAAGGTCTGGCCAGAGACAATAACGAGGTGTCGGTGTATTCCGGAGCGAATCCACAGCTATTCTCCCAGGATGTGACCACGCCAGACTCGGATAACTGGTGCAGCTCATCTCCTCGGCCCTGGTCATCATCAGATATCACGTCTCTCAATATTAATCCTCCAAACACACCTATTGCCTCCGCGGCAAAGGAGAAGGAACCGCAGCGATTTGATTTCACGGTGGCGGACTTCATGTCGTTGTCAGACAACGACTGTCAGGAAGAGCAGAGTTGCAATGGGAAACCCCAAGATGTTTCGAGCAATTCTCATGTTGTTATCACATTAGAGGCTATAAAGGCTGCAAAGTCTACCATGGATACCGACGGATCAATGTCAACCGCGGAACACAGGGCTCGCGCTCTTCAGAGGCTATCAGAACGGTCTAATAACGGTTCAACATCGATCGAGGACAATGTTCGCGAACCTCTACCTATGCAAGTTCCTCAGCCATTGAAATTGTTCAAGTCGAACATCCCTCGACCTACACCAGGCTCCAATAGCGTTCGACCTGTACCAAGCTCAAATAACCTTCGACCTACGCCAAGCTCAAATAACCTTCGACCTACGCCAAGCTCAAATAGCCTTCGACCTGCACCAAGTTCAAATAATCTTCGACCTGCACCAAGCTCAAATATCCCTCGACCTGCACCAAACTCAAAAAACCCGATGGCCGAGGCCGCCTTTGCCTGCGCATCCATGGCTCAAACTTTCGGTTATGATCTCATCTACGCCGTTGAGCTCACAGCTCCCCGGCCAGTGATGACGGATGAGGAGCTTCTTAAACCAGGAGGTCTAGGGCTGAAAATTCTAGTTGCACATGGAATGGATCACCCCGTTAAACTTGATGCTCTCCTCCATATCCGTGCCTTGCGCTCTCGTGGTGTCCAATTCTGGAAGAATATTCGAACTACCATCGACCAAGGCGATTATCAGGAGGGCCGATTGATGGCGATACACCATACTGAGGGAGGGCCGCTAAGATACCGCACCGGTGGGATCGTGTTCGGCGCCTTTCGGAAACCAAAGCTCGTTGAAACTAGAGAGCGCCAGAACGATGCAGCTGACCTGCCGAAACTAGAGGAGGCTGTCGAAGCTCTGAAAGCGACCCTTGTGCCACCGCGACGACTAAACCATCAGCCGAGCAGGTATCGCCTCCATCCTGCCAGGGACCCTACGGGAATGGGTAAAGGATATTCCAATTCTGCCCGCCCCTGAACACGTCAAGGCCATTATTGTGCCGCTGACTACACTTCTTCTCCATTCAAGAGGACTGATTTTGTCCTTTAATCAAAGTCTACAAACCTGCTTGTACTCGAAATTAGTAGCGAGCATGTCACACAACTTGATTTCAAAAATTACGCTTCTTGTTACATGCTTTTCAATGCCCTTACGTATTATGCATTACATACGAAGCATTTTCCTTCATGATACCCAATACGACCACGACTTTCTCACCATTTTGATCATTTGATCTCAATGGCCACTGACATGAATATGGGCGGTTGTTATCGGTCACGTCTCTACTTTCTTTACATACGATTGCTTTACTTTTTTTCTACTTTTGCCCTCACGGACGGCACGCTACAAGCCAATTAGGAAGTTCTCCGTCGCTGATCTTAGTCCTGGCAAATTGTGTCTGGCTGGAAAGGAGGACGAAGATACTGTATTACTTGGCACTTAGGTCATTATGCCCATTAAAAAGTACCTAGGTAATCAAATAGAAATCAATTCAATGCATGTATATTTTAATATACGGCTCGCAAAGTACCGTAGAGTGAAGGATCGCTCGACTAAGACATGACCACCCCCGTAATGGCCATGTATATTTGCTGGTGGACGGTTGAAGCCGTCGATGTTGATGTTCTCGGTACTTCGGACGTTGTAAATTTTCCTGGTTTTATCGAGAATGCCCGTGATTGGCTGGATGGCACAAATCCTGTTGTGGTCGGTTGTGGATCACGTGGTCGCTCCACTAGCTTGCATCGGAACTCCTCGCTCGCTGAACGTTGAACGTCGAATCTCTTCTCGCAACTCCAGAGTGAAGGTCTTGACACCAGCACAACCACCCCCCCCCCATCTCAATCTCCTCTCCATCAATTGCGTTTGCAATTGATTCTTCATCTTTTCTTTAACCCATAGACTCTGGTCACCATGTTCAGGAACGCTCTCCGACAGTCCAGCCGGACAGTGGGCGCAATCTCTGCGTCGGGTAGAGTCGCAGCGGTACGTACCACCACCAACCTCGATGCTCATCTATCCAGCGCGAAATCAATCTCGATGGATCAAACGGCTCGCAGTGAGCTCAATTGACCTGTCAGACCGATGGGCGCTGATGGTTACGAGCTGTTGCTGGAGCTTCTGACAGCTCCTGTGCAATGTTTTTCGGACTTCGGCTAACGGGTCGTTTTCTTCCAGGGACGAACTGCCGCTCCAGCAGCATTCAACGCAGCAGCGACACAAGTCCGGAGCTACGCATCTGATACAAAGGCCTCCCCGACCGAAGTCTCCTCAATCCTCGAGCAAAGAATCCGAGGTGTCAAAGATGAGGCAGGCCTCGCCGAGACGGGACGTGTCCTGTCTGTTGGGTACGTCAACAACACAACCCGAAAAAGCCTCATGCACCACGAAAGGCATCACGCCGGGGCATATAGGTCTTAGGAACGTAGGATTTGATGCTGACTGGGTTTTACAACAGTGACGGTATCGCCCGTGTCCACGGTATGAGCAATGTCCAGGCTGAGGAGCTTGTTGAGTAAGTTTCGCGACCCTTTGGCCCGAGACGCATCCACTGAACATATCTAGGTTCGCCTCAGGTGTCAAGGGCATGTGCATGAACTTGGAAGCCGGCCAAGTCGGTGTTGTGCTTTTCGGTTCCGATCGTTTGGTCAAGGAGGGTGAGACCGTCAAGCGTACCGGAGAGATTGTAAGTTGAGGGAGTAACCTATGTGTTTCACATGCTTATTGAGATCTAGGTCGACGTTCCCGTCGGAATGGAGTTGCTCGGCCGTGTCGTTGATGCTCTCGGAAACCCAATTGATGGTAAGGGACCAATCAAGACCACCGAGAAGCGCCGTGCGCAATTAAAGGCTCCCGGTATCTTGCCCCGGCAGTCCGTCAAGGAGCCAGTCCAGACTGGTATGAAGTCCGTTGACGCAATGGTACCGATCGGACGTGGCCAGCGTGAACTTATTATTGGTGATCGTCAAACTGGAAAGACTGCCGTTGCTCTTGACGCCATGTTGAACCAGAAGCGATGGAACAACGGAACCGATGAGAGCAAGAAGCTCTACTGCGTTTACGTTGCCGTTGGACAAAAGAGATCAACTGTTGCCCAGCTTGTCAAGACCCTTGAGGAGAACGACGCCATGAAGTACTCCATCATCGTTGCCGCTACCGCCTCCGAAGCCGCTCCTCTACAATATATCGCTCCCTTCACTGGAACCTCGATGGGTGAGTGGTTCCGTGACAATGGCAAGCACGCAGTCATCGTCTTCGATGATCTTTCCAAGCAAGCTGTTGCATATCGTCAAATGTCTCTTCTTCTCCGTCGTCCTCCAGGACGTGAGGCTTACCCCGGTGACGTTTTCTACCTCCACTCTCGTCTCCTAGAACGTGCCGCCAAGATGAGCGACAAGCACGGTGGCGGTTCTTTGACTGCTCTCCCCATCATCGAGACCCAGGGTGGAGATGTGTCCGCATATATCCCAACCAACGTCATTTCGATTACCGATGGTCAAATTTTCTTGGAGGCCGAACTCTTCTACAAGGGTATCCGACCCGCCATTAACGTCGGTCTTTCCGTGTCTCGTGTCGGTTCCGCTGCCCAGCTCAAGGCCATGAAGCAAGTTGCCGGTTCGCTCAAGCTCTTCTTGGCCCAATATCGTGAAGTCGCTGCTTTCGCCCAATTCGGTTCCGATTTGGATGCCTCTACCAAGCAAACCCTCAACCGTGGTGAACGAGTAAGTTTCCAACAACCATTGGATTATGATTGAACTACGCTCTACACAATTACTAACACTGCCTCTACAGTTAACTGAGCTCCTCAAGCAAAAGCAATACTCACCCATGGCCGTCAACGAAATGGTTCCCCTCATCTACGCCGGTGTCAACGGACACCTGGATAACGTCCCTGTCGACAAGATCCTTCAATGGGAGGCTGACTTCATCGCACACATGAAGAGCTCCGAGAGCGAGATCCTAGCTCAGATTGATAAAGAGGGTGCGCTGAGCAAGGAACTTGAGGCGAAATTGAAGGATGTTGTTGTCACTTTCACCAAGAGCTTCGTATAAACTGGCAAAGGAGAAAATTAAGACTTAAATAACCAATGCACCTCCATTTATCATCTCTTTTGTCCTTAGCATGTGGTGGCTGTTGGAGAGGGCCGGTGTATTGAATGTGGTGGAAGTCAAGGGATAATATCTCTTGAAAGGTGGATCGTTACTAGGTGGTAGATAGTTGATGTTGTAAAATAGATGTCGGTCGATTTCTTCCTGATTTTGGACTTTTGCTTGATTGACTTGTGTTTTGCTCTCGGGACCCTACCTAATCTGACTTCAGGGACATGACTTGATGACGCAAATGTTGCTTAGAACGACATATATTCGCAAACGAACCCTCCGTTATAGACCACAGCCCGAGTGTTTATGATTTAATATAGGTGTAGATTTAATCTAGAGGTAATTGGAACGTGGCATTCGTAGAAATACTTCAGAGGATACCAATTTAAGAGCTCGAAATTGTTGTCTCTTGTATCAATTCGTATCTGTATCCCCTCCCCTCTCTATTACCATCTGCTTCGCTCTGCCCTCTTTCTCCGCCATAGACAAAACTATAGCCTTAGTATAAGTGAAAGCTCTCATAGTTAAATCCATAATCCGTAATAGGCATCAAGATGCTATAAACAATTTGACACAATAAAGCACAGCCCATCATTTTATTCTTGTATATACAATTAATTTTATTACTAATAGCTCAAGTCTTTGCGGTATCATAAAATAAATATAAGGATAAAACCATAGAGGGAGATATACGTGATACATGACCACCTAGTTCGAAACAATAGGCTGAGTAGAAAATACATTAGAGCCACAACCTCTCTCGGATCTTCGCTTAAGACTCGACGAAAAACAGGTATCCCTATTCCAATATCAGGTACTTCATAAAGCTCCAACTTTCATGACGTCCCTATATCCTAGCTATTTACACAGGAGTTCCCGTGACGTTCACATAGACTCCATTGTACCACATGCATTGCTGCTGCACATAGGGGTCTCATTGCCATGTGCTGTCCGAGCTGAGGCTTCCTCCTGATACACCTTCTGGTGACTACTCGTATGATAGCTACTTTGCCTGACACACTCCCATTGTCACCCTGCTGAGACTGTAGCCGTGGTTCCCGCTGTAGCTCTGATCCCACCTATGTATCTAGCCGTGATCGTCTCGTGCACCTATTGCGAGCTCCCATTAGCATCGATATAATATTCACTACTGTCGGCGTCCGTCAATCATTATAGATGCGTTTAGTGCTTCGCCCTAAACATCGTGGTAGAGCGCTGGTCAGGTCTCATGCAAGTTTCGCCATCGCCCTCACCTGTGGATCAACCTGATCGTTATGATGGCCTTCATCCGTATCTCCAGTTCTTTGAAGTCTGCCGCAATACTTACATCGTCCCCGAAAACAAATTCTCTGCGCTCTGCTCAACTAACGACCAGGATTAAAATGCATTCTACTGTGTTGCCAATCATTCGAAAGCAACTTGAAAATAACACTGGTAAGTTCATAGACCAAAATGCGTCACTCAACATCTAAACAATGTATCTGCAGAGGAGGACATCTCGGAAGAAGAGCTTTTTCGATACACACGCTATCGTTGGCTTACGTTAGTATCCTCTGAATATTTTCCCTGCTTCCGATTGACTCACAAATTCGCAGGTTTGATGAAGACGAAAAACTTACCAGCCGCTGCCGCAAGTTCAATGTTGCAGCTTTATTAGCAGCCGCGGTCAATGCTGTTGATAATGGAGCAAAATCCTGTAAGATGTAGAGGGTCTCATACCGTAACATCAGGCGGCTGACGTGCAAGCGTAGGCGTGAAGATATTGAAATGCATTGAAGGATCGTACAACATAGCCCTCCTATTGACAATGGACAATGGCATGGAGGTTCTGGCTAAACTTCCTAATCCAAACGCTGGACCGAGTTTCTACACCACTGTATCACAGGTTGCTACCCACCGATTCGTAAGTGTTCTATCGAGTGTTCTCGTCCCAGAAACCCATTTCATGCTTTCAGGCACGAGAAATACTCAATCTGCCGGTTCCTCGCATATACGCATATTCCGCAGATTCGAGTAATGCGGTAGAAGCCGAGTACATCATCGAAGGAAAGGCTACAGGTAAACCATTAAGTAGTATTTGGTACGATTGGTCCGAAGAGTCGCAGACCAAATTCGTATCTCAACTAATCGAGATGGAGACGAAGCTGGCCTCTTTTTCATTTCGAAGCCATGGATGCCTTTACTACAAGGAGGATCTGGTGCAGAAAGGTGTTCCAGCTCGAGACCTCCAGGCACCGTTATATACCCCACATCAGTGAAGTACGATCACATTTCGCTACGGGAGTATACTATTGGCCCATCAACGACAGCCGCCTTATGGGAAGGGGAGCGAGCGACAATGGATGGCATTGGCCGAGGTCCCTGTAAGTATGTTTCTCTGGAACCCCGACCCTCCCATTGATGTAAAATAGGGAGCAATCCGCTGGCATATATGGCATCGGTTGGAATCAATGAGAGACTCTGGGCGCGAACCCACGCTGTCCCACGAACCAACCCTTATTACCCTACCGACCAGGCTCAATCTCCTGAAAGCTATGTCTCGCTATTAGACCGTTATCTCCAATTGATACCTTACATGGCCCCGGCTCCCGCCCCAACGACGCTTTCACACCCGGATCTACACCAAGACAATATTTTCGTTGATCCAGACACGGAGGAGATAACATGTATTATTGACTGGCAATCAGCTTCAGTATCCGAGCCCTACTTTCAACGTAGCTACCCTCAGATACTTACTCCAGTCGAGTCTACTGCCAAAGATAACGACGATGATGGAAAAGATGGCACAGAATCGGACCCAGACGTGGACAACTTTTTAAAACGACTTCCTAGACTCACCAACCATTACCAGACCCTTACAAAACAGAGAAATCCACAGCGGTGGGCCCTAATGCACGATCAAAATCGCTATTTTCTCACGAAGGTCGTGTCTTCCATTCCCGGATCCTGGACACGGGACAACGGCTTCGGTCTGTGCCATGACTTGGTCACCGCAACCATAGATTGGGAGGAGGTTGCCCCGACTGGAATGCCTTGTCCACTCTATTTCACGGATGAGGAACTGACGTGCCACAACCGTGACTTAAAGGTCGTGGCAGATCTCGCGCAAGTTTTGGAGCAATTGGAGCAGGGTGGCATCATCCCCGATGGTGGGAAGGTGCGCGCGGATGATTATGAGCGTGCTCTAGATGCTAGTCGGTCAGTAAAGGAGTGGTTTGTGACTAGGGTGGAGTCTGAGAGGGAACGAGATTTCAACTCGAAAGTCTGGCCTTATCGAACTTGAAAGGCTTCTTAGAGCAATATACCACTTTGTGGCCCTCTTTAGAGCTATAATTTGACTTCGGAATTAGACAATAGGCTACCACAGAAACGCCGATGAAGAGTTCTTCCAGCTGGGCTTTATCGAACCCGTCTTCTAGGCGATATATTTCGGCTCTCTCGCACAGGACGACGAATTTGCCCGGTCTGTTGCTCGTCTGGGTCTATCAGGGGATAATCGAGCGCCTACCAAGCTACCAAGCTAATAGACGGGGTAGCAACGGCAACTCATCACTTCTTGTGCGGCTACGCGGGATTCGCAGTTAGTGTGTGACCTGATGGCTATCATGAGAGACATAGCCGAGCTCGACGTGAACAGTGAGCTGTGAGCTATTATATCGTCTTTTCCTCTTGGAGTTGCTGGTCGCAGCCTGGACCATTGTATGTAGCTGTAGCCTTTAAGCGTTTCTCTACCTAGAGAATAAACCCATCGAGCTTTAGCGACCGATAGTATATAGAGACGACGAAATTTTAAATAAATATAATTTAATGGCATCCCTATCTTTACAACTAGAGCTGAGAAATTCTCACCCTCTCTATTGCGGACGTTTCGCACTCATGAACACCAAATTTTGGACCGGATGCAACTACTTACCCTAGTCTCGCTGTTACTAAATAGCAAAAGTCAACCTCTTCTTGAAATTCAAGTAATTTTTATTAAGAAGAACAAGAATACGCTGAATTGCTATAGCCTTATTTTAAAATTCATATGAAACTCCAGGATGCTCTATCTCCATAAATCTCACGGAGTTGCCTTTACGAGCGCACCAGGAACGCTATACACAAACGGTGAGTTGTAAGCCTTTAAATGCTGGCTAGAGATATAGTCGGTAACCAGCCATCCTAACGCAAGGCATGGTTTGAGTAAGTCAAAAGGTCATACTCAAGAAGATGGCGCCTTGAATATAGGATAAGTCATAGAAAACAAGAAGGCCAGATATCACCCTCAAACCATCGAGGGTCAAAACTCGACTACCCGTCTATGGTACTCTCGAAAGCTACCTAGGTAATGTTGGACTAGATCGCCTAGACCGCGCGAAATCAATAGAGGGTTAAGAAATATGCTTCAATTGCCAGATACCGAGTTTGAGTGTTGTCCTAAGCTAGGTAGGCGGGGTTCTGTAGGCTAACCAAGGCGCTCAATGGTATCCTAAGATGACAACCGGTGACAGATGCTCAGCCCTTCATATGATTCAAGAAGCAAACGACGTCTATAATCCCCCTACCGGCCACCAATATATTGGCATGATCCAAAAGGGAAAAATAATGAGCAAGAATGACGATGCTTTGACCCATCCTGGACGCAGGAGGTGTCTTCCCTGGATCAACTGTTTCAGGGGGGCAGGCCGGCAAGGACCGGTCTGATGATTGAAGCGGAAAGAAATAGCTCTTCAGATGAGAAAGTTACGGTTGTCATAGCTGAAAGCCAGGATGGAAGAAGACGGTTTGGGATGAACGGAGAGTGGAGACGAAATACAGGAGATACGAAGTTGAGGATAGGGAAGTAAAGAGGAGGGAGCAAAACAAGCGGTGTTGAGAGGGGCGGGGTGGTACACGGGTTAGTGGCACTCGCTCGCTCCATGCTCCATACTCCTCCATACCTAGGTACCTCGTAGTCGTTGATAATTCCTTGTCATTCAAACCATCGCCATCGCTTTCAAACCAAACTCATCCCATCCTTTGTCCATCCTATGTATTTCGAGTTCCTCGCTTGGGGTCGTCAGGGCGCGCCGCTATGGTAAGCAGGAATTTACCCACGCTGCAGGACCAGCGCAAAACCTCTAGGCGGCGCTCCCACGCTGCCACGAAGGCCGCCAAGATGGGTGAATTGATCGTACACCCAGGATAGCCAGTGAAACACCACGGACCGCGACGTCGTGCTCAAGGAGCTTTATGGAACGGAACTGCAATCGCCCACAGCGCCTGGCGTGCCCAAGGCGTGGTTTAACGGTCAATCGTGCATCAGGCACGGGAGTTGGGGCGAACATTCCAGCGAGGACGAGTGATCTCGCATCCGGAGGTAGCCCCAGAAGCGTTTTCCATGTTTCACGGGTATCGACGGAATCTGATATGATAACAGCAACCGGGAGCGGAAACAAATATGCACAGGTGACAGCAGGGCGACCACAGATATGGACAGATACGCCGATACGGGCCATATGGCAACCATAAGGACGATGATAAGCCCTATGGAACATTATGCTCCTTACTCTATCCTAGTCTTAGTCTAAGAACCCGCGAGTCTGGAAGCTGGATAACCGGAACACGATTGGCAGGTTAGGCTGCGGCTATTCCAATCAGCCGGCTTCGAAGAACACCGTACGTACGGAGGACTCCGAGTATTATAATATCACAATACGAAGTATAGAGCAGCTGTTGCTCAGGTCTGGACTGAGCTCTCGGGCTGGCCCTTTCAACTCCTGGGTGCAAGCCCGCTGTGTGACAGATTGACACTGAGTCGAGAAACCATCCCCCGCCGAATTCTCGACGTATGATTTTCAATTCCGCCACGCAGCAGGCTGATGTAGCAAAGTTGTTACCCCAAGACGCCAAGGATTAGGCCCTAAACCAAAAAGCAAAACCAATACAATTCTGTACTCCGCACTGCCAAAGTACGACGGGGCACTTCCTATGGTTTTCCGGACACTCTAAGTCCATGACGATCCTACCGAGGACACTGGAATCTGAACTTGGGCATTGTCTGTTCAGGCCCCTATATTTGCACGCTTTGGCCGCGGGATCGTACTCCGTATATACCCGACCGCCATGTTCTGCAATAACTGTTCGCAGATATTACAGTATCCTGTGTTTTCTTGAAACTCTTTCCCACCTTAGCTTGGCAGGTCGGCGCACAATGATTCCCGCTGGCCAGAGCGGCAACAGGCCGAAATGCAAGCCACATACTGCGTACTCCGGATCACCACTGTTGTGTGTGGCCTTGAAGATGGGGGGCCTTGGAGTTGGAGCTGCTCGAACTTCGAACTATTTGCTCACTCCAACGGCCGGCGGTTGACCCGTTGCACGCTAATGCGTTGCAGCTAGATGCAATAATCGGCACGGCGACGATCTCTCCGCTCAGGGAGGAACAGGCACACAGGCACCCCTTTCCGGCGAGTCGGCGACGCAATCCATCTCTGCCGTGGTCAACTGGCTGGATCTTAATGCAGATGATATATTATCGAGTGCGGAGTACGACGATACGGTTGCATTACGCCAACCCATTGCTGTCTTCGTCTTTGGAGATCTGTTACACAAAGAATCGGCAATATGACCTGTTGCTTTGGGCATTATTTGGCCTCTTTTCGAGATGGGGGCAACAAGCCGCAGCTTTGGCGTCCCAAGTTCCCAAATTCCCAACATACAGGTCGAAGGAATGATTGGATGGGGGCGTGGCGCCTCTGCAAGGACTCGAATATACCTGAACCTACGAAGTAGCTACCTAGTCTGCTAGTGAAGGCGGAGTTATACCAAGGCACGAAGGCTCGGCCCATGGGGATAACTTCCATTTAGTACATCTGCGCACGTACCACTAATGGATCTTTTATGCCGTTTTCTACGGTACGATAACGACGAGTGGAGTCGCCCGGTGGCTCCGCCGCCTCAGGTGCAGTTGGTTCACGTCGTACTCGTCAGCATTCTGCGTGGGTTCAACTACTGGGTGCTCATATTATTAGGAGGCCGAAAGAAGCGCTTTCGTCCTGCCCCCGGCGGTGACGTTCTACTCGCCAGATTGGATCGTTCATGCTTCCTCCAGCGAACGGGTCACTGGTTCCCCACGGCCGTCTTCTTCATTGCTGCCGGTGGCGGCGCGTGCAGAGTGACAGCGCGTCCGGATTTGTAGGGAAAAGGGAAACTGGAACCGCTGAGAGGGCCAGAGTCACCGCGTACGAGCTGGCTCTGCGAGTAGCGATTGCAGCGGCTGCAGCAGCGCAGGGCCCGAAGGGAAACATCGCCCCTGATTCTGAACGACAGGCGCTGGGGCTGGGAATCCGGGATGGATCATGGCTGTGGAGTCTGGGCGACTTTGCTGGGTCAACAGCTCATCCCTGCACCGGCATCCTTCGTGCCTTATTACATGTACAAAGAAGTTGTCCCTGCAGCAGCTGCAGCATGGACCTGAAATTCATCACGCCGGGCCCTGACACCAACCATAATACTATCCGTGTTTGTCTATAGTATATGCCGTCGCTCCTTAGACATCCGCAATGGCGCCTTCGCGATCACAGCATAGGAACAGACTCGAAGTTCCTTCATCGAAGCCCAGATATTTCTCCAAGTCCAAGTCCAAGACCAAGCTCCAGTCCTCGAGTCTCTGCGTTTCTAGCTCGACCACCGACCTCCCTTCACTCATCTTGCCCCGATCTCTCGACTGCCAGACCAGTGACCGACCACTTTCTTCTCCCAGCTTGCCACGATCACAGTTCGACACGAATATGTCAGAATTTACCGGTTTCGATTGCACCGAGGACGACTTCGAAGCTCTACCCCTTGCAATCAGGAGAAAGGTACGTGCTACCATTTACTTGCCATTTTCACGTTCCCAATATATTGTCGACGACGCGTTGGAACGGAAAGAAAGAAGATATCAGAGTCCTGGGCTTTGGGCGACTCGTTGCAATGCACCGAGAGACCATAGGGATCTCTTCACATCAGTTGAGTACCTGTGGTCGGCCTAGAATATACAACTTCGTCCTCACGATTTTCACTTCAATCCGTCGCCCAGTCGGGGATTTTGATATCTTGTGGCGCCTCAATGGAGATGGCATTATAGGGGTTTCCAGTAATCTTGCTTGTGGAGCTTCCTCATGCCAGTGAGAATGAGGCTATCGCGCGAACGGTTTTCGTTTCCCCCTAGGGCGTGCAGCCTTTTCCCATTGCAGCATTCGAGCGGTGTGTGAGTCCTGTGCACTCTGCACACTTGCAGATGCTACCTCCCGCTATGGGCGTCCGCCATGCAGTCGACCGATCTCATCACGAGTTCGAGCGTCTTACAGCATATACTTTCTCCAACACTTGCCCACTCATAAACTACCCCTATCCTGCATTCACATGCGTTATTGGCTAACTTAATTCTTTTCACAGTACTTTTCGACGCTGGAACGCCTGAGACTTGCCGAACGGGCCAATTCTCTCGCTCTTGATGAGCTTCCAATTCAACGGCCACGCAAGGGATCATTGGCAAGTCGCCGGAACGTCTCTGTCACAGAGCTCCGAAGGAAACCCTCATCGTCTAGAAAGTCACGCAAACATTCCCTTTCGAATAATGAGGCATCGTGGTATTTAAATTTGCCGCCCAAGGTCAAACGGAAGAACTTCACAGCTGAAGAGCGGGTGGTATTGGATGGGCGCTTGCAGGACAAGGTCATTCTTGACGCAGCGGATGAAGCAATCTACAAAGCGAGCCGGCGTGCGAGTCGAAATCTTCCAACAATCGACCCCTTCCGAGACACTTCAACGTCTCCCTCCCCAATTCCCTCCCCGATTCCCTCCCCGATGAGCAACCCGTCTATTCATGACGGCGGAGACCGAACATCCAGCATGGCCGCCGCAATGTATGAAAGTTTTCGATGGATGGATGAGGAGAGCGACTTGGACCTCCGATTAGTATTGGATGACTATCATGCCAACCTCGATGGTGCCGTTATTCCCGATTCAACCAGCGACAGAAGGCCATCATTTCGACGGCAGATGTCGATATCCAAGATACCCTTTAGCAGTAGGGGCTCCCTCACGTCGCCAAAACCTCAGTCTCCGCAAAGCGAATCTCCGTCGCAAAATCACCTACGACAAAGGTCCCGAGCCCTTTCGCTCATCGGCCCAAAACATATGATACATAACTCTATATCGTCGATAGACCCCAACGCAACACATTATCAAGACCCCGAGGCACGGTTGAAGCTCCGGGTATATCTAGCCTCGCCCCAGAAGTTCGACGAAGCGATAGAGTTTGGGTTTCCATCCATGGATGGAGTGACAGGTGGGGATGATAAGGAGAACAATGCCCCGGTACGATCTTCCAAAGATGTACCAGCTCTCAAGAGTTCCTTTGCTACCGACGGTGGTCGGTCGTTTCTCAACGACGGTGCCTCTCTGTTCGAGGATGATGTTTCAATGATGGACCCAGAATCACCGATCACTCCAATGGCCATCGATGGATTTCACCCTGAGCAGCCAGCACCTCTTTCTGAGTATGGGGCAAAACCCACCCAGGACTCGGCAGATTATTCCCACCTCGGTATTACAAAGCCCGTGCTTGTCAAGCAGCCGGATGGTTATGCACAAGCTATGGCGGGTAACCGAGAAATGACCCTAAGGATGACGCTGACGCGGCCCGACCTGCGTGCGGATGAAACAGCGCTCTATGGGTGGCAGTCGAGAAAAGGCTCACTCCGAGAAGCATCTCCAAGCATAGCGGAGCCGGAGAAGTTCGAGGTTCGTGGGCCGTTCGGTGGCCTTGACGGTTGGGGTCCAGTCGAGAAAGAGAATGGCGTTGTTAAAAGACTATGGAACAAAGTCAAGAGCTCCCAGAGAAAGGGGCAATAGACGGGATACAGCTATATTATCAATTCTCCTTGGGTTGTTTTTAATTGTAATTTAGCGGGCCCTAGGTGTTCTGGTTGGGCGCCTTATGTGTTGGCATAGCGCAGCGACGATGCGTCAGATCAGATTAGGTTTGATACCATTTATCTCGAGTATATTATATACATACCTCATATATTCAGGTCCTCCTTAGAATGGACCCTTAATCGAAAGATTAACTCAAAATCCGTAGCGTGGCGTACCGTACTTTTCTATTCTAATATATTCCAGATACACTCCCCCCCTCCCCCCTCCCCCCTTCTGTTACAGTCCTAATAGCGTGCATCTGGCTACCTAGGTGAATAAGTTGGTTCTTAATTCCAAGATTGCTTTCGTACGCCAAATGGACTAACCGGGGATTGGCCCCCAAATATGGCCGCCAGCGGCCAAGCGTCTGTTGGCGAAACCCCTGCGGGTGTGGCTGAGGCTCCGACCAAAACAGTTCCAGAGCTGACGATACGCCAACATCAGACCCATCAAAGAAGCCAAGTAAGCTGCTAGACATTTCTCTTTCCGCAGACCGTCCGCCACCCTATTCTTCTCTATTTCAATCTCGACCTTGAAGTTGCTCTTTGTCAATCCCTCAGACCAACTACCGATGATTACCACCCGACTTTAATGCGATTTCGTCCGGCGACCACGCGATCATGAGGCTGCAGTGGCGAAGCCTTTTCGTGTCCAGCATCCTCTGCCTGTCTGTGTCAGGCAAGAAAGATGCTCCTTCAGTTAAGATTACGAAATTCGACGATTTCATACCTAGGAATTTGAACTACTTCGATGATTCCGATGTGCTGCTATTGGAGGATAGCGTTGACCACAATGTCTACCGATCAGACGACGCGGGCGAGTCCTGGAACATGGTGGAGGGCGTTCCAAAGGGGAAGCTATACGAGCTGGTGATGCATCCACTTGATAACAAGAGGGCGTATATTATCATGGAGGGGAAGAATCATTGGAGGACCAGCGATCGGGGCACAACCTGGGAGAAGTTCCATACGGATGCGCCGGCCACCATGTTGCGGCCTCGCGGAGAGGCTTTGGTGTTCCATGCTGGGGATCCGGATAGGATTATCTTCAACGGGATGGATTGCAGTGGCATATTCTGCGAGGAACTGGTATGATTGCCTGTATACTCAGCTGCGGCACGGGAACTGTTCACTGACTTCTTCCAGGCTATGTACACTACGAATGGGTTTTCGAAGGATACCAAGTTCTTGCGGTCGGATGTCACTAACTGTCATTGGGCTAAGTCATCACCGCTATTTACAACCGGAAATAAGGACATGGATGCAAATAGGATCATCTGCGTGGCTAAGGGTCGGTTTTCTCCATGGCCCAAGGACTATCGACTCCTCATCTCGGATAATTTCTTCGCATCGGGCGACGGCTTGCAGGAATTCGAGCCAAAGCTAGAAGCTGGACGGACGGTTAAGGGCATTGTGAATATGGCTATTGTCACAAAGTACCTGGTTGTTGCAGCATCCGCAGATGGGACTGATGAGATGGCTTTATATATCTCTGATGATACGATCCGATGGCATCGTGCTGTTTTTCCGCACGACCACAAGCTGACAGAAGCTGCGTATACGATTCTGGAATCGACAAACTATAGCATCCAAGTTGATGTTATGTCCGGCAGCCCTGTGAACCCAATGGGAGTCTTATTCAGCAGTAATTCCAATGGAACCTACTTCCAACGCAATATTGAGCACACGAATAGAAACGAATGGGGTATGGTGGATTTCGAGAAGATCTCAGGGATACAGGGCATTGTTTTGGTAAATGTTGTCGAGAACTTCGAAGAGGTCGAGAAGTCCCGCAAAGCCAAGAAAATCAAGTCCCAAATCAGTTTCGATGATGGCAGGACGTTCCAGGGGTTGACCTGTGACAAGAAAGATCTTCATCTCCATTCAGTCACTGATCTGTCGAATTCTGGTCGTGTCTTCTCTAGCCCAGCCCCTGGTCTTGTTATGGGTATCGGCAATACCGGAGATGATCTTACGAGCTATAAGAAAGGGAATCTTTATGTTTCCGACGATGCTGGTTTGACATGGCGCGAGGGTTTGAAGGGGCCTCATAAGTATGAATTTGGTGACCAAGGGTCTATCCTCGTGGCAATTGCAGATGAACCTACGGACAAGTTTCAATACTCCTTGAACCACGGCAAAGATTGGAACTCTGTTGATATTGGGGAGAAGATCAAGCCAGTCCAATTGACCACCACTTTGGACTCAACAAGTCTGAAATTCCTTCTCGAGGCAATCGAGCCTCACGGAAAGGCGAATTCAGCTGGCTATATAATTGCAATTGACTTCGACGATATGCACGAGGCCAAATGTACGGCCGACGACATCGAGAAATGGAGTGCTAGGGTTGATAAGGACAACGAGCCAACCTGCCTGATGGGCCATACGCAGTCATATAACCGACGAAAGGCTGATGCCGACTGCTTTATGAAGAATGAATTTGAAGACCCAGTGGCCGAAACATCTAATTGCGAGTGTACCGAAGACGATTTCGAGTGTGACTACAACTTTGTTAGGTCCTCTGATCGTAAAGAGTGCAAGCTAGATGGCAATTTAATTCTCCCCGAAGGCGCTTGCAAGGGAGGATCAGATGAAACATTTCTTGGATCTTCTGGCTGGCGTTTAATCCCTGGAAACACCTGCAAGAGGACATCAGGCGCACAGAGGGATGACCTTCAGGAACATAGCTGCAAGAACACTGGGGGCGAACATAATCCCTCTTCCGGAAAAATTGAAAACACACAAAAGGTATTTCCCGGCAACAATTTCAAAAACAAGGTGTACCTGGAGCGGACCGATGTTAGCACTGGCAGCGATGAGACAGTTCTCGTACGCACAGAGAAAGGCGTCTTCATATCTCATGATCATGGCAAGAATTGGAAGCAGATCTTTAAGGATAAAGCAATAACGGCAATCTATCCCCACCAGCACTTCAAGGATGTGGTGTACTTTCTGACACCAACAAATAAAGTATACTACTCTACCGAGCGTGGAGAGAATATTAGATCATTTAAGGCGCCCCAACCGCCGAATATTGAGGGATACCCTGTCATGAATTTCCATTGGAAGCATAAAGATTGGATTATTTGGACCGGTGCTAAAGACTGCAGCAGCAAGGAAGGCTGCCATAGCGTTGCATCAATATCGAAAGATCGAGGCGACGAATGGAAAACCCTTCAACGATATGTTCGAAGATGCGAATTTATCAAAGAGGACAAGAGGCTCTACCTTACCCCACCTAGTGAGATTGGGAAGGAGACTAAGGACCCCGAAAAGTTGATTTATTGCGAAGTTCGTGAAAAGGAGAAGAACACAAAGGTGGACAACCCGTGGCAACTAGTTGCTAGTGACAACTTCTTTGACGAGGAGCCGCGAGTTCATTTTACGAATGTGGTCGATTTTGCGACCATGTCCGAGTTCATTGTTGTTGCTACAAAAGACGAAGCTCACCAAACACTCCGAGTCAACGCGAGCGTGGACGGAACAACTTTTGCAGCCGCGCACTTCCCTCATGGATTTGAAGTTCCTCACCAAGAGGGCTATACGGTCCTTGATAGCTCCACGCATTCAGTATTTCTGCACGTAACGGTCAATAACGAAAAAAGTCTTGAGTACGGCAGTATAATTAAGAGCAACTCTAATGGCACCTCATACGTACTCAGCTTGTCTGCTGTGGACCGTGACTCCGTCGGTTATGTTGACTTTGAGAAAACCCTCGGTCTCGAAGGTGTCGCTATGGTTAACGTTGTGGCGAACTACAACTCCAAGAATTATGCGAAAGAGGGAAAGCAGTCGAAGACCATGATCACGCACAATGATGGCGCAGAATGGGATTTACTATCTCCCCCGAAGGTCGATACCGACGGGAAGAAGTTTGATTGCAAGGGCGACATCAATAAATGCTCTCTCAACATACATGGTTACACCGAGCGAGAAAACAAGGCTCACACCTACTCATCCTCCTCCGCAACCGCATTCATGTTCGGCACTGGCAGCGTTGGTGAATACCTTACCAAGGATGCCGACACTTTCATGACCTCAGACGGTGGGATCACATGGAAATCCGTGAAGAAAGGAAAGTACATGTGGGAATATGGCGACCAAGGATCTATTCTCGTGATCGTTAAGGATGGGGGCTCGACTAACATCATTTATTACTCCCTGGACGAAGGCGACACGTGGGAGGAATACAAATTTTCGGATGCTGAAATTGAGATTAAAGATCTTACGACTGTTCCAAGTGACAATTCCCGAAATTTCCTCATATGGGGCTCTAAGAATGGCGAACTCGTTACTGTCAACCTCGACTTCACTGGTCTTACGAACGAACAGTGCAAGCTAGACGAGGACGATGTTGACGAAGGGGATTATTATTTGTGGACACCTCGGCATCCAAAACAAGACAGCGAGTGTCTGTTCGGCCATATTTCGCAATACCACCGCAAGAAGCCGACCAGTAACTGCTTCAACGGGCGAATGATTCCAAGTCTCCATGATATTGCTCGGAACTGTACTTGTACAAGACGCGATTTTGAATGGTTAGTTTTCCCATGGACTTTACTTAGTGACTTGTAACTAACGAATTGAACAGTGATTTCAATTATGAACGCCAACAGGATGGTTCTTGCAAGCTTGTGCCCGGCGTCGACCCTCCTGACCACGCTCTCACCTGTTTGGCGGATCCTTCTCAGATTGAATATTACAGCGCTACAGGCTACCGACGCATCCCAACTACTACCTGCCAAGGCGGCACGGAAATGGATAAGAGTACCCCTCATCCTTGCCCGGGACACGGCGACTCGTTCCATGAGAAGCATGGCCCATCAGGTGCAGCTATTTTCTTTGCGGTGGTAATTCCTATTGTGGTGGCCACTGGGGTTGGGTACTGGGTGTGGCGTAACTGGGGCTCTAAGTTTGGTCAGATCAGACTGGGTGAACAATGTACGTTTCCCCCCAAATTCAACATGCATTTTTTACTAATCATGTATCAGCATCCTTCAACAGTGATGCACCCTATATCAAATACCCAGTTCTGGTCGTTGCGGGCGTTGTTGCAGTCGTGCAGGCCCTTCCCCTCCTTGCCGTCAGTCTCTGGCGCTCTGCAAGCAGTGCGATCGGCCGCGGCAGCTCGAGGAGATTTACTACGAGAGATAGTTTTGCGAGAGGCAGAGGCGATTATGCGATTGTTGATGAGGATGAGGGCGAGCTTTTAGGTGATGAGAGTGATGAGGAGGTTTAGATTGCTTGACCTACCTCGGATTTGGAGTTCTGGACGGAGGGTTTGGCATGGATAGCGCGATATATGTTTTGATGGATACATACCAATTGTAACACTGGCTTGAACTATTTTTTTTGTTTGGTGTGCCTCTTAGATTATGAGATTGGTGAAGTTAGACCTGGACACTGCATGTACTGTATAGCTTTGCCTAGAAAACTGGCGGAACTTTTGGTTCGGTTTCTTTTATGCTTCGTTTGTCACTACCAGTGGGGGGATGTGCTCCGGATGGTATATGCGAGAGCTCCGTCATCAGCAGCAGAAAAGTATATTGAAAGTTAGTTTTTAAAACGTTACTGTATGTATTTCCATAAAAAAATTATCTAATTTCTCGGAATGCTCTTTGTCTATAAAATTATCTGGCAAGGCGCAATAATAAAGGCCTCTCGTTCTCGTTCCTTCTCCGAAAATTGTATAAATAAAGGGAGGGGTATATCGAATAATGAGTAGTAATTCCATAAACATCTTCCCGGAAGGCATAGATAGCTTTATTCCCTGTTTCGTTGGGTTCCAAGCTGCCTCCGTCCGTAATCCGATAGTTATCCTCTAGCGGATCCATCCAACCTTGGTTGTTTGTTGCAGATTGATTTCCATTCCAAATCATCCTTCTTCAGCCCTTAAACATCCCAGACACCAAACTTCCCCTTCGGTCCCCCTCTCCACACAACACCGGCTGCACACCATACCTCTATGGCCCATCGCGTTCCTATCGTCCAAGTCCCAACCCCTCTCTACCCCTCTTATTTCGTCCTGTCCCGTTCCCTCTGCATTCCAATCCCCATCATCGCCCATCTCTACATCTGCCACAGTAGCTGCGGCAGCAGCAGACCCTAGGCACTCCCGAATACAGACATAGCACGCCCTTCTCGCACAGCCCTCACATGTAGCAAACGCATCCAATTCCGATTTCACGGTAGGCTTCCGGCGGCATATATGGCAGGGCGAGAGATCGATTGGTTTCTTCACGGGTTCCTGTAGTGAATACCGGGGGTTCTGGTCTTCTGTCGGAAAAATCCTCGTGGTGTTGGGGGGCGTGGGATAAAGATCGGGAAAAACAGTTGCTGTCCGCTGTCTTTTGCTATCATGTATACTACTCCGCTTGAACGACGACTTCGGGGATATGTATTTTCGTTCTATCGGCTGGGGTATCGGTATGGGTAGGTTCTCATCGCGGGGCGTTGTTGATTCGTTGAGTTGTGTGTTGATGTTGTGGTGGCGGATGTGTGGACTGCTTGACACAGCATCTATCAGTCTCTACGCCCAAGGGTTTGAACTAGTCAAGAGGGAGGAAGTAAATATACCTAGATATCTTCACCTGCATACCATCATCTCGTCTTCTCTTGCGTCCATTCAACGGGGAGAGGGGTGCTTGGGCGATGGAGGGCATGGTTGGGTTGGTTTGTTGGGTTTTATTGGAGGGGAGAACTAGATGGCAACGGCCATTTGGATTTGTTTTACTTGGCTTTAAAAAGAGCGCCAAAATGCCTAGATAAGGGGATAGGAGCTCGAGGCTTCGTCTAGATCGAGTCAAGGAGTGACTAGGTAGGTAGAATCGATATAATGTTTGTCAACAGTCAATAGCAAACGAGAAGGTGCCTGTTGCCGGGTGTAGCCGCGCGCTAGGCACATCCTCGACAGGGGGCTATCAACATCCTCAGTCAACCACTTTACTCCACCACTTTTGAGTATATGGGTGAATTCGTAATTGTTATACACTTAGTTTCGTTCTATGAATTATGTAATATTCTACGTATGTAATGTTAATGCCCCATCCATTATGCTAAACTCCATCCATGTAATGCAAATGCGAAAACATTCAATTTAACTAATATCAGGCCAGGCCCTGGAAGTTGCTCCACTGACAACTGCATCCTCCAGCTCCGCCATCGAAGCCACCCAGGGAAGGATCCGAAGAGTTGGAGAAGAGCAGAGCGGCGGGATTGATGGGAACTCCTCCAAATGATCTATTCTCTGCCATGATCTTGCCGCTTGTGGAAATAGGACGCTCTCGGCTGTCGAGGCTATAGCAATATAGCATCTTCCTGGCTGGATCACCACCGTGACGATCTGTAGTGATCGTGACAGGATAAGGAAATGAACCCGGTTGCTCGAAGTCCGCTGCCGGATCTTCTGAAGCTGAGCGGGTGCGGTTGAGAAGCTGAGCTGTGGTATTCATACGGGTCCATATCTGAACCATAAATCTAGTTTGCGCCCAGGTGCACCTAAAGCCTGCTGCGTTCTCAGGAGCTCCTCCATTCTCATCATCAGGAACTGCCCCGCTCTCGGAATTTGTACTGTTTAGCGGATCGAGAGATTTGAGAAAGATCGATCGATCGAAGTAGGTGTAGAAACTATAACGTTCCGATGGGAGTCCACGGTCATAGAGTCGAATAGGCTGCTGAGTTGGGAGAGGCAAAAGATTGGCCGGTGCAGCTGTACCATCCGAGCTGAGGCTGGGTGCCGGGATAATAGATGAGACGTCCGGAAACGGATCCGAATCCCTAGCCATTAACTGGTGTTGTTCGGGGAGACCCCTCTTGGTATGGTTAGATAAGTCTGTGGATAGTAATGTTATATAAAACGGCGTAGGTTCCCCAGCTTTCTGGTCCGAAACAACACCGTCTGTTGTGTTGCCTAGAAAGAACTCGTCGGCGAAAGAGGGTGGTTGTGGCGAAGGTGCAAATGTTACCGCCTGTTTCGCTCGGAGAACTAGGTGTTTGATGAATTGACCTGCAGATACGGCGCTGCCACCAGCTGCGCGAGTGACAAGGTTTGGGTTTCCCGTAACATTAGCAAAGGTAGTATTGGCTGAGCTGCTGTTATCCCATTGGATCTGTAAGAGAAAGTTCGGCTGGCTGGGTTGCTTAGGCTTGACTGATGCCTGAAGCTCTTTGGGCAACTTGCAACTCCATTGGGTCGCTGGGAAAACACACCCAGTGTTTGACACAATATTTTCTGGTGCAACTATTGTTGAAAGCCCCACAAATATTGGGGGGAAGCCTGTCAAATTTAGCCACTGAGAGGGCTGGACAGATGAGTTTGGTTTCCGATGAAGAGTGAGTGCCAGAGTCACAATCAAAATTATCATCAGTAGAAGGCCGATGCCCAGTCCCAGATACCATCGACGTCTCTTGCGGCCTTCCGCTCCTTTACGCCCATAACAACCTTCTTTGGGAATGCAGCCACGGCCTCGATATAAGCCTCCAGCTTTATGAGCAAGCGCATCTTCCTTTTCTTGTCGCCTACGCTTGGCTTCCGCTTTACGGGCCTTGCTGGATACTGGTTGTAATGGGGGCGGGGCGAAATATACTCCATTCTGTCTGGGTGGTAGTTCGGCATATGACGAGTTTAAGTTTATCGGTCCTCGAGCAGGAGGCGTCAGGGGCACATTTGCCATTGGAATAGCTCCCGAAGATGCCATGGCTTGTTGCATCCCAGGTGTGACAGGTCCTGGAGAGGCAGGATGCTCGATATTGAGAGCATGCCCGGGCGGGAAGACTGCCCGGTATCTCGGGATGCGAGGTGGCGATGGTGAGTATGGTGGTGGTGGTGGAACTTCCGATGGAGACTGGCTTCTTTGAGTATGCGTAAAGGTGGGCTGAGGAGGCTGCACAACTGCAACCGGAGCAGGCTCTTCGGGTTGTCTCCTAGTAGATAGGGTGGTGTTGGACGCATGGTGGAGATCTTCTCTTTGTGGCTGTGAATACTGATTGTTGCTTTGGAGGCCGCTCATATTTGAGTCATCAAGCGAGGCCGCTACTCTACTGTTGGAGTGAGCACTCTCAGTTGAGGTAGAATGGGCTCCTCTGGAAGTAGAATCCACGACGTTGTGAGGCGGATCTTCTGAGAGAATGCGTTCTGAAAGAATGAACGGTACTGTAGCTGTGGACGCTTGGACTTTATGCCGAGTATCTGAATGTACTGGAGAGTGCGTTACAGGTTTCGAATCCTTTGACTCAACATCCCACCAGGAGTCAGACTGTATGGTTGTTGATGTTGCCGGTGTCAGCGGGGAGAATTGCTTCTCCCACGACTTGTCAGCCCTGTCAGCATCCTGTATTTTTGCAGCAGCAATTGCAAGACTAGGAAGAACTGGAGGTTGCTGGTTTTCAACTTCTCGTGTCGCAAAGGTATTTGATCGGGTCAAAAATGGAGTGGTAATATAATTCCACCATCCTGAGCGTCGGCTGGTGCCAACAGTACTGATGCTTGCATGCTTGCCTGCGCTTCGTCCCCCAGATACTGATACCGCCCGTGCTGTCCTCGCTAATATAGGACTTATATCCTCCTCGAAGATGGTACCCGATGAGACTACGCGGGAGGAGGAGCCACTTGATGGATATACATCTTCCCATACCGTACCATCATCTGAGTCCGGCGAGAAGTAGCTCTTCTGGGCAGCTAGCCTCTGCTGCTCTTCTCTAAGAACATACACCGGCACTTTTGGAACTGGAGGCACATTCTTGCTGTTCAATGCCCCATCGGTAGAAGGATGGTTCTGAGATGAATAAGTGGTGCCCTGATCGAATGGTGACCAAGAGGAACCTTCCTGGGCAGGTGTAATAACGATGGTGGGAGTTTCTGGAGGCTGGCTGCTGGGGACTCGACGTTCGTAACTTCTTATTATTTTGGACGTTTCAGATGAAGCAGTTTGCGGGCTTAATGTATGCACAGAAACATCACTAGAGGGGATGGATAGACCGATGACTATGGGGCGGTCGCTTGGTGATAAATCCGCGCGAGGGTCAATTGGAGTATTCAAAAGAGTTGACGCTCTTCGTCTCGAGGGTATGGCAGTCTTGGGAACCCCCTGAGAAGGGCCAGAGGTGGTGATATTAGGAGCATTGCCTGGCACAGCAGGCGCCGCATTTGGAGCTCTCGCGTCCGCCTTGGTTTTCACGAACCTCCAAAACCCACCAGATGCCTGTGTTGATTCGCCATTCAATGCTTGAAGCGCAGCCAGATCAACGAAGCAGCCATTCTCAGGTGCCGATCTAACGGGCTGCAACTGCACCGGTGGCGGGATTGGTTTTTGTCTGGAGGAAAAGTCGGTCACGAGCGTTATTCCTGCATTCGCATTTTGCTTCTTCTGTCTCGCTCGAGATTTGAGCCGGTGCGGCTTGCTAACAGAATATCTCCTGTCTGATTTTCGAGTCCCGTTCCGATTTAGGGTTTTAGTACTGTATCCTGCACCAGTACCTTCACGGAGCTTCGGCCATTGCGTGACCCGCGGTGCCTTGTCAGCTTTGGAGGTACCTCTTCCAGGAGCTTCCTCTTCGTCCCACCATCCATAAGCATCATCATCGCCATCAAAAGGTGAGTCGAAGGGATTTGCTCCCGAGCCTGTCGAAGGGTCGTTTTTGGAAGGATCTGGCTTGGCGGCGGTGCCGGTTGTTGTAAACATGTTTAGAGCGTTTGATTCTCGCGATTATCGATTAAGCCTGGAATAAAATTGAGGCCTTCCGACCTAATAGATATTTTGAGGATCTTCAGAGTTGTTGTAGTTGGGGCGAATGCGGATCGTGTTGGCGAGGTAGATTCTTTCGATATTCGGATTTCGAGACCGTAGGTTTGCGATTTTGTTTGTGGAAGGAATGACCGGAGGATTCAAAAGGCTAACGATAAGTTCGAAATTGAAAATAATACGCTGAAAGCATTGTTTGTGCTGATAAAGAAAAGGTATTGTCTATTGAGAGGCGGGGAGTATTGTGCTGGAGACAATAGTAAGAATGAACAATAAGTTATTAAACGAACAACAACAAAGATAATGACAGTGAATCGGATACATTCAACCCAGAGAAACCTGTGACAAAGACGGAGAGAGAGAGAGAGGTATGAAAGAAGATTCAACGACGCGAATGAAACAGGATTCATGGCCATCCGGTCATGACCGCGAAGCCACGAAGACTTGCGTGACCTTGCCCTGCTGTGGACCCAGAACGCTGTAGATTCCACGTCGTATACCTAGCCTAGTATGAGAAGGGGGATTCTCATTCGACAACAGTCGCAGACGGGTGACATTCGATGTACTGATCGAGCCTGTCGTCGTCGCCGTTCGCTGGAGGATGTAGCATCTACGCGCCCATCAAGATGAATGCAGCCAATGTATTGGCGGGCGCTTCGAAGTCGGCTCGGCCAATGGATTCGGAATTCATCACGTCGAACCATTGGCAAGCGGAAACGAGCGCCCGGATGGAAGGCAAACCTGCCGCCTTGTCAAAAGGCCGAAAGCATCCGTTGACTCGTTCGCCATCGCGCGAGGGTTAGAATCCATCATTTATTAGCTTTGTTGTTGTCCGATCTACGCGGTATTATAGGAAGACGACATCTTGGAGGATTCTGCCATCTCACCGCTGGCATAACGACGGACTGGGCTAGCGTAGATCCCTCCCCTGAGAGGCTGAGACATGTTGCGGCATGAGAGGAAGCCAAGCTGAGTTACGTCGGTAGTAGTATTATCTGAATGTTTCCCGGCTCAACACATCTATGCAATGCAAGCCTTCAATACCGTACATTATATTTCAAGCCTCTTGAAGTCGTCGACATCACTGTTGGCTCGGGCCACCGTCGGAGATCACGTGAGAAGCAAAAACAATTACGCACGTGATGTGTATCTCACAAATCAGGCTCCGATTTGAGTTTGCTCTGGGATACTCGCTCCATTCTGAGGTATTTTTAAGATCAAGTAGGCTTTTTTAACTCCTAAGCCAATGACAGCGCACCGCTAGAATAAAGCAAGCCAGAGAAGTTTGTGAACCTAGGGGTGTATATCAAATAGGTGTACGGAGTGTGGATACGGAGTAATTCTCTGGCTACCTTAGCGTCTGATTGACGAGATAACATGATGGCATTGCCATGACTTGACCATTTCAGGAAACGGAGAAGTGGTAAAATGCACGGATTTAATGTATTTTCGAAGGTCTATTTTGACTAATTATTTTATTGCAAGTAATAAGTATTGTCGGCAGAATACAGTGTGTTTGTGCGTCCTCCAGCAATAACTCGAAGCCTTGAACGCTAGTTAACTTATAAGTGACCTGGTGCAGGGGTGGGGATTCCAACAAAAAAACCGTTCGTTCCTTGAACATCACACCAAACCACATTAACCAAGATGTCATCCGAGGCCCTCACCACAATCTCCCTCCCCTCTCTTCCCCGGCTGTCCCAGGGCAAAGTCAGGTATGGAATCTGCGTGTCTGAACCCGTCCCTTCCGCTATGTTTTCCCTTGGCCAGATAAGGAAAATCTGCCCTATATGACTCCTCGTCACAATTTACCACCTCTTTATAATGAACTTGGGGATATTCTGACATATAAAATGTGGCAGGGACCTTTTCGCCCTCCCAGATAATCGCACACTTCTCTTCGTCACTTCAGGTATGTCTTCTTCACAAACTACTTTCCATGTCTTTATCAAAATATAAATCTCATGGTTCATAGATCGTATAAGCGCATACGACGTCATTCTCAAGGTTAGCCATTTTACCGACTCAGGGGTGATTTTCTAGGTCAATCTCGGGAATCAGCCTTGGTCCGAGACTCCTAACCATCGTCTCGTGAACCTGGAAGCCCTCGTGTTCAATTTCATATTCTCCAGAGCATTCCTTTTGTAGAGATGCTAACATGCACCATGGCAGAACGGCATATCCTCGAAGGGACTTATCTTGACGCTGCTCTCTGCAAAATGGTTCGAGGTGCTCACATCCAGGATTCCAGGCTTGAAGCATCATTTTCTCAGCCTCACCCCACCGCCAGCGCCTGGTATAGTCACTCCTGAGGAGCGACGCATGCTTCGCGGGCGCTCGATGACTGTTCGGTATGACCTCCCAAGTTTGATATAACCCCTTTTACCCGTATCTGTAGAGCAAGTCTTTGAGCAGAAGCCCCCCCCTGACCTGGCCTGTTGACGACCAGACTATTTTTCACTATACATAGCAATCTAGTGATGATAACTTTAAGGGAATGCTGACATCTGAATTCGGCAGTCGTCTGAAAATCTTTCCAATTGAGGCGATCGGCAAGTACCTTATTTAAACCCCCTCTGAACATACCCTGACTCCTCCCGACAACAAAAAATATTATCTCGGAAGATAGTCTGACTAGCGGAGCAGTACGCGGCTATGTTACGGGGAGTGCATGGTTAGAGTCAGTGTCTTCCCGTCTTCAATAGAATTGACCGCTAGCCTTCTAACTTATTTGTATAGGTACCAGAAGAGCCAGAGTATTCATGGCCTCCCCCAACCTGCGGGACTCTCGCACTGCCAACAGCTTCCTCAGCCCATATACACGCCATCCACCAAGGCAGAGCTCGGAGAGAAGGATGTCAACATCTCCCCAGATCAGGCGAAGACGATTGTGGGCGATAAGTATGCCTCACGCATTGAGGATTTGGCGCTCGCATGCTACAAAGCAGGGGCCGCCCACGCAGAAGCATGCGGTATAATCATAGTTAGTTCCCTCTCCCCCCTATCATGATTTATCCCAATATATCTAGCTCTCGGGAGTTCTGGACAGGGCGAGAACCGCCTAGCCCTAGAACAAACCTTTAGTTAAAGAGTGAGGAAACCACTGACATTATGCACTGCAGGCAGATACCAAGTTCGAGTTTGGTTTAGATGAAGAAACCGACGAGATCTACCTTGTGGACGAGGTTCTCACGTGCGTTTCCCCTTCAACACCTCCCTTCTAGCTCCAAGTTAGGGACATGATGGGAGACTCTCTTTCGAATATGACCCCGGGTTTCTCTGTTTGCTTGAAATACTGACATGAGGACGTCAAGGCCCGACTCTTCGCGCTTCTGGAGCAAAGCCGACTACCAAGGTATGTGCTTTTGTGTACCTGTATCCATGTCTCGTTCCCTGTTTGGCCCGTTTGCCACTTGCAGACATTCCCCGCGATGAGCCCCTATTTTCTACGAAACCGATGAGGAATCTGAAGCACGAATATTATCACCTAAGCTACCCTTGATCTTCTCCATCACTTTAATTCGGTATTACAGAATCGCTGACATAACTCACAGTCGGACGCGAGCAGGACTCCTGTATGTTCCACTTCCATCCTATTCCCTCTCGAATCTCCCACCCTCACCATATGCTAGCGAGATGTCTTGGAGAAGAATCCAAGAACTAGAAGTTGAGGTTCCGGCAGAGAATACTAACGGATAATAGTCGACAAGCAGGTGCTTAGGAACTGGTTAACGTCGAACGGTCTGGTATGTATAAGATATTGGCTGCTTCCCAATGACTTGAGCCTAGGAGAATACGCCCCCTCAACCCCCAGGGACGACTTTTGATGAGATACTAATAGCTTAATATAGAAGGGAAAGCAAGACGTACAAATCCCTCCCGAAATCGTAGAGAAGACAAAGTCACGCTATATGGAAGTGTACGAACTGTTGTCGGGAAGAACCCTGGAGGAGGCGCTGAAGAGCTTAGAGGACTAAGCAGCAGGGGAAATAGCCCAGAAGCTGGGATATCTAGAAACTGGGATATCTAGAAGCTGGGATATCTAGAATCGGGGATCGCTAAGAACGGGTTAAAAGAATGGGTCCTATTTGCAATAGTTGTTCTCGCTTCCATCTCCCATGATCGTGTAATTAGGGGAGGGAGCGGGGGTTTCTTGCTAGGTGTCCCATCGTCAGTCTTGTGATATCGGAAAGAATAAAGCATATGGCGTGGCCTTTACTACAAATGTCTATGAAAGTAGCGGGCATGGATTGTACTGTACAAATGAAAGAATTCCATGCTCACAGGCCAAGAATAAATATCCGTGTGCATACAGTAGCGTGATGGGCGGCGAGGCTGTTGGGAGCGAACGTGGAGGTTAATTAAAGATGCTTGTTTCAGATGTCAAGTACCGGAACGGTCCACTTTTTGCTCTTATCGCTGTTTGCAACAGCGTACATGTACCTACGTACCTTATCACCACCCCTCTCTCGTTCGACCCCTATTCGGCCTTTGCTGCCTCTAGATCCTCTAAAATGTCTCGAGTGCCCTAGTTATAAATATATAGTTTGTTAATTAACGCCAGAGTAATTGTAAACAAAATAAAGATAGAGAAAAAACCTTGTAATTGTTAAATAATCAAGACTAACCATCACCCACGTGGGCACCTTGAATAGGGGGAAGAAGAACTGACTCAGCAGATAAGGATAAGCAGAGGACTGGTCAAAGCGTGAAAAGATCCCAAGCCAATACCCGCCAGGTTAATGTTGAAATTGAGAGCAGATCCTAATAATAAGATTACGATGACCTGTGCTATCATTTGCCAAGGATTCTTTTCCTTTTATACTCGTCTAAAACATTACTCTCCTGGCGGCCCCTGTCGCTCTGTCTCGTCCCTATTTTCGTGCTTGTCAGCCGCACATCGCCCCTTTACAAAGTACGAAATTCAGTCTCCTTTAATGGCAATATCACGTCAACTTCCCGCTATTTAAGTCTTTCAACCACGTACACTCGTACATCGGACCACCGCCGTTTGATCGTCCTCGTGTTGATGCAATTGAACAGAGCACTGCACGTCTATTAGGGCTTATCTCGTATTACCTCTCTGCTGTATACGAGATTTGGTGGAGTTACTTGGACGGCACGCCACGTCGCTAATCTTTTCTGGCCGGTTTCTTGGTACTCTCGTACTCCGTTTGCGACCGTTTGCGACCGTTTGCGGTTCCACCAACACAAACCACTTTTGCTGCACTAAACATCGAGCAGCTGACGCCGTCTCGTGGGTTCATGAAAGAGAGGACACGGTCAATACTAAATACCGATTGCTACGAGTCGCCGCGCTCCCGACGGCCTTCAACCCCTCCTAGCATTCGCGTACAATCTCTCATCACCGCCACACCAGATTGGCCAAGTGCCCTTCTGGTCCTCCGTTCTCGTCCTGGCGCCCTCCAAGACCTCCCCGTTTTCGTCTGTGGGGGGTTCGTTTTCCCATCGGCGGCGACGATCCTCTGTCGCAACGACTACAAACCCTCCTCCCCCCAGCGTGAACATACAAGAAGCGTCGGGAATCGATACGGAGTCCTCACCTTCGCGCACCAGACAAATCCTTCCCCCTATTCCTGGAACCCCAAGTATGCCGGCATCGTTATCGCGCAGTCCGTCACCTAAACCAGGAGGTGGATGGGCAAGCCCGGGCCTAACTAGCCATTATGGGGAGACGGGCTCGAGTAGTTCTGGGAAAAGCTATCAAGGTGTAAACGGGAGCTCCGTGACCTGGGAGTCCGCGAAAGCCAAGAGCGAGGGTGTCCATGGTGGCTACCCATCATTCTCGACCCAGAACAAAGGATTCTTCAATCGACACATGAGGACCCTATCGAGTAGCTTACCCAGGTTCAACATGGGACCAGAAAGGAGTTTTGCTGAAAAGGAGAAGCTTGGGCGCGGCCGGTGGATGCCGAGAGATGGGAGCAGATTGGGAAAGTTAAGAATTATGGCTAGCAGGGTGAGCAGGAAGATGAGGTTACGGATTCTTGCAGTTCTTGGAGTGATCCTCATGATCATTCTCTTTTACACAACGCGTGAGTATTCCTTCGATTGCCGTTTCATGCCAGACCTAAGCTTACTGAACATTTAGCTCTACATTACTACTGGCGAAGAGCGAAACATCTCGGAGGAGGGAAGAAGTTCGTCATTATACTTGCGGCAAATCAAGGAGGTGGTGTGATGGAGTGGAAGGGTCCTCGGGAGTGGGCGATAGAGCGCGACAGCGTACGAAATAAACGAAAGTATGCCAACCGATGGGGCTACGAGCTGGAAATCGTAGACATGAGCACAAAGAAGCGATATGCGCACGAGTGGAGAGAGAGCTGGGAGAAAGTTGACACAATCCGAAATTGTTTGAGGAAATACCCAGATGCTGATTGGTAAGGTCGCCGGTGCGCCGCACATAAACAGTATGCTAACAATCATAGGTTCTGGTGGTTAGATCTCAATACGTTCGTCATGGAGCCATCATACTCCCTCCAGTCCCATATCTTCAACGACCTCTCGAAGAACACCTACCGCGATATCAACGACTACAACCCTCTCAACATAACCCATCCTTTCCCGTCTGATCACCTGGACCCCGTGTCTGCAAGCCCAGTTGGCGACGGCAAGCCTGGATCGATAAGCTTAATCGTTCCACAAGATTGTGGCGGGTTCAACCTGGGTTCATTTTTCATAAAGCGCGGTGCTTGGACCGACCGGCTTCTTGACATATGGTGGGATCCAGTTATGTACGAACAGAAACACATGGAGTGGGAGCACAAAGAGCAGGATGCGCTTGAGTATCTCTACACAAACCAACCCTGGGTCCGGCCGCAAACAGCATTCATCCCCCAGCGTATGATCAACAGTTTCCCTCCCGGAGCATGCTCGGAGAATGGCAACGACACACGCATCCATTACAATGAGAAGGATCGAGACTTCGCCGTCAACATGGCGGGATGTGAATGGGGACGTGATTGCTGGGGTGAGATGTACAACTATCGTGAGCTGAGCAACTACCTCAACCGCAATCCCTGGGAACTGTTCAAGGAGGAATTGGTTGCAGTAGCTTGGTTCAAGCTTACTGGGCAAAAAGTCAGGCTATGAGGTGGAATCAGTTTTCGTTACCAGCAGAGTTTCTGCTATTTCTTTGCATCTCTCCAACACTGCTGTTGGGTTGACGGGGTGATTGTATCTGGAATACCTTGCGGGTTTGAATCGCTTGGATGGCAATTTGCCTTCCCGTTTACCATTCTGTTCTGTACTGCATATAGTGGACATATCTGCGGGCCCTGGAGTCTTTTAGAGGAATAGCATGTACCATATGATGAAAGCTAATTAGTAATGTACTAATGTTCATAGCGGTAGGATGGGCATGTCATATGTGGTGTTTGAAATCTTGTTGTATTGTGCTAGAGGGGTTCGGGGGAAAATAGATCGAATAAAACCTCAAAAGAGTATTCTGCTGCAACTGAACAAATGCCAATGGTGACTTCGACAAAGTACCGAATGAAGTGCTATCTAGCAGTGTTGTAAGCTTGTACTGCCAGGGTGTGAAGCAGTAACCTCTAAGAACATCAGATGAAGGACCTGGATAGTTTCAGCCATGATGCCTGTCCGCAGTCGGCAGTCCACCAACGTTCCGGTATCCGAAGGCACTGTCGTAGATCTCCTCACGTTCCATATTGGGTTGCTTATGCCTTATCACTATTATCACCACCTTGAATCGGTCCGGAACAGGGTATAACGTTGGTGATATTGGTACGGGGAAGCCCTGCTTCGGCTTCGGCGCCGGAGTGGGACGACTTCTAGTTAGCCTCTGAGGAGATCCTGAAGGGTGATGGGATGGGATGAACTATCTGGTACACCATCAGGGTAGATGGCGCGAGTAGTGGCGTTATGGGGATGCAGATATTGAAAATATTGAACGACCTTATTAACTTCAACCTCAAATTCATTCGGGTTGAAGCTTGCTTATGTTTCACTCATTGGAGAACCTTCAGGCAGTCACATCTTCGGATTGGGATTGGATGGAATATAAATTCCAAAAAGAAACAGAGGAGGAAAATCATATACCACCCAAATATCTAGAAGCGCCCAAACTGTACCATCGCTCACAGCATTTAAACCGCAGAGCCCAAGCCGACTGTGACCACTTCCACAGCTGCAGGTGATGAGTGCAACTGTCGAGTCTCGACACCTGTTCGGACGTGGAGAATCGCAACTGGCAGGTGTTTGTCCGGAGTATATTTGGTCGTTTCATGCTGCTTTGTTTCGAGATGTTTCAACTTATCAGGATCGTTGCTCGCTTAAGCCACGAGAGCCCAAGAGCCAATTACGAGGCGACAAGCCAGCTGTGTAATGCAACATCAAACACCAGGACCGAACCTCACCTTTTGACTTCAACCTCAAAACACCAAACACGGCTCTCTGAGTGGCTATGCCTCCTGGTCCTGTCAAACATTCTAGGCCTATATGGCTTCTAACTCCGAGAAACGCGTGGCGGTAGTTCGCCCAACGTTGATGCTTCTGGAGCCACTCGTTGGCATCTTGCGAACTTCATTTCCTTCAAACTCCTAAACTGGCAACTAGTGTTGCACGGCCACTTCAGGCTGACTTTGTCCCAGGCATGATCACATCCGGGGTAAGCCTGTCGAGTCGCAAGGACAGCTACTTGGCTTGTGTTGCTGGCGATGGGGAATTGGTTCTGAATCTCCGATGTTCAAAGGACCCCCGGGACCATGTCCGGCCTGGAACGCGCGAGTGCTGAGATGAGTAGACAAAGGCATAAGTATTTTATATCCTCTTGTCCCCCCTTTTCTTCTTGTGGAATTCACCTTCTTTTTACACCAGTACAGTCACTCCTTAAGCGGTTGTTTGTTCACTTCTCTATTTTCACTTTTGAGCAAGTTTTGAATAACACAAAGACATCGATTGTCCTCAATAGTTGCTTTATCGACAATAGCTACTCATCATTTTACTTCCACAATAAGAAACCACACTTTCGTTGGATTTCTCCAAAGCCTCTTATTTACACTCCGACTCCCATTTCGCCCTGCCACCTTGCTGCTGAAAATTATCTATCCGTTCAAACAAGATTCTACATTACTTTGAATCATCGTTCACCACACAAGATGCATGCCTCTCAACTTGTCATGCGCCTTGGCGCATCCGCCATTTGCGCTGCTGGCATCGCAAATGCAGCCTATTCCGTCAAGGACACATTCGACAGCACCAACTTCTTCAGCGAGTTCAACTTCTTCTCTGGTGACGATCCAACAGGCGGCTTCGTCGAATACGTCTCCGCCGCAGCTGCAAATTTAACGAGTCTGGCGGGGTATTCTAATAACGCCGTTTATCTCGGAGTAGATCATGTAACTTCCAACCCTGCTGGTGGGCGCAGCTCAGTCCGAGTTACCTCCAACAATGCGTACACGCACGGCCTGTTTATCGCCGATATTGCTCACATGCCAGGCAGCACCTGCGGAGTCTGGCCAGCATTTGTAAGTACATACTCTCCTTCTCCATGCTATAGCCCCGAAACTCCCATGCTAATGCATTTTTCTTTGTAGTGGACATTCGGTCCAAACTGGCCCTCATCAGGCGAGATTGACATTATCGAAGGTGTCAACGACCAAACCACCAACGACATCACCCTCCACACATCCGCATCTTGCACAATGAGCACGTCTGGCTCTCTGGGAGGCACCAAGCTCGCAGACCCTAACTGTAACTCTGGCAATGGCAACAACGGCTGCGGCACCACCACAACCGACACGCGAAACTACGGCAGTGGATTCAACGCTATCGGTGGTGGCGTCTATGCTATGGACTGGACATCCTCCCACATCTCCGTCTACTTCTTCCCACGCTCCGACATCCCTGCAGATATTACGTCGGGGAAGCCTAACCCATCAAGCTGGGGAACACCTACCACCACTTTCGGCGGCTCAGGGTGTGATATCGACTCCCACTTCAAGGATCACAACATCGTCTTCGACACTACATTCTGCGGCCAGTGGGCTGGCCAAGTCTGGGATTCAAACCAGCATTGCAAGGCTCTTGCGCCTACTTGTAATGAGTACGTAGGGAAGAATCCCCAAGCGTTCAAGGACGCATACTGGATGGTCAACTCCGTCAAGGTCTATCAAGATGGTTCCGCCCAGAAGAGAGCCGAGGGTGTTATACCCATGCCATTTATGGCTTGATTTTACCTACAGAGGTAGCGGCTTCTGTCACGTTGAGATCCTGCCGCATTTCAGAAAATCGGGTTTCATTTATTCACTTCTTTGCAAATATGTAGGGAACTTCTTTTGTGCATATGTAGGGGGATTTTTTGAGGGCATAAATGGAATGTCACGCGGATGAGATTAAATGATACCTGAGTTGCGTTTCGAAATGTATATGCAACATACAGCATACACATACCAACTGGATGATTGAAGATCATGGACAAATACCCTGGAATAAGGGAGATGTGGTTGCTTGCCAAATAAATAAAAATTCAAAAAACGTTGAAAACATGGTCGATTTTGTGACTGACTTATCGTAATGAGGATAAACAAGCTTGGTTGTGAAAGACACCTGCCAAGTGCCCGGAGGAATATAAAGGTATGGTACAGTACTATCATGCTGATCATTTATTAGCTTGTGAATGCTGCAAGTCGGCCCGGCTTGGGGTATAGTACATGTCGTCTGAACTATTCAATAAAGAAATCCGCCTACCTATTTACATGGGTTCTCCACCTCCGTACCAGGGAGGTACATATAATCCTCAGGGTTTAGTTGAGGGATGAACACCGGGGTTGGATACCTCTGCATCAAAGCAGAAACATCAGACGGAGAAACCAGAAGTATCACTTAATGGACAATCAACACATCATACGTATTTCACATTACAAAAACCGCCTATCATTAATTGTCGTACACGGGAGATGAATCTATTTAGTTCGCATCATCAAACCTACCAACCTCTCGCCATCCAAAGACCCTTAAAACCAAAATCCTAAATATCATCATCATCCTCGTCCGCCCCTGGACTCATGCTCTTTCCCCTACTGTCTAGCGTATTCAGACTAATACTATCGCTATCCCGCTTGGCGGGCATTCCCATAGCCTGCCTCCCTGATTCGGAGTTTTCCAAAAACTCTCGTAGTTTCTCCTTGCCGATCTCGACGGCTTGAGTGGAGGCGGCATTAGCCATGCGGAGCATCGGGCCCCAGAGATTGAGGGTGTATGTTACATAGGCTGCTGCGCCGAGGAGAATGAGGAAGATAAAGTAGACTGGGTTGCGGAGAACTGCGGGTGGATTATGTTAGTGGGTTGAGCGTAGTTTGGCTGGGACATCGCAAAGCTTACCTGCAACGATCTCATTCCAGCCCAACGCTAGGAGAAGTCCGTAGAAGTATAGAGGAACTTGAGCAACACCACCAATAGCACTTCGTTTTGCCTCAACATAAACTCCATCAGCCGTCTTCTTGAATCTCACAACGAGGTCCTGGCGTTTGGCTTCGCTCAGTATTGTCATTTCTTCTTCCAGGCTCTTGCCCTCCTCTTCATCCACACCACCGATTGGAGCTAGATCTTCTTCATCCTTTGGATCAACACTATCAGGCGCACTCGAAATCCAATCGGGGAGATCGGGCGGCGCATATGTCTCAGACAATCTGAATCTTGAAAGAAGTGGAATTAGGGTAAGAGTTGATTCCTTCGCTTTGGTGTATAGCCCCTCGATATCATCCGTAGGTCGCCATATCCTGGGTACACCAGCTTCGTCATATCGGAACTTGTCTTCAAAGTTCTCTCTCAGTTTGAGAAGGATGTTGCCTTCCATGACCTCCTCATCGATTTTCGCTCGGAGAACTCCCCAGCTCTTCCGCCTCAGACGCCACAACCCGACATCAATCTCATCTTGGCTGGCATCAAAGCTTTTTGCTCTGTCAACAAAACGTGTCTCGGCTTCTTTGACAGTAGCGACGAAGAGATTCCATATCCTATCCCACAAATCTTTCTCTGTGGCGGGTTTCTCACCATCTTCAGGAGCGCCACTCCCGCCTCGCCCAGATCCGAGTTTGTTAAACTCAAGACCTACGGATTCTCCTAGCCTTGAACGCACCCATCTCTCCACGCGAGTTGCAAGGCGCCGCATTTCTTCCTTTCGTAAACGTGCGCTGACTTCGTCTAGATCCTTCTCATATAGATTAAATTGTTGTTTGAAGTTACTCCATGGTACGCCCTCAATCGCCAAACTCTTCGCTTCAGTTTCGAACTGTTCGAGGGCAATCTGTTTCTCACGTTCCACAATTTCAGCAAATTCGTACGATGCCCCTTTTTTCTGCCCCGCCTTGACGGCGTTGGAAACCGAATTGCTGAACGATGTAACTCCTGACTTGTGAGCTGCCGAGAGGTGGCCGTGGTATAAGGCCTTGAGGCGGGTGTCAATCTTGCCTTCCAACTCGACACGTTTTCTACTATAAACGCCTTTGTGGTATCTGCTCGCCTCGGTTTCAAAAGCCTTGATGCTCTTCACACGTGCAGCTTTTCCAGAAAGACCCAAGTCCTTCAAAACAGTGGGTTTTCCAAGTCTGACACCCTCCGCCTGTAGCTCCTCCAGGGGTAATATAGCGGTATCGAAACCTTCTAAAACCTCTCGTGATATCTCGTCGCAGCGAAATTGCGCGAGGAGCTCCTGCTGAGTCGGCAAATCCAGATCCTTGTTATTGACGATCTGGTCCCAAATGCCCTCTGCGTATACTGAAAACCCATCCGCAGGGATTCGTCGGTGGTATTCAGGGAGGAAGACGCCCCCTTCGAGTTCATGCACCAGTTGTAGGCCATGCTGATTATCAGGTCGGTTGCCAACTCTAAATCTCATACCTAGTTTCTTAACCTCTGTGACGAACTTCTCCGGTTGCAAGATCTTGTGCGGCAACGCAGCAAATGCGAAATCGAAGTAGTCCTCTATCCGCGACTTTTCGAGACCGGCGGGCTTCGAGAGGCTAGTCCATATATTTGTTAAATCTGCTAGGAGCGTGTTACGAAGGTTTGCAAGAGGAGTTGCCCCAATATGATCGCGGATGACGAAGAAGAGGAGAGATCGGGGATTAGACCTGTGGTATTTGTTAGATCCACCATAGCCTCGGAACTTAGAGACTTACTGTCTATCCTTCAAAAAGAGCTGTAGATTAACCTCAAATACTGTCTTCAGCAACCCCATATTTGCACCTTGGTACAGCCCGACTTGATGCTCCCAAAGATTCACGATCAGGACCTCGCTAGTCGCCAGGGCGAAAAGGGCACTTTTCCGCTCGAAGTCTTGGTCTTCCCCTCGTTCTCGGCCATCAGTTCCCTCCACATCCATAACCATAATGTTATCAGCCATCTTTTCGGATTCTAGCGCGCCCTTATGCTCCTTCTTGTTCTTTGACATCCATATCCCCTTTGTGGTCTGCCGCCGCTCGGTTTCCGACATTACCCCAAACTCCGTACCGAAGAGGTGATTAAGCAGGGTCGACTTGCCAGTTGACTGGGAACCAAAGACTGATATGAGGTGATAGTTGAAGCCGGATTGCGCTGTCCTGGTGAGCTGCAGATATGTGTTAAGGTTGGGGCTTGAAAGCTACTCGTTAGTCAAAGACAAAGTTAGCTCAGCGGTGGGACGCCTACTTGAACTCTTTCTCCTCGTTGATAACTTGAATGCCATGTTCATATTGCTGTTCTGTCGGCGCATCGCCGACAGCTGCAAAGTGGCCGTTCATAGCTAACATTGGAGGTGCGGTTGCCCTGGAAGCGATGGAAGGCCTGCGGCCATTCGTACTTATAGTTGAGCCTGTGCTATTCGAGGCGGACATTACGGCGAGGCGAAAGACAATTATACAGAAATAAAGGGACGGACGCTGTGGCTCGTGGTGTTGCAGTTGGAGCCGTGGTGTTAGTGTGGATCTGGACACTAGCAACCCCCTACAAGGAATCCAGAACAATATAAAATAATGGAGAGCTGGCGATGTCACAAGCCCGGATGGACCCTGGCTTGGGGGGCGTAAGTCGACCTGTGGTCGTTGTTGCCTTTGAGGCCTGAGGCTAACAGGTGTGATTGAGGTCTAAGAATCCAAGACTAGGAGTCACGAGGTCATGGCCCCTCGTATACTATACATTAAGAAGGGTAGTGTGTCTTGCTCGTTGCTCCAATATGGCCAACGCTGTTTGTATGTACCGCGAAAAGGTGCATAATCAAGGTACATTTAAGTGCTATGCCTAGGTACTCAGCCATGGCTAAGGTGCAAGACGGGTAAGGAGAAACGATTCTGATAAGTATACTTCTCATTTCGTGCAATAGTTGTTCCATGATATGCAATATAGACCATCTAAACCAGCGAGTGTTTAAAACTCATAGGCGCCTAATATCTATATCTGGGTGTCGGCTGCTCCACACGACGACTACCACTGGAAGACCAGAGGCTCTTCTCCAACATCTCCAGTAAGTTCACGCCTTCCGCCGTACGGTTCCAACAACGGAAGTTAATAACATCAGACTTAGTATTCCAGGAGGATATCAACTTGTTCGTTTTTGACCATTCGCGGACTGTGGCCAGTACCTCCTTGCCCTTGCAAATCCAATACATCTGGATAATATCACGCCAGATATTCTTGCTTACGTTTTCAGCGGTGAGCCAGTACAACATGGCATAGTAGACTGTTTTGGCCTGAACGTACTTAACAATCTGCTGAGGGTCAGGATCAAGAGAAGATCGTAACGGTTCGTTTTCCGCTGGGTTAGCAACCCCGAGGATCATGGCTTGGATGCTGACAAAAACAGAGAGCAGGGTGGACCTATGCGGTAGCCACCTCTCGGCAGGTGAGCCATGCCACGTATTCAGCAAACTTAGACAAACTACAATATCGCATGGTAAGTATCGCAATATGTAGATATTAGCTGGGATATTGCAGAGATGATAACATACCTGTTCCGTCTTCGTGTATATTCGGATTGAGCGAGAAACGGATCAGCCCACATCCTTGGTTCATGGCAAAGTACATCTGTGGAGGTACTGCTGGCCAATTGTGAGGAAGATACATGTCGAAGCTACAGTTTAACGTTAGCAAAATATAATCAAGTGCCGTAGAAGCGGATAAATTGTCCCCGCACTATGCAGAGAGCAGTACTCACATAAAGAGACCGCCAGCATATGGAGAGCCAGGCACCCCTATTATAAGGATTTTCATAACATCAGGTCTTGAGTCTGATACTTTGACGAAAATTCCAGGAGGCAGTGAAGTTGTCCACGACGCGATCTCTTTCCAGAGGCCTGTCATACGACCAGGAGGTGGAGATTGGATTTTGCACCATTCATGACTCAGTCGATGGTTCACCAACACATCGTCTGTGAAGGTCACCTGTTTTGCCTCGGTGAACTCTTGCCAGGGGTCTTTGGGTGTTTTGGCAGGGTCCTGAATGGCATCAGGTGCGGTCTGTTTAACGGCGTCCCTAAATCCCACTATGCTTTTGAATATAGCAATAGTTTGTTTGCTATCGTCGCTATGAATTCCCTTGGCCATAGCCGCATTGTGTGAGAGGCAAGCGAATGCATCCGCTTGCTTGAATGTGTTGTGACAATACGTCAAGAGAGATCCGGCTAGTCCACTCGGAGAGATATCAACCACAAGGGCATGGCTATCGAAATTCTCCCCAAGGGACTTGAGACCCGGGCTCCGCTTCTTCTCTGGGCGTTTATCGGTGAGGATATGCACCAACCGTGGATGCTTCGCCATAGCAGTAACAAAAGCTAAGGCAGCCTGGTAAAGATCCGACCTTCTGGCCATATCACTAATCGAATCGTTTCGGAGCAACATAGTAACCCGATCGAATAACAAACTAAGCCGGAATAGGGCGAAAAACTCCGCTGGTGGCTCCCTATCGAAACTGGAGCCCAAGCCATTCACGGGAAGAAATGCTGTTAGGAGAAGCAGTACCTCGGTCATTACCATGTCGGTTAAGTCGTTCTGTTGGCTGTAATTTATATTGCTATCCTTGAACAAAACTCTACTCGCCGTTGCCTCGCTCTCAGGAGTATATCCAGTTCCGTTGTCCAGTGGAGCTTTCGGGCCGCGTCTCTGCAAGTCTTCGGCTGCCTTATGCTGCAATTCGACTTCATCGAACCGGCAGAGCAGAAGCCAACTTCCGAAGAGCCGCCCGTGTGGACAGCAGTTATTAACAACTGCATCAAGAGCACAGTAGCTTATTTTCCCTAGCCTTGGCTTTCCTCGACATCCGATGCACGTAAACCGCTTGCACTTATTGCAATATATTCCAGAGATCTGCTCAGGCTGAGAACCTTTAGCACCTGCAAGCCAAGTCATGATGTGATTTTTGACTGAGGTTATCGAGAGAGGGGTCCGGCATGTTGGGTCGCGACATTTGAGGTTGGAGAAGTGATAGTTAAGCCGTCTAAGAATGCGGAGGTTGGCTTCCACGTTTGTTGATGGGGGGATCTTGATAGAAGTACTAGTAGTACCGAGGCTCTCCAAGCTCGTTGAGTTGCATGGTGGTTTTGACATGTTGCGGCGGAATCGACTTTGGTCCTGTGGTGATGTTGTCGGATAAGGTACAGAAAAGGATAGTCGAAGGTGTGGTTGCTTAACGACTTTCAAATAGTGGTCATAAGGTGTTAGGTGAATAGCATGATGGAAATATCACTTTTAGGATAGGTTGGATGCTTGATGATTCACTGATTGGAGATAATTATTATATGATCGTGCCTGCTCAAATATGTAGAAAGGAGCTCCTGACACTTGATAGGAGGCGAGCGCGGTATTAGCCCCTTCCTTAATCGTAATGAATCCCACTAATAGGACATATATCCTGAATGAAACATATCCAGTCCAGCAACTGCGCACAATGCACTTACATCTGGTATAACATCATCTCGAGTAGGCGCCTTTACTGAGAGAAATAAAATTTTGAAGCGTTTCTTCTTGGACGGTTTACTATTCCAATCAAATTTAAATTGTCAAGCGCTAAGATCTCAATAACTCATTGGAGTAAGTATTGTGCTCGAGGACTACTGCTGCAAATTGCAAATGGATATGGCTAAATGAAGGAACTCGGCACTATACTTTAAGGATAGGGCACCTAACTTGGGTCCGCAAGTGAAAGCTGAGTTGCCCTCTAGTCCTAACAAGCAGAGTAGAAAGGTCAGTAACCGCAAGACGAGGCACCTCAGAGACTCTCGAGGCCACTCGCTATCTCGGATATGACGAATTGAAGGTATTATAGGTTGCCAATGAGCCTAAGGTCCTAATCACTCGTTGCCAATCCTGCAGCTTCTGATTTTTCACGCTTTCTCATCTCCTTCTTCTCCTTCTTCTTTTGTCTCTTCTTCTCCTTCTTCAGCGCTTTCTTCTTCATTTCCTCGCTCAGTTCTGTAGCTTCGTGCATCTCTGTATCCTCTGGTTCGTGATCTTTAGCTTCTCCATTTGATCCATCACCCGGTTTCTTGAGGCTATGCATGACGCTGGATTCATGGGCGCTTGAGGGTCCTTCGGCGTCGTCTTGTGGCCTAGTCTTTGATGAAGGGGATTTGAAGGCGAGCGTCAACTCTTGCGGATGTGATTGTTCGGATGCTTGGTTTACTGCCCCTTCAAGGATTGGAGCCGGGCTGACTGAGTCCTGAGAAGTATGTTTCGATTTGCGTTTCTTCTTCTTTCCCAGACTAGATCTTGCCTCGTGTTTCTCTGCCTCCAGTGTAGAGTTCTTCATAAGTTCCTGGACTCTGGGTTTCGGCTCTACTGTCTCTGTTTCGGCAACGGTATGCATTGACACATCCTCACCACCAGCAGGTTCCGGAACAGCAGATTTCACTTTCCGCTTCTTTGCCCTTCCTAAACTAGATCGTCCTTCCTCCTCGTCACTACTTTGATCGTTTAGGGCCCTCTTCGCGCTCGCAGCCTTTTCCTCAGTATCTCTTGCTTTGCTGGCCTTGAGGCCCTTCGTGGGGAAGAACTTGGCTCGAAGATCTTTATCGTTGCGTTCTGCATCTTTCACCAGGTACTTAGCAGGAACTGGGGATCCTACGCCTGAACGTTGCGGCGGAGGTCGAAACAGAAGTTCATCTTCAGCAATTAGCTGCTCCATAGTCTTTTCAGGCCCCAGTGGGCGCCCCGACTTCGCCATCCAGCCCTTGACGATTTCCTCATGCTTGGCAAAGGCAACCGCGACCTTGTTCATGATATAGTCATATTTCTCTTTCGACACAGCGGGGTTTTTCTCGCGTTCTTCTTCTGGCGCCATGGTAGAGAATACCTGGGGGGGAAGGTAGGTGTGGGTAATGAGGGTGAAGGCGAAGGTAAGAGGAAGGTATAGTAGCTCGAAGACCCTTCTTCAAAAGTGATTCTGTATGCAAAAGGTGCTTGTAGTTCGTCGCAAAATAAATTGAGGTACAAGGTACAAAGTATTCCGCACACGTGCAGCCGTCATTACTGCACCTCCGGCGTCTTTCGGTTGACGTACGTGCAAGCTTCGAGCTTCAACCGCAACCGCGATTCTATCCGACGGCCGGGATCCAAGCATAATCTCAAACCTCTTCAATATTTTCTTTCCTGCAATTGACGGGTCCTGTCTTTTCTCTGTACACTTATCTCACCATGTTCAAGCTCGCCCGCAGCCGGCCTTTTACGGCTGCCCTTAAAGCCAGCAGGGTGAATCCCCCCTATCCGCTGGGTTTTACTGTCGAATGTCCAGAATATACCTCATCGGATCAATCTGCTAACAAAGGCTTAGGTCTCATCGACGTCGCGGTTGGCTGGTGTTGCACAACAGAAGAGAGCACTGAGTATACACGAATATCTCTCTGCAGATCTCCTAAGAAAGGTGGGCTAGAATTGCGACGCCCCGTTGATGCAAAAACTATATACTAACTCCTGGATAGTATGGCATTGGTGTACCGCAAGGCTCAGTTGCAAGAACAGCTGCCGAAGCCGAAGAAATCGCGAAGCAAATCGGTGGCGATGATATGGTGATCAAGGCACAAGTTCTTGCCGGTGGACGAGGCAAGGGTACATTTGACAATGGCCTGAAGGGTGGTGTTCGGGTTATCTACTCTCCAACAGAGGCCAAGATGTTCGCAGATCAAATGATCGGTCACAAGCTTGTTACCAAGCAAACTGGTGCTGATGGCCGTCTCTGCAATGCTGTCTACATCTGCGAGCGTAAATTCGCCCGCCGGGAATTTTATCTTGCAATCTTGATGGATCGTGCTTCCCAGGGACCAGTTATTGTTTCATCATCTCAGGGTGGAATGGACATCGAAACTGTGGCCAAGGAAAACCCAGACGCTATCAATACCACATATATCGACATCCACAAAGGTGTTACTGATGATATCGCCCGAAAGATTTCCACCGATCTCGGTTTCAGCGAACAATGCATCGAGGATGCCAAGGACACAATTCAGAAGCTCTACAAGATTTTCATGGAGAAGGACGCCACTCAAATCGAGATCAACCCCTTGTCCGAGACTTCCGACCATAAAGTTCTAGCTATGGATGCCAAGCTTGGATTTGATGATAACGCGGAGTTCCGTCAAAAGGAAATCTTCTCATGGCGCGATACAACTCAAGAAGACGCCGAGGAAGTCGCCGCTGCCGAGTCGGGTCTCAACTTCATCAAGCTGGGAGGTGATATTGGCTGCCTAGTGAATGGCGCTGGTCTTGCTATGGCCACGATGGATATTATCAAGCTGAACGGGGGCGAGCCTGCCAACTTCCTTGATGTCGGAGGTGGAGCTACTCCTCAAGCCATCAAAGAGGCATTCACCCTCATTACAAGCGACCCCAAGGTTACCGCTATCTTCGTTAACATCTTTGGTGGTATCGTTAGATGTGACGCTATTGCAAAGGGCCTCATCAGCACCGTCGAGAGCATGAACCTTCGTATCCCCATCATTGCAAGATTACAAGGTACCAACATGGAGGCAGCTCACCAACTGATCAACGAGTCCGGTCTCAAGATCTTCTCCATCGATGATCTACAAAACGCAGCCGAGAAGGCAGTGCAGTTCTCGAAGGTTGTGAAGATGGGTAAGTTCTCCCCCCAACCTTACGAACTATGCTAACATTTCCAGCCCGTGATATTGATGTTGGGGTCGAATTCTCTCTTGGTATTTGAGCACCTTGATACTTCTCCTCGTGTATTGATTCCCTCATCGTTTAGATAGCCGTTGAATATGTATAATGCATGGCAGTTGTGTGATTATCTTTTGCTCCTCTTATTCGTATTGAACTCCTTGCTTCTTATCAATGTCAAGTGCTAACCTAGTACAAGCGGCATACTAAAGACACAAGACTTGCCAGTTCCCAACTTGAAGAAGAATTTACCTTCTAGAAGTCTACAAGGCCGGATGTTTCGCGGCGCAGGTCTTAAATTCTCTAAGTATGGAGGATAATTCCATAAACATAATAACCATTTATTCGAATTTCTGTGATGTTCTTAGCCTACTGTTGCCAAGTGAGCGGCCCAAATAATCAAATCATTTTACATTCGTCCCCTCGTTCCACCAGCCCTCCCCCCCTCCCCTCAAGCGCACCGGTAGACCCGGCAGCCACTTGACCCCCCTCCCCCACTCGGAACCCGCAAAATATACAGCGGTTTGTCCCCGCCTATCTCCATCTCCCCCTCCCCTCCAGCCGGGCCAGCCCGGCCGGAGAACCAACTCGCAACCATAATTGCCAAAAATAGAAACTCCACCTCAAAACTATAGGCTTTGAGCACTCTCGTTGCCACTTTGGCAGGAAATACCACCACCAACCAAAAAAACAACAGAACAACTTTCAACAGGGCCTTGCCCCATGACAACAGGACCGCCGCCACACCCTCTGACAACCTCCTCCCCCTTGACAGCACCCCCATCACCGCCGCAGTGTTCAACCACTGGGCCAAACACCCCCAGATACACATCACGAACACCTGGAATGGTGCTACCTTTGGCGGCAGCGGCTCCTTGTAAAATGGGTCAGGCCCGACCGTGGGCCGGGCCATCTCCATTTGCCTAACGTAATAGGCCGTCGGGTATTCTTTCTTTGGGCCACCCCATGGGGACGGTGGGAGGCGAGGAGTGGGACCATGGCGGAGATGGTTGTTTCCAAAGGATCGCTCCGGACGAACGACATACTCGTAATCTTTTGGGAGAGGCTCTAGGCCCAGAGGAAGCTTCCGGGAACGCTGCTTGGTGAGCGACCTGAGCTGCGGGAAGACGTGGCGTGGGAAACGGTTCAATTCGGGAGTTGGACCTCCGTGGACTGCGCGTTGCCCAGGAGTGAGAACGATAGGTTGAATTTGGTCGATATCTCCTCGACGGGGAGTAATAGGTTGGATTTGGAGAGGCATTGTTGCAGATACCGGTGGGAAGTTGGTGGTTATGGGAGGGGAGAGATTGTTATATGGGTATGGGTATGTATGGGCGTCTGGGAGACTTCTTAAATCTTCATCTGAAGAAGGTTTATAATTGGAGAGTTTGAACCGCTTTGCTTTGCTCGTTTTTGCTTGACTTTCTAAAGATTGACACTCGTGTTCTGAGCAATAACTGTGACGCTCTTTCGTCGCTGGTTGAGACATGGTTTTTCTGGCTGGGCGATATAGATGTTCCGAGACAATAGCAATGGGATAACAATAGAAGCGAGGCGAGGTTCAATAGTAAGGGTTGATGGACAATTAGTGAATTTGGTCTATTGTTCAGATTCGGCAAGCGAGAGTACTAGAATATGTTTTAAAGCGAGCCTTGCTATGATAACTATTATAACAATAGGGAAGAAGGAAGGTTTGGGCGTCCCTATTCTTTATATCTTTCATTTCCTATTGCGCTTTTGCTGGGATGTGGCTATTCAATGCTATTCAGAGAATAGTTTGAGTCAGGGGTGGTGGCTGCCTAGTCACGAGGTGGGTCATGTGATGGTTGGAGCTCGCCAAACCCCTTTTTCTCTTGAGCGAGTTGATGCATGTCTCACTTAGCTCTCTATTTGCAAAATGCTTTGTGAGTCACTGAGGATATCTATTTCTATATACAAGCTAACGCTGATAGAGGATGTGCCGCGATGCATGCCTCGAGAGGATAACCTTAGGCGTTAAGCGCCCATTCTGGCCGACATGCAACAAGGCTGGGAATAAACTAGAGGGTCGGCATGTTAACTAGAAAGACAACAGTTGGGCACTTTGCTCCGGTTCTTGTACTAGAAACGGACCGAGAAATCTACCGCCATCTGGATGATAGGCCACCTAACAGCAGCAAAATAATGCTGCATCATCGAAGATTGGTCATGACGAGTTATTGCCGGCTTAATCGCCTCGTTATCTCACCTCTCATGGTGCTCATCTGAATCTCTCTTAATATTTAAAGGGATATATGTTTGCTACCGGCAACATAAGGGCGCCAGTGTTTGCTTGCGTGGAAGTGTTGGTCTTCATTCCGATCAAATACGGCAAAACCGCTGGATGATAGGTATTGCAGTGGACATAAACTTGACAATGGGCATTGTTATAGCCCCTGAGAATAGTTCGGCATTTATCTCAGAAGCCCGAATGGTTTACTCGACTACCCTTTCCCCCGACATTTGAGATGTACGGTTGTGGATTCCCCCCTTTGATAAGTTTGTATAGATTCGATATTAGCATTCACGGAACATAAAAGGTTTAATAGACACGGCGACGTGCTACAATACCAGCAATACATCCACTATCTTCCTGTGCCAATTTTCTGGTCAGAACATGACCTCATCACCTCAGATAAAAAATATACCTTCACCGCCTCACTCTTCTAACGGCTACCGGCAACAAACGCACTCGCAACACGCAGCGCATCATCCGTAGCTTCGAGAGCACAATTACACTTTGTACGAGACGCACAGTACCACAAAACAGATCATTCGCCCAGTTCTGCATACACCCGTCCGAAGCAAGACTGTGACCCCTCTGAGTTGTTCTCAGCATACAACACATAAACGGCATGCTTTTGTTTGCTGAATTGTTAAAGGGCAAACGTCACCTTTCCGAGGACTTATCATCCGAGGTGAGATAATTTTCCAACTCTTATACCTGACCTTCTACAACCAATATTCGAGAACCTGTCAATACAAGGCAACTCGTACCGCTGCTTTGAGTATTTGAAATAATATCAAGGTGTCAAAGACCCATTTCCCCTTCCCAAACTAATATATAATGCCGCAAAAGAGTTGGATTCGAAAACATCTGAGCAAGCAGAAGGAGCATTACTCCAAACCCCACAGAAAGCACACCAGGCAAAAACCAGCCAACACTTCACAAACATACCCATATCCTTCAGTCACTTACCATGAATCCCCCGATAACTCCGAAGCACGCACGGAACCCCTAAAATACTGCTCCGATGATCCTCTAGGCCGGAGTAGTCTCGAAAGCACACACCGTGCTGATGGTGGAGATCCTCAAAGCTCTTCAGGGGTTATTGGTAACGACTGGGTTGGAAGCTCTGCTGGGTTCCGATCATCAACATTGCCAAGCACCTCCAGACCAGACAAGCCATCGGCTCCACGGATATGGCGGACTCCACCGCACTGGGAGGCTCTACATGCTAGACAATCATCGCATCACCGGACTACAGAGGAGGACACTCCTCCAGTTTATTATTCGGATGATGTGAACTTTCACCGAATACAAATGGCAAACCAACATCCGGAAGTTTCGTGTCCTCCTCGAATGTGGAGCACTGTGGAGGAAAAACATCCTTCAATACATTGTTCATGTGATGTAAGTCACCCGGAAGTGCAGACAGCCACCCATCATCCAGAAGAGCACCCGATAATCTCTCGGACCAACCACTCCTCGCTCGGCGATATGGACATCCTTGGGCAAACCCTCTCAGGACTCAATCTATCACAGTTCTCGAGTGCGCCAGCTCTATTAACATCCTCAACTTTTACTCGGGAAGGCGAGATGGATCAAGAATTCGGACGTTTATCCGACGAGCACTCCCATTTCCAATATCTCCGTGATGCTCGTCCCATACTTATGGCAGACCCCAGAGGAGCAGACTGGAGCGAGATGACCTTGCCCCGCATGCGACTAGAACGGGGGATGGGACATATACTAGAGTTCGAACAGCTAAAAAAACAAGAAACTCTCTACGCTGCCAATGCCTTTCCGGGATACGGGATTCCTTTCCCGAACCGTGACGAGCATGACTCAACGTTCCTTCCAACCCAATATCTTCAACGCAACGATGGAGTACCCTGCCCCAAGGCAGCGGAATACCTAGAAGCATACAACAAGCGCTGGTCTGAAATTAACGCTCGCATATCATCATCATCGTCATCATCGCTGTCAGATGCAAAAGGCAAACTTTCTATTCCATGGCCGTCATCGGCACCGGATTTCACAAAATCCTCCCTCTGCACAAATAACTGCTTATCGATAGCGTCTCCTGAGCCAGCGACACCATGGAAGATAAATGCCTATCGATTCTTCTGCTTCAGCTTTGGCTTCCAGGTTACTTGGAATCACAGTGGCTACCATCATGGCAGCGGTGCATTTGATATAACGTACGACGGCAACCCCGAACAAAGGATGGATATGTGGAACGGACTACGGAATCAGTTGAAGTTGGAGAAGGTTAGATGGCATGAGGATAAGATGAAAGTTGTGTTTGGGATTGATGCCGAGAGCGAGGATTATGGGTGTGTCCAGGCAGTGTGGGGCGTGGTTATTGATTTGAAGGAGAGGGTGGATAGAGAGCTGAGCCAAGAGGGTGGGATCTAGTACTTGAAATATTGGTTGATTTATGAATTTTATTAACTAGATGTCCGATCTGGTTGAACTTCAATTGGTACAGCTTGAGTTGTATCAGCCGCTAGGACCCAACTTCAGCTTACGAATATGCTATATCTCCGCAAGATGCTTTGCTAGGGCTTTGATATATAATAATATGCTACAAGTAAATAGTAAGGGAATGCCATACTGTCCGTGTAAATTAAACTACTAGTATATAATCAGCTGTCAAGTACAGAACTGGCTGTCAAGTACAGCACTAGCTGTCAAGTATAGCACTAGTTGTCAAACCCACCATAATTGGCGCTGTGCCCGGAGTTCTCCAGATCGGCTGTGGTATTTCATCATTTGCTCTAGTACTTGTAACTAGACCTCGTATTTGCTTTCTTCCGGAATGGTGTCTAGAAATATCGTAACCTACTCTACACTGGTAAAGATCTGGCTGCTTGCTACTGTAACTTCCTGCCCTGCGTCTGTTATTTCGATATTGGCACTGCTCTCTATATTAGGAATACTTGCTAGTTGCTAGGGTAGTTTGTATATGCGCGTGTGCGGTAGTGTCTCTTGGGGTGCTTCTTAGAAATTGCTAAAAGGGCGAAGGTTTGTAAAAGTGGGCGGGTCGTGTATCTTTTTATATTCGTAAATAACTGCTATTCCTCTGGCAATATCGTCTAAAAACAAACTGCCTGCTAGGCCGCGAGCACTATCATCATCATTGATCATGGTGTTTGCAAAACCGGTGACATTGGCAGCAGATCTGTAGAGGTCCAGATCGAACAGTGGCAAGCTGGAGGGAGAGGGTCGAAATGTCTGCTCGGATGAAACTTACTTCGCAAGTGTTTGTACCTTAGTATGTTGCTAATATACTACGGAATCAAGGGCGCCGATATGTAAATGCAGCAATTTGTGGTAAGACACATGAACAACAAGCCGAGAATCGGCAGCTAGAGGAAGTCTTTCATCTTCATTTCATCATCTCATCCTATCTGTCTGCGTCCCTAATAATAAGGTATAGTGCATACAATCCTCAAACCAAACGATGCTGGTTTCCATATCGCTCCTAAAATCCCTACATCGAGCACATCTTCATTTCCAAATCGTTTTTGTCCATCTACTCGTCTTTAGGGATGGACTCCACAGATGAATTCCTCGTCCCAAAATGTATATAATAAAAAGATTATCACATTACACCCACACGCCCTGCACTCCACTCAAATTACCCAAAAGCAAATTTTCTCAAAGGGTTTTATCGAGACGCGCCCCTTCTACAATGCAAAATGCCGCCCCTTTTTTCCTGATAGGTTTTTTTTCAAATTCTGTGCAACTCCTACAACAACAAAGACAATCTGCGCCCGCATCCGCGTATTTTACGAGGACCTATTGCAGCCGTTTCCGCTTCCTATCTTCTTCCCTTAAATCCTCTTCGTGCTCTTCTTCCCTTTCCGCAGTTTCGGCCGGGTTAAGTATGTGAGCCATACTGCCTCTTCTGGTCGGAGGACCCGAGTTATCTTTTAAAAGACTGGTTGGAGTCTTATCCCGGCCCGAGCCCCATGACCAACTATTAAGATAATCGGCAGCGTTCCCGTTGGAGAATGGAGGCGTGGTAGGTCGAGAATTGTCAGCACGGGGGCCATGGGAGGCTGATGCAGTTGCTAGGGAATAGGAGCTGAAACTATCGTGGATTCGCTGATCTTCGTTCATGACGGTTGGGGTCCTCTTTGGGGATGATGGCCATTGGGAAGATGATTGGCCGGATCCAAAAGGGGAGGTGTTGGCTTGCCAGCCTGCTACATTGCGGATGTCTGCTGAGGTGTGCCGGCGGGCAAGGTTCGTAGGCGATGTAGATACGTTGGCAAGTGGATGTGGAGGAGGGGGTGGCGGTGGAACTTGAGAGCGGAGCGAACTTGGGGACGACTGTGCCGTACCAGCTCCAATTGAGCCATATGCCCGAGGCGTAATAGAAAGATGTGACCGCCCTGGAGGCTTATAAAAGTTCTGTCGAGGGACACCGAGGGTGTTTGAGCGGCGAGGGTCGTCTTGTGGCATTTGCCGAGGTGAAACTGGGGGATTATCTAACGAGAGATTTGAGAAATACGGTCGACTACCTGAAAATGGTGGCTCGGGAGGCTCCTCCATTGATCTGATCACTTCGGCTTGGCGTTGAATTTCAGCTTGCATGTTGATGACTGCAGTACTATTAGTATAGGACGATATTAGGTATTAGTTTTGCTTACCATCTCTGTGAAGCGGTGTGTCCGGATTGGGGACAAGTGATAGCACCGCTCTGGCCATCTCATGATTCAACTAATAATAAGTCAGCCCCTGCCCATAACCGTGACCAAGACCTGGAGGTGGTCAAAGCTTCGCAGAACGTGGCGGATCTTACCTGAAGCGAGCGAGATAATGCCTCCATAACAATTTGATTCCGCACATGCAGGAATTGCGAATTATCCTCGCTTCTTTGAAGGCGACCGTGCATGTCATATAGTGTGTGCTCAAGGTTGACCAATCTAGACTCGGTCGAATCTTGCATTGGATGAATGGGCTCGGTGGGATTGCCAGGTTGCGAAAGCGGCGGTTTTGGAGCGGAGTATGAATCTCGGTGGACAAGAGCATGCCGCGATGCTCGTCGCTTGATCTCTCGTAAACCAACCAGATCTCCTCTCTTGAAATTGCCATTGCCATGTTTGAATTCCCATAGGGGCGATTCGGGGGAGCCGGTATGGAAAACGTCGCTCACTGAACGGGGAGTTATTAGTGAGCGCTCTCCATAAGGCAAGGGAGCTTCTACACACCTTTGTGAAATCCATACATGTTCAGTTGCCGTACAAATGATGAGATGTTGGTATGTTTGAAATATTGACTGCGATATATATGTGAGCGAGGTCTCTTGGGATTGAGATGCCGGACTTACGAAAGAACTTTTGAGAAGTCATTGGACGGGGACATGACAAAACTCTCTGCTGAATTCGACCATGATATTAAGTGTTGTATGCTTTGATCTTCTAACATGCTGCCAACTCATCAGCAAGGAACTTTGCCACCGACTCTGGGGATTGATGCTCACTTGTACAGCTTGTGTATAAATGCCGTCTGGACGACCTTGGGCTGCTGGGCGCCCGCTGCTGCTGCCGCCGCCGACGCATTGGGGCCCGCGAGGCTACCGGTACTTGGCTGATCATTCATGCCCATATGTTGTTCCTGTACGCCGTTTGTGTCGTTTTCGGGACTGACGCGGGCTGGAGGAGCCATCATCGCCGATGTGGGAATCGTGACCTCCATAGGATCCCCCGGCGACGGGGCAGAGGCTTGCAGAATGGGAGGGTGGATGATCGGGATCGTTCGAGCGGTATTCTGGTCTGTATTCGACTCGCTCTGGAACGGAGCCCGTTGCGCTCGCTCGTCGGTGGACTCCATTTTCCGCATCACCTAGGAGAAATGTCAATGATTCCACGTCGGCAATCGCACCGCACCGGGAAAGCATGAGCTGAGCAGTGCAGAGGAGCGGAGAGCAGCGAAGGGGTTGGGTCTGCTGCGGAGAAGAACGCACCTCATCGCAAGTAGAGCGGTACTTTTTCTAGGTCCTGGAGCTTCCAACGACAGAGGAAGCTCTTTGTCCGATGCAACTCGGAGATCTGCAGCTATCCGCGACAGTCGCAGCGGCGAACAGGGCTCACACGAAGCCGTGTTGCTGGTCACTCAGCCTCGCTGCACGAAGCGATTGCGATTTCCTTGGGGTTGGGGTTGGGGGGGGGGATTGGCGATTGGGGGTTTTGGGTTGAGCAATTGGACTGTGAGCCGTGGGCCGTGGATTGGAATGCGATTGCGACGGGGTGGATTTGAAGGTGGCACTGCGCTTAAGGACTGAAGGACTAGGGGGGGAGGAGGGCGAGGGGACGGGGGGGCGACGACGGGGATCCCGGACGGGGAGAGCCGAGGTGGTGACGGGGGCAGAAGGGGGTCTGATGCTGATGCGGATGCGCTGTGGAGTGCGTGCAGAGGGTAGTGGGTATTTGCTATGATCGACTCGACAACGGGGGCAACGACCACTACGGGGGAATAATAATAATAATAATGGGATGGGGAACCACTGCAGTTGTAATTGCAACTAGGGCTATATCATATCAAGCTATGCCAATAGCGAGAATGGGGTTGAGAGTGGGAGTGACACCGACAGCAACGATGATGCTCAGACTCTCCTCAGCGGCCGATACTCTATACCCAGCATCCCAAGAGAGCTTCGCAACCGGGAACAAGTTGCCCAACCGCGCTCGAGCTAAGCCAGATACACTCGCCCCGCCGCTCCCCATCGCTCCAGATAATATTAAATCAGAGACAAAAAGGGGGCCCAAAGGTGTCTAGCCGCGACATCACAGCGGAAAGGAAACCAAAGGACCACAGGTGAAGGGACCATGAACCATGGGTGATGAGATGGTTTGACTGGAAGATTGGACGAGACGTAAGTAGTTCCTTGTCATGTTAAGTTCACCGAGCTGAGTGACCATGGATACGATGCGGTGCCATCGATACAGATATACAGATACATTATCACCAGGGGTGGGGGGGGGGGGGAAAGAAGAGGAGGGAATCCCGGAACCGGGGGAAAAGGGGTAAAAATAGGGGGCAGAAGAGACAACAACCAAAGGGGTCTTGAGCGATTCTGGGCACTTGGGATCGATGATTGGGCACCACCACGATCCGGATGGCCCCCAATGCCTTCCGCCAATGCAGATCCTGCGTCTTCAGCTGGCTGGGAATCTTCCTTGGGTCAGCATTCCTGAAATAACACGCCCGCACCCGCAGCCATTAAACTTCGAGAAGGGGCCAAGTAACGGCCTGAGCGGCCAACGCCCGCTGCGGCGCTGCATCCAAGCTCGGAAGCGTGAGCGCATGATAACTCCACCCTCTAATCATCAGCAAATTGCCTCGACTCGCGCGAGTCCATACAGCCTGCTGCAGGTGCCTTTGCACGGTGAAACAAGACTTCCAGACGTTGCATGCTGGGGATTTCTGCAAGATGAGCCCCAGATGTCAAGATCCTCCCCTGCCGGTGATCATGAAAGCATTTGCCAGCCTGCGTTTAGGCAATGCAACGCACCACAAGAGGATAAACTTTGGTACTTACGGAATTATATACAGTATGCTACTTTGGAAGCTGGATGTGGCACCGCGTTCGAGGCCTCTTGCGGATAAATATTCCGGATCCTAGCCTATGGGATGAGGACCGGGAGCTGTCCGATATGATACGAAGTATTCCACAATCCACATCCCGCCATCAGCTCAACAAATATCCAATTACCATGATTCCAAATACAATTCTGTACACGGCACCGAGGTACTACGTACTACCATGGGTTACAGACCGCCCCTTTTTCTTCTAAAACTTCTATGGCTTGATCGGTCGGTCGGCACCAGTGGGAAAAGCAAAAGCTTCCCCGGAACCGGTAGTGTCCGTTTCAGACAGCCAGGATTCGTAAAACCTCCGGCTTCCTAAACAGGAGCTATAGGTAGGGGCATCATATCCATTACAACTTAGTGCGCAATGCAGCCTAGAAACGAGACAGCTGCTACTATTTATAGTTCATAATCTATGACATACTTACATACACATACCTACCTAGGTAGGCAGGTAGGCGTTAAACCGTTGATATATGTTGTGTTTATTATATCGACCGACCTACGCTCGCACAATACAAGTAGAGTTTCCAGCCCGGCACCTCGGAATCCAAGCAAAATCCAACGGACACAAACATGTGCCGAATGATGCACAGCATATCAAATGTGACAAATTCCCAGGCCATATCTTGGCTGGTTGTTTCCCCATCCATTCGTGGATCGGGTTTCTGGAAGGGACTTATGTCAACAGCACCCAAATAAATTCGGGATGTTTTGGAGGCGAATTATTGCGAGGCGGCGCGGACGGGTGTAATATAGGAAGGTTTTAAGGTTATGACGATTAAGGCGTTTGTTGGTAAGATTACGCATAAAGCACTACCGCGGTTGATGCAGCATCAAATCCCTGCGTGCGTGCTGATGGGATCGAGCTTAGCTTGACCTAGTCCGTGTGGGATTGAGGAATAAATCTTCGCAGACGACGAGGAAGAGATTCCAGATAAGTATATCATTCTCTACGACGTATGACGATAGTAGAGACATGATCCTCTCCCTCGGTCCTGGCCATGTGAGCCTAAGGCTCTTAGGCCCACGTCGAGCATTTCGGCCTTAGGCTGCTAGCAACCTATGCCATGTACTGTACCTCCCGCCTCCGTAACAACCTTCCATCTCCGTAGCAACCTTCCATCACCATAACTTCTCGATCGGTTATAAGCTGAGAAACCATCGTCTACATTATGCAGATCGCTGATCTCTGACATTTCAAAACCTCTTCTTTTCTGCATCCAACGGCCTAATTATGTCGCTCTTGGCGCTGCAGTTGGATTCCCTCCGCCTTGAGGATGGGTCTCCAGACATGAAAGCACGGAAGGCAGAGTAAGTTAGTCCGAGTCGTTTATCCGTTCATCTGCCCTTACGGATAGTTTTGTCCTCTTCAAAATTTCCCTGCTCCTCTCAAGTGACCTATTAGGAGAAAATTGGGGAAGGTTCAAAAGTTGCGAACCCCGGAAATTAATCAGGGTGATGTGATGTAGTTAAGAAGTTCCTAGTTGCTCTTGTCAATCATTAGATCACTCTTTCAAAGTTGAACGTAAACTCAGGGCATTGTTTAATAGGCATACATTCGTATCCGTGATATACGATACATGGATTATCCTACCCATCATGCCTATCAATATGTTTCCCTTGCTGATTGTTATGTATTCATAGACTAGGCAAGCTAGTTCATAGCGCTTCGAGCTCCGAAAGGCATTATCTAAGAGAGCTGCTGCATGCCATGTCTTTTGAAGTCGAAATAATTAGCCACCTACCTGTCGAACTTCTGCTCTGTGTTTCAGCATATCTTGACCTCGAGGATCTCATGAGAGCCCGTTCCGTCAGTCGCCATTGGCGCAGAGCATTTTCAAACCCGGACTTCTGTGACGGCATTGCCAGGTGGTACTTCCGGCCTACCTGGGAAAATATCCATGGAGGTACAGATCCCGACGAACTAAACGACAAAAAGCAGGCTTTTGTTGATTTGCTCCCACGTGTTGCATCCAAGAGAATCCGGAGGCTGCGCGGCAAATACTCTTCGATATCTGCGGATTCTTATGCAATTCCCAATTACACGACGTCATTTAGGAATACTAATCGGCAATACTGTAATGGAAGGGTTGCTTACAATAAGGACCCCGAATCTATCTTGGTTAAAAATCTCCTCACAAATCTGGCAATCGTCATAACGGAAGAAAATCGTATCAAACTGGAACACTGGCTGCTCTCAGATCAGTTCGTGATAGCTTGGACAGTCAATCCGTAAGTATAAATCTCTTCTTATCCCCCTTCCGACCCCCGTTTTAGAAAGATATTCTCAATCATCTTTGAAATTCTACAATCTCGATAGGCTTGGGGATATATGAACAACCCATTGCATATAACTTTTCCTTCAGCCCATCCACACAACCTGCTTCACCATGGGTAATCCCGCGCCTATGGTTCTCATACTAAGTTGGGCAGCATTACCCTCCTTACATGGCGGATTGGCAATCCGCTTGATGGTCTTGCGAGTAGTAAGATACGCCTCCCAAGCGGAATTCGACATATATCAGCATGCCATGACCAGGTTGGAATTATCACAGCAGCAAACGAAGTCATGGTGTGGAAAATTGGCGGAGCGCTTAGGTCACTCGACATTTCCAAGGTGGTTGACAGCCTGAAGGGGTCCAAGATAAACATGCTCGCCTTAAAATTCCATCCTGGCAACCAGGGGCATATCTTCGTTATATTCGCTTGTGTAACGGAAGAACCGACCGACAACGAAATGAGTATGGGCAAAATCGTGATTCAAGACTTCTTTGAACGGACCCCGGGAGTTTGTTATCAGTTTGATTATCGTGGTTCGCCACGATGTAATCAGACCTACCCGAAGATAATTGACCTAGAGGATGGGGCGATTGGTTGCGTGTTCACGGGCATAGTTTCTGACAGCTCATGTTCTGGGTTTGAACAGGTCCAATTGCTCACAGTCCCCCCATGCGGCCACGAGAAGCCATTCGAGGGCAAACCCAAAACTTACACAACTCAGGTGGTCGTAAAATTCGATATCTATACAAGGAAGTTTAGTTCGTCTTGCCATCATCATCCTAACGTTGTCAATCAGGTGTGGTGCAACCAGGCTGGTACGGGCATAGATTTTTGCTGGAGGGACCAAGTCGTACTTCTCGTGCAGGATAAATCTTGGGAGCCATTCAGAGGAATTGATCCCCCCCCTATGCTCGCAATCACCATCGACTGCTGCACAAATGCACCATTCGTCCCGATCGCAAGGCCCTTTCCTGTGTCACAGGATTATTGGCACCTAGCCGATGCAATAGGGCAAGCTAATACAATAAGGAGTTGGGGATCCCCAGAGTTTAATTATATAATACGGGGAGATGATGATTTCTTGGTACTTTTTGGGATTGACGGCTATGCAGTTTGGTGTTTTGATGATGATGTACAGCTTCCTCCATTGCGAGGTCAGGCAGTTTCAAGTGGCACGGAGGAGATTTAAGTCTATGATTTGATCAGAAAAGACTTTTGTGGGACTCGTGGATCTGGAGGTATTGCTCTTCTCACCTCAAGCCTCAGATATTAATATTACAAGATTACTCATACCTCCGTTAAATGTACACCAAGGCAGCGTTGAACCGTATCTACTCTATGGCAGTATCTAATTCAAACTTGAGGGCAGCTCCATAATCCCCACGTTAGTCAATATAAGACTATTGATATATATAGCAGCTTTTATTCTCTGGTAATGCGGGGTTAAGATCTAAATGCCGATGATCGCCGCGGCTGGGGGGAGGCAACCGGGGTAAATATATAGTAAGTGGGTTGTTGCGACGTGGGGCGTAGGGGAAATGACGACTTCGGTTCAAGAGACGTAAATCCCCCCAACTTCCCCAATTATTTCCCACAAATTAAGTTAACTTTTGTCACTTACTGTTACTACCCCCAACACTCATAGAAAGGACAATTGATATTTATATAACAAAGATGAAGGTATTTCTAAGTGGTAAGTACTACGTAGTGCTTCGTTAGCACTCAACTATTACCCCACATTACCCCACCATTGTCTTTGAGCTGGACTGACAGCTCGAACTATAGGAGGAAGCGGCTTCATTGCAGCCCACGTCCTAGATATTCTCCTCGAGCAAGGACACACTGTAATCACCAGCGTGCGGTCAGAAGACAAAGCGTCCAAAATCCGCGCCGCGCACCCCAAGGTGCCCGAGTCCCAGCTCTCATTCCGCATCGTTGAAGATATCGCGCAAGAAGGTGCCTTCGATGAGGCAATCAAGGCCTCTGAGGGGCTTGAAGGCGTGATTCACACCGCCTCGCCCTTCCACTTCAATGTCACAGACACGAAAAAGGATCTGATCGACCCAGCCGTAATCGGCACCACAGGCATCCTCAAGGCGATCAAGAAGTACGCACCGGGCGTGAAGCGCGTCGTGATCACCTCCTCCTTTGCGTCAATTTACGATGCGACCAAGGGCAATACCTGGGACCATACATACTCCGAAAAGGACTGGAATCCCGTCACGGAAGCCGAGGCGCTGGAGAACCCCTCAAATGGATACCGGGCCTCGAAAACCTTTGCAGAGAAGGCGGCGTGGGAGTTCCTTGAGAAGGAGAAGCCCAACTTTACGATCGCCACCGTGTGCCCACCACTGGTTTTTGGGCCGGTTGTGCATTACTTGAATGATTTGAAGGCGATTAACACCAGCAATGCACGGATTAGAGATGCCATCGAGGGGAAGTGGACCGAGGGCATTCCGGAGACCGGAGTCTATGTAAGTTTTATACCACATTTTTCCATTTAAGGGCTGGACCGCCTATGTCATGTGTTTCCCCCAACCTTTCTAAACAATCAACTAACGATTTTTCCCCCCTCAGATTTGGACAGATGTGCGGGACCTCGCCCTCGCGCACGTACGCGCCCTCGAGCGTCCCGAAGCCGCCAACAAACGCTTCTTTGTCACCGCAGGCTACTTCAGCAATCGCGTGCTCGCTAACATCATCCGCAAGAACTACCCGAAACTGGCGGATAAGTTACCAGGGGATAGTGTCCAGGGTGGAGATTATCCGGAAGGGGGACAGGCAAGCGTGTACAAGACTGACAACAGTAGAACGAGGGAGGTGCTAGGTATTGAGTTCAGGAGTTTGGAGAGCAGTATTGTGGATTTGGTGAAGAGCTTGTTGGAGGTTGGTCTGAAGGGGTAGGAAGGTGTCAGGTAGGTGAGAAAGATCAGATGAGGGGGTTTAGTATGAGAGGGTATATCAATAGCCAAATATAAAACTTGTAAAGCCGGTCTTTGGATCAATAGCTAAGTGCAGGACGTAATCTCCCATATTTTTATAGCCCCTTGCTCCACTTTATCAATTACTATTTCTCCACATCTCGATATTGAGTAGACCACTTAACATTATATTATGTAAACTTAGTAAAGCTGCGTTTTAATACTTCTGTTCTGTTAATTAATGACGTACAGTAACCAAGGGATTAGACTGTATAAACTTTAGAGAAACGACTAAGGTTTGATGTATACAAATACAGGTGCATGATTCCTCGAAGCTGCACCCCTTATATAACTAATCCAAAATAACAAATCCACGGCTCACTGTTCTCCGGTTCTAAACGTCAAGATAGCAGTGAAAAATACACTGCGCAGGCTTAATCGTTACATAGTTGTGGATGCAGGTTGTGCTGTGGGCAACACCGATGGAACATCAGTGAAGGAGTAGGTCACAGTACTACCAGGAGTCTACGGCAAGCTGATATACGGACCCAGCCAGCCAGAATTAGGGCCCACGCAGTACGTACTCCTCATCGCTGGACATAATATTGTATGGTCGACCGCAGGAGCACAGGAGCGCGGGAGACAGAGTTCGGTTCCTGGGGGAACGATATTGCAGCTATGTAAACGATACTACTTAGCCATGAAGAGGGCAGCGGAGGGAACCATGTTTGCTGTAGCGACACTACCACAGTGTCACAAATGTGGCCCGCAACTGTGGTGTACCAGGAGTCACTTGTGCAGATTGCAAATTTATCTTCAGGCTCCAGGTCAACGATGGAGGTATGCTCGTGCGGCTGGTGAGGCCACTGCGAGAGTTTACTTGATCTCCAAGTTATGGCCCTCCTAGCTAATATTTTCAATAACATCCTTCATCCCATCGACCTTCACAAGGATCTTCGGTCACTACTAGTAGTCTCGTCCAGCAAACACGGAGGCGTTACTTTAGAAGGTTCGAAACATTTATGGACCTAGAAAACTTGTCTTGAAGTAGCTGATAATGAAGGCACCGAGAGACCTTTATACAAAGGCTAGCAGTTTGTAAACCGTCCATTTCGCCAAGAACCTTGAAAATTAGATGTTTGAACAAAGGTCTTCACAAGTTTGAAATATCCCAATCACATCCAAAGATATTTTGGTTTACTACTTGTCGCATAGAGCTTAAATCACACTTAAAAGAGTCTTATCGCTCTTTTACTAGATAATAATAATAATAATTATTATATATTTAATATAATTTAGATATGATTAATAATATATAATATATTATGTCCAAGGAGTACGGGAGAGCCAGAGAGGCCGGGTAAGAGTATATCCGAGGGCCTGTGAGAGATTCACGTGACAATGACCTTTCAAATCGATAAGCGAGAAAATATTGAGTTGACATATATAAGATAAAATGAGCAAAATTCCTATTGAAAAAGGACCACTGGCGGTAAGTTCTTAAAACTCACACTACCACTAAAATGTGAAAACTGACGTCATTATAGCAACGGTAGCGCGTCAGATTCCAGACCTGAAGGTTGTCCGTTCAAATCGGGCGTGGTTCAATTCCTTTGCACTTAGTGTTCAGAACTTTCTCTTTTTTTTTTTTTTTTTTGGGTGCTTATTAACACTCACTTATTATTTACGCGAAATGCCTGAGCAAAAGGTGGGGCGAGGTTGAGTGGCGCCTGAGCAGAGCGGCGACGCTGATTAACCGCGTTAGAAGCGAAATTGAAGAAATGTCGTTTGAGATTACCTATCTTCTCCTTTTTCCTTACTGGTCATCTAAGCATTTGGACCCCAACATCTAATTCTTCTCATCACCACTTCCTTACGTTGAAGGTCATCATTCCTTTTGCGACGGTAGTTTCCTCGCTATTTTGAGACCTAGAACATGTTAGGATTATTTCCACGTTGATTTCATCCTTGCCAGGCTATTCTTGATTTGAAAATTCTTGTAGCTGAGTTAGTTCTTCTCCACTCTTTCCTGAAATTGAGATCCTAGACGCTTTAGTTCCATAATTGCTGAAACTCATAATCACTAACCTGGTTTTATTCACGGAAGGATCCTTCCGAACAAGTCGGTCGTCTTTCTTACTACCAAGTTGCCTTTCTTCAAGCTTCTGTATACTTATAATGATCTTCCTTGATAGATAGGTGGAGGCTATGGGCTTGAATATATATTCCGTTACGAAGCGCTTGTTTAATTTGGGATGTTTCCTTGACATGGATTGATGACGGGTCGCTTTGAATTGATGTACATTTTTCATATATACTTCGAATTTTTCTTTCCTAAACATGATTATTCTTCACATCAATCATTCATCTCGTTAGCAATATTGTAAAACACACACACACACACTCGATATTATTTTGCAAAGTGCTTAAACTACCATATCAGATTCATATAGCTCGATACCACTCAGTTTGAATTTGTTTCTCTTATTGCAACGGCCCATCCATCCACGCATTTATACCGTCACCACTTTACCTACGCATATGTAAGACGAATGTCCATTTTTAAGTTTCTGATACTTTGGAGAAAATTGCTCTAGTTGATATACCTATTTGTTTGCACGGCGTAAGTAGTGGCATCAAGCGAAGCAAACTCCCTAATTCGTAATTTCAATAGAGCCAGTGCAGGAGCGCAAACAAAAGCACGTTTAAAATTCCAAGAACTTAGCAATGCTCGTCTTCGGTTATTCAGACATCACTGGTAATAAATCTTAGGCCGACGAAGCTTGAAGCTGCAAGAATGGTTGTGTAGAGGCTCAGGGCATCCCGCGAAGCCACTGAAATGTCATAGTCAGGGGCAATCGCCCAGATGCGTGATACAAACAGTGCTCTGTATTCTCATCTCGGATAGAGTATTGCTCGTGGAAGCATCGCCATAATCAAGAGGAGGAGCCAAATTACGCTTGGAGGTGAGCTCGGATCCGTTTAGAAATTCATACTTGTTAAAGAGTAGCTGATGTACCTGTAGTTTGATGACAACAACTGCGGCCAGAGCATGATTAACAAAGCTTCAGGCGAGATCAATGGTCAAGGGAATATGTTACTATACATAACAATACATAAAGAGAGACGGGACTTAAAGGAAAGGATGTCTATAAGAACCATCCAGATTCTGGGATGGGAAGACATTTTGCCCCCAAGTAGTCGAGAGTCAGCATTCAGACCTTAATCTGATTTTGTGAGCTGCAGCCAGGGGGTCAGCGGCGGCGGTCGCCTGCCTCGATACTCTACGTGAACCAACATCAAGTGATCACTTGGCAACACTAATGTAGCATAAATATCAATATCACAGTGCAGGACATTCAAGATACCGGAGATTAACGCTCCTTGCAGCAAAGGAGGTTGATTTTAAGGCGCTGATAACCTTGGCAGATAAGAGTTTTCCTGGCGCCAGTTGCAAGCTGGCCACTGACACGTGCAGTACTTTCGTACGGAATACATAAACGTCCACCCATGGCTCCCGGTACTCTGGTAGCCAACTGTTGGACATCCTTTGGCAGAAGACCTGAACACTGTGACTCTGCCCCGACGCCGACGATGAGACATATACAGAGCACTAAGAGTGATGGATACCACCAATTGCGGCCCATTCTAACCTTGATGCCTGACTGTGCCGTGCCTTCACGGTAGGAGCAAAACTTTCCTTTAGTGGAGTGACAAGAAGGAGGTTCTTCCTCCGAACCTCATCTCATGATATATGAGGATAACGCCCGCCTTGCTCCGTACCAAGGTGCGAAGTGAAACTACCTTAAACTTTATAGAGGCACGTGAGACCCCCAAATCACTTCAGCGAGACCTAGGTAGCGGATAAAGCTGTCGCTGTTCTCTCCAGATACCGAGCTCTTTACTTAACAACAATGGTCACTATACCCCCTGAATGGAAAGCGGCGCTGGAAGATAAAGACACAATATTGCAAGCGATAAGCAATTCCCACACATTTCCTCGTGGACTCGAGCCTCCTATTCCAGAGCCGAATCGCGAACCCATCCAGTCCAATTTGAGATATCTGACGGAAGAAAATTGGGTCCGAGACTACCGAGCAAGAACTTGGGGCTACACAATCATTCGCACAGCGTATCGGGACGGAGACGACGATAAATTTCAAAACGGCGTTGACGCTATCCACCGCTTTGCCCGGCTTTGGAGTGACAATGAGGTTGAGCTAGCCACTGAGAAAATGAAGGGCATTCGGTTGGCGTATGAAGCAACGGGATATTGGCCGGAGGGCATGCCTGAGACTGCCAATATGATGGCAAATGAGACTTCTATAGAGCGCTCTGTTAATGATATTGTCGAAGATTGAGAAGCCTTGGATCGAGCCACCGTATCTGAGGTGAGCGTTACCTTCCCGAAATTACCCCGGAATGATATCTCACACTTTCTCTTTTCATCGAAGCTAGACTAACTTTAAGTTTTCACAATTAGATTTGCGAGTACTTCAAAGGCTGGGCACTCGCCCATTGGCATGGGAATCCAGTGGCGATATCCGGGGGGAGTCCTCGCTTGAAGTCATGTATCGTCCTGGATGCTGAGACACTGGATCAGCTACAAGACATGCCACAAGACATCCCTGCCGATCAGTGGTTTCCTATGAGAGGAAAGTTTTGGGTAAAAGTGGTGGAATCATACCCGCACGCGCGTTTGCAAGGTATCGCGGATTATTATCGGCTTGGACTGGGAGATGTTGTTTACTTTTGGTTCGAACGGAAGTGGGCGGAGCCGTTTAATTCGACTTCGCCAAGAGCAGGGCAATCCGAGGATATTTTCTATTATACGTATCGTTGAGGAACTGAATAATCGAAGGTCAAGCTAAAGGCTAGGGGGACATGGTTAATCGTAGCGAAGAAATCGGAAAATAAGAAAGTATTGGTAACTTCAGAAACGTACTTCGCAGAGCTGAAAGTGATTACAAAGTGTCGAAAGACTCAATAGTAAATCTTACTATACCTTGAGGTCTCGAAAGGGGGTTTTCCTTACCAAATTCTAACAAGTCATTACGTACATGGCCGGGTAGAATATCTCATCCCGTTTTGAGAATATCGAAGTTATTTAGGAATTCCCGTGGCGCTCCAACCTCCACGTTTCCCCAAACACCCCAACCCCATCCATACTTTCACCCCCACTAACTCCACATCCCAAAAGTTCATCACACCAGAATTGGAGCCCGGCACTTCACTCTGCACAAAAGTATACCCCTTATAGATAATATACCCGTTCCCACCCAAATGTTGGGGATCCGGCAGTGTGGGTTGAGGTTTAGAAGCCTCCCTAGGATGATACTGGCGTTCTGGTAATAATCAAGTTTGTTATGTTCTACTACACAAAGTGAAATCCACTCACAGTATGGAGACCCCAGAAGAATCCAAAAGATTGCAAAGGGCGCTTTGTCGGATGATCCTTACAGCACTTCAAGTTATTATGTTACATCGTCATCAATGAACTCACATTCTAGTGATCTTCCATACCCCTGGAATCAGCACTAGCGTTTTCCTCTTCTCCATTGTGAAGTGGGCTACGAACTACTCTATTGATAGCATATGAACGGGGACCAAGAGATACTATTGCACGGACATATCATTGCTACGGCATGGCAAAACAGAGTAGGTCTATTACCTATAGGAAAAAGATGGGTTAATAAGAAAGAAGAATTGGATATCAACATGTGCAGGTGCTTCAAAGTGGTATTAAAAGGAGTAAGATATTAACAAAAAACAAGCTCTAGATAGCTGAAGATTAATACAAGACTACTAGTATACCAGCAGCCACATTCCACCCCCAACTCCAGCTCTCCGGTTCGACTAATCACCTACATTCAGTAATCTCACATTGCTTTCAATTAATGTCTGAAAGACGTTAATCCGCCAGCTTATAGGCCAGGTAGTCGTGCCCCATTATCTGGCCTTCAACTCCCCCTTTTTCTTAGCATCAGCCACCTGCGTATTTATCCTGGCACGTTGCTTATTGTTTAACCCCCCCCCAGATAATCCCAATTGCTTTTCTGATAGAGGTACTCGCGAGATCTGAGTTTGAAGATGTGTAGGTAGGGTTGGATATATCATTCAGGGGTGCGTCGAAGAAAATATCGCGGGCGTCGTTCGATAATATCAGGGAGAAGGGTGCATTTCCTGTTGCTATTACTGTGATGGGACGGGTTTCAAGTGACTTAGTGATATTTGACCGATGTGTGAGCCATCCTTTGACACGGAAGGGTTCTAGCAGTTCAACGAGGTGCGGCCAGAGCTCAGGGCCGTCAGATTTAAAATCCAAGAGTAGGACTAACGTGGTATTCGGGCTGTTGTCAAAAATTCCTGCAGGGTCAGAGTGAGAAGTGGTGTCGCTTTTTCCATGAGGAATGGGATTCTTATTCAAGAGAATTGAGAAGATAGGATTGAGATAGAGGCTCTTCAACGTGCGTTCTGGGTCTAGACATCGATTAGAATGCCCAGCTAAGAGGTCATTCCTTTTCATTCCAGTCTCTCGAAGCCATATATCCGCTTTCACACTAATGCACCCTCTTGCGAGGGCCTCATGCAATGGCACTCGGCGCCAATAGTCGTTATGCGAGTGGCATGCGATGGGTTTGACGTCCTTGGTGAAATCTGAAAGCCATGGTGAGAGTAATTTCATTGAGTCTTCTGGAGAGTTCCAATTTCTGGTGATATATTCGGCGAGGTTTGAAGGGGTGCTCTGTTTTAATCCTTGGATGAGCGTGAGGCTTAGAGACAGCGAAACTCTACGATATCGTTAGCTAAGGTCCTCGACGAAGATTAAGTACGGCATACGTGATAGTCATGCAATTAAATAGAAGCACAAGAGTAACTATAATAACCAACCAATTCCGCCATGCTTTTCTCTTCCCAACTGTGGTGGTGTTGGACTCGGTGAGGAGAGTTTTACCACTAAATGAGTTGATCCAAGGATACATTTGAGACGCATCTTTGGAGATTACCGAGGATTTGGAAGAATCCATAATCGGCACCTCCTCGCTTTGTCTGGAAGTAACTGTGGCCGTTTGGAGTTGAGGTATGTAGGGAGTGACATTTCGGAAAATGTGTAATGAAGGGATTGAATAGAAAGAAATCTCGAGGTAAATTCAAAGGAGGATTGTCAATCAACCCTAAGAACTATTGGAAGATTATCACCCAATTAATTCAACTGAGAATAATTATGTATCATAGCACTGCTGGATTTATTTCATGGTCTGCCACGGTCCAGGAGGAAGAGCCACTGTCCAAGATAAAACGGGGAGGCTGAGTAAGAGCAAAAATTACCTGCCAGAAAATAAGCTATTACGAGTATTTGAAACTCCAAACCAAATCCTCCATTAATAGATTAACAGGCGACAATACTTTGTAGGTAGGGCACAGTTAATAGGGGGGGGGGAAGGCCCAACTCAGGCGTGGGGATTTGTGTGGCGGACCTAATGCGTGTAGAGCCTACAGTACATGTTCCTCCCGCTGCATATTGGTAAGCTGAACATCAGCACAGGCGTTACTCCAGTCCCTTGTCGATGGATTGTAGAAGTTGCACAACGCAATGCAGGTACAACTCCCTTTTGACGAGACGATGCACAGGCTCCTATTATAGTCCTAAAAGAATAATCAATCAGGAGATCCTAAGGGGCCTAAAGCGCCCTCAATCCGGCTAAGCTATAGCGATCTGGGGGCATGAGTGTCTTGTGGCGGTAGCTGGTTGCTCTGCCCACACTATAGCTAGGTCGAAGGATTTGTGGCCACCTCCGTCTTACTCATAAGGTGCCTATGCAGATATGTGTCTGTGAAAAAGGGGCGACCGGCGGTGGGAGCTAAAGAAAGAGGATAGGACCGGTACGAGGGCGCCTTGCCTCGTGCTATGGTGTGAGCCGAGCACACTGTAAATGTCGAGGGTTATCGCTCTTAACTTCCTAAATGATTTATCTTTTGTGGGGTTATGGGGTTACGAGACGAGTAGGTGTGTTATTCGTATTCCGAGTACTGTAGATGTTGTTAACATAAGCCCTCGTACCTTAAAAATAACCATTATCCGCATACTCAGCATCAACTATTCAAAAAACTCATGACTGTCCCGATAATTGGCATTCTAGTCGAAACGTTGCCTGTGCCATCAAACAACATTAAGTAGAACCGAAATTATCCTTTTAGAAACAAAAGAAACATTTAGGCAAAATTATTGTTCATCATGGCCACGAGTATGCAACTATGTTTAGCCAACATCCCGAAAACGGTGAGTTTTCTGGCTACCGATATAATCTACGACAAATCTTAATCTTACTAAAGTCTATTTCTGTCGTTGGGCCCCCGAGCCCTGAGTCCTGAGCAGGCTGATGAGTCAGATGCGGCACCACGGGTTATCCGCTTCTGGCCCCTTTAGCTGTCCGGATCCCAATTTGAGTCATCACCCCTACCTTTTATATTATTTGCATCACAGATAAAGCAAATACGATGCACCATCTCACCTTCTTCTTGTGCTGCGGACTACACGCAAGCAGAATCTATTTCGAGCGACTTTGGCAAACGACATTCTACATCCGTCACACTTTCTAACCCAAGGCTGACCAAAGTTTGCGTATACCTGCGCAAATTGCAGTCACGAAGGTGCATACTTTTGGATGCGTTAGTAGGCCCTCGAGCCCAGGGGCCTAAATAAGACTCTAGGAAATATCTTCACGCATCAAGACGAAGAGGAACATTAGGATTGGACAGACGACTCTCGAGTCGACTATGGACGTCTTACCACCCCTCTCACCTCAACTCGTCACAGAGGTGAGAGCAGACCTTAGACGAGACTGGTTCTTAACGGAAACTGACCAATATCGAGTTGAGCTCGGCCTGATCCGGTCACCTCCCAATCCACTTTACCTCGATCATAAAATGCTTGAACTCGGCAGCATCCCGTCTCCCCAAAAACGAGGCCGTAGAATACCGTACATCAATGCCTGTATGGAATACCTATTCTACAACAAAGCCACAGTATTCTACTGGACTGAGTCAGCAGCAACCAACATGGTCGGCCGTTATGGGCCGGTGATCCTAGGTGGTATCTGGAATGCTTGGTCTAATGCTCTGGGTAGGGAACCACATATACCACTTGACGAATTCTTTGCTGTTCCTGTGAGCGTTAAGGAAGAATATTCAAAGACGGTTCCAGGGATACTACGAGCCCACGGGCACATTTACGCTCAGGTTCGAAAGGCATTGGAAGCAAACAACAGATCTAATGCCGTTACCAAATTGTGCAAGCCCTGGCCGGACCCAAGGTACTTCAAACTACATTCAATTTGCGAAGCACTTATAATAGTGTTCGACGAGTACAAGTCCGTGGACGTTGAGAAGCACGTAGACGGCTTCCGTCACTACGATGACGTTGCCCAGCACCAGAGCGTCATGTTGGTCCGAACGGTTCACGAAAATGGGCTTAGCGCGCCTATTAGCTTCAAGTATTTGAAGGATAAAGCCTTACCTCTCGCAAGAAGTGAAGACATGGGAGCTATCGATGTTATTCGAGTCCCTCTCCAAGTTGGCGTCCATTTTGTGGCTAACCTTCTACTACGTGAAGAAGCAGCATTTCCAGAATCCGTTATGGCAGGACCCCATATATCGAGGGAACCAGATCATCCGTTTATGAAGTGGGAGAGAGAAGCGCAGGGTTATAGAGAACGACGATTGGTGAATGCACAGGCAGAAGGCAAGATCAGACCATTTACAACAGCAGCAGCTGTGAGGGAAGCCGTGCTATACTGCAGGTTTGACATAGATCCCCCAGAAAAATATGCTCCGTATCCTTTTAAGCTTGGTTGGATCTGAGATTCTTGCCACCCTGACGGGATCCTACCCGCAGTCTAAGGTTTTATGCGACAAATATTACTTTGTCTCGCTATGTCTACCTCCAAGCAACGTCCAGAAAAAGTACTCGAGATAGGGCAGGGAGATTGATTTTGAGAGCAATAACGGGGATACACAAGATTTATGGTCGTTTGTCTTTGCGACTGAGACTGAGGCAGAAATACTTATTGTAAGATTGCAATCGGCTAACTTTTCGGTTATTTTCAGCTAACGTGCCACGAGTGAATAGCTTTAGTGCCAACTGCTCAGTTTTCGATGGGATATTATGGCAGACCGGTACAACTCACCTATACCGAATGGACTTATTCATGCTAAGCCAGATGGTGATGCACTGTAGAGGTAAGGCTGGATGTGTAGGATGGCGTTTTCTGGGATGTGTTTTAGTGCTTTCGTGCTACTACCTAGCGGGTTGAGGTCTTTACAGCGTGAATCTTCTCAAATAAACCATATTTGTATTTTACCCGTCCAGACCGGCTCGCAAGAGCTAGCTGCGTTGCCATAAAGTTTTATCGGTTTTTTTTTATCAGCAAGGTCTGCAGATAGCTTGATTCCCCTTAGTATACATACTATATAATTAAATCCCAGATCTAGTAGTTGGTTCTCTAGACCTTAGAACTAGGATCTCTTTGCTTCAAGCTTTCAAACTTCAACGATTCTAATAAGTAGAATACTAAACAGTAGTAGGAGACCAGTATTATACTTTATAAATGGGTAGTTATAAATAATAGAAGTACTAGTAGAAGGGGAAAATAGTAGCTTAAGTATAGTAATAGGAACTCTATAGGATAATAATATTACTTTCTTCTTTCTCCAAGTTTCTTCTACTTCTATGCCCCCATCGTTGCCTGGTTGGTGGTCTCTGTTGCTGCGAGTATAGCCAGCTTCTTCTGGTGAACTGCGCATACACCTTTCTTGTATCGTCATGACCCCCAACACACTTTGGAACGCAGCAGATAAGGGTAAGTATAATCTCGATAACGATCATATAGTACCGAGCCCAAATCTTCACTAGTTGGACAAACCCTGACTGCTAATTGCTCTAACGAGTGAGGTTGCTTTGCAATCTACTCAAATCTTATCTTCTCTGAGCCAACTAGCAAGACTCTTGGTGCCGATAGATTCATCACGCTCCCTATTCCAGTAGGAGCATTCTCCACCATTCATGCTCTAGAGATTTCCGACAGGACCTCGGGTTGAAGAGGTTCTGATAATCGCTGATCGACATGGGTTTTATCACAAGTTCAAAATCCTTCACTGACACTTATTCACAATACTCGCCCCTAGGCCTTTTGTGGCTAGGAATCGATAATGTAAGAAAATCTAGGTCGTTCCGGGAAACTCAAGCGCCGCAAGGCACCTATGTTAGTTTATCTCATTCTTTCGTGCTTTAGTGTCCTCGAACGGCTCAATGGGTCGCTGTAGCACCTTGAAGAAACCCCCTAACCGAAGCAGGACTGTTGAACATTGTCTATTCGGACGGAATAGAGGTTCGAGTCGAGCTGGAGATGTAAAATATTACTATGTGACTACGGTTATTTTCGCACTAGCTTCTTTAAAGTATTAACGATTGATTTTTTGAGAGTCATAGATATCGACTCACCGTATGAGCTTGTCGAGACAAGACTTGAGCTTCGTCCCTGATACTTCTCTGTAATATTAACCAGATTGCAATAGCCATTGATCTATCCCGAAGGGGGTTTCGTTCGAGAATGCTGGGCGTTCGCGGGATTCTGGTGGCGTGTGTTATAGGCACCCAGATCATCAATGGAGGCATTGAGGAACCTAGTGGCAAATTTAGAGACTAATGCGTTCTCGAGAACCTCTTGGTCCGGCGTGCGGATTGGGCTCCAACGAAAACCTCCTACGTTGCCATGTAGGGATTGACTGTTAATTCTAGGGGTTCGTTGATAAGCTGGGGGCTTTAGCGTCTCAAATTTAGTTAAATTTTGCAGAGGTAATCTCAGACGACATTTCTTCGACATCTTATTATATTAGGCTAGTTAGATAATCTACGCCGAATATTTACCTAAGTGCCTTCCAACACGGTTAGTCACCATCGCCGTTCTGCTCAGGCGCTACTCACCGGTGCCTCACCCTCTACTCAGGTTGCTCAGTCGCGTTCTAGTAGAGAAAGGTGTCCCTATCGCCGGTACCGAGGATAATGGGAGAAGACCGTTGGCGTACTAACACTGATTCTGAGATCCATAGTAACGGAGAGATTCCTGTAACAACTATTTTAGAAAAGATAGGGGTTTCTCGCTTAATACATCCAAAAACTCGAACATTTCGGGGGACTGGTTTCTATTTAAGAGCACAGCAAAGCGAAGAACCTGTGGCTCAAGTCCCAAGCAAGCTAAATTGCATCGATAGCTCTTTCTAGTCTATCTTAAGAGCAAGAGTAAGATTAAATCCAATCGAATGCTAAGAACAGACCTCGTGACTTGTCCAACGCTAATTCTACAAAAGCTATTCCGATTTCTTATACTATGTAACATATGAATATTACGTGTATGTTCAGCATCTCAATCCATAAACTGTATCCCCGTCAGACTCGACGAGTGCGTCTACTTTGTATCCGGCATTTGGACAATTAACCGTAAGTCGAGACCCCACAACTAATTGCTAGTAACTAACGTGAGCACAGTGATTCGTACTAATCAATAAAATTTAAAGTGATTACCGCTAATTACAGGTTCGCTCATTTAGCAAATTGCTGGCTGCGCTCTATATGAAACGATGTTTAAGTTAAATTCATTATCTCTTAAGAGTAGCTGCCGGAGTGTTCTGGGAGGCGCTTACCAGGATTCAACAACATCATTCCTTACCACATAATTTTTTCCGTTCTTGTAGTATTTCTTTGCATATATTCTGAATCAAATCTTACTCTTCTTCAACGTGATGAATGTCTCAATCTCTATAAGTAACGCACGTACTATTTTCTTTTTTACAAATATTTAACCTTAAACTTATAATATAATTAACTTTTAATATATAGAGTAATTAACTTTATAAAACCACCCAAAAATTGGATTTGAATACTCGCTAAGTTGGGTATCAGGCATCATGGTAAGTGCCTTGCCATGACTGAGAAAAGGTAATTGATTGTGTTACTTGATAGAGGTATGACCCAATATGCTGTCGATTTATTGACCGAGAGGTCAATCCTAAACCCGACTGCTCTAAGTACAAAGCTACCAAGGCTGTAAAGTGCCCTGTGATGGAGATATTATTATATTACAATTGTAATAAAATACTTAGCATAATACAAGTATTAGGGGGCTACCAATGGTTACACCGCATATGACGTTGCTGCCTATGCCAGGAATAGACGAGCCACGGCAAGACTGTCTCGGCTCCTTCAAGTCCAACTTTTACATCAGCGCAGCGACCAACGCTCCCAGACCCAAGACCACAGGAACACTCTGAAGAGTTGTGCGCGAGCCGCCTGCCTTCACGGGGACGGTTGTGCCAGCCGCGCCCGCCGATGTCGTCGCGTTCACCGAGGATCCTCCAGTTGTGGCTGATGCTGGAGCGTTGGAAGATGTTGCCATCGTCGAGGCTGGTGCGGCTGTCGATGATCCCACGGCGCTCGAGGATGAACTGGCAGAAGGTGTTGAATCAGATGAACTGGCAGCAGGTGTTGAACCAGGGGAAGATGTAGATTTCGGGGCGGGGGGCACACTCGTAGTCGATGCTGGCAGCTTGATTCCACAGATGGCCTCAGCATCGAAGGGGCCAAAGGGGAGCTTATACGCGATGCAATTAGCAGACGAGCGCTCGATGGAGTCTTTAATACTGTCAGCTATAACCCTATTAGGACACTGGAGAGTGTGGAAATATTATACCAGGCAGGACGTGGGGCGCGCAATTCTTTGCCAGGCAGCAGAAATAGTTCTGGCGCATGTCGTGCAGAGTACACCCGCATGCCGGGTTGTCGGCATTGCACTTATTGGTAAAGAATTGGAAGAAGCAATCATTCTATCCATATTATAACATGTTAGAATCACAAGAGTGGCAATTGGGGCGGATCCGGGGAGAGTGGATGGCACTGACACCGCATTTGGCATCCCTCATCTGTGTCTCTTGGTCGTACTGAGTATACTGGCCCGCGGCGGCGGTGGCAGCGAGGCCGAGAAGGCAGATGGCGTTGAACAGACGAACCATGGTGATTGCAATAAACGAGTGTGTTTGGTGTTTAAACGAGGGACAAAAACGAGGGGCAAAAACGAGGGACAAAAACGAGGGACAAGAACGAGAGTCTTGAAGAACAAGCCAAAGAAAGGGCAATGCAGGTTCCTTTTACGGAGTCGAGAAACAGCCAAGGATTCATCACGGAGATTAGGCTTAATTTTGTGCAGTACTCTGGACATAGGTCGCGGGGCACAGCAGCCCCCTGGCATGGCCCCTACTAGCGCTGTGTGCAAGTCTGCCAGCCTAAGGGATAGGATACGGTTGCTATTTTACCTCGCACGAGTAGGTCTACAACCCCTAACTTACATCTATAGTGGAAAGGTCCCTATTAGGTCTGTCTCCGAGCAAGCGTGCCGTATTATCTACATTGTATCTCTGAAGTGCTAGCTATTAGACCTCCTTGTTCAACATATCCTTCTTTTACAACATCTTTAGAATCATTTACATCTGCAGCAACCGGAGCAATTAGAACCTTGTTCTTATTAGCTCGCGGATTACCCTATACCTTCACCTCTCCACCCTAGAGCTTCCGGTGATATCCTGAGCCGAGATGCTTGAAGTTAGCCTAATACGACTTTACAAACATAGCTATGAACGATGCTCGAACAAGGCTTCAACTTCCATACAAACCTCCAAGAAAGAGGTCTTGTGTCTTTCAATAGGCTGTTATTTCTAGCGCCTTACTTCATCCACGCCATATTCTCATCCATTAATTGCCTTGGCACGTCAGACTTTGACCTCACCCCAGTCTTTTCTCTAAACCGCCAGCTTTCTTCCCCATGCTGGCCACCCTATACGTCTTCTGTTTATTTCCACCCTTCTCTACTCTTGACTGGTACTCGTTCCTAGCCCTCGCCTCCATCTTCTCCATCTTCAACTCAACGGCCATCAAAGCTCGTTTTTGAGCTTCTGACACGCCGATCAGGCTAGTGGATGTGCCAGCTCTCATGACTATTCTTCGATCCTGCGACTCTTTGGGTATTATGGGTTCCGTCTCAAATTCATTGGCAGTCAGGCGGTGTTGCTGCCGTGAGGACGACCCAGACAATGGCCGCTTGGGATGGTTATGATAGGGGCTGTGGGCGTGGGAGCGACGCCCTAGGATTTTTCCTGATGGCAGATGAAGTTCGTCCTCATCCAGAGCCAGCGTCACTTCCTCCCCCAGCTCTTTTTCGTCATCTTGCTCATCCACATTACCCGAGAAGTCATAGAACTGCTTGAGTTGATGCACATCATCCTCTAAATTGAGTTTGCAATGGCCTTTCCCTCGCATGTGATCCCGGACTCCAAATTTGGTGCTTTTTAGGCTGCCACAAAAGAGACATTCGTGAAATAACGACACGATGGCGAACAGGTAGCTAAGAAGTGACTCAACGTCGATGAGGTATTCAGCATTCGGTATGAAGAAGCTGTGTGCGTGAGACATGTGTGTCAGATTAGACTCCAAGGAGGCAGATTCAACGTTGCAGAATAAACACTGCTGTGGGCTGAAATCTTCTTCCTCTTCTTCTTCTTCATCGGAGGATCGACCTTCCTTTAACGAGAGCGCGTTCCGTGAAGGGGACTTATCAGCCCCAATTGAAGCTTTCGAGACATGGTTCCGTGACCTGAGATGCGCCTTCCAAGCTCTCCAGTTCGTGTAGTGTTGCTCACATGCAATACATGATTTCTGAAATGAGGGGGCTGCCTCAGTATCAGAGGTCCTCGTGGTAATAGGGAGCGATTGCTCATGGAATTCTACATCGGATGTAGGAGGCAACGATTCCATGCGGCGCTTCAGGTTGTAGATGCTGTTATTGTTAGTTCTTCTGTTTATCGCGTTCCTCGCCAATTCCACTCACTGCCAATCCCCTCTCATATGTGCTCTCTGTGCTTCGCTGCTGTCAAACTTGGCGCCGCATGTCATGCAGCCATACTCTCTCTCAGCCAGTGGCGAGTTTGCGCCGGTTGAGGTAGCTCCTACTAGTGGCATGATATCCGCTTAGGTTGAACTGATATTTAAATTGACTCTTTGAAAAGTGTTGTTGATGGTAATAGGATGGAAAGTAGATGGAGAGTCGATGGTAATCGCGATGTATGTGTCAGTTTTTTTGGAGGCACTGAAACAGGCAGAAAGAGTTGATTAAGGGGCCTAATACTATGGGGTGAAAGCCTCATATATACCTATCAAAGGAACCTGCACCAGATTCAAAATCTGTATATGGTACCTTCCTACCTACCTAGGTAGGTACCTAGGTAAGGCAAGTACGATGCTGCCTGACTCACTATGATGGCCTGGATGACTCATAATGATGGCCTGGATACCTCACAGCCACTTCGCCACTGCGCCACTCGGACACCACAAACACCAAAAACACCGAAACACCAGGAGCCTATAGCTGCCCGTTCGCCTAAGGTTTTTCTCTTTGAATCACATGATAGTGGCGAGTCAATAATGATCGTCTCAGACTCTTTTTCGAAAGGTGCTCCGTGAGGCGTCGGGACGTCCGAGGCGGTTTGCGGCTTACAATATACTTCCTATCTCGTAAAGCTCCAGAGCGCTCGCTAGCGAGCTCAGCTAATCATTTTCGAGGCTAGCTTAATTCCGTAGCCGCAGCTGCAAAAATGCACAACTCGTATATTTTATAATAAGGTAAATTCACACCACTTCTGCTCCAATGGCGCAATGGTAGCGCGCGAGACTTCTATGTTCGAATATTAACGCAATCTCGAGGCTGTGGGTTCGAGTCCCACTTGGAGTGCAAACATTCTTTTTGATCTTTTCTTTTTTCTTTCGTTTAGAGGCACCTCTCGCTAATCTTTTCATATTTCCGCCAAAATCCTATCTATCCCCTCTGCGCTTCAGCGCATGACCACCAAAATCCGATTTTTTGGTGATGAGTGACTAACTTTTAGCAGTGCGCGACTTTAGGACGCCGCATCGAGCCACAATATCCATACGATTTTTACTCGAGTGCTGCATACGATAATAGAGTATAGGATAGTATACAGTACCTAGGTAATTAATTGCATCATATAATAACTGGCCTATGTTCAGCAAATACGCACGCTGCGCTTCTATACGAGGTTGTATACATAATGCTCTGCTCTAAATTTATCGACGTTGACGACGCACAAAATTCCATCTATGTATATATGGTAATGGTGGAGTTAAAGTCGATATCGACAGCACTCCAAGCTTGATAGACAGGCGAAGCTCTGGACAGAGAGCAATGTTATCTAATTATCGCGCTGTATTATACACTACTGCCTAGAACGGTACAACTTCTCCCTTGCCTTATAGCATTCTCTGGACTGCCCGGAGCTTTAATCTGTGATTTCCAACGGCTTTTATACATGGTATGTGTGCTATTGCCTGCTGTATAAGGCCATTCAACCCGGCTTCACTGCTTTAACTAAACGGGCAGATGGTACTACGGCTAAGAGGTAATAATCATTGCGAGCCAACTCTATTGTGTTACCACCATACTCCTTCCTCGTACGGCTGCGCCCACCCGCTTCGAGACAGTGGGCGATTCCAGATAGGGAACTTCATCGTATGGTCGGGTCTGCACAAGTGAATCAACAGACTTGGTGTTTCGAAGTATTCATAATCGATATTCGTCCCACGATTCATCAGTCGCGCAGCAAACCCCATTCCTGGCGGTTTGAGTGCCACATAAAGAAGTTCTTGGCTGTCATTAATGCCAAACGGTTCTTGGAAATCCGTACACAGGGCTAGCATAGCCCTTTGTAGATCTATGAGCTTGCGAGCAAGATTTGCGTGCCAAAAAGTTACAGTATTCAACAAAGCAGCGCGGTAGTCAATGATGGGGGTTTCCCGGTTGATATGAAGCAGCGGTAGTGTTTTAGTCAACTTACCCTGACCCCGCAAAGTAGCCAAGCATATGGGCGACATTGGAGGAATTTCTGCAGCTCATCTGCGATGAGATAATTTGGGACTATTCCGAGTATGTCAAGTCGGGCGCCTCGTTGGTAGCACTTGCTAACTAATGCTGCGCCGTCTGTGTTGGGAAATAATAACAGATAGTGCATTACTCCGCAGCTAGAGGTGTTCGTGCTTGTTGCGTTAAAGCTGCTGTCTAACAGCTCTAGTACCTGATCGGGTAGCAACTTCATAAAGCAGCTCAAAAAGCCAGTGCCCGGGCTATCATTGGACCGAAGACCTTCGCAGGTGTGCCACACTAGCTTCTGTTTAAAACAAACATCCTGAATGCTACACTTGTTTAGCATAGGCCGTTCAGAAACTGCTCGCTGAAGCATAAGGAAAGGCTCTGACCAGTTCTTAACTAACAAACTCCACGAGAGTGGTGAGCCCCCTATAGTAGCTAGGCCGAAGATCAAGCGTTAAGGAAATCCCTCTCACGAACCGATCAAGCTGTTCAGACCAGATGCAAGATAGATGACATGGGAAATTCCTGGATGGCGGATTGCATGGTCCACCTAACACATTCTTCTTTGTTCTAAGCCGTACCAACTGGGAACAGGCAGCAGAGACCCAGATTGAAGGATATTCGACCTAATAGGATGGACAAGACAGAATTGACAGGATTGGCCTGGATGGGGAGACTAACGAGAGCGTCAACTTTCTCGAGCATGAATCTGAGATATTGGCTCGGAGTGATATTTGGGCCAATACCCTGCTGCAGTCGGCAGACGGAGGTAAAACCACTCGTGGAGCTCTTTGCACGTCCTCAAGAGTCTCGACAAGACATGCCCGTGAAACTCCTTGCATCGTGCAAGACACTTGGGAGACCATATCTATGACTGGTAATCAGTAACAACCAAGACTGAGGAGTAGTTAGCGCACCTGGAACAAACATAGCTCCTTCGGCAAAAGTTTTGGTGTTGTCCGGACACCCCTTTAAGCTCATCGCTAAGTCCAGTTATTAATCTGTTCACGTTAGGAAGACGCATATACCTATTTTTTATTGCGGCCTCCCAAATTGCTAGTCAGAGGAAGAAGGATGTCCGTTACGATACTTGTAAGAGTGAGACATCCCCAGAACCGTGGATTCAACAAAGGGCCGAGCGACTGTACTAACTCCCGACCACAGTCGGATGTCACGCCTAACGCGAAGTTAAACACACTGTGTTCGTGTTGTAGCCCCGTGGATTTGACAATTAAAAGCCAACAGTAGAGATCTTCCTGGTCCGGGAAATCGGAAATTAACTGTGCTAAAAAAAATCAAGAACTTTTGAGCTCATCGGTACTAGGGAGAAATAGCCGAGTCCAGGTACTACCAGTGAAGGCAGACGAGGTATACATCCGCAAATCCCCAATCAATATCTCTGGCATCATGGAGCACCTCGGGAGCCAACCAGAGTTTTGTGACATGGATAGGGACCCGGTCATTTTGTCCCGCGGCGGCAACACCCACCAAAGTCTTGAGATAGTAACATCCCTCGTTAGTCATGATCAAGCACAGCGAAAGATACCCCGATTACAACCTCGGGGCCGGGTACGTAGCCTGTCGGCCAATTATATATGCTCTCGGCACCCATGACGGCATTGTTGGATAGTGCTTGAAAGAATGGCCCAGCTCGCCTCTACATGGTCGCCATTACTTGGTAGGCTTTGGTGTTGACAGCGCAGGATTGTACTTTGTACGCAGTAGGACCTACGAAGTAGTTTTAAAGTTTACGGTGCAGTGCTTTTGCAGTCGCGGATAGGGTCCGAGCGCCACCGCGGGGCACCTAGTTCAGCATCCCGGGCCGCTTCCGGGACCCACTGCCGTGCCGCCACCAACATTGTTGTACAACGGAGTGCATATAAACTAGATGTGATGTGTGCAGTTGTAAAGCTAAGCCGATATTCTTATCTGCGAAGATATTCTCATAAAAGTGGCATATAACTTTACACAGGGATTTAGTTGTATGGAACGCTTCCTGAAGTGGTCATTAGAAGGCGAGAAAGCTATCTCAGTAGAATACACATCGGTAGTATCGAACAAGCCGCAGATCACCAGAAGCGACTCAAGTTGAGAATCATTCGCAATCAAACCTGTGTGGGTTATAGACGAGTAGGCATGGCCACGTGCCAGCCTCACCTCCTCTGTTCTACCTGTCCACCCTATATAAATCAAAATAAGCGATTTTGTGTTAAGGAAGACAGTAGGCGGCCACTTGGCTAAGTGGTTCAGGTCAAATTGTCTTCTAGAGAGGATCGATAGGGCAAATACGACAAAATACGAAAAACAACAAAATTCGACAAGAGATGTAGGCGATCGACCGGGCCGAACTCTTTTGCTTCTGGAATATAATAACTTGAATATTTTTTAATATTTTTTGTCTTCTTTTCTTTTGCGACGGATATTGATATTTTTGCTGATATCGCCTATTGCGGGTGGATCGTCTCTAGCTAGCGAGAGAGCCGAGTTGCCAATCTGGCGGTGTGCCCGATCGTCGTCCGCCACGTATTATAAAAGTGTTGTTTGGTTGGGGCCTATATTTGGAATGTGACGTGTACAATACTATCTGCCTGTTAACCAAATAATAACAACTAGCCTCTCCACTACATTCTTCAAATCAGGGATTTATGTCTCCGGAAATCCGTTATCCACGCGGTAAGTGGGCTAACTGAAGTGGATTGAATTAGTCAAACTTTAGATGATGAGGTGGTCAGGAATTTCCTGGCAAATACCTCCGTACCTGGCAAACCCAATCATATTGGCAACCTGCAACCTGTAGACGAAAGACAAAACATTCAATCAAGGTCATTCAATGATTATCTTCGGACTCATGGTACAATCGCACTCAACCCCACTACACCAGCAGATCGTTCCCGATGTGAGCGGAATGATCGACTCATTCAAGAAGAGATTAATACAACTGAGGATCTTGAAGTCGGCAAGCTCTGGAAGAATGTTCTCGAGGGTTGTTTTAGGGCTTGGAGAGCTTCCGGCTTCTTCGACATCGTCTACAAGGAGTACTGCATGAGGATGACGTTAGCAGCATTTGTCTTCTTCGTGACTTGGAGAGAGCAGGGTGACGTCTGAGTCTCTTTCACAATGCCAACGGTTGTACGCTGTTGCGGTCTCTTGTATGGCGCATTCTTGGGCGAATTTGGTGCAAAACTCTTTTCGGTAGAAAATCAGGCACCTACAGCTATTACCTATCTATATCTCCGATATCGAGCTTCTAAACTATTTCTATACACTAATATAGAGAGCGTAGATATCTTAATTTCAGTTAGATATTTATACGACTTAAATACCTCAATTCTGGTGAGATATTCATATAACTTGAATGCCTTAATTCTAGTGAGATATTTATACAACTTGAATACCTCAATTCTAGTGAGATATTCGTGTAACTTGAATATTTTAATTTTAGTAAGATATTTACACGATAATAGATTTATATCTAGGTAATAGCTGTTGGGCCTTATAATACTGGCGAAAAGAGTTTTGCACCAAAGTCGCCCAAGAATGCGCTATACTCTTGTCTCTCGCGGCCAATTTCTTGCAAGCTTCGCCAATCTTGGTCTTCCTGTCTCTCGCTAGTAAGACTTCTCCGACTTCGTCGCACACTTCTGCGAAGAAAAAGATCATGTTGTATATGATCAGCGGCAGATTGCATAGTCCGTGCTTCCGATGACAAGCCACGTAATACTTGATACTCGCTGCGGTGTCGATGGAATCGGTCGTTTGAACCAAAGCTCTGAGAACGTTCTTCTCCGAAGGGAGAGCTCCCCTTACTTTACGGGCTTCATCGCGGCTCTTGTCCCTAGATTTGGCTGTGCCGATGGTCGAGTATTTCTTTGGTTCTTGAGCTAACACTAACCCAACCACCAAGAATTCCAAGGTTCCGGCCCTTCCTTCGCGCTCTGCGGTAGTGGGTATGATGGGGATTGGAGGGTTTGGCGGATCGTCTGCAGGGTTGTACGACTGGCTCGTCTTCCTACCTTTCCATCTAATATCTGATATCTAATATCTAATATGCGCTTAGTTCTGCCGAAGTTGTGCCTTTAAATACACTGGTCAGGTGACGTTAAAGGCTGTGAGTATATCGCATTCTTGGGCGGCTTTGGTGTAAAACTCTTTTCGCTAGTATTATAAGGCCTAATAGCTATAAATCTAATATCATATAAATATCTTACTAGAATTGAGGTATTAAAGTTGTATGAATATCTCACTAGAATTGAGGTATTCAAGCTATATGAATATCTTACTAGAATTTGAGATATTCAAGTCGTATAAATATCTAACCGAAATTAAGATATTTACGCTATCTATTCTCTAGGTAAAGGCTCGTGATGGAATATGGGATTTTGAATTATCATCCTGCTATTGTACATGTCGTATAATCCACCCACATCTAACCCTACTTCCATAGTTTGCCCAGACTGACTTCCTTATCATCGTGCTTGTTCAAAACCTTTGCCGTCGCTAGATCGAAATCTTCTTGTGTGACGTGCACCCGTCTCTCTCTCAAGGCGAACATACCAGCCTCGGTGCACACACCTTTGAGTTCTGCTCCGGAGCACCCGTTCATCTTCTCAGCGATCTTGGTGAGGTTGATGCCCCTAGTTAGGTTCATACTCCTGCTGTGAATGCGGAGAATATCTGCTCTGGCTTCGACAGTTGGTGGAGGAAACTCGATCTTTCGGTCAATGCGCCCAGGCCGCAATAGCGCAGGATCCAAAATATCCAGACGATTTGTCGCCATGATGACTTTGATGTTCTTGGTGGGTTCGAACCCGTCCAGTTGATTTAATAGTTCTAGCATAGTTCTTTGAACTTCGGAATCGCCACCTGATGAGCCCTCAACTCGGGATGACCCAATAGAATCGATTTCGTCCATGAAGATAATAGAAGGCGCATGCTCTCGTGCCATGACGAACAGCTCGCGAACCATTCTTGAACCCTCTCCAATGTATTTCTGGACCAGTTCTGAGCCTGAAACCCGAATAAACTTGCAGTCCGCATGATGTGCCACTGCTCTTGCGAGCAATGTCTTCCCCGTGCCAGGTGGGCCGTATAGGAGGACACCCTTTGGCTGTGCGATACCCAGAGATTCGAACAGCTCGGGATGCTGAAGACCAAGCTCAATCACTTCCTTAATCTCCTTAATCTGCTGATCCAGACCACCAATCATATCATAGGTACTATCAGGGACCTTCTCCACCATCATCAGGGATACTAGAGGGTCGACGGATGATGGGAGCATCTTCTCGAGCTTGTAGGAATCGGAGAGAAGGGTGACTCGCTTCCCGACGGTGAGCTTGGATATGTCGACATTGTCGGATATATCAACCACTACATAGCAGTCAGTACTTTTGTCCAGAATCAATACAGCGTTACTATCTTCGTACCGTATTTGCCTTCCGGATGGACCTTCACTAGAACCTTCTTCGTCCCCATGACCTTCACCACCTCGCCGACGTACGATCCGGGTTGTTGTAATAATCCGAGCTCCTCCCGCAGCAGTCGTACTGTTGGGTGTCAGCTATATCTAGGCAAATGGTTCCGGGCCTGATCTGCCATTACCTCTGGAATTGTAGTCGTTTCTTTGGGCTTCTAATCTCCTAAGAACAGCTTGGCCCTGGATGATCTCGAGCTTCATGCTCTCGATCTTGTTGTGGAAGAAGCTGTCGAGCGCCATGGTGTGCGATGCAGCAGTGGCAGTGCCAGCGGCGATAGGAATGGGAATAGGAATAGGATGGCGGGATATGGGATGGAGGATACGGAGGATTGTTGTAGTTGCACTCTCAAAGCGTCGCTGGAGCTGGTGTAAACGGTTGCCACTGGAACTCGTACAAGCTTTCGCAGGCAAGCACTCACAACGCGTCGGCGAAAGGCTGAGGGTGCTGCCTGGTGCCTAAGGCTGCGATGCATGTTTACCAATGCTATCCCTTGCGAGGATCCCTGCACGGCGTTGCTCAGCAATGGTCACTCGCAGCTTCGCTCGTGGTTCCCATGACTTTGATCTCCGTCGTGCAAGTATCTACCTACAAATACAACCTCCGAAAGGTTACGATCATCTCGCGCGTTGGCTGCTAGTAGCTGCACCCCACTGATGTACAGGATCTCGTCGAATGCATCTCGCGCTCCGTTCGTCTTTCCTTCTGTTGGATCGGCACCCAGCCGCGCCATTAGGACCAGGACGTGTAGCGCGAGATAACACAGGAATTTCAGTACCACGACGACCTGTGAGGTGACCGGCAGGCTTCCAAAAACCTCTCTCACCCAAATTTCAACTACGTTGATCCCACTATCGTTACATTCGCTGCTACGCTCCTAAGAAAAAGGTCAAAGGAGCTATTCATGTCTTCAGGACAAGAGGATACTCCTGGGTCGACGAGGGACATTCCTCGGAGGTTGTCTGATATGTCGGCGTCTGAATCAGCAACAGAGATCACGCACCCATTGACTAGGGTAGAATCGATTTCGCAGCTGGATGAGGGGCTTTCGCAGAGTTTCCAGTCCACAGAGACCGTCCGACGCAGACCAGAACCTCAGTCTTATGGTACGAACTCTAGTTGAAATAGATTACTGTTAAACCAACATTCCATTGCCCGTCAATATTATTTTATGAGACTAACTATCCTTTGAAAAGGTACCATACAACAGCAATCAAGTACTCAGCATCGCCCCGAACCCAAAATGAGCGAATCCTCCCAGCCGATTGAGAGTACGCAAACACAAGGCATCGAATCCTCGCGTTCTACCCAGGCCATGAGATCACCGATGCTCGGCCCAGAACGTGGACGGGGTGGGCAATTCCCAAAGAAACCTGCTATGTCTCGCCGTGCTTCGTCTAACGTTCAAGCTCCCCATCGCGGGCAAGAGTTCTCGGTGGATGATGATGTGACCGAAATCGAGGATGCTGTGGTGCGGCAGGGTGCGACCTCTGGATATGGCTCTCTAAGACATCAAGCCTCTACAACCCTGAGACGCCGCCCAACCCAGCAACCAGCCCTATCGCGCGTGGAATCGGAGCACGACGATGAAGCTACGGCCGGTGGTGATCCTGAGAGGACTAGCCTGTTGGGAGATATTGCCCGCGAGGAGACAACTCCGGAATCGGGAGAAGAAGGAACTCTTCATGGCGTTGACAATGCAATAGAGAATGATGATGATGACGATAACGACGACGCCTTAAGTGACACTGAGAGCTTTACCCTGAAGGACCGGCAGGAGGCTATAAACGAGACTCACCCTTTTGGTATTCGTATATGGAAGCCTGCCCTATACAAGAAGAACAGATCAGTGCAGAAAACTGCCGAGGGCGATATCCACTCTGCTCCTGGTGGCAGAGTCAGCAGGTGGTTGCTCTTCTTCAATATCATGTGGACCGTTTGCTTTGGATGGTGGCTAGGTCTTGCAGCATTCCTCGGCGCGGTCGTTTGCTTCATTTTCGCTGCTGCACCTAGCGCTATTGCTTATGGCCGAGTCCTTTGGGGCCTCGCTGGTTATCTATTCTACCCCTTCGGAAAATTTGTTCGACTAGAACAAGACCAAGCATATGCGGACGAGGATGAAGGCGAAGGGCGTAGCATTACAGAATATGAGCAGTGGCAAAGTGGCGATATCGAAGATGGGAGGCTGTTCTTTGGGCCCGAAGGAAATCGTTCCATTGTGGGCCGTTCAAGAAGGAGTATGGATTCATTTGCCAGCGAGACTGATAGCCTTTTGGGTCGACCGACCCGAGGTGTCGCGCGAGAGAACTCGGAGCGTCCATTGAAACGAAGACTTTTTGGTCGTGGTGAATGGAATATTGGCCGCGTCATCTTCTTTCTCTTCTTTTACGGGTTAACAACTCCACTATTGTTCCTTGTTTCTGGGATCTGTTGGTTCCTAGTCTTCTGGATACCTATGGGGAAAGTCCTCCTACTGTTATTTTCCCACCTCCGAAGACATCCCTTGGCGCTATCCTTCCAATCAGACTCCGACTATTCTCGCGGCGGGAGTATTCCAAACTCATCCATACTCGTATGCACTTATCGGGCGGTTGGGTTGAAGTACTGGAAATATACGATCGATGGCACAAACATATTCCTGATCAATTTGATGGGAGTTGTCTTGTTTGTGATCTTCGATTATTGGATCCTAGATGAGCTGTTCGATTTGAACCTGTTCATCACGAGCCCAGCATTCCTTTTTGTGGCTGCTCTATTCTCAATCATCCCTCTAGCCCACTTCATCGGCCAAGCTGTCGCTTCGATCTCCGCACAATCATCTATGGGGCTCGGTGCTGCTATCAATGCCTTCTTCTCCACTCTAGTTGAGGTGTTTTTATACTGTGTAGCTCTCAATCAGGGGAAGGGCCAGCTCGTCGAGGGCAGCATCATCGGAAGCATCTTTGCTGGTATCCTGTTTCTCCCAGGGTTGTCGATGTGCTTCGGAGCCATCAAACGGAAAACGCAAAGATTCAATGCCAAATCGGCAGGTGTCACGTCCACCATGCTGTTATTCGCCGTCATCGCCGCATTTGGTCCAACCCTGTTTTACCAGATTTATGGCACGGTAAATATATCCGCCCCCAGCTCTCATAGCTTTGCTAACATTCTCTTAGCATGAGCTTAATTGCCTTGATTGTATTGATACTGACGACCATTCGCCGAGCCGTGACTGCCGGCGTTGCTATTTCTCCCAAGTCCCTGCTCTTGATGATAGATTCTACCTTGAAGCTGTACGACCATACTGCTGGTTTGCAGCTACCCTCCTCTTCCTGTCCTACGTTATCGGTCTGTGGTTCACTTTACGGACACATGCTGCCGTAATCTGGAACATCGAAGTAGACGAAAAACGAGTCCATGAATCGCACCAAGCACCCGGCTCGCAAAACACAGTTGGTGACTCAGCTCATTCTCGATTACAAAAACACGGTATCCCGCAGAGCAACCTGAGCGACGCTGCTCGTAGATCCGAAATTCGCGACTCTCAGCTTTACAAGCGGATATTAGGGCAATCCTTGAAGCACGTTGGCCTTGCTCCGAGGGAAGATGGGGTCGCGGTCAACCAGGAATCTATGACGCCCAATGGCTCGAGTCAAACTCCCCATCTGCCACCTCCAAAGGGTGATAGTGTCGGGCTCCACTTACCCCTCCCAAGCCTATCCGAAGCAGAGAACAAACATCTTGTAAGAGAAGTTGCTGAAATGGCTGCGACCGCCGCCACTATTGCCGCTCGAGATGTAACAAGATTTCCTCGTAAAACGTCTACTGTTGCCACCATACCCGCGCATTCATCACACAAGTCGCCAGCTGCGCGAACAACAACTGTCCAAGTAGAGCATGGCGACCTACCTGCGGGTGAAGGCCCCGCTGATGCCGAAAGCGCCGGTGGGCACGACGCACCCAATTGGGGTAGGATGAAGAGTGCAGTCATCCTATGCGGCGCTACTGTATTGTATGCCCTTATCGCTGAGATCCTGGTCAATACTGTGGATGTTGTATTGAAAAATGTGGCAATTGACGAGAAGTTTCTCGGAATAACATTGTTCGCACTCGTTCCCAATACCACCGAATTCCTGGTAAGCCCACGCAGCTTCTATCAATTACTATCTGGAGCTGACTTTGTTCTAGAACGCTATATCTTTCGCTATGAATGGTAACATTGCTCTGTCCATGGAAATCGGATCAGCCTATGCGCTCCAAGTTTGCCTTCTCCAAATTCCTGCCCTAGTGTTGTTCAGCGCCATTACAGGACAATGGCTCGAGAGCCCAGACATTGCCGATCGCACATTCAGCCTTATCTTTCCTCAATGGGATATGGTCACTGTCATCCTGTGTGTCTTCCTTCTGAGCTATATGTACGGCGAAGGGAAGAGCAACTATTTCAAAGGCTCGATCCTTCTTCTCAGTTACCTCGTGGTCATGGTGGGGTTCTGGCTCTCTAGCATGACAGATATCAGTACCATGGGTATGAGTCGGTTTGATACTATGACTGCTGCTGGAACTTACAAGACTATTGGCAGGAGACATTCTGGCCCTGCGTTCCAATCGTGATAGGTTAAGGAGGCGATTTCTTAATGGATTTGTTTGAGTGCAGATTTGATCATTTGAGCGCTGGCGTTGATGGAACAGCTGGATTTTACACTCAGGACACCTAATTTACTTTACAGCAGTTTCAGAGGAGTCATGTGTATGATAGTGGATAATAATAAACATTTGTGCAAACCAAAAGGAAGAGGGGAGCCATATCGCCTCTCACCTTACTTCTCACGTTTTACCCTTTAGCATAAGTAATACCTCCTAGAATTCCGACTTGAGTAGCAGGTGAAGGCAAAATGAATACAGCTTGACCTAACGCCCGATTTGGTTAATATACGTATCTTATATATTCTTGTAGCTAGCCTACCTTAGCAAGCGCTGCCGCATTATTCGTATATTCACAACTCGTTTGTCACCTTACCGCTGGACAATTTTGGGAGACTAAGGCGACCCAATTATGTATGTCCGTGCCACGGCTTATAGATGCATGTATGCGTTGTAATCAATGAACGCATGCCGACTATCATGATCAGCGACAGAGAAGTCGGCATTGGCAAATTGTGGAAGTAGGGTTAGATATAGGTGGATTATACGACATGTACAATGGCAGGATGATAATTCAAAATCCGTATTCTATCAAGGCCTTCAGGCAAAATATATATATACCCTAAAAGGTACCAAGTGCCTAGTGTAGGCCCGTTGCTTGTCCTCCAGCTAAGAGCAATTGTGTCTCTAGAAGAGGACGCTGATGTTATATATATGATGTCACTTTAGACATTGTGATGGTTTCTCCAAGAACTTGATATCATACCTAAATAGGCTTAGGAGTCGACGACTATCAATTATATGACATCCCTAACTAGTTACTAATTAGTTCAAGGCAACAGAGTTGATGGTTCTGTGGCTTTTGATAGAGTGGGGGTTGCCAACACTACTCGCGTCGGAAAGTAGATCGCTACCGAAACCAGAATAATTTTCGTCGAAAGGTCTCCACCTCCCCTTTGCCATCACAGTTTCCAAAGTACAAAAGAGCGTCACAGACATCGTGTCCAAAAGCTCTCTATTGCACTGCGATACGGTGAATTTGTATTACTGTTGAAAGATTGTATTTTATAATTTCTCGTTACTTTGGGTATGTTATTCTAATGCCCCGCACTTTTGTCCCTCCGCTGTTACCCCACCTATAGCAAGCAAAATCATTGTTAGATGGCCCTGTTAACACATATCAATAGAAATCCCCGGTTTGAAAATGACTACGATGTTGCCCTTCCGCAAGCCCCAGTCGAGGCAAGCTTCAATTGAGTGAGGATCCCTCCACTCTCTATATCAGCATTCATACTTACGCTTTTTAGTCCTCACCACGATTTGAACCCGCTTGTGGATCACTACATCGGTATTGATGTTGGAACCGGTAGTGCAAGAGCATGCATCATCGATTCAACTGGTGATATCAAAGCTTGTACGTATTTCTTCAACGCATTTTGTGTCAAGTAACTAATGAAATAACACAGTGGCAACAGAGAACATTGGCCTCTGGCAACCAGAGACTGGCTACTATGAGCAGTCCACCACCGACATCTGGAGATGCATCTGCATGTGTGTCCAGCGTGCTCTGAGCCAGCACAACATCGACCCCAGCACAGTTCGTGGAATAGGTTTTGATGCTACCTGCTCTCTCGCAGTCTTCTCTCACGACACAGATGAGCCCATGTCTGTCACGGGACCTAATTTCAACAACGATGGAAATGACCGTAACGTGATCCTATGGCTTGATCATCGACCTGTCCAGGAGACTGAGAAAATCAATGCCACTAACCACAACCTCCTTCGTTATGTTGGAGGCAAGATGAGCATTGAGATGGAAATCCCCAAGGTGCTCTGGCTGAAGAATAACATGCCCCCCGAGATGTTTGATCGGTGCAAGTTTTATGATTTGGCGGATGCTCTAACACATATTGCTACCGGGAATGAGACGAGGAGTTTCTGTAGCACTGTTTGCAAGCAGGGTTATGTTCCTGTTGGTGTGGACGGCAGTGTTAAGGGGTGGCAGGAGGACTTCTATGAGGCCATTGGATTGGGAGATCTTGCAAAGGATAATTTCAAGAGAATGGGTGGAGTCGATGGGGTGGTGAGCCTTTTTCATTACGATTTTCATTATGTAGTTGGTTTTCATGAAAATATGCTGACCGATAGCAGAACGGGAAGTACATGAGTGCGGGTGAGCTGGTCGGTACTCTCAGCGAGAAAGCCGGCAACCAACTTGGCCTCCCCGCGGGAATTGCAGTCGGAAGCGGTGTCATTGATGCCTATGCCGGATGGGTGGGCACTGTGGGAGCAAAAGTCAATCTGAGCTCCGAGGAACTCGACACTGATGTCCCAAAGAACGATATGTCCCAAGCATTCAGTCGACTGGCAGCTGTAGCCGGGACCTCAACCTGCCATCTGGCCATGTCTAAAGAACCCGTATTTGTCAACGGTGTCTGGGGACCATACCGAGATGTGCTTCTTCCAAACTACTGGATGGCCGAAGGTGGACAATCAGCCACCGGAGAGCTGCTCAAACACGTCCTTGAAACTCATCCTGCCTATAACGAAACCCTATCCATTGCGGAATCCTTCAACACCAGCATCTACGACTACCTAAACTCCCATCTGGAAGAGTTGAGAGAGAAGATCCGAGCACCAACAGTTTCCTATCTGGGCCGACATTTCTTCGTCTATGGCGACCTCTGGGGTAACCGCTCACCCATCGCTGATCCAAACATGACAGGCTCAGTCATCGGGCTCAGCAGCGACCGAAGCATGGACGGACTCGCCCTTTACTACTATGCCACTATGGAATTCATCGCTATGCAAACGCGTCATATCGTCGAAACCATGAACACAGCAGGCCACACAATCACCAGCATCTTCATGTCCGGTTCCCAATGCCAGAACAAAATCCTCATGGAGCTAATGGCAACTACATGCAACATGCCCGTTCTAATCCCGAGATACGTGCACGCGGCTGTGGTCCACGGAGCGGCAATGCTGGGTGCTAAGGCCGCGAGTGCGGATAAGGACGGGAAAACTGAGGATCTGTGGAGCATTATGGATCGGATGAGTAAACCAGGAAAGATTACTAGACCTGGCAAAAATGCGGATGAGAGGAAGCTGTTGGATGTTAAGTACAAGGTGTTTTTGGACATGTGCAAGACCCAACAGGATTATCGGCAGATGGTTAATGATGCTGTTGGAGAGTGGGGAAGTACTTCAAGTTCTTGAGTGGAGCTTCGCTATGCTTTGTATCTCAGGTACAGAACAAGCGCCAAAATGATATGAACGAGTCGGATGTTATGCTCCTATTATAGAGGGAGTAAAAGTAATAATATATGTTTGCCAAAAGAAAAATGACAAAAGAAAATTGGCCAGCCCCTTAATGACTATATCAGACATTTATGAGCCTCATTAAGCATCTCTTGATTCTAGCCTCTCTACTAGGGCCCACATATACCCGAACCCCAACAGCCTACATCTCACCAAGAGACAAGACTCGACTTCATACGGCCAAATATACCAGTTTGGAAACTTCGCGGGCTACAGATACAGCCATAATAATATTTGAATATATGTATTAACGCGGTAAAACTAAAGCGAATTACCAACCCCATCTATTGCTTTTGGTCCCCCCCGCCCCAGCCCATTTCCTACACCATAACACCGCCACCAAACAATACAATCCAGCCATCCGCCCAAAAAGTCCTATCTCCTATCCCCTTCAGTCTTCAGTCGATACGTATCATGCAGCCCCGGAAAGGCGTTCGCAAACGCGGGTCCCAAGCTCCAATTCTCCAACCTCCTCAAATGCCTCTCGAAAACCGGATTAATCATTAAATCGTCCCCCTCCATATTACTCAACAACGAATCTGTAGGCTCATACGGCCAATTCAGACTAAGCGTTGACGTAAACGGAATAAAGAAATTATCAAACAGATAATCCCTAGGGTTATAGTCCCTCACAAGCTTATCCCGCATCTTGGGCCAAGGGATATGATCGATCCATGGAGGATGAGGGGTGAAGAGCTGGGAGGCACGTGGGGTTACCCAGTCGGGGAGACGGTCGTAGTTTTCTTGTGTGGGGAGGATTTGCCAGCGCATTATCAGGAACATTATGTAGAGGACGGCGACTCTTTCGGGGAGCGTAGAGAGGTCGGGGAAGGTTGCGAGGATATCAGTAAATACTTTTGAGAGAGGGTGCGAGTGGATGCTGTTGGCTGGGTTTAGGAGCGAGGATACGCTGGGATAGGCTGGTCCAACGAGGCTGGGTGGTGCTAGACAGGAGCAAATCAATATGATGTCCTAAGGGGGGTTGTGAAAAATGGGAGTGTGAAGGGGAGATATTATACAGTTTCCTGGGAGGACATATGAGACTACAAGCCCAGTTTCCGGGCTAGCAAGTGCTGTTTTAAGGAGAGGGGTTCCCTTACCGACGCCATCTGCAGCCTGCTGCTGCCTTTCATGCAATAAATCAAGTAGCACGCTATCCAAAGGACAAGTAGGAGGTCCATTCCGAATAGGCGCCGCATGTGCCATAATCTCCTGCCCAGAGCTCCCGGCATTATAACCACCAACACCAATGGAATTCCTCCTACGAATCGCCGGACTTCCCAGATCCGAAGGCCGATTCGCCTGCACAAAACTGGATCCCTCCTGCGCACTATTCAGGCCATTTGAGATCTTGGCTATTCTCTGGGTGCCATCGAGGAGGAAATCCAACCCCAGCCGTTCGGGGCCCATATCTAGATTATGTGCCATATGGTGTCTTTGCTGCATTAACTGCTGGCTGTGGGCGGTTTGGACTTGGGAATATGTTTGAGGATCATGACCCATTGGGGCCGAGACGGCTGGCCATTGTGCTGAGCCTGTGGCTCTAGTACTGGGAGAAGCCACGCTGGTGGGTGTTGAAATGGTGTGGCTCGAGGAACGTGGGCGAGGATGGACAAATGGCGGCGCAGGAGGGGTATATGCAGAAGAAGCTTCAATGCCTATTAAAATCAGTATAAATATAAATTACATTATTCGAGTAAATCACTAGAGCAATAAACTAACCTTGTTGTCCAATAATTGGCTGTATCAACGCCATCACCGACGCCAATCTCTTCTTAATATCGGCATTCTCAGCCTCAACCAACTCCTTTTGCCGCAGAACATGCTGTGTCTCCTGGTACGGCTGCTGCGACGTCAACTCGCGGATCTTCTTCTCTAGACTCTCAATCTGATTCTTAGTGCGCTCGCGGATTGCGCGCTGAGCTTCGCGGTCATTTGCGCGCTTCTTCGCAAGCTGGTCGGGGGTGAGGTTTGCGACGCCTCTCGAGCTTGTACTCGCCCCCGTCCGACGCCTCTTGGTGCCATCTATGGCCTGGTCGGTCGGAGAATCTACGGTCGCATCTTCCGACAGATCGCGCTTCTGCTGCTGAGCTTGTGGAGCTTGTGGGACTTGTGGTTGAGGCTGTGGTTGCGACTGAGGTTGCGACTGCGATTGCGATTGCAATTGCGGAGGGGAGTATGGGTGTGTTCCCTCATCACCGGGCATTCTTGCTGCGATCGCCCGTCCAAGAACGCACTGCCGGGTCCTATGTTCCAGCAGGCGGCGGCGCGCATGGGTTCTTCTTGTGGGAACTGATCTTGATGCGCATCGACTCGACTTGTCGGATGGGACAAGGCCGTGCTTCGTATACCTTGGTACGAGTAACTGTAAGTGATGGATTTATGCAAGGCTGACCGCGTCAGTCATGTTTCGTTTCGTGCCTGGGAGTGCGCGAGTCATGTAATAAATGGATAATGCGCGGTCGATCAAGGCTTGAGTCTGGGGAGGATGGACGAGGGCGAAGAAGAGTCGAGTTGCCGCTCGACTAACTTGCTGCTGCTAATAGCGGCGTTTCCCCAGATTTAATATCCTCACTTTATTGCTGTTCTTGGGGCACTACGTACCAAGTACAGCACAAAGAACGGTCACGATTGTAGGTCAACGTTGCTTGTTCTCCGCATTCATCGTCGCGAAAGTAATAATCATCCAGATCTAGGTAGCCATTTGGTGCCTTATTGCACATGTCTCTATTATACACTTGGATTTCGTCCCTCCTCTCATCACCCGCCCACCGCAAATAATACCTTTCCATGCCCAATCGCTTATTCCGATTGAGCCCGCGCCAGAGCCTCATGGAGATGTGCTGGGAATCTATATCTCAACTGGCTCGTAAATGTTGTCATGTCCATGTTCTTCTGCTTCATGTCTTGGATCATCATCTGCCTTGCGCCGTCATTCGCGCTATATTGGCTGCTCATCAAGCTCTCACGGAGCTGGTTCGCTGCTAAAATACTCCACATGAGAAGATTGGGTACAATATTTGCGACTGGCTGAAGGAGCGATGAGAATTTGCCAGCATAGCGTCGGATGACACTTGCATCCCCCCTGGCCTCGAGGGGAAGGATATCGACGGCGCTAATACCCTGTGATAGATTTCATTAGTATAGATTCCAGAAACCCGAGGTGGGAAAACTCACTTCCAGTACCAGAGACCAGTTCCCTTGTTCGGCCAGCTTCCTTATATCAGCGATACTAACTAAAACAGAACATGCGTGTTTATTGTCTGGTTTGATCCGGTCTAAATATATCTTATTGGCCCCATAGTACACAGCCATGCTCCTAGCAAGTACTACCGGATCGTCGACGGATGACAGACTAAGGCTACCCTTCTTCACTTGCTCAGAACTGGGATTGGGATGCGGCTTCAGTGGTTCCAATCGTAAGGTATCTTGGCCGAGAGGCACTGCCAAAGATTCGCTCATTGCCCGATTGAGAATGACCAGCACATTATCATATTCCTCTGCAAGGTGGTATAACAAGACCGCGTCGGTCGTTCGCCCGTTGTCGTCTGCAGCACTCGCAGCTTGCATCGTGATGGTCCGTACGAGGTCGTCCGTCTGGCTTAGACCAATCAGGCGCATGCGCTCTTCAATCAGGCCCATCACACGCTGTCCATCACCACGAAGATCTCCCAATAGCAAGGCGAAATCTTTGCTTTCAAGAACAAGTTCCCGTAATGCTTCGTGGCATAAGGTAATTTGATTAGTGCCTGCTTGGCCAGGAAGATCTTGGTTCAGACACAGGAGGACTAGGTAGTCAACTGCTGCAGAGACGTTTGCAGCCCTGAAGTCGCGAGTATAGTAGCCAATCATGCGACCAAAGTTGATTTGGGGTTTCTCCCTCGTGGTGTAGCTCAACAGATCCTCCCCACTTGCATTAGGGTCAGACACTCTCAACAAGCCATAGTAATCTGCGGCTATAGCTAGGTGAACGGCATCGCCGTAGGAGTAAGGGTAGAGGTACGAAACAGCCTCCTCAAACATACCGCAGGCAACCTGGAAGAAAACGAAAGTCCCAAAGGAGCAGCCAACTTCGGCGCCTCCTTTGAGGAAAAATCTGCTACCGATTTCTTTCATTGTTTTCTGCAGGTCCGCAAGCCCGTATACTTCATTGGCGATCTCGTCAACCCGGTTGATCTCTCGTGCAAGCGCTAACTGAAGCCAAACGAAATCCTCCACAGTGTGGTTAATACCCTCAAGATTTCGGGACTTGAGATCACAGCGACCGATGACTTTGTAGCAGGCCATTCTATACGGATCGATGGAGTTCTCCGGGGCTATGCGAAGGCGTTGGTTGTATTCGCTGGTGATGCGGTCCTGAAGGTCTCGGCGAAGTCGTCTATCAGGGCTGTTGCAGTAGTCCGTAATGTAGGAAGCAAAGTTGCGGTCGATGGCCCGGAATGCGACAGCATTAGCGGTCACATATTCGACGATCTCTTGAATATGACCAGTCCGCAAAAGATAATATACTAGTGCCCAGACATAGTCATTCCCAAGCATCTGCAAGTCGGTATTATCGCCAACAAGGCGCTTCTTTAGAGCCAATAACCGGACGTAAGCCTTCAATTTATTTATCACATTGGGTATGCCCCCAACGTTCGCTTCTCGAGCATTCTTGTTGAGGACAGACTCCATCTCTTCGAAAGCTAAATTTTCAAGACACCTGGCACCTCCACGTAGAATCCTCTTCTTGACTTCGATATTCTTGGCCTCGGATGGCGTTTCGTCCAGGTAGGCTGTCGCAAATTGGCGCTCCTTTACTGCAATTGGGTCCGAGGGTGGCTCAATCGCCTCGGGCTCAGAGACTATCTCAATCAAGGCTTTATATGCCTTAACAAGGTCTGGCCCATGTTGTTCACCCACTTGGTCAACCACTTTGGCGAACTCGTGGCATATTGGGTAGCAGCGCTTTTCCAGCCTCACTAGGTTCAGCTCTTGTACCTTCTCAGCGTATCGTAACTGTTTCTCCCGCTGGAATCGGTCCGCCGGAGGGGTTGCGGTGACTCCATCTGCCTCCAGCTTCTTCTCCACATCAGCAAAAATCTGTTGACTTGGATTTCCCACAGAGCTTGCTGCTCCAATAGCTGACTTCTGTAGACTTGACCTTCCAAAGCTACTCATGCCACCAACTCCAGAAGCCCTTGAGCTAGCCAGCGCGGCAGCTTTACTTCGTTTCGATCGGCCAAATCCAGCTGATGACTCGGAAGAAGACGTCCGGAAAGTTGATCGCCCATGCGTAGGTGCGCCTTCTCTAGGTTTGATCCCGAAATGTTGATATATCCTCTTGCGCTGAGCATCCCACTCCATCGTCACATTATCTTCTAAGAAGGCGTCGAAATCGCGAGTAGATCGTGCTAGGCCATCAGAGATCATGCTCAGTGTGTTTTGCGTCTGTATGTTTGCGAGATAGCCTTCCACATCCGTATCAGCAGCCTGTTGAGCCGGTACCCTCTCAGCTTTCCCAGTTGCTGCGCTGAAAAGATTCAAATCTCTCACTGCTGCTCCTGGATCGACACCGGAAGCAGCAAGAAGATAATGCGCCTTGCCATCCACGCTTCGATCTGGTGCCCCCGGACCCAGGCTCCTCATCCGCTGTCGAAGATCTCCTAACCCGAGCTGAAGTTGTGGCAGCCCCTCCCCAGCTGTATCATCGTACATCCTCTTCCGACTCTTCTCCAGTATGGAATCGAAATAAGCGTGGTTCTGGCCACTCTGCTGCGATTGTTGACCGGCGGCTTGGGATGTAGAAACAGATGCCGAGCCTTGTGGCTGGGTTGTCCCGAAAAGTCCTCCACTGGGCTGTTGGGTTTGCGAATTCGATCCCAACGTAGTACCTCCTCCAAAAAGACCACCACCAGATGGCTGTGTGCTGGCCCCAAATCCTCCGCTACCAGCTAATGTGCTCCCTCCTAAACTACCCCCAAAGAGACTCGACGGTTTCGACTGCGATGAAGCTGGCACGCCTCCCTGCGGTTGCTGCTGCGATGTAGCCGTCGAACCCAGAGACCCAAACAATCCACCGCCAGTACTTGATGCCGGAGGTCTTGAGTTCAGTCCACCAAACAGGCTGCCGGCTTGCGACGACGAGTTGGTGATCCCGCCCTGGTTCAATCCTCCAAAGAGTGACATTGTGGCAAGATGTTGAAAGCGAATGAGGGTGAAGAGCAAGCGTGCTGCGCTGCACTTTGTGCAAGCGCTCGAAAGCTGATGGAGCTCGAAATATTAAGGTCGAAGCCGCGATTATTTTGGGTGCAAGTCGCGACGCGAACCATTGGTCACAATAGGAACGAGCTGGCCAGTACTTGGTGCCTGAGGCTTGAATATTCACCTTCAGCAAACGAGCGAATTCGTTTGTTCACCTTCGGAATTGCAACATGTCTCTTTTTGACATACAGTATTTAAACCAGACTAAGAACAAAGCAACCCCTCTCAGCCAACACAGTACCATGTCGATGACAATATGTCACGATAAGCTTTAACTTTGCCAGGCATGTGCTAGAGCCAACATATTTGTTGCTTATGGAACCAGTCCAACTGTTATGTTATTGTCAAGGGGGTTCGTCATCCAGACTCGCCAACCAGACTGCTGCAAGTCATGAATTGAACATATCTCGCCCATAGAGGCCAATCCATCGCACAAAGGGTATGAAGTTTTTAGGGCCAAACTTTAGTAATACGAATTTGCGAAATAGGCGACGCATCTGTGTCTTGTCCATCAACCGATGAGAGAACCGCTTGGCCATTCAGAATAGGTGTGCCTTGCCTTCTTAATGCATACTCGAATATTTCCTTTCTAGGGCCAGATTTTATGCACTACAGGTGTCATGTTGTCACCGAGGTGCAACCTATTTCCCGATGTGAGCAAATACTCATGACTTCCTTAAACTACGAAGTAAACACCATCGTTATGGGGTTTGAGATTAATCCTCCAACTGTGCTGTGGTGGGGCAGCTGCAACCACTTCATGATCCTCTGTTTTGCCTCCAAATTGTATTAGTTAGACACGTGGATAAGTGAGACGGTTGGGCTTATAAGCTCATGGCTCTCACTTTCCCTTTTACCCACGTCCAGCGATGCCCTCATACAGAGGTGCAGCTGGATCAGAGAGAAGCTGGTCAGCCAGAATACGAATACACTGAATTCGCCGTATTTATATTGATTACTGGATTTTGTGACTGTTAGTCGTCCTAAATAATACCACCTGGGAGCGCCTTGAGTCTTCACTCCTAAGAACACTAAACCACTGGTTTGGTCTTCTTCTGCTATATGGCCACCTGACGATACGGCGACGGCGCCACCGCCTCTGAATTATCCATTCATTTGACCTGCGATCTTTTGGTTGTTTTATCCTCGATTCCTCCTAGTATTACTAAGAGTCCAGTACTGGAATATTTTGTGACAAGACTAGCTGAGCACTCGAGTATTCTATACCGCTAAATATCAATAATGGCCGAGGGGCCAATCACATCTTGCCACACTATCCGTGACGATTTTAATGTGCCATTAAAATCCAGAAGTATGCTACTTTCTACCTCTGAAAGAAAGTCAAAAGGCTAACTCGACTCTAAGGCGGTTTCCTAAGTACAGCGCAAGAACTACTAGCCAACCATGATTTGATTTTGTTTCGAAGTGAGCTTCCTGCTTCGTGGCTTGTTTGGACTCCGGCCCCTGAGAACATACGAGCTTACCCATCTAGTCGTTATTGGGCGATGATTGTTACCTAGGAGGCAACTTAATGGGGCAATTTACAAATAAAGTCAGTGCAGAGTAATATGGCAAGAGAGTTCAAGTGCTCAGGAACATCTAGACTCAATGATAGCAGGCAAATACCCACAAAATATAACTCTATGAGAATAGGGGACTTGGGACAAAAGCAGTCTAGTTCTCTGATTGGTTGAAACTACTTTGGTAAGTCGTATTCTCTATTCGGCAAACGTTGGATATTAATTGAACCTAAAATTTTGTGCCGGTAGACGAGAGTTGAGAAACTTCCGGAGGTCCAATTAGGTACTTGGAGATCATTAGTTACATGGAAACAACCAAGAATATAAGAGATTTAGTTGTAAGCTTCGGCAAGTAGCTTTCAGATTGAGATAGAACCTTGTATTTCCTGCATTTCATGTACCACCCTAACCTCCTCACTGGCAAAAATAGTATCTATTTGGGTACTGGAATCTGATAGTACAGCACTTGTGGTCAAGTACGGAGTAGCTCCTCCCAAATAAGAGGCACCCACGTTCTGGTACGTCATCCCGTAATCGATCGACACGCCCGCACATAGTACAAGCTAAGCAGCATATGCAAGCCATTCGATCCCGCATTCGGATGCCCTGAAAACCGAGGGAAATTCAACTCGACTGTCGATGGGCGGTAGGTATCCCTTATGAATAGATAAGGGGTTTAAAATGATCGATTGTTGGTTATCAGTGACGTCAGTGTGGCTACCCAAGGTAGTTCTCATCAAAGCCACCGCGGCTCCGGGGCCATGTCCGCCTCCGCATGTTTCGATGCTACTGATCGAAATACAGTTACGAATACAAGGCGCCTACTACCGACGGGCCGGACTCGTGAAATGCAGCTAAACCGCGGAAAATATGGAATGGTACGAGATCGAATGGGAGGAGGTACGAGTATAAAGCTTGGTCACCTTCCAAAAATAACGGAACGCCCCGATTCCTAGTATTCTAGCCATCTCAAACCGATATATATATATTCTAGACACAGGGTCGTGTGCTGAACTTCCGATCGTTCAATTGCGAATATTGCGCGGTTCCGCTGTCATGCATCAACGCGAGAGAGAAGGGGTACCAGAGCTGGTATTCGAGACAGCTAGAGAGAGGGATCTTTACCAGTAGGTCCTCATGAACTGTCAACTCGGCCCAGCCAAGCCTATTAAATCCTAATTAGATACTACCAACCTTCATTTTCACCTGTCGCTCCGGACCATCCCCCCCGATCCTCAGATGATACGGCATTGTCTTCCTTCGCTCAACTAGCGACCCTACGTTTAGGCACAAGGCGTGCGTTGATATCTCTCATTGATCGAACGAATCAGTACATTCTCGCCGAAGCTACGCAGACATTATCCTTCCGGTCTGATTCGGTGCATAACGATCAGGATGAATTATGGTTTGGATGCGCAACGTTACCCAGGTCGCGGGGGCTTTGCGAGGAGGCTCTTGATATGCTGGATTCGTCCAAGTCACAGAGGCTATCACCCCTGATCATCAGCGATCTCACCCAAGATGCCAAATTTAAGGATCGGCCATTCGTGACGAGCCGCCCATCGTTGCGATTTTATGCTGCGATGCCTATTACTACCAAAGCAGGCTTCAACATTGGAAGCCTGTGTGTTTTGGATGATAAGCCAAGGGATGGACTAAGTGACTTCGAAATAGGGTTCTTGGGCGATATGGTAACCACCATCATGGCTCACTTGGAAATGCGCAGAGTCAAGGCAGAGCACAGACGGAGCGCGATGATGGTCAAAGGAATTGGACTTTTCGTGGAAGGAGGGAGTACGATGCGTGAATGGTGGCGCGAGGCAAGAAACGACAAGGCGTCGCGACAACAAGGTTCGAAAGGTGTAGTAGAAACAGATCCAAAGCCGATATCCAAGGAGAATACATCTGCTACCAAGAACTTAATACCCGAAGCCGCAGGCCATTTCGAGTTGGCTAGCAATCTTTCCGCTCTTCGTCGACCTAAGCTAGCGGAACACTCTCTAGCCAAGACTCAAACCGAGCCAGTAGTTGAATCACCGTCGCCTTTAGCAAAGCCGAGAGATAATTCCACAGCTTGGAACGTGGGAGACCAGGGAACTCTCTCCTTTCTAACTCCGGTATCCTCGGCGATACCTGCCCGAGAGCAGGAGGTATCTCCGATATCAAGCACAGGAGAGGGCCCGCGCCCTACCCTTCCAGCCCAGAGCTTAAGATCCTCCACAGGAGACCTGCAGGAAATCATGCTCTCCAAAAATCTCAAAGATATGTTTTCGCGTGCGAGCAATATCATCCGAGAATGCATTGAGGTCGACGGGACCATCTTTCTAGACGCTAGCATTGGTACGTTTGGTGGACACACAGGCGAGTCCCATATCAGACCTGATCAGTCAGGGATAATAGCGGGCCAACACCAAGGGTCTGCCATATCAAGCAGTGAAGAAGATCTCTCGGGGGGTCGTGCCAGTGATGCAGAGATATCAGATGTAAGCCCTACCGGTAGCTTCGCGAGTCTACCGTCATGGAACCCATTAACTGATGGCGGCGAAGAGAAGGAAAAAATGTGCGGTATACTAGGTTTTTCGACAGCGGGAAAATGCAGCTTAGAAGGGCATGAGGCTTCGGAGAATTATGTTCCCGTTAAGGAGGCATTTCTCCAAAGACTTCTTCGCAAGTACCCTCACGGACAGGTCTTTAGCCTGGGTGGGACAACAAAAAAAGGAAGAGGAAGTGCTAAGCAGGCGGAAGCAGTTGCCCTGCTCCAGATGCTTCCTGGCGCTCGTAGCGTTGTCTTATTCCCGCTGTGGGATTCTCACCGTGAACGATGGTTCGCGGGCAGTTTTGCCTGGACTACCCAATCGACACGAATACTTACACGTGCTGAAGACTTAAACTATCTTGCGGCCTTCGGAAATAGCATCATGGCAGAAGTTGCTCGACTAGATGCAGTAACCGCAGATCGAGCCAAGTCGGACTTTATCTCGTCCATCAGTCATGAACTCCGATCCCCACTTCACGGTATCCTTGCCTCGGTGCAGTTTCTACATGACACAGCGATGGACTTGTTCCAGAACAGCATGATTGATACCATTGAACGATGTGGGAGAACTCTTCTGGACACCATCCAACACGTACTTGATTTTGCGAAGATCAACAACCTCACGAAGTCAAAATGGAATATGAAACAGGGCAAAGGGCCGCCTGATCTAGAATCCCATTCAAGAAGGATGGGCTTAAGCGTCGACATTGATGTTAGCGTGATCACTGAAGATGTCATCAATGCAGTGTACGCAGGCCATATATTTCAAGGTAATTCGTCCCTAGCGGTGGCCGACGAAGCAAGCGGATTCCCCTCCGAAGGACTACGAAGTAGCGGGTTTAGCAGCACCGACACAATTGCGGATCAGCCTTCAGATCAACCTACATTGAAGAAAGAACCCCTTGTCATTATTATGGATATCGGCTGGAGACCGAACTGGATTTTCAATACACAGTCTGGAGCTTTACGAAGGGTCTTGATGAATCTCTTTGGCAATGCTCTGAAATATACGGATGCGGGATGGGTCAAGATCTCCCTTCAATCCAAAGACATCATGCCGATAAACCACCAATCCCAACGATCCATTATCACGATCATTATCAGTGATTCTGGGAGAGGAATATCCCAAGAGTTTCTTAATAGTCAATTATTCACGCCATTTACACAGGAGGACCCTATGAATCCCGGAACTGGGTTAGGCCTGAGTATAGTGCTGCAAATTATACGCTCGCTTGGGGGTTCAATCGATGTTCAGAGTAAGCCAGGGCTTGGGACCGAAGTGAAGGTATGTCTCACCTTAGACCAAGCGCTAATTGCTCCTCAGTCTCTCGCTCCGGACACTAAGTATAAAAATCCGGTTATGAGTGCGAGGAGGAAGACAAGCGGACTGACCTTAGGCCTCGTGGGGTTTCATGCTTCCTCAAGCATCCCAGGGGCGCGTGCTGGTACCGTTAAAGTCAAGCCGGAACTCGATTTACCTCTCCAGGAGTCGCTTGAAAATATGGCCACAGACTGGTTTGATATGAAAGTCACGGCACCAGAATCATGGGAAGCTTCGCCACCAGATATCTATATTGCAAACGAGTCAGCATACCCCGTCGAGCTTTTAAGATAGTTGCTTTACTCACCTCAAGTGAAGAAATCCTAATGTCGCCAATCAATTCCGCAGAGCTCCCACTATTATACTTTGTTCGGATGCATCTGTATACCGTGCTTACGCTCGGAGTATGAGGCAAGGTGCTCAAAACAGCGACAGTGGGCTTGTCCACTTTGTCTCTAAGCCGTAAGCGGCTCCAGACACCCAGCATCCTAGTTCCTAGCTAGATATTGAAACTACAGCCTGTTGGACATGAACATTGCTAACTTATCCTCAATAGGTGCGGCCCTCAAAAACTCGCTAAAGCGTTTACGTTTTGTTTAAGTAACGCTTCACATCCGTCTACGAATCGCCTTCCTCAATTGACACCTCTCCTAACTCCGAATGAGAGTTTATCTTCTCCGCAGAGTTTCCTCGGGGCCTCCCCGGATCCAGCATTCCATCCAAGGGAGGTTCATCCACGAAGCAGATATTTCCCTACCAGTATTGGGCATCCACTCGGGAAACCTTCCGAAGGAGGTGGGTCTTTAGCACTCGGTATAAACTCTCACAAAGCCACAAATAAAAGGCCGGTGTTGCTCTTAGTTGAGGATAACTACATCAATATGAAGGTACGCCCAAATTGTGCGGAATATTGGAAATTTATTATCTTCCCTAGTCACTAGTATCAGGACTGATGGTGTCAAAGCTTCTCGAAACCTTCGCAAAGAAGAATAACTGCAAATATGGCTCAGCGGAGAACGGTTTGTTAGCGTTGCAGGCATTTCAGAGCTCGCGGAACCTTTACGACATTGTATTCATGGGCAAGTAAATCTCCCCCTAAATGTTTGCGAAATCCTGACTCAAAAGCAGACATCTCTATGCCGGTCATGAACGGAATGGATGCCACGCGAGCAATTAGAAAACTAGAGAATGAGCGAGGACAGATACCGGCGCTGATCATCGCTTTGACCGGTCTTGCCTCTGATAGCGATCGACAGGAGGCATTCTCCAGCGGCATAAACCTTTTCCTGACAAAACCAGTCAGTCTCAGTGAGCTCCGAGAAATTTTGAATGCCTGGGAGCCGAGTACGGATGCGCAATCTACAGGAGTATCAGGAAGAAGAAAGTAGAGTGACGGTAAGATGTAACCTTGGGCAACTTCCGGCCAGTTCGGACTGCGGCTCTAGTATGCTAAGGAACGTGGCTCAGAGCTCAAAGGGCGAGGAGATAATACGGCTATAATAGTCTCCTTACTCGGGGGTCTTTGTAGGCGCCCTAGGGGCAGTGTTTATTTGACGATTGATTGGCAACCCTTCTATAATAGCGGCAATGACATGATCAAGATATGGGGACAATGCTAGCGGGTCCTAGATCAGTAGTAATGGTACTAACATTCTTTGGCGTTCTCTAGAATATCAATATCATATACCTCGGTAGTTAAGAATCCAATTATTGCAGCACGATATCTGGGTCACAGCGTTCTTATTCCCGTCTGCTTCCAATTCTTTGTCCTTACGACCGACCGTCTATGTTCCACGTCTATCCCGCAACTTTATGCCCAGTTAATTCCCCTCCTTCCTCGTCATCTCTAGTAGATCCGGTATGGTCGAACTATAGAGATATGCCGTAGCCTGGGGAAGCTATCTAAATTAGCTCTGGCTTCCCAAACAAGTTGTCCCTCCGAGCTTATGCAACACATCAAAGATCAAATCGTAGACCATCGATTTCTAATGGTATTTTTAGAGTATTTAGCCTTTTAGTATTTATAAATACACAAGACCTGCAATGCTCAAACCCAGCCCCTCCCCCCCATCGTGACACCTACCTACTATGCTCCTTTGATAAACAATTCCATCACTTTAAATATATCCACCTACCACTGCTATATTACAGCAATTCGATCTTCCCGGTCCATGGCTTTTCTGCACTTATCGCTGTGGTTGAATGGTTCCCACCACTCCAATTTCTCAATTCAACAGCAGCACGATACTATCACATCATAAATTAGTGGGAAGTCAGAATGGAAAGCTAGGGGGGAAGTAGCAATTAACGTACCCTAAAAGCAAAATTCGCAATCAACGCGATCATCAGCGCGAAACTAACGACGATCGGCCCAATCACGTTATCAAAATCCTTTCCGCTCCTCTCAATGATCATCCCCCTTCTGGAGCGATGAATATAATAACCCCATCCAGCAGCGAAAAGCGCGACAACGAGGTAGGTAATACCCATTGCCATCCTAATCTTGTCATTGCCGGATGCGTTGGAGAGGACGATGGCGAATGCGCCGAGGAGGAAGCAGATCTGTTGCCATTTGAGATATGTCCGTTCGTTGGCTAGCCAGACTTTGGGCTCTATTTGGAGGGGTCCGGAGTCCTTGATGAGTTGAGGGGGTTTGTTCACGCCCGGTGGCAGGGCGACACTGTGTTCGCGTTCGCGACGGGCTTGGGCGTATCGAGAGAGTGAGAAGGAGGGGAAGACCGATGCGAGGGTTCCGTAACCGGTGGCACCACGAGCACTAGATTCTGCCACAGGCTCCGAGATGCGTCTTTCAGCTGCAAAATCGGTACTTGCAATAGTAGACCTGTCCTCTGCTGCCAGCCGTTCTTGCATATAGGATTTTGGAACCGGAGAGCTCACGGCTGGTTTGAAACTCGTGCCTGGTTTTGAAGTTCCCAAGAGGCTGCCAACGACAAGCTCAGCCTCGGCTTTCCTGGCTTTTCTTTCCTCCTCCTCTTCAAAAGCATCGTGTGGGTCTTTGTGGATGTCCGTTTCCACTTCGCTCAGCCAAAACGGCAGGTTATTCACATTGTCTTCAAACAACGAAGCAACTCCGTAAACGAATTTCGAGAACCGAGGGACTTTGTGTACTAGGTGAGAAGACATCAACTCTTCGATCCATTGTGGGTGTTTCTTGACACCATCTTCCCTGACTTTAATCTCCAAGACGGCGTAAGGGAATCTCGATATTTCGCCCTGGCGGATGCTGGAGAATGGATAATCCATAAAATCGACATCTAATCTATGCCAATCGTCGGGGTTTCGGCATGGCCGACTAAGATCTAAGGAATCTTCCCGGATGAACGCTAGGTTCGAATCCACAGATATCCTAACCTTATCGTCCTGTGGTTTCTGGAAAGCCGTGCGGGTATAGTTTGCTCGCAGGACGGGCTGCAAGTCTTTTTCCATAATAAACTCTTGTATGCTCTCCACAGTATGCTTGAACTCCTCGATGGTGGCGGCGGGCTGTCCCTGACGTTCCATTTTCCGTATAGTTTTCTCCATCTTATATTCCCCCTTGATGAACGCTTGAATATACTTCGGTTTTATGCGAAATCGTCGTTCTTCACTAGCTCCGTTATGTATGACATTCTGCTCAAGAGCTAGTTCCGGATTGGACTTCAATTCCCCCGTCCACCGGATCCGGACAGACGAAGAATTGTCAGGTCGATCGAGCTTTTGGTTGTACAAGAAGAAGTCCGCATTGTCGAAATAGAGGGAGCTCAATGTTGGGTCATCTTGGGACTCTAGGCCTTTGGAGGACTGCTCGCTGTAGACGAGGATGGGGAGGCGACGGAGAATGAGTGTTCGAACTTCGAGAAGGTTGTCCATAGGCACCCAAACTAATCCCAGTTAGCAAAAGCATACGGACAAACACGTGTAGGATACTCACATTTATGAGCCACATATCTCTCCCCATTATGAGTCTGGGACAGGGCATCGGAAGGTTCGATGGCCGCCAGGTCAGTAGACTCGTCCAGCTGCTGTCTCACAACATAATACAGCAGCGACAACTTATTCAACAACGGTGTATAACTCTGTTCCGAGTTAAACGGCCTTCTCGAAAGCCGCATCTGGACCATCGGACGGATCTTATATTGCTTCCCGCGCCTGCGATCATGTTTCTTCGCAATCTTCAAAAACCCCGTATAATTGATGTTCCCATACTTCTTCAGCTCATTCACCTCGTTAGTAATAGCATCCAGCTCCTCCTCCACCTCTTTAAACCTAGCCGCCGGGACCTTCTCCTTCGCCGTCCCATCTTCGGGCGCAAGATCCCGCAGGTCCTCGCTCACTTTATTTGTGCGGTCCTCGAGAGATTTGAAGACGGAGGCTCGGAAGGCGGCGATTTCTTCTAGCTGCACGTTCAGCAGCTCGTCGCAGAACCGATTCTCGTCGTCTTCCGTCCAGGTTTCGTCATCCTCGTCCTCCCGTAATATGTTCTTCAGTTTGGCGTACGCGATGTAATGCCCCTCCCATGGCTTATATATCGAGTTCCGTAGCTGCTTTCCGAAACGCATGTTGAACGACCTTGCTCTGCTCGTGCCTCGCCCGCGGCGGATGGGGTCGAGGAGGGTGGTTCTTTATCGAGCTTGCTGGTCCAGGATCAATTGGCGGCACACAACAACAACTGAGAGGACGGCGAGAGGGTGGTTGGGATACGCTGAAGGGAGACTCTACACCTAGAGCAGAGAAGCTATCGCGAGAGAGAGTGCGTCAAAATCAAACAGGAGCTTATATGAAAAATTCACAGAATAGAGAGGCGTTCGTCATATCAGACTGAAGCAGCCAAGTTCTGGTGGTGGAATGTAGTGGGGCGACAGCTCCAGCTAAACAGCGACGTCCACCTCGTAAAACGTGCTGGTCGAAGGTGTTGCGATTGGCCAATTGATCAGCTCTGGTCGCAGATAAGCTTCCAGGCCTCCCTAGCACGCCGCTAGATATACACACGCCCCCCTATATCTAATAACACAGTAATACACTCTCTATGAAGTAATAGGTACGAATTGAACAATACAGTAGCAGAGACTGGTTATCCATTTATTTATTCACATTCACAATCACAATCACAATCAAATCTTAGAGTAAAGTACGCAGTAATTCTCAGGAATAAATATGTACTATGAAGTGCATAATTTATCTACACGAAAAGAATCCAATGCGATCCAACTATGCTTTTTCCAATCCGATTGCTTTTCCCGAAATCATTGTTGTTGGATATCATAAAGCAAGTTAAATGACATAGCCGTCACATCAAGCTTGAAGAGGCAACGAGCCCCCAATTACCTCCAGCTATCATCGTGAGAGCCATGTCCGCATAGTATTATTTTAAATGCGTCAGTGCGTCAAGTGCACAGCCTTCCCCAACTTCGGACGCCAGCTGGGGCATTTCGTGAATGTGCCTCAAGCTTGGTCGGCGTTCCGGCGTTCAGTTAGCAGAAGCGGCTACCTGCTGGAGAGGGACCTGTTCAGCACGCCCACGACCACGTCCAAGGACCTCTTGGTTTGGACGACTGTTAAGAATCTCCTGAGCAGTGCGCTTGACAATGCCGCCGGTGACCGGAAGACTAGTAGAACCTTCAAGATAAAGATCAACCTCGCGAGCTGCCTGTCGGCCTTCATTGATGCCCCTATATTCATATTAGTACAGCATTATACAGTCCTAGAACGGGATGGCAAACTCACCAAACGATAAGAGACTGGCCACGACGGCAATCCCCAGCGGCGAAAACACCTTCAACGTTCGTGCTGTATTTCCCAGGAGGCGTCTTGATATTCTTCCGAGGATCTTTCTCAATTTCATCGCCGAGAACGCGCTCCTCGGGACCCAGGAAACCCATGGACAGGAGAACAAGATCAGCCGGGAAGAATTGCTGAGAATCTTCAATCTTCTTCATATCCCAGCCGCCGGTTGCAGACTTTGTCCACTCGACACGGATGGTGTTAATGCCCTTGACGTGTCCGTCCTCATCACCGACAAATTCCTCAGACATGACACAGTACTCACGAGGATCCTTTCCCATGTGCTGCTTGACCTCAGTGTGGCCATAGTCTACACGATAGATTCTGGGCCACTGAGGCCATGGGTTATCGCGAGCTCGCTCATTTGGTGGCTGTGGAAGCAACTCAAAGTTAGTGACAGAGATAGCACCGTGACGAACCGAAGTCCCGATACAATCGTTTCCAGTATCACCGCCACCGATGACAATAACGTTCTTGCCCTGGGCTGAAAGATATTTGCCGTCTTTCAGTTCGGAATCAAGCAGGGATTTTGTGTTCCTGTGCAAAAATTCCATAGCGAAGTGGATGCCCTCGAGACTCCGGTTCTTGATTGGGAGATCACGAGCTACAGTAGCACCGGTAGCAATGACAACTGCATCATTTTCAGCCTTAAGGTCCATGAGGGTAATATCCTGTCCCACAGCAACATTAGTCTTGAAGACCACTCCCTCGTCGGCCATAAAATCCGTGCGGCGCTTGACGATTTTCTTGTCGAGCTTCATGTTGGGAATTCCATACATGAGAAGACCACCAGCACGGTCAGCACGCTCATACACAGTGACTTGGTGTCCTGCTTTGTTCAGTTGGTCAGCGCAAGCTAGGCCTGCCGGTCCGGATCCGATGATAGCAACGGTCTTTCCAGTTCGGACTTGGGGGGGAGTTGGAATCATCCATCCCATATCGAAACCCCGGTCAATGATTGCGCATTCAATAGACTTAATGCCGACGGGATCTTCATTGATACCGAGGACGCATGCACCCTCACAAGGAGCTGGGCAGACACGTCCCGTAAACTCTGGGAAGTTGTTCGTCATGATCAAGCGGTTAAGGGCATCCCTCCACTGGTCCTGGAAAACAAGCTCATTCCACTTGGGAATGATGTTAGAGATTGGGCAACCGCTATCAGACTGGCAGAAAGGCACACCGCAGTCCATACAACGTGCGGCCTGGTACTTGAGCTCGTCCTCGTCAAGGCGACTTGAGAGTTCCGCCCAATCCCGGGTTCGAGCCTTTGCAGAGCGATATTTCTCGGACCGACGTTGGTACTTGATGAAGCCTCTAGTCTTATCCAAAACAGTGGATCGCTTCTTCTCGACTGCGTCATCACCTACAGATTCTTCAATGTCTTGAAGGTCGGATTTGTGCGACTTCTTCTCTTTCTTGACATTTTCAGGGTTGCCGGGGAGGAGAGGAAGACTAAACTCAGCACGCTTGGCATCGGCTGCCTTGGCGGCCTCTTCCTCGAGAACTCTCTTGTAATCAACAGGAAGGACCTTGACAAAGCGAGGGAGTGCCCGGTTGAAGTCGAGGAGAATGCGAGCTGCAAGTTCAGAGCCGGTATAATGGTGATGATCCTCTATCAAGCCGCGGACGAAGGCAATTTCAGTAGGATCATCAATAGCTGATGCTTCAACCATTTCGGTGTTGAGCTTCGATAAGAAGTCTTGGTCGATATCGAGAATGTAGGCAATGCCTCCGGACATACCAGCGGCAAAATTGCGGCCAGTGCTTCCAAGAATGAGAACGCGGCCTCCGGTCATATACTCGCATCCATGGTCACCGACACCTTCGACGACAGCCGTGGCACCCGAGTTTCGAACGGCGAATCGCTCAGCAGCCACTCCACGGAAGAAACAGGTTCCTGTGGTAGCACCGTACAAGCATACGTTGCCGATGATAACATTGTCTTCTGCCTTGAACACGGCGGCTCGGGGTGGATATATGATCAGCCGACCTCCAGACAAGCCCTTTCCAACGTAATCATTAGCATCTCCCTCTAGCTCCAGGGTGACGCCGGCGGCAAGGAAGGCACCGAAGGACTGTCCCGCGGAACCCTTGATGTTGACATGAACGGTATCCATTGGCAAGCCTTCCTCTCCATATCGCTTAGATATTTGATAGGAAAGAGATGTTCCCATGGCACGATCAGTATTGACAATATCGCACTCAATCCGTGATGGCAGTCCCTTGTCAAGAGTCAATTCAGCCTCTGAAATAAGCTTGTTGTCCAATCTAACGTAGAGACGGTGATCTTGCTTTCGGACGTTGAAAGTGGCAACACCGGGTCTCAGCTTGTGGGCGGGTGTGAGGATCAACGACAAGTCAATGTTTGCAGTCTTGTTGGTGCGGAGGTCCTCGCGAACTTTGAGACATTCGGCATGGCCAACCATCTCATTGATAGTTCTAAAGCCAAGCTCGGCCATAATCGCTCGCAGCTCGTTTGCAATGTAGTAGAAGAAGTTGATGACATGTTCAGGAGTGCCCATGAACTTCTTTCTGAGCTCAGGATCCTGGGTTGCAATGCCAACAGGGCATGTATTGAGACTAGTAGAGATTAGCACAGGGCAAGGCAGAAAAGGTCAAGCAGGGAGGAAAGAGGAGCAACACTTACTGGCACTTTCTCATCATGATACAGCCCATCGCAATAAGTGGTGTCGTAGCAAAGCCCCATTCCTCAGCACCAAGCAAACAAGCAATTGCCACATCTCTGCCAGTCCGGAGCTGGCCATCGGTCTGTACAACAACTCGTCCACGTAAATCGTTCAGGACCAATGTTTGATGGGTTTCAGCAAGACCAAGCTCCCATGGCAGACCAGCGTATTTAATACCAGTCCATCGAGAAGCACCAGTTCCACCATCGTGACCAGAAATCAGGATATGATCGGCCTTTGCCTTCGCTACACCGGAGGCAACGATACCAACTCCAGTCTCGGAAACAAGCTTGACAGATACTCTTGCGCGGGGATTGGAGCACTTGAGATCGTAGATTAGTTGCTTGAGATCTTCGATCGAGTAAATGTCGTGGTGGGGTGGTGGCGATATGAGGCCGACACCAGGGGTAGAGTGACGGGTTCTAGCAATCGACTTCGAGACCTTGTGGCCAGGAAGTTCACCACCTTCTCCGGGCTTAGCACCTTGAGCCATCTTGATCTGAATCTCATCTGAATCAGCTAGGTAATTGGAAGTAACACCAAATCGTCCTGAAGCAACCTGTTTGATGGCGGATCGCATAGTGTCGCCGTTTGCCATTCTTTCGGACCGCTCTGGATCTTCGCCTCCTTCACCAGTATTGGATTTACCCCCAAGACGATTCATGGCAATGGCTAAGGTTGAATGTGACTCCATCGAAATAGAACCATAAGACATGGCACCGGTGCAGAATCTTCGGACGATCTCAGTCCATGGCTCAACTTGGTCGATTGGAACAGGTGTGCATTCATCGAACTTGAAGTCGAGTAGACCTCGAAGGGTACAGGATTTAATCTGCTCATATTCAGCCAGCGAGTACGCCTCATAAGACTTGTCGTTCTTAGTTCGGACCGCATCCTGGATGTTGGCAATTGAGGTAGGATCATTGATATGTGGCTCTCCACCATCACGCCAATGATATTCGCCAGATTCACCTAGACCGGGGACACGAACAGTGTACCGAGATGGGAACCCCTTTTCGTGAAATCGGAAAGCGTCTTCTGCAATGAGCTCGAAGGTAATACCCTTGATTCTGGTAGCAGTACCCTTAAAACAGCGGTCCACAACGGTATCGTCAATACCAAGAGCCTCGAAAATCTGGGCACCCTTGTAGCTTGCCAGTGTGGAAATGCCCATCTTGCTCATAACTTTCAAAATACCGCCGTCGGCAGAGTATTTATAGTTGCGGATGAGCGTATCGTCGCTGAGTTTCTTCCTAACCAAGCCCTCGCGGTTCAACTTCAAGATACATTCCATCGCGAGATAGGGGTTGATGGCATCTACACCATATCCAAGTAAAACACACATGTGATGAACTTCACGTGCCTCAGCCGTTTCAACTACCAACGCAGCAAGTGATCGCCATTTGTTGTTAACTAGATGGTGGTGGACCATGCCGGAGGCAAGAAGAGCAGAAACAGGAACACGGTCGGCGGATGTAGCACGGTCAGAGAGAATGATGATGCGGTCTTTGTTCTCGATGGCTGCGGTGGCCTGGTCGCAAATATAGTCCAAATGATCAAGGTAGCCCTGGACGCCGGCAGATTTCGGGAAAGTCAAGTCAATCACCTTGACAGTCCAAGTAGGGTAGATCTCATGGATGTTCTTCAAGCCATTGAATTCTGGAATGGACAGAACAGGGGTTGGTAGTAGGAGTCTGCCACACTGCGATATATCCATTTCGAGTAGATTTCCCTGAGGCCCTACATAACATTCCAGTGACATGACTATGGCTTCTCGGATCGGATCAATGGGAGGATTCGTGACCTGGGCAAAGAGTTGTCGGAAGTATTCATAAAGCAGGCGCGGGGCTTGTGCGAGACAGGCCAACGGGGCGTCATTACCCATAGATCCAAGTGCCTCCTTTTCGTCAGTGGCCATGGGGGCAAGGAGTAGGCTGACTTGCTCAAACGTATATCCGAATGCCCTCAGCATGGGGTCCTCCTGGATTGGGGACGAATCGGGCTTGGCGGCTAGATCGAGGGACGTATTGCTTGCGATCTCCTGGTAGATCTTAGGCAAGCTGAGGAGCTCCTGATCAAGCCAGGCTTTGAAGTCCTGGCGGTTGGAGACCTTATTCTTCAACTCAGAGTCATCGATAATTCGGCCTGCTAGAGTGTCGACCAGCAGCATCTTTCCTGGCTGCAGGCGACCTTTGAGAACAACACGCTCAGGATCGACTTGAATAGTTCCAACCTCGGAGGCACAAATGATTCTATCATCATCCATGACATAGTATCTGCACGGCCGAAGACCATTTCTGTCAAGGTTTGCGCCGCAGTATCTCCCATCGGCGAAGGTGAAAAGGGCAGGGCCATCCCATGGCTCCATTTGACAAGCAGCCCACTCGTAGAAGGCGGCCTTGGCCGGATCCATGGCAGGGTTGTCTTGCCAGGCTTCGGGTACCATAAGCATAACTGCTTCGGGAAGAGACAAAACACCATTTACGGTCAGCAGCTCAAGGACGTTATCGAAAGCGGCGGAGTCAGAGCCGCCATCTTCCACAATTGGATATAGCTTTTCCAGCTCGTCACCGAAGATATCGGACTGCATAACACCCTCACGGGCCCGCATCCAGTTCTTGTTACCTCGCAGGGTATTTATTTCACCTAGTTAGGAGTTAGTCAGGGCATGATTCGCATTGGAGTCTACAAAGCTTCGTACCATTGTGAGCGGCCCATCGTAATGGCTGGGCACGATCCCAAGAAGGAAACGTGTTTGTCGAGAAACGGGAATGCACAAGGGCAAAATGGGCTTCGTAATCAGCATTTACCAGATCATAGTAGTACTGATAAACCTGTACGGGAGCGAGCTGGCCCTTATAGACAATGTTCTTGTTTGACAGGGAGCATAGGTAGAACCAATTGTGGAGACCAATGGTATGGGTCGCAGTCTTTCGCAGCACGTAAAGCTGTCTTTCGAAGTGTTTCTCATCAAACAACTCGGGGTCTGTAGTCTCTGGCGCGTTGCCATCACCATATGTAGATCTGAGCACAACAAATGGCTGCAAAATAGTAGGCTCACGGGAAGCAGCAGCTGGACCAAGAAGAGTAGAATCTTTAGGAGGCTCACGCCAGCCCAACACCCTCAACCCTAGTGAATCTGCGATATCTTCCAACTGCCTCTTCGACTCCTGCAAAGTCTCCTCGTCTGGTTTGAAGAATAGATTGCCCACTGCATATTGACCCAAGGGAGGAAGCTTGACATCCGTTTCGCGCTCGAAATTCTTGATGAAGAACTTGTGGGGGATCGAGGTCATCACACCAGCTCCGTCTCCATCCCGCGCATCGGATCCCACCGCTCCCCGATGGGTCATGTTACAAAGGAGGTTCCGTGCTAGAAAGTCCAGGTGTCAGCAATCATGGTTCGAGATACACAGATATCAGAGCATACCATCGCTAACGATCTTGTGGCTGGCTTTGCCCTTAATGTGGCTATATTTCATGTGAGCGTTGTTTGTATAATCCTTTCGAGCAATAGTTACCATGCAAAACCCACACCGCAAGCATCCTTTTCGAGGCTCGGATCGTAAAGTCCTCTGTTTGGGTCTGATTAGTACGGATGGTGCTGTGAACCGCTGAGGATTACTCACTGCTTCACGGGTAGAGCTCCGGCCCATGACCCGTTGCCCTCGGTCTGATACTCATATTGATGGTATAGCTCGTTCTCGGCATCGATTTGTGTTTGTCTGTCGTTGAAATCGTCGACTTTTGCCATAGCAGGCAAAGTAGCGGCGATTTCAGGAAACAATGCTGCGCAAGGGAGGCTGGCGTCTCTTGCTTTGGTGTCAAGATGGGGGAGAAGGTTGTGGGATAGGAAGGGGAGCTGTCTTCAAGCGAATGCAGTGAAGATGTCAAAGTAATCTAGAAGTGAATTTGGTGAATTAGATATTTGGCACAATAAAAGCTAGAGTGGTGGGGTATGTAAAAGCAAGTGAATAGCGTTCAGTCTCAGGCGAGGAATGCAGCAGCTTTGGTGCTCGTAGCTCCCGACTACGGTACTGGGTCCCGAGTCGAGACATGAAAGCAACTGGCGCCAAACAATGGAAATAGCTGGATCGTCACACCCGCCATCGCCCCGCGGATTTAGCCATCATGATGCCCATCGGAGCACACTTGCAACGTCCGGCACCAATTTAACGATCCATCTCGGCGCGGGTTGACACAGACGATGACGATGTCCCGTCGTCCACTTGGCTGGCGGCGATAAGGACCGCTTGGCGAGCAGGGAGCAACCGTGGGGTACGAGAGCCTAGGGGAGGTAACAAGTAACAGGTAACAGGTAACAGTAACAGCAACTCACAATTGTGTTATCTACATCCGGTATTGTCTGCCACAATGCAGAGCACAGCGGAGCGGAGCAGCGGCAGGTTGAGTGTTTGCGAGGACGAGTCGAAGGTCGTGGGTGGGGTGGGTGAACGAAAGAGTCTGGAGGGGAGAGCGAAGAGAAGGGGGAAGAGGGGAGAGGGGAGAGGGGAGAGTGGAAGGGAACGAGTCGGCTTTTATTTGGGTGTCCAAGGTTAGCACGGTTGATGGCGACGAACGTATCATGTATGGGAGATGGAGGATGGAAGAGGGAATACGTAGTTCGCAGGATTGGTACTCGTACTGCCAGTGTTATGGGTTCGGTGTCTGGTACGGAGGGCTGACTTGCTACCAACTGCTAGTCCTTGCAGGCGAGGGAAGAGGCGGTACAAGCATAAGGAAGCCGAGGATAAAGACTTATTTCCAATACGAAGGTACGAAGTACCAATTATATATAATAATAAGTCAAGTTGATCTATTCTCCATCTTCCCCTCAACATCATCCTCAGGCTGGCACGCTCACCCCGAATCTCGTGTCGAGATGGGCATATTATTAACACTGACACTGAGAACCGCATAGGATAACACCCAGATCATGAGTGAATAGCAATTCATCAACACCAAGTCCCAACACCAACATTTAAACTTCACACCTACCACCGTCACCTGGTTTGAGGAAAAACAAACACCGCCCAGTGCTAGGCGTGCCAGGCAGCGACGGACGACAAGACACCCAAGGCAAGCCGATCAACGAGAATGGCGGCATCTTCTCCCATTCTGGCCTGACGGAGCGACAGAAGTAGCTTTGCCCCCTCTGGTTGGTCATCGCCGGCACGTTTTCTGGCGTTGGATATTTGGAGTCTGACTCTTGACTCTTGACTCTTGACCCTCCATTTCTCGGGCACGTCGATCGAGGCCACGGCCATCCGCATACGCCTGCAGGTCTCCACGTCTGCATGGCGAGGGACATGGACATGGATATATATTCGTTATGATGTAGCGATTTGCAGCTATCCCAGCCAGCACAACTGTGAACAGCGAATGGGAACAGGCACATTGGTAGCCTCATCGTCCGGGGCCTGGAGCTGGCATAGCGCTTGCAGCACTTGGCTTTGCGACATCGCCACTGCCAAAACGCCAGAGCGTGAGCCGTTGACTCTCGAATTACGAAAGCACGGCGCCTCATTGGATTGACCCGGCTGCTACTTGCGAAGCTACGAAGTATGGGGTAGGTCCTCGAGGACGATCAAACTTCAATTACGTCCTTCAAAGGTGGTAGGTTGGGACCACGGCCTTGGTACTGTAGGGGCTACTCCGACACGACTCCGATAGGATATGTCGTCCAGCTCTTTCTTCGAGGTTTCACAGTTCATCGTTGCTATACGAAATATTCTGCCATTTCTCACATGCCACTCATTGGCTGGCCGTGTCTCAGTCTACGAAGCGTTCCGATCTCCGTCAACGCTCCTTCAGGGATCCCCCACAGCTCGCACCGCCGTCCCCGCCAGAGCAGCAAAAAAATCGACACATGCGACGAGAGAGCTTTATCTCCATCCAATCATGAGCTCCAGATATGGCCGTTACAACCTCCCGAGGATAACTCTCCTGCAAGCTTGTGACAAAAAAAAAGTGTTCTGGTGAGGACCCCTTGTCCCGAAGCAAATATCCGGTCGCAAAGCCGGAGAATTCCCCACACCCACCGGACAACGAAGGCCAAATTTGATCTAACCTTATCATCTGTGGGCTGCTGGATGCATTCATAAGCACCCTACACCCTACACCCTACACCCTACCCTCCGCCGGCCTGGCGGCTGGTAAGCCAGGTAAGGCCTCAAACCCTCGGCCGGAATCCCGTGACTGCGAAGCTGGTTGCGCTCCCTTTTCATGACTACCTCGGAAGCGAACCATCCCAACGAAACACTGCAGCTATTGCGGTTGAAGGGGGGAAATAAGGGATCCTGCAAACGGCCTCGACTCAAAAGAGCGGTCAAGGAGTCTCGAACTCTTCAATCCCGATTTCTCCCGTCTCTGACTAACAGACTGCTATTATGTGCTGTCAGTTTCCCCGAGTGGGACTGCCGGAACAAACAGGAGCACACCCATAGGAAGATGACCGGCCAGCGTCAGAAAGTCAAAAGGATATTACTGACCCACCCCGCGTCTTTCTGACGGGCTCAGTCAGACACTCACAGCGAGCTCGTCCGCGGAGCCGTCAATCAATTAATAATGTCTCTGTCTAGGAAAGAGAACTCCTCTCATCAGGCGGAAACAGAGGCAAGCCATCCCTAAGTACGTCAGTACGTGGTGGGGGTTTCCAACGCTATCATGCCCCTCTAGGATCGTACGACAGGCTACGGAGTGGCTATGGGATGGTTCCCCAGAAGCGAGACGAGTCCAATTCCCACTGCGGAACTACAATGACTGCAGCTACCCTGATAACATTTGCATAGGTATATTGTCAATTATTCTTGCAATTAGAGGGTTTTTCTGTAGGCTTCCAGTGTTTTCATAAGCCCTTGGCATCACTTTTAAAAGCATCAATTGCTCGTGGCAATTGCTACTGTGATATTTCAAAACGAATAGAGCTTTAACATCAATCTATAATACTTCAAGCAGCTAATTTTACAGCCGCCTTTATGTGCTACGTACGGTCTATGGACCAAGGCACTTCGTTCGCACTTACAGGTACAGCCCAGTACGAAATACATGCAAAGTCCTTTACCTCCTCTCTTATTCGCAGGGCGCATTAAGGTTTCTTGGCGGGTGCATTGTAGCGCGACCAGGGTAGCTCTCGGCTCGGTCCAGACATCGTCAACGGCGATAGGGAAGTAAACAAGCAACGAGAAATATCACATCAATAACGATATCCACGTACAACGACAATGCTTTCACTCCCAAATCTCGCGCCTAGAGACGTACGCGCTTATCCCTTCCCAATCTCAAATTCCACCATCCGCTAATCTGCATTCCCATAGTCATACTCCCTCTGGTACACCTCCTCCCACAACTCGAACCCCACAGTCCACCATGACAGCAGTATCAACCCCTCCGACCCGCAAGCTCCAAATCAAACGCAGCCTTCCCACCCTTCTCAGCGCCGCCATCACCATGCCATGCATCGCCATCCTCTCGCGCGCCTGCGGCTAGACGAAGAATACATTGAGCGGCGCAAGCAAAACGTCCAGAATTACGGCAACTCGTGGATCAAACCCCCCGGTATCTCAAAGTCGCTCTACCAATTAAGGGAAGAGAAGCGCGAGATGGAAGAGCATCAGGAGGCTTTACGGCGCGAGGCGCTGGCGCAGGAACTCGCTGAGGCGGAGGCGGCTGAGGGCGTGGATGCGCTGCTGGGCGGGGAAGGGCTGGATGCGGAAGAGGGGATGGGGGAGGGAGAGGAAAGGGATTTGGATGACGATGTGCCGGAGGCGGAGACTACGGTTCTGGAAGGTGATGGTGACGAGGATGAGGATGCTGAGGAAGATGACGATCAAGATGATTCTGCGGACGAGGATCTGGAGCAGGAGGATGTGCCCAGGGGCGTCTTGGCTTCAAGGGTTCCTGACGACGTATACAGGGAAGCTCTTGCGCGTGGGGAAGAAATCGGCGCGCCGCGTTTTGGCGACGAGGGTAATTCCACAGTGGACGATGAAGACAATTCGCACATGTTGCAAGAGGAGGATCTCGTCCAAGAAACGGAGTTACAAGGGGACCCCGATGAGGATATGGATATGGATGCTGATCTGGATGACGATATACCGGAGGCGGGCGGCTACGAACATACTGATACTGAGGATGAACTCTCGAGTAGTGATGATGATGATGAGAGTTTGAATACTGGCGTCCTGCCGAGAGGTTTCCCGCCGGGTTCGAGTATGGTTCGAAGTGATGGGACGCAGAATAGTATGGATTTGAGTAGCATGCTTTCGAATGGAAGTAGCCAGGTAGGAAGTAGTCCACACCAGATATCTGGTCCCCGGAGGAGGGGAGGTTGATAACATAGGAGTGATTTGAGAGTAACGCAGTTGAATTCGTTCAGGATTATTGTTCATCAGGCAAGAAGCTATGGGAAGCAGTAACCTAGAGAATCCAGACAGCATTACTTATTCCGCTTAGTATCCTCTCTAAGCCCTTATTTTCCAATCTATAAGTGCTCCATATCCCTTCCAATAGGTAAAAGCTCGTAGTAGAATCCACTCCAAATCAAAACTATACATTGATGTTGCATAGCGTCATATACAAGCGTGGCCGCCTCTTCAAATTATACATGGCAAGCGTTTAGCCACCGGCAATTAACTATATCTTATACACGCCTTTCCTAACGCCCAGCCACATGCACTATGCAAAATGCCATGATCATATCCCAAACACTCATCTCTAATTCCATATATTCTTCAAAACACCCACACGTAAAAGAACAAGAACCCCACGGCGGCGAAGAATGCTAGCCAGACCTTCCACCCCACGCCTGTCCGCTCGGCCATCACCAGCATCCTGTTCATAGTCCCGCGTAACCGTAGTCTCGTGCCGTCGAAGGACTCGTTCCTAAAGAAAATTAAAATAAGTCGAGAATGGCAAAGGAAAGATCTTGAGGAATTTACATTTTCTCTGCAAGTGCTGAGCTTTCAGTTATTTCATGCCCAATTGCGACCGTCATCTATAAACGCCCTTGTTAGTATCGAGTGAGGGTATCTGGGAAAGAAAAGACAGAGGGAGGGGAAACGCACATCTTTCAGTTGCCTAACCTTCCCCATAATGCCATCAACCTCGCCATCATTCTGGCTCTCCAACTCATTGAGTACCGCATCACTGTATTGTCCCCTAAACACACATCAGCCCTGGCTAGTCTTCATCCATACCGGCCCCTTCTCAACGCCGGATGGCTACGAAAAAAAGCTTTACCTCGAGTTTGGCGTCGCGGGTCGATATGCAGCCCTTTGGTCACCGGATCCTAATCCTACTCCGAGGCTAGATGATCCATTCATCGCGCCCGCAGAATATCCATATCCTGAATAGCCACCCGGCCGGCTGGGGCTCGCGCTGCCGGTTCGCGGTTGCTCGGACGCGCCACCACCATTGTAGTTCTCGAATAAGGCGCTCCGCGGATCCCGTTGATGGAGGGAAGAGCCTCCGAATCTACTGCACGGCGCAAAAGAGTGGATGTTAGCAAACTGTGCGGACAAAATGGTAGATGTGTTGTTTGCAAAGGGGCACACTGGGAAACCCCTAAATCCCAAACGATGGCGCCCCGCCATGCAAGAGAGATAGATTCAAGGCCGGGGAACGATAATAGACTGGAAATGCAAGAAAAATCTTACCTTGATGCCATCGTGATGCAGGACCATCCGTTATGTAGAGACGTGGACAAAAGCTTGACGAAATGTAAAAGTGTCGCTTGAGAAAGAAGCCACCGCATCAGCCACAGGGTTGCAAGGCGGCAACGCCCGCAACTCCCAAGGCTTGCGGCTATTTAGGGTTCGACTTTACAGTGGGGTGTTTAAGAGGAAGGCATGCTCTATTGCTTACTGATTTAGGATGGGTTTTTAAGGGCTTGGCAAAATCGAATGGGCCGCATGACCTTATTTATGAGAAGTCCTTACTTATACGTGGGAGGATAAGTACTGGATCATAGCCTATAATGGCTCGCAACATAAACCCTGAATCTATAATTCGTTTATTTTCTAGCACATGTTGCATTGGCAGGCAAATAAAATACTCGTGTGTGCTTTTGCGGATTTCAATATGCCTCTTCCATAATGTTCAGAGTGGATACATGCCTGTATGCGGTACTTTCGCGCCCAGAAAGCCCCCTCCAGCGCAACCCCCACAAGCCATCATACCATCATATTCCCCAGAGTCTTCATAATGCGATGCTAGAAAAAGTAATTTCGGAGGAGCAAAAAGTGCCAGGGAACATGCTTTTTTGGGTGAGCGGAAAGGACGTTTCTCAAGTCGGTCGTGAGTCTCTGATATTTGCCAAGTCCGCGATTTCAAATACTCTCAAGGGTTGTGGAGTGAGGAGAGAGAACGAAGTCATCAACCAGGATCACGGCACCGACTCGATTTATTCCTCCATCTTGTCCTCATCCTCGGCGGCCTCGAAGTCGTCATCCTCCTCCTCATCTTCGTCCTCCTCAGGAAGCTCCTCCGCAGCCTTGGCAAAATCGATCGTGCGACCGCGAGTGCGGCGACCGCCGGCGATAATGTTGCTGGGGTCGATTTCCTCCATGTTATCATCATCAGGCTCGTCCGCTAAAACTTGTAAGCAGACTGCACCATAGCGAGATTTCAGAGATCAGGCAGACACGTACCAACGGGCTCGGCCTATGATAACATTTTGTCAGCTATGCGTTGACGGAGTGCATAGAATGCTACCTACCTCGTCAACCTCCTCCTCGCTGGAGCTATCGTCCTCGCCTTCCATGCTCACTTCGCGGTTTTCTGGCTCCACAGCCTTGCCCTTTCCCTTGGGATCAGATGCGCTTGACATGTTGATTGAGAGGGTTTGGCTGAACGGATCGATGAGTGTGTCGATATTCAGGATTTGATTGTGATGCTTAAGGACAGGATGCGATCGAGTTGTTTTGAGGTTGAAGACGAGGGACGCGGATCGCGTAGAGCGGTTGTGACATACTGTAGTGGGGTGGTCCCGTGACTGGTCAGTTGAATCTCCAAAACAACTCGGGAATTGACCAATGGGATAAATAGAAAGTCGCTCTTTCGTCCTAACTCAACCACGTTTGCCTCTCGTTCTAACCATTGTTATAGTCCTTATGACCCAACTAGTCAAATACATAAGGTGCGTACATTTACCCTTATCAATTTTCAATCTATAAACGGATAATATTCCGTACAATTTCATAGAACGCAGCTGCTTAAGAAACATTACTTCGTACAGGATTGTTGAGAGCATAATGAACTCGTCAGCAAACCACTCTTCTTGTGACAGGCCCCAACCCACTAACCACTCTACAGAATTTTATAGAGATATGGCGGCCGATGGTATGCGGGGGGGCCAGAATCACTAAGAAATTGAATAAAGGAACTTGGGGTACGAGTACTTCGTACAGCATTTTGGATAAGAACAATGAAGGGTATCGTGATAGGCTTTATACAGTTTCGGGGACAGGTTGCCAGATGCGACATGCTGTCGCGGGCAGTTCGATCTAGCAAAACACTACCTACATATATTCAAATAAGTTCAACCAGTAGTTGATTTGGAAAACACGGAACGTCTTGTTGCTTTATTCTCCGCCTCCTCCAGAAGTTAAAATGAGCATCGTAGCCCCCAAGAGAACCCACCAATACCTATAGTACCAAGATTAGTCGCAATTCATTTTACAGAGAACCAAATGACTTACTTTTGTAACATCGTCTTCTCCGGAACGGGTTCCTCTAATTTCCCTTCCGCCGACAAAACAACAGGCCGATTAAGCTCAGGGCCCTTCCCCTTCCCCATCTTCAACACCGTAACCTTGGGCCCAAAGTCCCTCGTTTGCCCAGCATCGATCTTCGAGCTCTTGCAAGTAACACCTATCACCGCTCCTTGTGCATCGAGAGAAAGGACTAGGGTCGGAGAATAGCCTTTCGAGAAGCTCTCTGATGAGGTCACCGACGTGGACGTTTTCCAGCTCGAAGTTGTGGGATCGTAGACGCCGATTCGCAAAAGTTTGGATTCTGAGGATAGTTCAGGCAACTCAAAATCTGCCAGCTCGGCAGTAAGCGTGGAAGGGTTATATTTGATGGCTGCCAAAGTAACTGGATATGATGATGATTCGACTGGTTGGATCGAGATTGTAGTGGAATCAGTTAGGCCAGACGGGGCTGCGGCTAGTATCGTCCGGACACAGAGTGCCAGTATTAATGAGGCGACCTTCATCGTATTATTGGGAGAGAGAATGAGGGCGGTGGTCAAGATGTCGCGTTGAATGGAGGCTTGTAGCTAAGATGTGAGCGCATGTTATCGCGAATCCAGCTCAGCCTTGTTCATGCCTTAAATATGTGGCGACGAGAGGAGAATAGGGGTGGTATCTCACACGTGATTCCATCACAGCTTTCAATGGCTCCCTTGGTAGGAAACAGTACTGCTGGATATAGATGGTTTATATTGAAGCAAATAACCTAAATCCTACATATTTTGCAGTTCATCTAGATTGCACCATGAATATAGTCCCATGCTCCTCTATCATGGACTTCCTCACACCCAACAAGCAACCGTATGCCAAAGTCCGAACGCCATATCCCTGCCAGCCATGCCAATGCAATAATTATAAAAGATCCGGGGTATTTCCCAACCATCATGCTTTGCTCATTCCATATTGCTCTCGCTACTAGATGCGATGCCTGCTTTGCGGGTTGAGACGTCTTCCATCCAAGCCTTCCACTGTACGTCTGTGGCTCCTTCGATCTTCGGCTGAGAGTCCTCAGTGGTTCCACTGCTTCCAACGTCACCATCTTTATCTTCTTCTTCTTCCGTAGGATTTGAATCATCCTCCAATGTATAACCCTCGGAGCGCTCGACCAGGCCTCGGTAATAATCGACCAACACTTCCGGGTTAGGGACGATCTTCCAGTCCACTCTATAGAGAAAGTCAAGCTCAAGCAGTCCTAGTTCTGCTACCTTGATACCCCCTACTCGAGCGTACGTAGTATTATTCCAGAAGGAATCAGAAAGACCTTTTGCGGCTACCGTGGCAGCAGTGATTAAGAAACGATGAATTGTAAGTGTAGTTACAGTAAATGCGGGGTAGAGAGAGCAGAGCCGATCTATATAATAGACCATTGAGAGAAGTAACGGGGGCGTGAGCGTTGCATGTTTTGCAAGTCTTTGTAGATAATCAAATACTGAAATTCCAGGAGGAGTCCTTTAGCATGCTAGTCAGTCCAAAATACTGTTCAAAAAATGGGAAACCTGGCCTCACCTGGAGTGAAATCGCGTGAGCACACCACTTCGAAGAGGAAGCCCGTCATTGGTTTGGATGAGCTCCGATATCATGTTGGCAATGAGCACAACCATATCTTCCACCTCGCAGAATTCGTATTTGGCAGGCAGCACCTTGACTTGGGGAAGATCAGATCGCGCACGCTTGAGGGACGGTATCTCGCCACTGCCACTACCGGGAAGCTGCCCGCCTGGAGATTGTCGTCTTTTGGAGGCGGGAGATTGTCCTTCTAATATCGGCTTCGAAGGAGAGGAAGGCGCCATAACAGTAGCGACGGTCTCTGGGATTTGTTCGGGCTGCGCAAGGCCCTCTGGAGTCGCGTCAGAAGCTGAAGGTTCCGTCTTCAGATTCATGACTGGACTCTCCCACTGAGTACTGGCATCCGCATATCGCGCCCGTTGCATTTGCAGAGGGGGTGTCTTCTCGGCAGGACCATCGGGGTTCAACTGCGCTCGAGGTTTTGCCTTGGAGGGCCTTCGAGATATATATACAGGAGTGGTCGGCGAGGACTGCGACGCAGGCGCATAGTGAAAAGTCGGGGAAGATGCAGCAGATCTAGGTTGTGGCACAGTCTTCAGCATGGTCTTCAAGGTCCAGCCATGTCATAGCCGGTCTTCTGCACTTCGTAGCAGCTCTGGCGCTGAAATAACGCACTGCGCACAGGAGTGGGAGAGGGGGGCAAGGTCGTCGACGTTGGGCACGCTTTCACAGGGTTCAGATACACACCCGCAGCGTAGGTAAGAAGTGAGGAATCGCTCTCGCAGATGGGATCAGTAGTAGTGCAGCGCCAGCAGCGTCTCCAGCGGTTTTAGAACGTGTCGCTGGTAGTTTTGTTTGCTAGTCAGGCCCGCCCTCGGTACAGTATGAAAATTTCGAGGGAGCGGATGATGCGGCTCAGTGGGCGCAACGGATTGGCAGTGTATGTATTATATTAATCGCTCGCTGGCCGGGCCGACGGGAAACTCGATATAAAAGCAGTCCAACGGCAATCTAGCACTCCAGAATAAAGAGATCACATCACTCGTATATAGAGAGAGGATCCGGTCTGTGTATGGACCATGGGGCGAGTGCTAGTGGGGGCGGATTATCTTGTTCTGTTGTTTTGCGCATGCTCCCATGCGGCCTTGGTATTGGCTCTTGGGCGAGCCCGGTAGATCGGTAGATCGGGCGAGGCTGAATATTTGCTATGCGCACACCATCCTCGGTATCAGCACACCGGCTGGGGTAAAGCGGAGGTTGCGCCCTACAGCAGGCTATCAATCAGTTAGCGAGCGTCACCTTGAGAATCCATATAGTTCACTCACGTCTTTTGGCCACCACACAGTCTTCCACGGTAGCCACGCTTTTGGGACACTGATAATCGGACTTTTGCCACGGAGGCGCTCTATCAGGCGGTCTGCCACGCCTCCAGATTGCTCACTCAACCACTATTCCATTGCCCGCGAATCGACTATCAAACTCACTTGAGCTGACAACCACATCCTTCTCCGCCTCCATCATGGCGAGACAGCCCTGGGTGTTACAGATCCGAAATGCTAGGAACCATGCCGAACAAATCAGTGCTCTGAGAGCTCTCAAGAATGACCTCGTGGGCCATCCTTTAAAGAAGCAAGAAGCTGTAGCGCTGGGAATACTAGAACCGGTGGTGCGTCTGACGTCGAATAATCTGGGCAGCAGGCCCGATGGCAAATCGCATGACCACAGCTTTGCATCCAAGCCTCTTAATGAGGAAGAGGTGGTTAGGCTGCAAGGGCTGCAGGTCGTGGCTAGCATTGCACTCGGTGAGAACTTCCCAACCGCTCTCTGTGGGCTCCAGTATGCTCTGGCTAACTACTGGAATTAGGAGGCCCTTCCTTTCTCCTCTATCTCCACTCGGCGTCTGTTTTGCCGGCCGTACTTTCGAACCTGTGCCCCTCGAACAACCCGTCACAGCTCGTCTTAGCCTCTCTCCGTGCTCTATCAAACCTTGCAGATTCTGCTGCACTGGCTCCCAATTCGCATCCCTTAAACACGGGCGCCATCGCGGATGGACTTTTTGCTCGCCAATATCTCCCCACCATATGTCGTATATTATCGCAATCCTCGGCTTCTTCGGCGGTCCAATGCCAAATATCAATTACCGCCTCCTTGATCGGTAGAATCTGCCGGGAGGAGCGCCATCAACAAGCTCTAGCAAGCTCAGGAGTTCTAGATGCGCTTGCTACCGAGTTGTCTCGGTTTGTTGCTGCCGATGGTCTTGTTATACCTGGCGCAGACATCTTAGCACAGAGAGACGGTCTTCAAGAGTACTTTCCAACTGTTTCACACCAAAATATAGAGCTTGGGGTAATACTCGAGGCAATCTCAGTCATTATCGCCAATTCCAAGTTTAGGTCGTCGCAGCTCTTGTATTCTCCGTCGATCTTGGCTATCTTTCCGATCTCCCAGCCTACTGAGTTTGCTGCATGTCAGAGTGCGCGCGCCGTTTGGAATGCGTTCAACGTAGCTGGTCTGAACGTTCGCCAAAGCCAGTTAAACGCCATCGACTACCTTCTACCTTTTGTTCCTCTCCATCAGCTAAAGAGTCCAAGTGCCCAAGCATCTGCATTTCCTCCGCTAGGTGCACCTGGTCCAAGGGAGCCATTAGGACTGGCTGGACGCTCTGTCTCGAGTAGATACAATGGCACCTCCCTCCCAAGTTGGAGCGATTCTCCCGGACCCGGTTCGGAATTACCAACTCAACCCGTCCCCGATGCGGATTTAGAGGAGCCCGAAAACCCTTTGATTGCCTACCTTATATTTACTCTCAGATACAGAAGCGACATGGAGCGATTGATGGCCGCATCTGTTCTGACGATCCTTTATCGAGCCGGCCTAACGAGCAAGACACGGGAAACCACCATTGGCCTACTAGTAGTACCTCTTCTCGTACAAATGCTCGATGACAATTTCAATTTGCAAACCGGCAAGGACAGTTTTGCAGACGAGGAGGCCCAACGTATTGACTGGGCGATTAAAGAGCGCGCTCCCGCAGTCCTTGCAATGTTAATCACTGACAGCGAATACCTCCAAAAGGCTGCCTTTGATGCTGGAGTGGTTGGCAAGCTCACGAAGATACTGAAGATTGCGTATGATCCTGTTACTGAAGCTTTCCGTCCCCACACATGGTCACCGCATGACAGCGATGAATTGAATTCCGAATTTCAAACTGCCAAGCTGGGCAATCAGGGGGAGCCGCCGTTGCTTGTTCACAAAGTCAAGGTCAGGGAGAGCACACTGAAGGCTATAGCTGCGCTCGTTCCCTTCAAAGATGAATACCGGAAAGCAATAGTAGATCAAGGTACGATCCCTTATATTGTCGAGTCGATGAATTCGAATCCTGGGAAACCATCCCCCAAAGCTACCGACAAGTCCGATAAAACTCCCAATGGCTCTAGCGAGAATGAGACCAAGCAGGGATACGGGGTTAATGGTGTGGATGTGCTTATTGCTGCATGCGGGGCTATCCGTGCGCTATCTCGATCTGTGGGGATCTTGAGGACCACACTAATCGACAATGGCGTTGCGATGCCTGTCTTCCGCCTTCTCCAACATCCCGACATCGAGGTCCAAATTGCAGCTACTGCGACGGTCTGCAATTTAGTGACCGATGTGAGTCCTATGCGCGATGTAAGTAAACCCTACTTGTCTTATGAACTTGACTAATAAGTACCACCAGTCGATCGCGGAAGCCGGAGTTCTCAAAATCCTTTGTGAGCATGCCCATTCTATGAATGCCAAGCTACGCCTCAATGCTCTTTGGGCCTTGAAACACTTTGTCCACTCTGTGAGCAACGATGTGAAGAGATTATGTTTAGAGGAGCTCGGACAGGGTTGGCTTGTACAGCTCATTTGCGACGACACCGAAGACGAAGCACTTCTGTCCTCGAGAAGCAATGGAGAGGAACGCCCAACTTCGGGACTACACGATGAAGCTAATGAAGATGTTGAGATGGACCAGTTTGAAGACCCTGTTGGCTCTACATTAGGCGCATCTTTTGGCCGATCTACGAACTCTCGACCGAGCAGTAGTAGGAGCAAGTCCCTTCAGCAAGCCGAACTAAGACTTGCAGCTCTAAGGGAAGCAGAAACAAATCCTGCAAGAAAAGCCAGGAAGGACGATATTGCTGTACAAGAGCAGGGTCTCGATTTTATACGGAATCTCATAGGAGGAGCTGGCCAAGGCGGTACTGCGGAGACCACAGAAATGATTGACTTCCTCTTCAACGCCTTAGGCCAAGACAGGGTATTTGAGATCCTAGCATCCAAACTCAGACCAAAAGTCATCAACCCATTTGGTCGGCGAAACCCAGCGGCACCCGAGACTCGGGTTCAGCCTCCACATCCAGAAATTATCGCGGCTGTGGGCTACATCCTCGTGCACATGGCAGCAAGCATTCCCCGCCATCGACAACTAGTCATTGCCCAGACCGACCTGTTACAGCTCCTCGTCCCCCAATTCAACCACACCACCATCGAAGTCCGGCTCGCTCTATGCTGGCTTGTTACGAATCTTACATGGATGGACGACGCGAGTGATGCCCAAGCTTGTGCGCAACGGGCGAACCAGTTGAAGGAGCTCGGTTTCCTTGCTAAGCTGGAGAAGCTAGAGCAAGATCCCGAGTTGAATGTTAGGGAGCGAGCTAAATCCGCCTTGTGGCAGATGAAACAGGGTACATAATTATGGATTCCCCTTGTAGGATTGTATGATATTATGGAAGGTCCGGTTTATGAGGGGTTTACTGAAATGGTATCTTGTCGGGGACTGTGTGCCTCCTTCACTTTCAGAGATCGAATCAATATCGATACGGGGTTATTTTACCTGTTTACCCATTTCGTTTTGAGCGGATGGAATGGATGTAAGCGAGTAGTAGAAGCGTTACTTTAGTTACCGACCTACACACCTACCTACCTATATATGGAGGCAAAATGTTATACCCCCTTGTTCCCCATTGGATTGCAAAATAATTGTGCTGCCCACTCTATGCTCAGCCACGTTACTACTCTCCCTTTCGGTAATCAATAATTCTTTACTCTTACTAGGTTCTATCTTTCGAATATTATGAACTGCGCACGATGATATACAAAACTGGCCGTGTTTTCCATCAAGCCACGGCGAAGATAGAACAGAAATCCATGTTTTTGGACTGCGCTACTTGGTGGGGATTTGAAAGGATATTTAGAGTTATCTTTGAGATCACATAAGACGAAAGTATCCATAGGCTATAAGTAAGTAACTAGTCGACGGAATTAGGGCCAGAGTGGCTTCAATCAAGATAACAGGGATGGGCTCTGCAGCTTAACAAGAACCTGAAAATATGTTGGAGCACTAGACAGCTGCTATTACATTGTTTGCAACACTCCTGTCACGACCTGGAATTTAGTTCCATAGGTTTGGATGACTAATTATGAGGCTATTCACCGTCTTGGAAGTTTGATGGGAAGGTTAGATTTAAGAGGGTTTAGCTACTGCCAAATATTTCGTCACGTTTGTATTTAATGATGCGATGGGGTTGTAAGTGAATGCCGACTGAAAGCTGAGGAGCACCCAAAAGTTGGCAATTACGTTTACCCATATATATACCCAGTACAATGCGCGTATTTTAAGTACTAAAATCAATCAACGAGTACGAGGAAGCTCATATCATCGCGAAGAAAAGATCTCATGTGAATCTTCTCCCAGCAGATTTTCCGTGGCCCTATAATACCGATTCTACAACCCAGGCCCTTCTGACTCAGCAGTGAAACAGCAGCCAACCGTGTGGCCCAGTTGCCATGTGCTCGAACAATGCTAAGTGAAGAAGGTAGGTCCAGAGTCTCTTCCCAATTGTCGAGAGATATGATCTTTTGCAACCAAGCTTCCTGGTTTGGTGTGGGACCTTCACAAGTACATTCCACATCCACTCGCTCCGGCTTCATCTTGTGTAGGCCTAGTATGTCCAAGTCGGCTATCCACTCCCCACGGTCACACAGAGAGATCACGGACTCGAGGAAATGCACTTCTTGGTCGATAGAGCCGGGATTGGTCGTCGGCAGTGGTACTTTCCATTTGGTAAATGACAAATGTAACGAAGTCCCCTTGAAATTGTCCTCCCTTTTCAAGTCATATGAATCGTGTTGCACAAGTCGCCAGTCATCACTCAAACTCCTGACTCGAGGGGACTGTGGTCCAATCATCAAACTCACTCCTGGATGGCCGATGTTCCCTACTATGTGACGGATATCATAGCCCGTGACGTAGTCAAAAGGATCTGACAAGAGCTCCCCAGCAACATATATTGAGTTGTCAATGCTTATTGCAAGTACGGGTTCAAGGTCAAGTGGAGTCAAATTGATATGGCCAGTCTCAAACAAAACAACGCATGCAAAAGTGTTCTGGCGTCTCATCCCGTCCTCTGGATATATGGATGGCCCTGGTGCCCAATGGCCATTTAAAATGGGATGGGTCACAATCTCGAGAGATATTGTCGCATTTGGAAGTCTCTCGTAGATTAAGGCAGCTGATTGAAGCGCCTTCAGGGAATGATGCCATTGAACTGACGGAAGGCTGGGCAATGGGAGGTTAACTAAGGACATCATTTTTGCGGCCCAAAGGCGATTGTAGGTTAGATCAAAGTTGTGATCGTATGTCCCTTCAACTGGCGGGTTTGGCGCTCTTTCGGCTTCAGTGAGAGGATCATTGAGCCTAACCCTGTTAAGGAATCTCCAGACATTCGAGGGTTCTAGATTTCGGCTCTGGAATAATTGAAGACCCTCCTTAACACTATCTATACTCTTTCTTGCTTTTTCAAGGCGATCGTTGTAGTACTGATGCTCGAAATTTACCTTTCCGTCTTCCCAGTCTCTGATATATAATTCGAAGCCACCACCTGCATACCCGTCGCCTGGGAATTGGAGGACGCGGCGGAAGTTGACCTTTTCTCGTCGGATGTGGTATATATTGTGTGCTTCAGGGTTGTTTTGGAAGGGTAACGGGGTCCAATCGAAGCACTGGCAGTTACCGCCGGCTGGACAATCGCTGAGTAGTGTCGATGGGCTTGTTCGTTTGCTAAATAATTTCGGCGGGTTGATCCAACAGATTTGATTTCCTGCATCACCTCGCCGAAGAATAGTAGGTATGGGCATCTGTTCTTCGCAACACTGAGAACAAAACGATCGAACTGGTGTACTTTGTGTTTCCCTGCCTGGGTGGAGTTGGAGGTTGTAAGGTAAGTGGCATGTCTCTCCTTTCTCCACAAGATACTCAATTCGGGAACTGATATCTATAGGATTTTGGCATTGTCGAGCAGATGAAGAATGGCATCCAGTGCCACAAGCAACCCCGTTTACACTGCAAGGGCAATTAACCCCACATATTTCATTTACGCAATGGCACGAAGCCTGGGACTGGAAAAGGGGTTTAAAACGAATTGGAGGCTCCTTATTAGAGAAAACGCTCTGGTAGGGATTCATTTTGGCTTCCCAACAAGTTGTGGCCTGGATCCACCTTCCATGTGTCGTTTTGATGGCCGAGTCCTGGAGTGGTCCATCAAGCTGCTGATGATGCGGAGTCACCGTCGCATATTCGTAGTAGCAAATCTTCCCAAAATTTATCGAGAAGCTAATGAAAGCCTCGTCATTCTGGAGTCCAATTGATCCTGCAAGCCCCCGCAGATAATGGACCCCTCGGTCAATATCATACTTCTCCGATAGTGATGACGAAATCGATCTGTTAAGGAGCCCAAAGAAAGGAGTTTGATAACCCCGAGGCATATGATCATCACAGATAAATCTACCCGCTCGACGCGCTCCATAGCCAAGTAGTGCCGTACCATTTTTCAATTCTGAATCCGGTAGCTCAGTAATGTATACAGCACCACTAGCAAGGACTGACATCCACCGTATGCCGAATCGAAGACTGGTATTCTCAGGCGGGATTGAGGTTTGCAAGTAATCCCACAATGCTTTTACCCATCGCGCGGCGTCAATCATATCTGCCTTCGCAAGGCCCCAGGAACCAAATACCACCCCCAGCACTACTGCTTCAAGCTGATTAATCGATACACGAGAGATGTCTTCGTTACTAGTGACTTTGACAGGATCTCCGTAGTATCGTAGATGAGACAGTGCCAAAGACCATCGTACACCACCATCATCACAATCCGCTCTCATCACCCCAAGTCCGAGGGTGACAATTGCGTGCTCAGGGGTGAGACGATCATGGAACTTCACATTCGTTGCTTCATCTCCATATACGACTAGATCAGGGTACAGATGCCAAGCAGAGAGTGCGAGGAGTACAGCTCTATCGGATACTTGCTGGGGCTCGTCATTAAGAAGTTTTTCCATGCAACACATTGATTTCGTCCAGCTGCCGATGACTGACAAATAGGTGGATTTGCTGGTGACGAAAGGAGTTGCAACATTCTTGATGATTAGAAGGAACTGATTGTGATCAGTTCGTTTAATCTGATCAGCCTGTCGAAGCCAAGATCTGACGCTCGCATCCCAATTTGCAAGTTCCGACCTCGAGATGTCCTGTCTTGCAGCAACGAGTGTAGAAGTGGAAATTATACAATTCTCGTTCACCGCAGCCACGACCTCCGCCTGCCTCTCGGCAACAATCTCAACCCAGATCGAGGTAGCTTTATCAGCAGGCCAGGCTCTTGCAAGGATGCAAGATAACAACTGGATTCCAAGGGAAGCCGGGCCTGAGGTTGCGGCAGCCCATAGGGTGGTGCAATCAGTCCCGACATACTCTTCAAAAGGGCCATCTTTATCGGTGCCTTTGGGATTGATGCCGGGTGTTCCAATTATTTCTGATGATCGCAACCCATAAGCCTTGAGGAGTTTGGGGGTGGAAGGAATCAGCTGTTCAAATAGACCGCCCAGCCTTCGAGCAGTCTTGTGAGTTGGACCATCTTCCGCATTGCTCTTCCTCTGGGACGACAAGGCTGCACCCACTGCAGAAAACTCCTTCGGAGCCGAGCACTTCCAAAGGGAGAAGTCAGAATGTGAAAAGTCGACTTTGATATTTAGTAGATTGAGATTGTTGCTAAGGTTCGCGGACAGGTCTGCAATCTTGCCAACGGCTGACATTTTGAAGAAAAGAAAGATAGCTTTGACGCTTTGATCGGTGGAGAATGTGGATGGAGACAACTATGATAAAGATAATTTGTAGTTTCCAAAGAGATCTCTGCGGGGAAAAGCCAGTCCTAGAGAATGCCGGACGAGACATAGGCCCATATTGGGACCCAAACCCGAAATTTCAAGGCGGTTGGCGTGCAGCCTCACTATTTGATACGCGGGTTCAGTAACGTGGGATATTCCTCCATAAACCCCACGTTCTAATGACTAAATTATTGACCAGTTGATTTCTGGTACTGCAACGGGCCCAAGCTCGCAGCCTTGCTGAGCTGTGTCCACGAAGTCGGTAACCCAAAATACAGAATAAGACAGCAAGCAGCCAGAGAACTCAAAACACAAGATGAAGCATCGCTGATTAGCGCCTATCAGCTCTACAAACTCTCTCTTATTAGCGACTTTTTGGTAATCTTAGGATTGTTAGGTTAGTCAAATAAAAAGATAGCCAAATATAATGTTAAGTCTACCTTGCTACTCATCAGGTAGGTTTATATATATGCATGGGAGTGCTTGGAGCTGTACAGAGTATGATACACCTATCTCCTAATGTCGCAGGTTCCATGTGCAGAGTTGCTCTTCTGCCTATTGATTTCGCGGAACGATCTTGGAGTAAGCACTCCTATCATTCCGTAGAAAGATTATTTCGAACACCCAAACCTTCCCAGGAAACTCTCGGCCTGGTTTGTGCCGCTTTTCTACCGCAGCAGCCAGAATGCAGTTCAAAGACGGGTTCCGAGAGTTGAAAGAGTTGAGGCAATGGAATTGGTATCTAAGCATAGGATCACCTCACCATTAGAATCGGCCTACCTTGTCACCTCGTCCTCGTATCAAAGACGTGTATCTATCGAAGAATTGTATCTGGATTTGGTATGCTTGCGGTGAAACTCGTCTCACCAGTATTCCAATATTTATAGGTAGGTTAGTACTGTAGTTGTAGCGAGGTATTTTATAGAAAAGCCACTTTAACTTGTATAGAACATATAAGGTTAGTCAAATACCTTTGCCTGCCTATCCGATGTAAATCAATATAAGCCTTTTTGGCATTTAAGGAAGACAAAAGGCTGCCACTTGGTTAAGTGGTTCAGGTCAAATTGACTTCTGGAGAGGATCGATAGGCCCAAAAACGACAAAACACGACAGTGACAAAAATCGGCTAGAGATGTAGGCATTCGACACCGGGCTGAACTCTTTTTGCTCTGCGAGTATACGATAATATTTTTTGGGCTTTAATTTTAATTTTATATAGAATAACCGAAGGTGAGCGCTCTCTTTTGTATTCTCGCGTCCTCGCCCCCCTTTTGTCGTTTTCGCTAACCGAAGGTGAGGACGTTCTGTATACTCCACCCTCCCAACGACTTCGCCAAAAAGTAAAAAGACGAAGAGGAGGAAAAAAAAGATATTCGATAATTAAAAATAGCAAAAATCCAGGGAGCGCCGCAGCGCCCGCCCCTGGTTAAAACCAGACGCACTGAGTTTTAATTACTTTAGGCTGAGCCTTTTTCGAGATCTCTCTAAGAAAAGACAGGAAACTCTCTCCAACATCGCACACACAATTTGATCCGTACCACCTCGCCAAGTGGACAGCCCTTGTGCCGATTAATTGGTTTTGCCTTATTTGGCTTTATGTAGGAGGGTATGGTGGTGTTGGGAGGGCGGGCGGTGAAAAGTGGTAGATAGCTAGCGAGGGAAGGCGGTGGCTATTGTTGTGAGGGTGGCTTCTCTCTTGAGGCGGCAACTACCTATAGGTAAGGTACACCTAGCTATGCATGATACCTACCTTGACCTGTTTTATAGGGGTTGCTGGGAATTAGCTAGAGTCTTTCCAATAACTTGCTTGTCCTGCTAGTCTGTCTTCCTTTGCCTTCTCTATTATCTTTACTTTTCGACTTATGGGCTATACCGTCCTCGTATAACGAAAGTTGGTGTCTATGATGGTTTGCTTGTGTTGGAGAAATACGGTTGGGGACTTCAACAATAGGCAAGTTCAGCTTCACTTCTCTTCAACATGCGGGCTATAATAGCCCGTACCTTATTCACGCGCAAAGAATCAATAAAGCTTGAGTTTTAACAATATCCATTAACCTCACAGTACTCGCTACCATAAGTTAAAAAAACTTAATTCCTAATTATCCCCATCACTTCTCAGACTTCTCCGCGGGTACGGCCTCGCTAATATGCTCGACCTCAATCCCTGGCTCGCCAACGCGTCTGTCATCTGGGCTTCCAAAATGGATAGTCTTCTCAACAGCAGTGGTAGCCTTATCAGCGATGGCTTGGTCCTCGAACACTATTTCACAATCATATTAGTCCATGTTATTCCCTCATAGTCTAGAACAAGAAGCAAGTAGCAAAGGAAAAACTTACAGAAGGCCAATTCCTCCAAAGTTCGCCCCTGGGTCTCGGGGTAGAAGAAGTAGATGGTCGCGATTTCACAGAGGATAAGCGCGATATACATGATGAGGTACTTCCAGCCAGCGCCATCGATACCGATGGGGTTGACGAAGTTGGTGAAGAAGGCGGCGCCGCGACCGAAGAATTGTTCGATGGAGATACCACGGGAGCGTTCGGCGTAGGGGAATAGCTCGATAAGGTATGCTACAGAACCATATTAGCTCGGAAGGGTGGGGATGGTGGGGCAAGCTTACTGTAGGTCAGGGCATTGTTTCCAATGTTGTACCAGACGGAGTACATGTAGATGAAGAAGAGGACAGCAATACCGGCGCCTTTGTTTTGGCTCTTGTTCTCGATTGCGACGAGGGCTCGCTGTTGGGCGACGGTCCAACCGACGTAGACAGCCAACATACCGCATGCACCAGTCAAGAACATAGTGCGGCGCTTGAAGCGCGGGGCGATGAGGGCAATAGCAGTGCCGTTAATGAAACTCCATGCGGTCTGCAAATTGTTAGATTGCAATTTTCTAGAAGAGGTATGCAGATTAAGTTAAACATACGTTTCCGAGGTTGATCATGGTCTTGGTGTGGACGTCCGTATATCCAATGAGCTCGAGAATCTTTGCAAGATAGAATCTACACATTGTCAGTATAGTGATCAACAAGCGAACCACTTCTGTCATGGGGCTTACGAGATCAATGTATTTCCAGACCATTGGGTATACAAACCCATTGCTGATGCAATGAACGTTCTGCGTCGCATACCAGGGCTTCTGACCATATCCCACCAGGACAACTTCGCAGCTTCCAACTCCAGTGCGATGGTAGTCTCGATTTGAGACATCTCGGCCTTGACAAAGAGGGAATCACGGTCTCCTTCAGCATGGTAATGGACTAAGATATCAAAGGCCTCGTCGCGGCGGTCTTTACTAATCAAGTATCTAGGACTTTCAGGGAGGAAGCTAGAGCAAAGCTGTTAGATAAGTCATTGACTTGAGAGGATTTCAACTCACAAGACTAGACCCATTTGCAGGAGAGACGGGCAGCATTGAAGCAATGACGGAATTCGCCATGACCAGTCATTCAGAATCGTAGATGTCCGAACCACAATCCCAGAAGCTATGAGCGAGCCCACAAAGTAGGATGCGTTGAACATAGAAGTCATCATTGGCCGTTCCTTAGGGTATGAGAGCTCGCCCAACATAGCGGAGCCGGAGACAATACAGAAGATGATACCAGCACCAAGGATCATTCTAGCAATGATGTACATTGCAACTGCGGAGTGGTAATTAGCGGTTGATCACTAGCCCACAAAGCTTAATGGTCCTTACCGTGAGTTGAAAACCCTTGGATGATGGCGCCTACGCATTGAAGCGCTGAACCCAGAAAGATAGACCATCGTCGACCGAATGCCTGTGCTGCCCACGGCACCACAGGAACCATAAGAATAGCGCCCAAACTGTAGGCAGATGCCACCATTCCCAACAAAGGGGCGTCAACCATCCATGTGTCCTTTCCTTTCACATCGATGGCGGGATGACCGAAATCTATATCCATCAGTAAGAAAACCATAGACTTAGACAAGGTCTTCCTTCTACTAACATTTGAGCCAGGGGGGCAAGAACTGCACGCCATTGATCAATTGAGAATCGAATCCGGATGTGATCTCAATGCCCATGCACGTGGGGTAGAGCAAAAGATACAACAATCTCAGGTTTCTCTTCTTGTACCAAATGACCTTATCCTCGTCCACCAAACGGGTCAGAATCGGGTCCGACTCTTTTCCCAAATCGATGAGCCCCATATTGACGGCGTGTTATTGAGCAACTTTAACGGAAAGCTACTACTTGCAGGATTCGTATAGGCTCCTGCGGAAAACAGGATGGAAAAACCCAGATACCGGGACGAACTCCCTCCTTATTATAACAAGCTACGCATCTATCACCCATTTCCCGGAAGATACTATTATGGCATTCCGACATGGTACGAACGTGGTTCCCCGGATCTCATCTAGAGACCAGCGAGGCCACTTGCCAACCCCGCGGGGTTATAGAGTGGATAAATAGATTGAGGGAACCGGATAAATGAAATGGACCAGGCATGCTGAGCGACCCAGGGGTGGGTAGAACCCGGGGAACCTATGATAACCACGTTTCGGAAATCCCATCCCTCTTGGGCCACTTGGCGATGGCAAACTCTGGTAAACGTTCTTCGCAGCTTCACGAGTAGCTACTTATGCCTGGGAAATTCACGGAGGTAGTCCGTGGTAGTGTAAGTTGGTACTGAACCCCACGACCCCGGGGCCCCGCAACGGGAAGCGCCAGCTGCATGCAGAAAGGTGCCGGAGGCCATCTTCCTCCATATTCCTCGAATGATCTGCACTGAGGTGCGCCGCACTAGCACGCTAACCCATTCCCCCATACGAGGATAAAGTCGTTGCAATCTGAGGCGATGGGCCAAGCCGGCCGTGCGACCGGTCTGGCCGCCGACCCAATCTGGTGGAAGATCTTGTACCGGTTGGCCTCGGGCAGCAGACCGGATGGGCGGTTCTACGTACAATGTTAATACTTCTGGCACAAATTCGGCCCTTCCTATTTAAAGATAAGCTTATTAAGTGGTCGAGGAATACGAGGACCGGGTACTGTATGGTATTGCGGAGTATTAGTATTGTACATAGTACGGCGTACTCGGTAGTAGATATTAGGACGCCACTGGTAGATGGGGAAGAAATACCGGTGGTAAAATATAAGGGGTACTGCTCTATACTTCGTACTCGGTACTTCCTACGGAGGGAGGTACAGGTATATATGAAAATATTTTAGATTAGCGAGATTTGTTAGTCGACACCTACGTAGTAGTTATTTGGAATTTGTATATTTTCGATAGGCAATGTAGGTACTTTGAATTGACCTAGCGGGTATTCATTCCTCTAAGTTACCGGAGTCATAAAATCATAAACGGGACTTCTGCGTCGAGCTTTTAGCACTCAACTCGCTTTAAACGAAGCAAAAAGGAATCACCCCGGACACCTCCCAAACAAGGAAATCTAAACTACCATCTTGGCGTCAGCATCGGCGCTGCCTGTTTTCAGAGCATTTTCACCCTCCCCTCCTGTTGTTGCGGCCGCCTTGGCCGCCTCGAAGGATTGCTGAAAGTCGGCAATGATATCGTCAATATGTTCGGTGCCCACGGAGATGCGGATAAGATCCTGTGGCGTAACGTTAGCAAAAAAGGGTAACCCGAAAACATGAGCCATTAAAACACACCTCAGTCACGCCGGAAGTTAACCGCTCAGATTCTGTTAATTGTTCATGGGTAGTAGACCAGGGGTGAATTGCAAGAGTCTTCGCATCTCCAACGTTCGCCAAGTTGGAGATCAGCTTGAACCCATCAACCACTTGACTACCAGCGCCACCACCCTTTACACCGAAGCTCAACACGCCTCCAAATCCCCGCTTCAGGTATTTCTTTGCCAACTCGTGCGATGGATGGCTCTCCAGACCTGGGTACGAAACCCACGCGACATGTGGGCTTGCCTCGAGCCATCTAGCCACAGCCAGAGCATTCTGAGCATGGCGCTCAGCACGCAGACTCAAAGTCTCAATACCCTGGATCAACTGGAAGGCGGCAAATGGATTCAGAGCGCTTCCCAAATCACGGAGGATCTCAACACGGAGTCTAATGGCAAAAGTGATAGGACCAAAGGTCTCCCAGAACTTCAGCCCGTGGTATCCAGGAGATGGCTCCACCATTTCGGGGAAACGCTTGCCATTCTTGCCCCAGTCGAACTTTCCTGAATCAATGACCACGCCTCCGATTGTTGTGCCGTGTCCACCAATCCATTTGGTAGCTGAATGGACGACAATATCTGCGCCATGCTCGATCGGACGGATGAAGTAGCCACCAGCACCAAAGGTGTTGTCGACCTGGCATAATTAGAACGGGGAACGCAGCAACAACATTAAAACTTACGATAACGGGGACACCATGCTCGTGAGCAACCTTGGCAATTGCCTCGAAGTCCGGAACGTTATACTTTGGATTTCCAATGCTCTCAATGTAGACGGCCTTGGTATTCTCATCGATTGCGGCACCGAAATCTTCCGGGTTATCGCCGGTGACAAACTTGGTCTGGATGCCCAATCGTGGGAGGAACACCTTCAATTGGTTATAGGATCCGCCATACAGGTTGGTGGTCGATACGATGTTATCGCCGGCATGGGCAAGTGCGGCAATAGCCATGAATTGGGCTGCCTGGCCGGAGCTTGCTGCCACGGCAGCGACACCGCCCTCAAGGGCTGCCAAACGTTTCTCGAAGACATCGACAGTAGGCTATCGGATTTGATTGTTAGTTGAGGCGCGCAATTGAATGGTCGGCGTAGGCGGCTGTGTCCTTCCACCCCGCAAAGCTGAACGCGATGGCTTGCAGATGAGCGGGCAGTGGGGGAATATCCAGTAAATCGACAACCCCCGGATTCCAAACATACAAAACAAAAGAAGAAAAGTGAAAGGGCACAGATGCCTACGTACGTTCATAATACGGCTGTAGATGTTGCCAAACTCCTTCAATCCGAAGAGTCTCGCGCCATGGGCGGAGTCATTGAAGGTGAAGCTCTGCGCACTCCAATTAGTTCCAAACAAGATAATAGCCCGGCAGAAGGGTCTTGACTGACGGTGGTGGCATAGATCGGGACGGCTCGAGCATTGGTTGCAGAGTCTGGCTCCTGGCCCGCATGGAGCTGGAGAGTCTCGAAGTTGGAGCTGACAGGAGGGGCCATTGTGATGGAATGGAAGAGGAGGAAATGGGAGCGCGCAAGAACGACTTAATTCTTGGATCTTGCGGAGGAGAGAGATTGACTGAAGGAATTGTATTGAAGTTGATGGGAGAGAGCGGCGAGGGGTGCGGCGGGGACTATATTCTGATTGAGGAAAAAGGAACTCAGATCGATGTGGGGTAAACAGTGGTGTAGGCGGGTTGGATACAAGCCTAGCTGGTGAAGGCTGCATCACGCCATCGCACCAGAAATTGGCTTATAGCAGTTCCTACTAGGGTTGGCTATTGGTTTTTTGAGAGTAGCACTCTGCCTCTCTATTATTATTCTTGTTTATCATTGAATGATGGAATAATAGCTCTTCTTGAGCTTCGCCGTTGTTGCTAATCAGCTCCAAAGTCAAGGTACTGGCTTCAACATCCAACTCCGATGCCGGTCGGCGGAGGCGGGGGGGGGCCCCTGGACCGAGAAGCATTCCGAGGAAATGCTGCAGATTGATATATAACCTTAATAGTAGTATCTTATATCGTTTTATATTGCGGCTTGGAAAGGCACCAGCTGCAGGCACTTTATTTACCCTTGCTTTGAAGGCACACAGAGATTTACAGTACATAAGTGCTCTTATTGGTAACTCCAGCTATCTGGTTGGCTGGTTCAATCGCTATTCGGTTTCCAGCTGCACCATACTACCCAAGTAAGGTACCATCCTCAGTTGCTCTGTCCTATTTCGTCGAAGAAATTAGGCCGAGGTGTCATCAAGCTATGTCACGTGGTATGTCGTAATCTAGTCCCCCACTCCCCGAGCAAGCAATCACGTTCCGGAAGTAGTAATAATGCTCGAGTAGCTGTTATTATTACTTGATGACCCCTAATTGGCTCCTCTTTTCCACTTATGGCCTCTACCAAGTACAGAGTCCACGATCGCAATCACCAATTCCCGCGATCTGTGTTGATCATTCTTATTAATATAGCTTCTTGAAGATTCTCCCTAGCGTGGCCTATTCATAGGTGCACTCCCGCATTGACCTGGCTCTTATCATCGTCGCTGTCTCAACCCGCGTGTCAGACTTGGCCTAGGCCTACGTCGGTACTTCGCTGTTGAGGCTCATGGCAGCGCAGTAGTAGTGGATCTTGGGGGGGTCTTCGTGCCTTTGCATCGTCACACCTCAAAAGCTTGAAACTGTTTGAAGAGCGTCCAAGACCTCTTGGTATTTCACACTGCGGTCAATGCTTCGAGGAGATCGTATGAGCAGCGAAATGACCCTGCGAGAGATCCCTCACTCAGGCATAGTTGCGAATCGTAGCCTCTCTTCTGCCTTCAACCTAGTGGTTGTCGCACTGCAGTAAAGTCGACTGAGATCGAGGGAGCAATTCAAGCTCGCAGCCAATACTTCCTTTAGTTAGGCCCCATGTTCGCGGCAAATAGAGAGCAGCCTCCCTATTTCTAATTCCGTCTGCTTCAAAGCTTTGTTCGATTCGTCGTCGCTCCCGGGACTTTTGCGGCTGGAGTCGCTCGACGTCCCTGGTCGTTTCAAAATGATACACAGAACGGCTCAAGACTACAGCACCCACAAGATCATGCCCGCCAATTTCTTTCATAGAAGAGGGGCGACACCCTAATTGTGGGATCCGTCTTCTTCCAAGAACTTGTAGTATCAGTGGTGGTCTGCGACTCCTCGATATTATCATTCATTTCCTGACTATCTTTTTCACTTTTCCCGTTATTTTCTTCGAAACTACATTCTTACACTCATTTTACGCGCGCACCAGTTGCTGCTGCTTCATTTTATTAAATATCACCATCCTCTTACGAGAAAACGAAGTCTAGTGATGCCCAGAAATCCTATGAAAATGAAGCTCGACTTTATGCTCCCGGTCCGCGTTGCCCAAGGCGTGTTTGCGTTTGTGATTATCGTACTCTCATCCTACGGTTAGGGCAACTTATTTCCAGCTCGAAGAAAATGTCTAATAATCTTATAGTCGCCCACTGGTACGATGCCGAGATCTTGATAGCATCCCCTTCTCAGGTCAACTTCCTCATTTTCCTTCCCCTCTTTTCCATGATCTCCATCGCCTACCTGGTGTTAGCCCCGATCCTCATGCCAAGGGGTAAGTCCTCCCGAATAACTCGTCGAACGAACAGCAACTGATATTTCGCAGCATCACATCCATTCGTCCATTTGGCAGTTGAGGCCGTAAATACCCTCTTCTACTTTGCGGGCTTTATCGCCCTTGCCGTCTTCATCAGCAAACTGGTCTTCTGCCGTGGCACCGTTTGTGGTGCGGCACGAGCTGCTTCCGCCTTCGCTGGTTTTAGTTGGCTCCTCTGGACTGGTACTACTGCCTTGGTTATTCTGAAAATGATGAAGGGCGGACCTTCAAAAAGCAATAACGAGAAGGCGAACCACCCTATGTCTCAGAGCCCGCTCCCTCCTCACCCATAAGCAGCTGGCACGCCTGGACGAGAGAATATGGAATGAGAGAAACAGAGGGGAATTCGTCGAGCGAATGGGATGGATGGAGAATGAGGTTTTGAAGACGTCGTGTATACTGTGCTGCTTACTTCATGCCTGTTATGCTGGTGTTTTTGTATATGGGAAAAGGGGATTGGAAGGAATTGGCTAGGCGGCGTAAGGCAAGAACAACAAACAATAGCAATCTCTATCTATTTGCTGCGCATTAGAATCATGAACCTCATACCAATGAATGAAGATTTGGAAATTATATAACTTGCAGGCTTTCTTTGGTCAGAGAGTGTGCAGGGGGTAGATACCTAGACATCTCGCAAATACATTGCCTCATTTTTAACGTGGCAGTAAAACTAGAATTACTTAATAGAATATCTAACTCAAAATCTAGGAATAGGGCTCTAGAAGGATTAATAATTAATAGTAACAAACCTAATAGACGTTTAAGTGTACTAATAAGCTTTCTAAAGCTGCAGCAGCTGTCATCCTCGCTAGTGCAACACCAAGCTCCATCAACGACCATCACGAACCTCAATCAATCCCCCACCAGCCAGCTCCTCATCCTCAGCCCTCAATCCCCAAAAATGCGCATCTCCAGCCTTCTCGCAGTGCTGCTCAGCACCCCCGTGCTCTCAACCCACCTCCTCGTCAACGTCCCCTCCTCCCCTCAGCTCCTCTTCCCATCCACGCTCCCAGCCAGCACAAGCGCAACCCTCACCACACTCTCCCACAGCTACTGCGCCCCCCTCCGCGCAGACAACACCTTCTCCTTCCGCAATGTCACCAGCGGCTCCTATCTCCTAGATGTGCACGCACACACGCATTTCTTCCTCCCCCTACGCGTGGACATCCACGAGCCGGCGCACCACACTCCCCCAACCAAGAAAACAGACCCAGCAACCACAACCCCCGAAGTCGAGGTCTGGGGCACGTTCCGCGGCAATGAGTGGGCGAATAAAGGAGAAGTGGTGGCCGTGAAGAAGATCGTGGAGCAGGGGAAGGAGGTCTGGACGTTTGATGCGAAGCCGGCTGCTGGGGAGAAGGAGTATTTCATCGTGAGGCAGGGCTGTATGTCTTCCCTGGTTTCTTTATTCTATCGAGTGGGAGAGTTTGTGCTAATATTAAAAAACATATAGTTTCTCCCCTTGGTCTGCTGAAGAATCCTATGATTCTTATTGCGGGCGCAAGTATGCTGGTTGTTTTTGGCATGCCGTATCTTATGGATAACAGTACGTTGTTCCTTACCCCTTTTACCTCACTCCCTCTTCTCGCTACATACTAATGCCTCGTGTTGCTATAGTGGACCCCGAAATGAAGGCCGAATTCGAAGAGCGGCAGAAATCCTCAACAATCGGAGGTGGAGCGGCAGCAAACCCGCTGCAGAATTTCGATGCTGCTGCTTGGTTGGCCGGATCGAGTGGTAGTGGGACTTCGACGCCGAAGAAGCAACTGGCTGAGAAGGGCATAACGAGATGAGGGGCTGTTGGTTTGACGGGAGGGTAGAGTGGAGGGGAGGGGTATTTGTAGGTTAGATAGACGGACTGTATAAAATTAAAGAGACATTTGAGAAATAGTTTGTTGCGATGGTGGCTTTTTATATGTATGGCGCCGTTGGTCTTATTTGGCTTTACTGCTTACCTTGGGAAGCATATGTGTTTCTATGATGGCTATTATTCCTACGGAAATTACTGGTGAAAAATAACCTGTTCTTCAGCTCTCTGGTAAAAGTCCCGAGTTGAAGATCATACGGAAAGAGAATTAAGCTCTTTCTTCGAAGACTCGAATTCGCAAGTTTCAATGCCTGGTATTGTTTTGTTCACGGAAATAGCAACCGCTAGAACTGTGCCATTATATAAATGCAAAAGTAATTCGCAAGATTTGAATACCCCCCCATGAGCTTCACAAGCAACGCCACCTGCCCTATGTAAACTTCGCCTAGGGATGGAGTGGGCTGGTTCACGTCGTTCCCAAACCCTGCATCAATATACACATCCCCACGTCTCTAGAAATCACCTCCGTCATCGCCGCCACCATCATCCGCACCATCCTCTACAGTATCGTTAGCGGTCACTCCTTTGATAGGAGGAAATAATAAGACTTACCATAGCCTTGCTGGTAATCATCATGATCATTATCCATGGCGTTTGCGAGAAGCATGCCTCCAACCAAACCACCACCCACACCAAGAGCAGCTACATGAATAGTTAGTGAGATATTCATAATCACATCAACTTAGGAGCTTACCTGCACCACCAACGCCCATACCGCCAGACTTTTGCGGTCTTTGGTTTTGATATCCACCACCTCCGCCATAACCTCCTCCACCATAGCCAGGCCCTGGGCCATAGCCAGGTCCGGGACCATAACCTTGTGGTGGGTACCCCTGCTGAGGATAGCCCTGTTGAGGATAACCCTGCTGAGGATAGCCACCGTATTGCTGTTGCTGTGGTGGGTACTGCTGTCCATATTGCGGCTGCTGCTGCTGATATGGACGACTACTCGAGCCTGCACTAGTCGCCTTACCAAGCAACTTCCCCAACAAACCACCAGACTTCTTCTGTTCCCTAGGAGGAAGCTCTCCATAACCCTGCTGCGGCATCTGCGTATTCTGATAATCGTTTTGTGCGCTCCGAGTTGAGGACGCTCGCGCATCTTCTTCGGCTTGTAGCCGTGCGGCCAGCGCGGCATCCGACTCTGCGCCAGGAGAGCCGGTGTTGTGAGTATTCGATTCGTAGGGGTTGGTCTTCTTGTCGTCGAGGCTGGCGTTCATGCCGCCTCCTGCGTAGCCTGGGGGTGGTCCTGCTGGTGCGCCATCGCTGGATGGAGGGTAGACGGGCTCGGTGGGCTTATCCCACTGGGACTTTTTGGTATAGACGTTGACATAGAACCTTGGCGCATCTCAGCATGATGAGGGAGGGGATGTTGAGTCTACGAGAACTTACCATTCCTTATACTCGGCATTCCATGCCGCTTTCCATCCTTCTGGGACCTTTGGAGGTGGAGGGCCGGTGGGCGGCGCAAAATCGCTCATCTTGTAACGTTTGAGGTTGGCTGACTGTTGGTGTTGTCTTGTCGGGGATAGGAGACCGTGGAGAAGTGGGGGTCTAGTCTAAGGAGCTTCGAAGAGGGCAAGTAGATGGACACCAAAGGTTGTAGCTTGTACGTTGTAACTCGACGAGTGAGACCACTGGAAATGATGGTTGAAAACGATAGTAAATGAAACAATTATGTGACGCCTCGGTTTCGACTTTATATGTACCTCACCTGTCAAGGTTGCGCAGATGGAGAGAAGGACACCCTAATTATTGCCCCTCTCCTGACCGATAAGCCGACAATCATGCTCAGCCACACCGACTTGCGAATATGTGGCACCTTCGCGGTACTTCGTATTCGGGGGCCAGAGCTGCGGTGACAATTTGCCTAGGTATGGAGTACGAAGTGCTCTGTAGCTATTTGGTGGTTCGATCGTTACCGGTAACTGAGCCACTGGTCCCTGAACCAAGATACCTATTACAAAATATTGACATGTATTCATAATAAAATCCATGCCTCTATGCGCAAAGCCCTCAAGGCCCCTTTCTCAAGGCACCGCTTACCTCCGCAAACTCATGCCTATGCTCCACGAAATATATACAGAATAGATGGCCCTCCCCAACGCCTTTCCAATGCTCGTGGTGTATCTAACGTGCTCCCGACGCCTCGATGCAAAGTATCCCCAAAAGATATGTAACAGAATATACAGCCATATTAACAGCAACCACCTCCCCAACCATTCTTGGCTGGCGCCTTCAACTTGACATTCCCTCTGCCGGCATTCGCGCCAGGCCCTTTGACACCGGATCTCCTATCATTCAGATCATATTTCCCCGCTTCGATGTTCTCATATATCCTCTCCGCCACCCGACCAAAGGCCATCTCCACGCCCTCGCCGCTTTTTGCGCTCGTCTCCACGTATTCCAGCACGCCGTTATTCTTTGCCCACTCTTCAGCTTCTTCCTTAGTGACTTCCCGCTTATTCTCATCGCCGGCTGCCAGATCGCTCTTATTTCCAACCAAGACCACCACGATATCCGGCTCGGCAATCTGTCTTAAGTCATTGAGCCAGTCTTGGACATGGCTGAAGGTCGGCCTCCTTGATATATCGAATACCAGCAGCGCCCCCGAAGCACCGCGAAAATAACTCCTCGTAACACTCTTATACGTTTCCTGACCAGCAGTATCCCAGAGGCTTAATTTCATATGCTTCTGTACCACAGGTACCTCCGCGCGCCGAGGTTCGGGCAGCCCCCCTGATATATCTGCCACTGATGAATCCCTTGGAGTGCTGGGTCTGGGGGCTGGAGGTTTTGCATTTGGAGGACCGACGGGGACGATTCGAGAGCCAAATTCAACGCCGATGGTAACGTCGTGGTGGGGAGAGAAGCGGCCCTCGCAGAGCCGGATGGTAAGTGAGGATTTACCGGTTCCGGAATCGCCAATGCAAACAAGTTTGGCGATGTAGTCCCATGATAGCGAAGACATTAGAACGGGACTGCTGAACGGGGAGGTGGGCACGCGACGTAGGACGATGTAGATGATATTTGACCCGCGCAACGAGAGGAGATTTGGAAAGGGACTGCTCTCGTCGCTCCCTGCCAAGTTTCAACCACCGAGCCACTCCCGCGTTCCCAGTCTTCAGTTGATACTTGATAAGCAGAGCGCAAAGACAGGTTACGGTCCGTGTCTTTGTTCTTTGCCCTGCCCTGCTCTGCTCTGCTCTGTTCTCTCTGGAACCTTCGGCTTCGACTTTTGCTTGTGGTCGTGTGTGTGTCTGTATGGTTCACAAGCTAAAGTCATTCATGATTCGCTCTCCGCGCTGGTTCGGGCTAGGAGCATCATGTGGCGCAGGACGAGGCTGGACCCGCGTCAACTCTATTATCAATGACAGTGGACATGACATGCGCTCGAGATACCAGCGAATTACTAGCTTTTAGAATTCTGAATCTCAAGTCTCCTGAGTTGTGGGTTCTGGGTTGCCTAATCTCCTGAGTGCATCTATTATATTATTATATCGCTTTAAGCTCCAGCTCCGGCTACCGCCTGGAGTGCGTCACCGTCAGTCAGGCTCTTTGAAGTTCCCTTGTCACCTGGCGACCTCGACTCGGTGATTCACCGCCACGCCGGTTCTGCCAGAGGCGGTGGCTACGTCGGCAGCTGCCTCTACTCACTTGCTTCGGCTTCAACACTCATCACTTCAAAGAACCGCTCGATAAAACACATTACAACACTCCTAGCCGTCAATATCCCCCTCACGGCTCAGCCAGGGATTATCTTTTATCCCCGGATCGGTTAGATATAAGAAACAACCATACTTGTGCCTCCGAGCTTCGCAGCTTGGCCCGACTACCGCAAACAGCATTGTAGGAGACGGGAGTAGGCCGTTGGGCGGTCAAGCCGTTATTAGGCTGTCTCCTTCTCCTGTGTGGCCCTGGGTGGCTAGAGACTCGATCTCGTAGATATCTAGGCTACCGAGCTGAGGATCAGTATGTTCTCTGAATGTAAGTGGAATCCATTTAATGACCGGCTTCCTAGAGGAACTAGTCTCATCTGATCATTCGACGTCAACAGATGCCTCGCGATTTCTGGCTCAGTCACAGTCCCGCATCTCCAACTTCGTCCAACCCGCCGATAATGCCGATGCTCCTCCTAGAAATCCCAACGACCGTTATCGCCGGTCAAACCCCTTGAGGAATACATCTCGGGGTTACCAACCACAGCGGTTCGGGAACCCGTATCAATCAGCATCACACCTCTCGAACTTTAATTTCGCATCACGCTACTCTGCAGCTCCGGACGCCCCGTTATTCCACAGTGCGATAGATGAATTTCGAGAAGAGGATGAGGAGGCGGAAAGGGAGAGGGAAACGGCGGATTTCTTTGCCCTCCAAAAGTCACGGAGGGTTTTCGCCCCGACTGGGCTCGAGGAGAGCGCGGAGACTGAGAATGGCGGGAGCGAAGGTTCCCTAGATGGTAGCAAGGAACAAGATGGAAGAATACGGGAAGACCGAGGGCGTGGGCGTGGGATTAAGAGTAGTTGGAATGGAGGCGGCCAGAGCAGGAGGGGACGGGGTCGGACGCCAGAAACAGTAGGGGAGGAGGCGGACTTTTCTGTTCATGGCCGCAGTGAAGGGAGTAGTAAAGGCAAAGACCATATGGTCGATGTTGGGCTCGAATCGACAATGGCGGATAGTGATCCACCAGATGATCTGGCAGTTGAAATGGAGCCTGAAAGCCCTCCTGCATTTCAGACGTTTCGAACTACGCCGAAACCTGGAGCCATCAGGTTACCAACAGACGCGAGCGGCTTATCGCGAGACCTAGATATTGAAGCAGGCTTTGGTCCAGGTGCCGCCATACCAAGGCCACCCAGCTCAGTGGAAACCGTGCCGGCAACCATAGCGACAACTTTGGGAGAGGCTCCAAGTCACGATATATTCTGGGGCTCACTATACCTGATATGCCTCGGCGCCCTCTTTGCAACCTTCTTCCTCGTATTCCTCCACACATCACCTCAGTCGAATCTCGGCGATACCATTTATACTACCCTCCGCTCCTCTTTCCACCTATTTGCTGTCGATACTGTAGTATCGGTAGTTGTATCGCTCATCTGGCTTGCGCTGCTCCGGTCATTTGTGAGATCGCTAGTATATCTCATCGTGCTCGCTGTGCCCGTTATCTTATTCTCCTTCTCGCTCTATCCTCTGATCTCAAGCTACAAGGGCTCAGAAGGAGGCGCAAGTTTGCAAGATAAGGCCATGCGTTGGCTTTCGTTCATCCCCGGGATCTTAACCTTCATCTGGCTATACACTATTATTAAGGGACGTCATTCTCTGAACAAAGCAATTGGGATACTAGAATTTGCTTCTAGAATCTTAGGAGCCAACCCAGCGTTGCTCGGACTTGGATTTGCTACGCTTGGGGCCATCGTTGCATGGACCTGGATGTGGCTAGGAATGTTCACCAGAGTCTTTCTTGGTGGCCATAAGTCTACATCTCTTACAGGTTTCATCATTGATGCGACGAGCTGGTGGCTGGCGGTCTATTTTGTGCTCATGTACATTTGGACCCTATCTGTCATAAGCGGGATTCAACGGTCAACGACCGCTGCTACTGTGTCCCAGTGGTACTTCCACCGCAATGCAGTGCCAGCGCCGACCTCCAGAGACATAGTTGTAGCGGCTCTTACACATGCAGTCACTACACTTTTCGGCACTATCTGTCTCTCCACATTCGTGGCACTATTAATCCGCCTTCCCCTCCTCATCCTTCCACGCCGCCTAATAAGCGTGGTCTCAATCTTTGCCTACTCGCTCATCCCGACCCCTATCACCGCCTTAACCAACCCGCTAACCCTCACCTACGCGGCAATCCACTCTCAGCCTCTACATCCCTCCGCAAGGGGTCTAAGTCAAATGACTTTCCTCACCCCTCAAGCCCCTACAACAACTCTCACTCCCCGTTCCTTCAGCTCCCGCACCCACCAAACCACCCCTCTCCTCCCCTACCGTCTAGCGAAGCTCCTATTACACGCTACCCGCTTCATCATGGCCGTCGCCCTGGGATTCGGCGGTTGGGTCGCTACAGCGCGGCAACTTGAAATATCGGTACCCGGCGGAGCTGGAATCAGGGGCAGCGCATACGCCTATGTTGTGGGTTTAGTGTCGAGTTTTATCGGCTGGGGTGTGTTGGGTGCCATGGAAGGCGTGCTAAGTGGGATCGTTGATGCAAGTGTAGTTTGTTGGGGGAGCGAGAAGGGGATGGCAGGCGGCGGAGCATATTGTCTTGAAGCGGGATATCTTTTTGGAGATGCGAGGATGGATGGACTTTGAGTACCTTCTTTCGACGATGGAAGGAGTTGGGTGCATTTGGCGTTTTGGAATAAGAGAGGAGGGGAGTTGGACATAGTACCGTACATCTTTAAGCCTTTTAGCGAATAGTATACATTACACCCTCATATTCATCTTCTATTCCCTGGAAGATGTGATTTTATGCGAACTCTGTTATTGTGGCTTCTTAACTCTCGGTATAGCTTGGAGGCTCTTGTAGGATTGCTATAGCTAAATCCTGGCTTTGAGATGGTAGTTAGACCACCCTCCGCATACCACTTACTAAATCATAAGATCCCATTCCCACTGCCCTATCCGAAGCGTCTATTCGTTAAAAGAAAGATACACGCAAAACTACCTGGAGATTCAATCCCTTCAATAGCAAAAGGAGCCCAGAAAACCTTTCATATTTTAGAGTAGGAAGGCTTCATTTTTCATCTAGTTTTACCACATTTCATAATACAAAAGGCTAAAATTAAGATAGGTTTTTGCATTTGTTTTCTCGACTAAAAACGCCTATAGCCCTTTCAATGCCCCCTTTCCTCCCTGCCTCTGAAAAATCAAGAAACCCCAATTTTTCCTGACTTCTTGTGATGAGAACAAATGAAAAATTACATACGGTCGTGTGTGTTGTGTGTGTGATGTGTTGGCTGGTGCAAAAAAACCCAATTTTTGCTTTTTGCCTCTTGCTTTTGACGATACCCCTGCGCCTCTTTCTGGCTTTGAGTCTAGGGTTTTAAAGCTATAGGGAGAGAGGGATTTGGGAAATTTGCTTAATCCGATATCCGCCAGTTGTCGAACCATTTCAGGTAGCTGAACTGCTTGTTTGGGCCTACCATGCCCCAGGAGATTGGCATGAATAGAACGTACAGGCCAATGGTTGTGCCGTACAGGATGCCATACATAACGTATTGCACAGCCTTGGCTTGATTCCTTAGCATCCAATCCGCGACAAAGCCAAATGTGAGGATGGCGAAGTACAGGGCAGGGTAGTAGTGATGGACGTAGGTAACACGTGCCATGGCGACGAAGGGGAGATAGTGGAGGAACCAGCCGATAACGGGGTAGAGAGCGGCATAATGGATCTGGTCGATGTCGGCGGGCTTGAGGTCGTCGTAACCTCTTTGCCAGCGGACTAGGTACCATGCTACCATGAGGGCGACGATGCCGAGGGAGGCTGTGGAGCCCCAGTAGACGAGCGGGTTTCCGAGGAGGAAGTACTTGACGATGGAGTCATCCCAGCCACACATCCGGAGACCGACATTGAGGATGGGCCATTGCCAGAATTGCGAGGCAAGGTCATCTTGCTTGTCTGGGTCGGGGACAAGAGCATTGTTCGAGGTCATCATGGCAACGTTAAGATGGAGGAAATCCTGGAAGAAAGGAGATTTATAGGCTCCAGCGTCGGCCGCAGGCACTAAAACAGAATTAGCAGTGAAATAAACCGGTATCATGTGATGATGACTTACGCTTCTCATTCCAGTGGGCTTCCACGTTCCAGTGGGTGTAGACATCTTTAGGGTTGTTGGCAGGGTCACAGGTGACTTCGATCTGCTTGAAACCCCACTGTGGCAGATTGACATTGCCAGCACGGAGATAGCAGCCCAGGGAGGTGTGTTTCAGTCTGAAGGCAGTGGTTAAAGTCCTAATTTTGCTTCGGTCATTTGAAGCGACATCCTTCACAACTTCAATAGTCCAGTGATCCTTATCATCTCCAATGGTGGTGTTTCCATAACAGGAGACCTCCTTCTGGGACTTGGTAACAGGGGCAGAAACCTCATGTGAATGGAGGTTGCGGCCAGTCTGAGAGTGGATAAATCGAAGAACGTCACCATCCGCGACGAATTTAGGTTCGCTTTCGGGGTTGTACTCTGGCTGGTCGCGGTTGGGATAGAACCACCATTCGTTGTTGGCATCTTTATGATGATAACATGTGATTTGTTGCTGACCGGAGCCTTCAGGGAAAGTCTGAACGTGGGAGTGCAAAAGGCCACCTCCGTAACCCATATTCTTGATCGTAGCACGGGATCCGTACGCAATCTCAAGCGGGCTGTCTTTGCCTACTTCGGTACCTCTGAGATTCGCCTGGAACAGGGAGCTCATCTGTGCATCACCTGGGCCGCTGTTCTCCAAGATGGCGAAATGGGCCGCAAAGGATAACATGTAGACAATGATGGGGATAATAATCAGGCCAATAACTCGAGCAGCTAAGTGGGCACCGAGATCGAGCTGTCATGTAGTTAATATTCTGCCCATGTTTTAGTTTCATTAGAACACTTACCTTGGGCATCTTGGTATCGCCAAACTTGTTCCACAGATCCTCGATGGTGTAAAGACCGACCAAGGCCGTCACGAAAAACCCAACCCATTTTACACTTGTGACACATCCAATGCTTATGCCAGTCAAAGCTAGCCAGGTGAACCACTCAGCGCTAAAGCTCTTATTTTGGAGGCGATGGAACCTTGCCCAGCACAACACCGTAGTAAATGTGAAGCACAGGAGCATGGAATCCAGGAGGATGAATCGACTGATGGTGGTGTACGAATTCTCGCAGAGGACCATCAGGGTAACAAACCAGACAGCTGGTCTCCGGAAGTTCAGTTCACGAGCGGTGAAGTAGGCCAGAGGGATACAGACAGCTCCAAAGAAGGAGTTGAATGCACGCATGAAGGTGTAGTTGAGCTCCTCGGGGTATTTCTCCCCAGACTTGAATTCGAAAGATCCGTTATATCCTGCCAGATATCCTGAGAGGCCGACAAGCATTTTTCCGAGAGGCGGGTGGACATCGAAGTAGAATTCACGCTTGAGATAATGGGAGCCGAATTTGCCAAAACTGTAAAGGGGCCGTTAGCAATTGGCCTGATATGGCTGAGGAAAGGGGGGCTTCGTACTGGGCTTCATCCCAAGTCACAATGGGCGATAGACCAATCTTGTACATTCTTGTAAAGAAAGCAAGAGCCGTGAATATCAAAGGTGCAATGATAAACTCCCACTCGTCTAGGAACTGCAGCAACCCCTTCTCGGACTGTTGGTAGAGCACATTAGCATCATTCCTCACCAATTGTAGAACGGCATGGCTCACCTTCTTGCCCTGTGTCTTCTTTAAATCCACCTCAACTACACCTGCCGACCCGCCATCTGCCGACCTCTGGGCTACATTGCGTTGTCGCAGAGCCGCACCATCGAGATCGGCACCCGTAGCACGCGTACCCATCTCCGAAGCAGCCATTTTCACAGCTTCACGACTATTACCACCTATGACGAGGTCAATCTGCCACAACCGATAAGATCTCGCAGTCCCAAAGGGATCGTCGACCGCCCGGTGATCTCAGGGGTGCCTCGCAGAGAAAGCTCTCTCTGACGCAGCAGCTCTGAAGTCCGAAAGAGAGTGGTCGAAGAGAGAGCGAGGCAGACCAACGAAGATATGTCGAAGAAGTATTACAAAGAAATGCTAATTGAAAGACCTGACCATCTCCGCACGGGATCGTGCAGATGTTTGATGGACAGAGACAAGAAAGGGTCTGGAGATATGTCGCCGAATTGCTGGACAGCTGAAAGAAAGGAGGTTTGGCCCTTACATGGATATTTTCGAGAAGGCATCCACATGGGGGGCGTCTGGCTACAATGGATACGGGTCGTTATTCAGCGCACACCGCGATTCCTCCACAAGGCTGTGCCCCCTTTTTTTCACGTGGTGGCCTGCCTATCTTAAAATAGATACCTATACCAGCAACCACTTTCTTATATGGTTTTGTTATCCTAGGTGATAATATGTATACATGCGGTTCTAGATGTATTAGGTTACACTATGATTTTCGCGTTTTATTTATATAAATGGATCGCCGGTGGAGATAATCTTCAAGCGGCTGATTATCACAATGACCCGGATATTGGGATGTTGTACCTGAGCGAGGTGGATATAGATACCGACCGCGTACGCATAGCCGGAAACAAAGTCAGGACACGTCTTCGTGAAGCCATCAGCATCCCTAGCCGCGCACTGCGCTACGGGGCGGGCGAGAGGCGTTACGGGGCTGAGGATCCTCGTACTACGGAGTGCGGTACTTTAATTCTACACGGGGTATTGGATTTTATCTCCTGATGATGAAATCGGCAGATACAGGGTAGAATATTCTGGACTTGATATATATGATTGTATACATTGGCGTGGACGCGCCTAAAGATCGGAGAGGGGAGTGGAGAGTTCTAGTTCTGTGGTAGCTGGAGGTATTAATAACTTTTTGCGTCCACCGATCAGCAGGGGGGTTAAATAGTGATTACTAAGGGAAATTCCTCCGTCTTATGACAGAGTAAAGGGAGTAAACCTGCCAAGTCTACCATTTTTGATAGAAATCAGCAGGGAACAAGAAGATACAAATATCATGTCTGGAATCGAAGCTTGGATTCTCATAATATCCTTTGCATCTCAATCTCGTACACATCAGTACAAATCTACCGTCCTATGCTTATAACTTTGGTAATATGCTATTACATCACAGATTCCCTGTGAGCCCTCCAATTACGCCCGCTTTCTAATACCCAACAAACTCCCTGGTTCTAGTGCAATGCAGCGGCAGCTTAACGCCTTAACTCTTTCACTCTTCCTCATCTTGGTCTAAAGACTTATACTTTGCACTATTGATGCTCTCTCCGTCTCCTTTGCTGCGATTGACCATACGGGATATCCAGCCTCCCCTGCCCTCGGTCGAATCCTCGGCCACAGGTGGTGTGCCGTATTGAGGTTTGCCGTTTTTGATGAAGACGTGAGGAGGATCAATATCTAGTCCTGGAATGGCGCTTGAGGAGCCTAGTCCGTTCGTCCCCGTTCCACCGCCTCTTCGTAAATCCATTGAGGGGATCGGCGAGCTTACAGGAAGCAACGAACCGGTTTCGGCCCTTGATGCTGGCGTGGGCATCGCGGTTGTAGCATCGCCGAATAAGACATCCATATCCTCTAATCTGACACCTGCAGTCTCGGGGTATACAAAATATACTAGTCGAAAAATTAGTAAAATTCAATGGATGCTGAGATACCCAGGCGAAACTTACCAACAACGAAACTTGTAGCACAGAAAAATGCATGGATGAGGTACAGCCTCCACGAGATCCATTCTTGGAGAACTGGCGTGAGTACTCCGACTAGCCAATTGAATGCCCAATTGGTAGCGGTGGACAAGCTTGCACCTTTGGAGCGGATGCTGAGAGGCAAGATCTCGGGGGGATACAACCATGGGATCGGACCCCAACTGTAACCAAATGCAGCGTTATAAATCATGACAAAAATAACCACGAGCGTTGGCGTAGCAGTCAAATCTAAGAACAGGAAGTACGAAATTGCAGCTAACGCGATGACCATGGCGACTGCACCGGTCAGAAGAACATAGCGGCGGCCCCATCGATCGACTAGATACCAAGGCGGTACTGACGACGCGAGATAGCTGAGGGCATTAATTCCAGTCATCAAAATGGCATCGCGGCCTTCCCAGCCAGCAGATTCAAAGACGTAAGGCGCATAGTACGAGATAACGTTGATACCGTTCAGCTGGGCAAAAGCCTGGGCGGACATGGCGATGAACACACGTTTTCTATATCGTTGGAACATGTCCCTATAGGACTTCTCTCCTTCCTGGCGTTGGAGCAAGACATCCATCTTGATCTCGCGGTATTCTTCCCTAGCCTTGGGGTTGTGGATGTCTCCAGCTCCATAAAGATTTGCGATGACGACCATTCCTTCTTCATCATGATCATTGTCCAAAAGCCACCTAACTTCATCAGTTATGCACTTAAGACCATTGGAGGGAGTATTTACCTTGGAGATTCCACGATGATCAGGCTGCCAACGCCAAGGAGAGCACCCATTACGCACTGCATCACCAGAGGGATTCTCCATGAATAATCGCTTTCTATGAAACTGCAGAAATAGTCGACCCATACGGACGTTGCGTAACCAGTGATGTTCCCGGAAAATTCGATACAGGCTAGCCTACCCCGGTTATGGGGAGGGGATATTTCAGACTGGTATATGGGCACGATGGTTGACAGCATGCCAACACCAACACCAGCAATAATTCGGCCTAACAGTATCATAGGCATTCCCGTGGCAAAGGCCTGAAGAGCTCCTCCAACGAAGAATATACACGAGCCATAAAGGATTGTTTTTCGTCGTCCTATTATGTCTCCAACTCTACCCACGACGAGGGACGAAAAGAAGGCCCCGATTTCGAGAATGGCGACCATGTTGCCAACCTCGGCTTTGGTTGGCTGATTAAAGTAATCTTTGAAGTAAATACCCCTAATGCAAATATTAGTCCAGTTCAATAGGGGGGAACCCGGCCTCACTACTTACGTGATAATTCCAGACATGACTCCCTGATCATAGCCGAAAAGAAAAACTCCCAAAGATACAAATACACTGGTGAAGTACCTGGAAGCGAGGATTAGCTGGTGATACTAGTAAGTAATATATGAAGAGGTGTTCCTACACCAATGGCTTGCCCGTTAGGCCATGCATCTGCCGCTCTCCTCCCGACATGATGGCGGCTATGATATGCTCAGCTCTACTGATATACCGCGGGCCCGGACTGGGAATGTGGATTTCCTCCTTAACGATTCCAGATTGAACTCCTTTCTCCTCGCTGCTATCAAATGCCTCTTGATAACGGACCTTCTTATGCCGTAGGGGCCGTCTCGAAGCCCTACCGAAGACCTCCTCGTCCAGGGATTCCCGTAGCTTGATCTGGAGCGGGTCCTCCTCGTCGGCGAGCTGCTCTGCGAGATCGCCGGTATCACTCCACGAGAACTCGGAATCGTCAGACGACGACCGCGAGAGTGAAGACCGCCGGCCCTCCTTTCCGTCCGCGTGCGACCCCAGCAGTGCAGCGGAATGTGACTGGGAGTTGGAGGGTTGGGATGAGAGGGTCCGCAATGGTATATTCGCCGGACGACGAGAAGACTGTGGGGAAGGAATGATGAAGGTCGGGAGCTGTTTGTGCAGCAGCCCTATCTGCGAGATGGATGAAGTATTGGTTTTGGGGGGGGGGG